AAATTTAATCAGCCAGCCTGATCATTTAGTCATGATATGTCATATTCTTTGTCTTATACTTATAGATATTTTCTTCTCTGACGTCGACTGACAAAGCGTCATCGTGCTCGCTTGGCATCAGATTTTACTGCAATTGTCGCCAACATGCATGAAGCAGTTGAAGCACCAGGCAGACTGAGTAAGTCATTTTTGAATCTTAAATCTTAAATGATGATATCTGTACGCTTGGCGTACTCAAACGTATCCCTTGATGAAAAGTGGAGGTATCTAATCTCTTTATTGTATATGCGATCTGCATGACAATGAACTTGTTGTCTTCTGCTTGAGAACAACAGTATAATTTTTTGGATAACTTCCATTCCACTCCTTTAACAAGTTTACATCAACACTTCTCCTAGAACTACTTTTGAAATGATGGGTGCATATACATATATGAGCCATCTTGCATTCGTAAATCATATCGGATTATAAAGGTGGGTTTTAGCCTGGAGTGATATTTTGCGATGCGGGCATTCCAAAGTATAATAGTTTTGCCACAATAACTGCATCAAGTTATACAGTGAAAAGAAGGTGAAAAGAGTCGTTTGATCCAGCATTTTGCTGAGCAAGACACTAGTGATCGTCGTTAAAAAATGTCTAGCCAATGCTTGCAGTTAATTTTGATTTTAGGATTTTAGGTCAAGTAGTGCAGTGTACTAAGACAGCATTAAAACATCTTTATTTTAATCGTTAACTTAGATATTTTACAAAAACGCTGCAAAAATATCATCTGCATATTAATGGTGTCACACATCAAACTCAAACTACCAGAAGTAAAAACGTCTGATATCAAATGTTCGCGTGACCAACTAAGCATACGTTCTCGTGTCGGAAGGATAAAGCACTATGGCATTAAGTAGATCTATCAAATAATTACTGAATTAGATGTTGTTATTCTCTACGATCAGATAAATCAAACTCTGCCATCCTCAATTTCCTCATTCTATACTTGGTGTTGTAATCCAGTTTTTGACCACTTTAGGCAAAAAGCCTATCAGGCAACATACCCAACGAGTATAAAAATAATCATTATTATTATAGTAATTTCAAAGACTTCATATACAAGTTGATATGTGAAGTATCTATAGTCTATAGTTTAGTATAGACTATAGGTCCACTCTTCTGATCATACTGATCGAGTATTTCTAAGCTAAATATCATAAACCTGCACGTAATCACTAATTGCGTTCGACGAAGGAGAACCGCTTCCTAGCCGTGTCATATCGAGATTTACGATGTCAGTTTTGCCTCGTTCTGATAAGCGTCATAGTAACTGGAGATTATGTGGTCGCTCCATTTTGAAATTTTGTTGCCAATTAAAGCATAAGAGCCATCACTGTTGTTAAATCACTCATTTTACGGGTAACCTTTTGAATCACATACGCCTGTGACGGTATAATGTTAACATTTTTGTTAATGATCGTTAACCAAATCAACACACACATTCCGAACGCACATCACTAATCTGTGACTACTGCTAGTTATAGTAACTACTTTTATCATGAACCTACCGTACCGTATAGGCATATAGTTATTAATAAGCTGTACTCGTTTTCCGGCCTTGTAACTATCTCTTGTTTTGTAACTCATGAATTAAGAATGATTAGTGCGCATGTAAATCAATCGCCATTCGCCATCATGATCTCTGAGTAAAAATGATGAAATCTGTTTGTTTTTAGGAGTTTCTAGACAACCCGGCTGCTCCGGGGAATTGTATTTCCCAAGTTTTACTTATTTTTGAGAAACTCTGACAAAAGAAACAATGGAATTGTACAAATGGGATTTACATTATTACAGATAACATCCTAATTACTCCGTGTTACAACCGAAACTAGCTACCTTTATTTTTACATGCACCTGGCAGCCTCTGTCCTGTGAACGAACTACGAAGATACGTGCGTAACTAACTGGAATAAGATTTGAATTAACTTCGTAGTTTTTTTAAATGCTATTAATATATAGGGCTCCCCCTTTCGTTTCTGATGATTGACGAATACTACTTCGCAACATGTATGTTTGTCAATCGTATGTATATAGCAAATGTTTTCAGACGTGGGAAAGAACATGGAAATATACATTCAACTTTTTCCTCCACAGGAGCTTTAGGGAAAGAAGTCGAAATTGCACATGTATACTTAACGGGTTCAATAAGGTCCATGTGTTTGTTGACAACCCCCCAGACAGTCGGAATAACGGATATAAATGACTCGGATATAAGTTTAAATGTCGGTGCAATCATACAAGTATACCCCCTGTATATGACTTATGAATATCTTGTATCGACCTGTTCTGATTCTATGTCCGTATTTAGGCGAATGATCATATTAAGTTTAGATAAATTTAGAATAGATTTTACCGAACCTCTGATGTTTAACATCCATTTGCATGAAACTACGGAACGGGAAGGCGAAACAGTCTCAACGTGAACAAAGTTTTTTTTTACTTTTCTGGTCTCCGTATGCATGGTAGAATCAAAACAGTCCATGCATGATAAATTAAATGCTCGTTTATTCTAGTTTTAGAAAAATCGAGCTCACGAGATGTTTATTAAATGTGAACAAAGGTAAAACCCTTCTTCTTAGCGTTATTCGTGACCTTGGACTTGGTTTAATTATAGTCAGGGTGCAAAAATATGATTCAATAATTACAGTTGAAAGAAGATGTATTGATATATGTTGAACAATATTATCACCACAATTTCTTCCCTGCCCGTGTGTGCTAATTAACCTACGATATAGCTAATAGCTTTAAATTAGACCACTGCCGAGTAGACGTCATACGAAAGTCTTATTCTTATTTATTTTTTGAGAAACTCTGAAAAAAGAAACAACGGAATTGTACAAATGGGATTTACATTATTACAGATATCATCCTAATTACCCGTGTTACAACCGAAACTAGCTACATTCATTTCTATGGTAGTCTTTGTCCAGCTGTGCTGTGAACGGAGATACGTGCGTAACTAACTGGAATAAGATTTGAATTAACTTTGTAGTTTTTTACATGCCATCAATATACAGGGCTCCCCCTTTCGTTTCTGATGATTGACGTGACAAATACTACTTTGTAACATGTATGTTTGTCAATTGTATGTAGCTATATAGCAAATGTTTTCAGGTATGGGAATGAACATGGAAATATACATTCAACTTTTTCCTCCACAGGAACTTCAGGGAAAGAAGTCGAAATTGCACATGTAGCTATACTTAACGTGTTCAATAAGGTCCATATGTTTGTTCACAACCCCCCAGACAGTCGGAATACGGATATAAATGACTCTGATATAGGTTTAAATGTCGGTGACTGCAATCGTGCAGGGGAGGACTTTAAAGTGCAAAGTACAAGTATACCCCCTGTATATGACCTCTGAGTATCTTGTATCGACCTTTTCTGATCCTATGTCCGTATACAGGACGAATCTAGGAACGAATGATCATATTTAATTTATATAGATCTTACCGAACCTCTGATGTTAAACATCCCATTTTCACGAAACTACGGAGAGGCGAAACAGTCTCAACGTGAACAAGGTCTATTTGTAGTGTATTTCTAACTATGATAGAATTAAAACTGTCCATGCATGATAAATTAAATGCTCATGTATTCTAGTTTTAGAAAAACCGAGCTCACGAGATGTTTATCAAGGCAATTAAATGTGTACGAAGGTAAAACCCTTCTTAGTGTTATTCGTGACCTTGGACTTGGATTAATTATAGTCAGGGTGCAAAAATATGATTCAATAATTACAGTAGAAAGAAGATGTATTGATATATGTTGAACAATATTATCACCATATTTTCTTCGCTGCCCGTGTGTGCTAATTGATGTACGATATAGCTAATAGCTTTGAATTAGACCACTGCCGAGTAGACGTCATACGAAAGTCTCTGGAAGGTGGACTTAAGCAACACGCTGATAAATAAGGCAATAAATCGCTGGAAATCCAAATTACGCACGATTTTAGAAAAATCACGAAGAAAACAAAAATCAACAAAAACAATCCGAATCATGCATAGTTTTTATTTCGCACGCACGCATGTTACTACACATATGTAATTAATAATATTTGGGGTGATTACATCAGTACCACTTTACTCTATATATACCGAACAATTTATAAAAAAATAAATATGCGTTGCATAATGCGTTGCATCTATTAAATTACGAAATTGGCCATTGCAAGACATAGGAATTGCACAACAAGAAAAGGCGATTGCAAGACATAGTATATACTTTAAAATAAGACTCAAGACGTTCAGAATTTGTCAGGATTATGCAGTTTAGGTTAGATCGAGTAATGTTATAGTTAAACTATTTTTATGCATGCATGCCAACAGACGGCGCCTATTCATGCAGGGTGTACCAAAGAAAGTTTACAGTGTAAAGTTTAAAATGTCTTCTAGACGTTAGCGCACGCAGCGTTAAGCCGGTTTTCCACTAGCGATATTTTTCGCGCTAAGCGACTTTATTCTTTTGTATTCGAGCAATTTGTTCCAGATGGTTGCAGTTGAGAGCTCTGAAACAAAAGTAAAATGTCGCTTTGCGCGAAAAATATCGCTAGTGGAAAACGGGCTTTAGGGAAACTTTTGGTGTGTGTAGGTAGCTTGAGCCCTTCAGACACCTCTGGTACAGAAAGTTTGTTAAAAAACAGTGTTTTGCGAGCAAAAAAACGTGTTTTTAGCAGTCGATTTAAAAACGACTCGCGCACAAAAATAGGTAACTGAAAATGCAGTTTAACTTGACAGGCCTAAAAGATGGAAAGTTATTGAAGTTTCAGACAATTTGGTGCAGGCGTAAGCGAGCGCGCGAGGTTAAAAGATTGGGTATTTTTGCATTTTAATTTTAAATCTGATTTTCTGGTGACCTAAAGCTTATTAATTCCAGATGTAACTAATTTGCATAGATTAAAAAGTTAATATTAGTCTAAAATGTTGAACACTCTGTACCAGAGGTGTCTGAAGGGCTCAAAGTACCTACAAATACCAAAAGCTTTCTCTAACGATGCGTGAGCGTACGTCTAGAAGACATTTCCCAAGTGTAAAACGTTTTTCTGATACACCCTGTATAATGACAGATTATGACATCATATGTAAGAATATCTTCACAAATTATTTGCATGGAATTCATGATCGAGTTGTACAACACATCTTCAGCATAGTTGCTTGGATCGAAGAAAGTATTTTTGCTACAATCCCGAAAACGAGGTTGACTTCTTTATCATTCACTAATTTCTTACACATATTTAGTACAGCTCAATCAAGCGTTGACCCTCCTGAATCTTATCTCCTGGTTTGCAATTCACTTTCTTTACCTTGCCAGATTTTTGGATGCACAAACTGTTTTGCATCTTCATTGCTTCGACTACACAAACCTCCTGGCCTTCTTCAACCTATCAGATGAATGGAATAAAGTCAATCACTATATACAGTATCAAAGGTTTTTATGGGGGGAAACAAAGGATTTCATCCCATTAAGGTAATACAAACATTCGGCTTTGGTATACATTTCAATTCCCTTAATGAAAGTGGCAAGCATGGACATGACTGGGATAATGGATTAAAAAATGAGAAGGAAAAGAACGTTTAAATTAATTCTCTGGTATCAAAGCCAATTATTTCTGTCACTCGCTTTCTTTGAACATGCTTTATTCTGTATTTCCTCAATTTTCTCTACATATTAAATAATACACCCTCATTCCATCATACACAAAATATTTTCTTTACTGTTATAGAAGAACATTCTGATGTCTTGATATTAAATATAGTTAACTTACGTCTTGTTCAGGTTCACAAGAGACTGATATAACTGTCCCTGGCATTGGTGAATCTAAGAATGGCGTGAGGTCCTCCTATCAAAATCCCAAAACCAATGTAATGAATATAGCTGTACCGTAAAAATGTATTTTATCAATTTATTTGGCTTTTCTGTGACATGTGACTGCCAGTTATTGCCAGGTTATTTACTCTAAAATCCCAGTTATAAATAATTATTCCTGCTTTAACCTTCGGTTTCTCTAACATATGCTGAAAATATTCATTTTGAGCTTCATCCATCACAGTCACGTCAAACTAAAATGAATGTAATGTCAATAACAGGAAATGCTATATAAATCTGTTTCTTTTTCTCGACGCGTGTTTACAGTTAAAGCACAAGACTGACTTAGCCTAGATTTTCGTAGTGTAAACGCATTTGGGCCTGGCTTAAGTCTGACATCGGCCGAGTACACTAGATGGTCTAGACTAGGCACGGCCAGGCCTCACGCCAGTGCAAAAACCTAGATTAGGTTGGTATGTAGTGTAAACACAGCTTAAATTTTCCAAAGACCTGCATGTAAGCAAATCTTAGGCTACTTATAAGTGAAGCTATACTATACACGCGGTATGTCAGGTTTGTTGTTGAGCCACAAAAACTTGCGGAAGCGCTAGCTTTGATATGCTTTTTATACGCAAACAGGCAAAACCTGTTGTTAACAAGTTGTTATAATAGAAACGGACATGTTCGAAAGCCTCACCTCATATTTCGTCAACATATTTACACATGCTATTGCCCACGTTTATAAAAAAACTGTCGATTTTATTCAAAACAAGGTGAGTATATTTTTTTCCGAACTAACCATGCAATATCGTTTGCACAATTTGAATCGACCTGCATTAGCAATAAACAACGTACCTTGGAGCCATAATGCTGTAGCTGCAAATGTTGACCAGTTCGTGACAAGCTCTAAAAATAATACTGATGTCAGCCACGCCCCGAACCTGAACTCTAGTCTAGCCATCAACGAATGAGTGTATAAGAACAACTTATACAAAATGTCATGCAACCTTCCTCAGCTTCATGGAGAAGTTCTTAATTGTACAAGTTTAGAACTTGTAAAAGAACTTGTTAAACTTTTTGCTTTATAAACAAAAGTTTAGTACAGTAGAGAACAGTAGTTTCATGAACCAAACCCCAAATATGTATAAAAAAGTTTAAATAATAACGGTATGCTGCCGTTACATATTATAATAATGTGTCATAATTGTAGACTAAGCAGACTCGTTCACGCACGGCGAGAGCCACAAGAATGAAAACACAATTTTTAGAAGAAATACCACAAATTTCCTATCCTTGGGCACACCACTTTTCCGAAACATTAGCAAAACAAGGTTAATACTTTGCAAATTTTGCAACCTTCCGAAACCTTCGTATATGTACATGAGGTAATTACATTGTTAAATCAATGTTACATACTGTGCATATCCACATGGTTTGAGAATTTCATACGATATATGAGTAAAATACAAGATATGTTAGGCATACAATACAACACACCTGTAGAATAACTTCTTTTCCATTTATCTTTGTTTCAATAAGATATGAAGAGAGGTTTGACGAAGATTCAAATTCTAGTTCGGTACCGTCTATATTAATCTAAACAAAATGCATTTATATATTTATGTAATACACATAAGCTCATGCGGAATGCTTTGAAGATACATGTATCGTACAGAGAAACTGTGGACAAAAAGAGTGCTCTACAACGAGTTAAAATACGTTTTCCTAACACTGCCTTTGACCTTGCTGCAACTCATGCAGCAATAAAACGAAATTTCCATTTTTTATTATGAACTGTAGGTAGACCAATGTAGCTAATTTGGGCACTTACTTGATAAGTCTTATCAAGAATCTTTACTTCCACCTCATGTTTCTGATCATCCAGAAGAACATACAATTTCCACTTATCAAGATTGGCAGATTTCCCCGACGGTCTAAAAAATTATGCGGTATCGTAGAGGGACCTTATAATAGGCAAGTACTATAAGGTCGCATGGGTGAGGCTTAACTGACTTTACACTAAAGCAATAGTACTACACATATTGCCCTTAGTTTTCAAGTTTTCAATGCTAGCCACACTGGCACGCTAGCCCTGAAAAGTGAAAGGAGTTTCTAATGCTGCTGGATTATTCCATTGGTCCAGTCATTATACGAAGTTCATTGATTACTTCACCTGTCATGATTGAGAAAGTGTTTTTGTCTTGTCTCTCGAAGTAAGAATAAATAACTTGCAGCTGCAACCAGTTCATTTCGTTCATCGTTATTTAGTTGTTTCCCTTTAAAAATATGAAGAGACCGCAATGTATTTAACACACACTGTATTTAATCTTATAAACTAAGAGGACAGAAACAATAAATTACCTTTAAAACCATCCGGGTAATGTTCCTCAAAAAACTTTGTAGTTATATCACCAGTGATGAAGTCTGGATGGGTAACCACCTCTCGCAACAAAGACACATTGTTGATTAAACCTAGAGCCATAGGAACATAAATTACATTTTATGGATTCATATTAAAATGGATTATATATAGTTGGAATCTTTGTCGTTTTGATTTAAAATTCAAGTTACTTCACAACTGACTACTGTATAGCTACGCGTGTAAAATCCCCGCCATACGGGTAATAATGCCCATATACTGGTGGGCACCAAATATGGAAAATATTAATTTAATAGTGCCAAATCGCACCAAAAATCACCTCGAATTACGTAAGAATCAAGTGCCTTAGTCATGGTGCTCAGAGCCTCATCTCGTGTTGCCCCGTACGTCGTAAGCTGAAAAATATAGAAAAAGCTACAGTAAATCTAACAATCTCGACATTTTCCTAGATTACTACGTACATCATGACGTTTAACTGTTAATGCTTTGGCGTAAAGTGATGCAGTAACTGAGTTCAAAATACTAATCCACAGTACCTTTGAAATTAAGGAATCGTAGTAAATGCTGATTTCACTCCCTTCAATAATACCGCTGTCAACACGAACCTAAAGTGAACACCCATTTACGACTTTTAACAAGGTATATATAACATTATTACTCTGACCATGTTCACCATGATACACTGCATGTAGCTAAATTCACCTTCGCTAAAAAAATATATGTTCACTGTTTCGTGCGCTGTGTACCAAACAAGTAACACAGTGATGCAAATGGCTTGGGGGAAAATCTGTTGTTATTAAACAATCTTCACTTGGTAATGATTGTATTTAATTGGTTTCTTCATTAATGGCAGGGAAACTGTAGGCAATGCATTACTTTATTCTTTCATGTAAACTGATTTTAAAAACCTACGTTTGGAATGCTTGTTGGTTCCTTATAGGTATGTAGTCGTCCAATGGAAGGAAGACCAAAATTCTTGAATGGGTCCTGAAAAATGAAAAAAATCGTGCAGACCTGTCGGTGTCACAAGAATACATACAGTATGTATTTCCTAATTACAAAACCTTGTTAAACCTTCGTACCTCTGCATAAACACGGCTCTCCACAGCCCATCCTTTAATACCGATATCTGATTGTTTATATTGAAGGGGATGACCTGTCGGAAAATACAACAACATGAAATAACCGCCAATATATGTTGAAGTTTTTCTGTATTGATTTACGTTATTGTGTAGCCAATGCAAGAGGTTTGTACATTATACATCGAGGAATTCGCATGCATTACTGAATTTCGCTGCAAAGAGAAATATGTTTCTTTTTGATGACGAAACGACAAACTATATTTCACATCGGAATCAAACCTGCAGCAACTCGTATCATTTCTTCAACCAGGTCAACTCCTGTGATTAACTCGGTAACTGGATGTTCCACTTGTAATCTCGTGTTCATTTCAAGGAAGTAGAAATTTTTATCTGAATCAACAAGGCATTCAACTGTCCCAGCTGAATCATATTGAACTGCCTTTGCTAAAGCCAGAGCTTGTTCTCCCATCGCTTTTCTCATCTCTGGATCAAGGAATACACTATAAAGTAAATAGTAATACATAGTGATATAGGCATAGAGATCGATTCGTGGCAAAGAAATTTTATTTCTCGAACCTTTTTTATCTTAGCTCAAGTTTCGGAATATCTATATACCATTTTGCGATTATTCATACTTTCAATTTCCTAAACTTTTGGTGTTTATAGTAAAACGTGTCTCTGACGCCTAGTCAATACTGATTGGCTGGAGTTTGATAGTTTAAATCAATATTCTACTAAGAGATTAAAACGTGTCAGGCTATAGCTGACCAAACCCAGTTTTTTTATTTTCCTCAATTTAGGCTCAGTTTGCAGTATACCGGATTCGCATGGTCACGACATGTCAAAGCGAGTTTTACTCCTAAAATTATGATAGCATAATTACTTGATCCGCTAAATGAAAAAGTTTAAGTGCTAAATGAAAAAACAGAAATCCATGAAACAACTTAAACTGATGTCGAGACCATGGCTGCATGTAGTAAATATAATGCCTTTTATTGAAGAATTACGAGCAAGCGTACAGAACTGGCTATACCTTGGCGCTTCTTCAACGACTTTCTGATTTCTACGTTGAATGGAACACTCTCGCTCATTCAGGTATATCTATAACAAAGAAGAAACAAAAACGCTTAAAAAAACGACAGAATTTTACATCAAGATTTTATAAATTATTATTGTTTTAGATATAAAGCTTTTTGAAGATAGAAAAATGGGTATAACTAACAGTAACTTACACAATTGCCATGTTTATCTCCAACAACCTGAAAGATTTAAACATACAATATATTAAAAGGAAAAAATTAAGAAAAGGAAAAAATCCATACTCGTAAAACAAGCAACCATGCATTGCTATCAATTATGTTAGGTCTGCTTTACTGTCAGGTAAAGGGGAATGCCACTGGAATCTCATTAACGGAATACGACGCAAGTACGTATAATTTCATAATGGTGGTCAAACTAGAAGGTGATGAAACTAGAAGCGTATTTAGTGAGGTCTAATAATACGTTGAGATACAAATTTTGTGATGTATCACTATAATTCCTAGAGTGAAAAGACAGTTGTACATACTTGAATTTCAATATGTCTTGGATTATTGATAAATTTTTCTATCAACAAACGATCATCGCCAAAACTTGACTTCGCCTCTTGAGAGGATAAACGAAATCCATCTCTGAAGAGAATGGGATACATGTTCATAATGGTTCATAAGAGCCTTATGCTCATACATGCAATTATAATATGCAAATTTGCAGGCACATCATACCTAACTTCCTGGTCATTCCAAGCAATTCTCATACCTTTACCACCGCCGCCAGCAGAGGCCTTGATCATTACTGGGTAACCTATGAACGCATATACCTCACAAGTCATATACCTCACCAAACACACTATTCTTTACCGCTTTATGTCAATCGTGTTCACTTCTTGGGAATTTGGCTGATAATCAGTCTCGTTCCCTGCAAATTTACCCGTCGACTAGAAAACAATTTTTAGAAAACACCACGTGTGTTAGTCTTATGCAGAACTTTCGTTTGTTAGTCTAATGCAGACAATAGAACTAATACACGCGATGTTTTCTACAAATTGATGATTCAACCATCAGACATTATTACTCTGCATGTACAGAAGTATTAGACGGAGGTCTTTTTTACAGACCAAAACTTTAGGAAGCGCTCTGGACAAAAGAGTGGGCTGAGCGTTACTAAATAGTTGTTTCCTTGAGGGAAGGACGTTGTGCTTGAGGTCTGAACTAAAATATGTATATATAAGCTTACTGTTGGAGTAGTGGAATCCTTGTAAAAATTATATCACAATACAGAGGCTTTGAAATTGAGATGAACTCTGAAAATTTACGTACCTATCTCCCTCGCATGTTTTATAGCTTCTTCATCATCCTAATAATGGAAAAAAATTTTGGTGAAAGTTATTAAAAAAGGTAATTATTTTGGTGACAGGGAGTCAGGGAGGGAATATTAAAAGGATAATTATTCAATTAAAACTATCTACCTTGACAACTCCATCAAAGCCTGGAATAATATTGACATTAGCCTTCTTAGCCACAATCTTACTTTCAATCTTATCACCCATAGCTTGCATGGAATATGAGTTAGGACCGATAAAAACAACATCATTATCTTCCTGGAAAACATATATAGGTTGTTACATTATAATGCCAAACAGACACTGATACTCTAGTCACCAAAGTGATATGACAATATATTTATGTAGGAAGAGAGACTGAAAGGACTTCTTTGTCCTAGGATATTTGCCAATACACACATACCAATAGTTTGACAAAATTCGTATTTTCTGATAAAAAACCATAACCTGGATGAACCTGAAAAACATTAAAAAAGCATTATGTCAAAGTTTAGCTTTGAAAGCTGAATATGAAAAAATTAAAGAACCTAGTCAGGATACTGCATGGTTTCAGGAGAGGAGATTTAACATCATTATGGTTTCAATTGACTGGAGAATCAATTTGGGGCTCAGCGTTGTGTCATTCTTACTACATTCATAAAGTCATTCTTACTGCTTGTGCCCCTGTACTTTTAATAGCATCTAAGATGGCTTCCATATTAAGGTAGCTTTCTCCTGATGGAGGGGGACCAACACAAACACTTTCATCTGCCATTTTTGTATGAAGCTGAAATAAGATTGTATAACTCTGAAATTAAGCAATTACTATTACACAGAGTTTTTAAGTATGAGAATCCAATTAGGTAAAAACTTACTGCATATCGATCAGCTTCACTAAATATTGCAACGGATTTAATACCAAGACGTTTGCATGACTTGATCACCTATAAATAAAATGCATCCGCATCAACTTGCAGATTTGAATGTATAACTCATAGTGACAGATGTGGATGATGTTAGAAATCAGTCAAAAACATTATTCAATAGAACAAATTGGGATCAGAATGAACAAACAACAAATTCTTGTGAGTAGCTAAGAATAAATGTAAGAGAATTAAGTGTATAAGTGATAAGTCCTTACTTTTTAGATATTTGCATAAGTGTTTAATGTGTGCAAAACTTACCCTGCAAGCTATTTCACCCCGGTTTGCAATGAGGATTTTGTCAAATAACTAAAAACATTAAAATCAGAAACATATTGTTAACTGTGTATTTTCTCTACCCCTAGATGTTTTGTACAATAATCCCTTTGGTGGCATTTCTATATATATATATACTTATTAGCTGAATCGATCCCAACTTTACCTTATCATTTGACAATGCTGAATGTGATCTACTATGAGCATAGTGTACCTACAAAAAATATAACCCCAAACAATACAAATATTTGTTAATTATGGTGAAAGCAAGGTCTGACCAGGGATGCAAAATGGAGGGGCACAGTGCCCCTCTTTGCATTTTTTAATTAGACAAAGAAGTGCCCAATGACAAAGAAGTGCCAAGACAAAGAAGTGCCCAAAAATGCTATATTTCATAACTAACTATTTAATACATAAACTAAATAGAAACTACCTCATTGGCACAGTCTTCACACATGTGTATAGTATGTAGGTCTATTTGGTAGGTTTTGGTGTATGAGTTAACTATATGAGCAAGTCCCAGCCCTATTTTGTTAGTGCCCTCCCAACTTTTCTAAATGGTTCTGTAGTGTTCTAGTGTTTTCAGAAAATTAGGGCAGGGTCAAATGGGGTTGGTCATATTACATTGGGCCGCCCCGCCTGCTAATACTGTAGCTATGAGATGAATTTGAGCTGGATAAGAATCCCTCCGATTTTGGGCAGGGCAACAGTGTATATTCTCAGCCATTAAAGGTGTAGGCAACCAGGAATAACCTGTCGATAACTTAGTTCCCCTTTTATTTCGCGTAGTCATCAGTCAGCGGTAATGCACAAAAACGTGGAAAGTTGCACGTTGGAAACGTGGAATAATGGATTGCAAAACCTTCGATATTTATGTATATAAACAATGATAAATTCTATTGTACAATTAGATGATTATAGAATAATACCTGGCTACACATAAAAAAATAATAATTATTAACTAAATTAATCCAAATTAATCGTTCAAGGACTCAAATTGTCCTCAAATTCGCTTATTCACCGTTCACGTACTGTGTGCTACAATCAGACGATAATAAGAGTTTTAATACGCATCTCACGTACCTTACTGCAAGCAGGTAGAGATATTCTAGAATTTATTTGAAATTTAAAAGAACTACATTGCAGAAGTTTACGATACAAACAAGCCATGACACCGTCACTCACAACCCTTCACAGCAGGTCCACGGCATTTAACAAATGACCACCCCCCTGTTCATCTTTCAGAGAAAACAGGGGGGGATGACTTTCTCGATTGTCTGTGTTTGACCGCCATTTTGATGTAGGAAAAACGTATTTATTCATCGTTTGGTCATAACACCAAACTGTCTTAGCAAACGCGGTGGAATTGGAAACTAGAAAATATAGGAAAAAGTTTTCAAAACATTAGTTCTGGTGAGTATACTACAGCTAACTTGTGACACGATTACATTTCACATACACACCATTGGGCATTGACCATTCACGTGTTTTCCATCTCCCGAGGAAGCCTATGTTTCTGCAAAATTTATTAACTTAATTATACAAGTTAACAATCTTGTGATCATTTCCTGCAGGCGAGAAGTTTTGTGCAAGTTTGGACACGATGATTATTCCAATCCGGTGTTTTACATGTGGCAAGGTTATTGGAAATAAATGGGAAAAGTATCTAGGTTTGTTGCAAGCAGAATTCACTGAGGGGTAAGAGTGCAGTATACTGGTATATTGAAGTATTTATGAATTAAATTCTAGTTGTATAATGGTAATATTCTAGACTAACACTAGTTTTGTCTCATCTAAGGGATGCACTGGACCATCTTGGATTAAAGCGATATTGCTGTCGTAGAATGTTGCTGTCACATGTTGATCTCATTGAAAAACTTTTGAATTATGCCCCATTAGAAAAATAGTTTGATAAAAAGCACCATACTGGTTCTGGTAACTGTTGGAGAGACGATGCATACCTTATTGTAAATCCTACCTTGTAAAGATAATGGTCACAATGGTCTTTCCTTGTTAAATAAAATCAATTGTACTTTAAATATTAGCTTTATTTATCTTGTTGAGAGGTAGACTATAAAAGGAGTGATGTAATGGAAGAGACTGTTGCAATTATGGAAAAATTTATAATATATCATAAAAAATCAATTTACTTGATTGGCAATCACCAAATAGATCTTTTTATGCCTTCAGGACAACATATTTTTACTCTTGATCTAATTGCATCTTTTAAACAAAAATAAATAAGCACAAGAGAAGTTCAACATGTGAAACAGACAGTGATTTCTTAAGATGTCAACATTTTTGCATAAGTGTAACAAAATACTAATATGATCCTCCAGAACATGAAACAGATTTGTAATATCACTACTGATTTGAAAGTCATGTAAAAAAAGATGAATCTATTAAATGCAAGGGAAGAAAACTTGGAACACATCACTGGATGAGACTAATCTGATTAAATTAGAATTTCTAATTTTTAACACCACCCATAATCTTACATAACAAATATATTTGTACAAAAGGTTGTATATATTCTAAATATAATTTATATGCTATAATATAATAGCTATATTTATACTGCACATGCATTTTATGCCTGTGGCTTAGAAACTTTTAGTTCTACACTCACACTATACATACACATAACTAAGCCTGGTCTTGTTCAGTTTCTGGATTTTGTCGTAATCCAAATATAAAAAATGTCATTCACCTTTTTCTCTTCCACCTAATCAACTTAAGCAACTATAACTATGCGAAACTGCATTGTTTTGGGGTGGCATAAGCATACAAACAAGCTAGATTCCAGCAACTAATATATGATTTAACTTTGAGCCTTTTATATCTTGTAATTTTCCATAATATAATAATCATTTCTTGAGAGTAAATGGAAATCACGCACAAACTGATCGGTCTGAGAGGGCGCGCGGGACGGAACAGACTACCGCACATTGGTATAAACATGCGTTAACAAATTAGTCTGTGTTGGGAACACCGTGACATAACATACAATGTACAATACAGCTATGTCCAGCATGAAAGAACTGTGAATTTTTTATTAAAAATTGGATATTTTGTTGGAAATCAGGATGACTCCTTTTCAACTGGTTCCTTTTTATTAAAGACTATATCGATCCTAAAAACATGCGTCTCTTCTCGAATAAGGCCCTATAATCCCTATGATATAGAAATATACACCGGCCGTACCTGCGTGCCGACTTCATTACATATAAATAGTACCTTACATACGGAGGAGAGAATCCTCCTGTTTGGTAAACATAGGCTTGCAGTTTTTAACCCACTAGTTCTTTTATGCAGGGAGGGTTTCAATGGATATATGTATTTGTACTTATGTATAAAGAGCAAACAATAAATTAGTTGTTTAACATAGCAGTCCCTTCACGACCTGTTAGTAAAACATCAATCCAGATACTCATTGCTAGAGCATTATCGGCAGCCAGTGTGTATGTCTTTAGAGGTGTTTTCACACAGAACGAAGATTTTCCCTGGTTGCTTTTAGTCTCGCCGTCATGATCGACATACACTTCTTGAATGGCTTGAAAATAAATAATCGCACGAGGTTCCTTCTTGCTTTGATCTTTGTAATAAACTAACGCTTTCATCCTACGATCAAAAACAAACCATCTCTTCTTCCACGAAATCTTGATCTTCCCGCCTTTTTTCTCTAAGTAGCCACGGCAACATAATGGCGTGACATTCACACTTGGGCAGTTATCAAGAACGTGACCAGTAGAAAGGAGATGACGCACTAAATCAAGGTCAACAACTGACAACCGACCATCGCCATGAACCTGAAGAAATATATAAGGTTAAAATCTATTTATTTAAAGACTGCTTCTTTGAAACTTTCATATTTGATAAACCTTAAAAAAGCTAAACCATTAAACATGAGTTATTGTTAAGGAACACAACAATATAAGGCATTATATTTACCGAAGATGGCGGTCTTCCGTTTCCTATAACTACCACTTCTCTTCCCTCCAACTCCTTCTCACTTTCCTCTCTCCTTTTACGCTCTTCCTCGAGTTCAGTTTCTAAATCCTTGATCTTCTGCTGATACTCCAGATCCTTTTCATTCAAAGTTACCATTTCTTGTTCCTTCAGCAACAAGCGTTCTTCTTGTTCCCGAACTCGTTCAAACTGCTGTCGTAACTTCTCGCGCTCCACCTCGAGTTCATCCGACTCGGTTGATTTCTTACCAGTTGAACCGACTTCTTCTGAAGAATTCGTACGTTTTGACGAGGCAACACTGCCTGTTGGCGACTGACGGCCAAGAGAGGAGGCTGAAGACATAGTCCGTAGCATTTCCTGACGAAATTTTTCAAACTCTTCTTGTTTTTCTTTTTCAAGCTGATCTCGCATAGAATGTTTTTCTTCTTCGGCTCGGAGTAGAAGCTCTTTATATTTCTTTTCAATGTTTGTAAGACGGACTTTATCACGCACCATTTGTTCTTGTTGTCTTTGCCTGTCAAGTTGCAATTTCTTTCTCTCCTCTTCGACACTTCGTAGCGCGGAAGTATGCTCTCTCTTTACTTCCTCTAACTTTAACTTCTCCATTTCTAGTTTCCGTTTTTCTTCCTGCCGTTCGCACTCGTAATGAGCTTCAATAAGTTTACGCTCGCGCTCCATTTGCTCAGCGGCTTCACGTTGTTTTAGTTCCAGTTCCTCAAGCATAAGCTGTTCTGTCTCGAAAAATTCAAATTCAAGCTGGCGTTCTTTTTCCATCTTCTCTTGTGTTGTCAACATCGACTGTTCCAAACCAACCAACTGCTCATTGTACTTATTTTGTAGGTCAGCCAAACGTCGTTTTTCTGCTTCGATTTCTTGTTTTCCGGTCTCTCGTTCTTGAAAAGCTTTTTCAATAATTTCCAACCTTTCCTTTTCTAATTCTTCAAGTTTTGCTTTCTCTTCTTCTAACATTTTAATATCTCTTTGGCGCTCCTCTTGTAGACTGATTCTTTCCATTTCGACTTGCGCTAAAGCAATCTGCTGTTGTTTTGCTAGCTCACCAATTCTGTCTCTTTCCGCATTTATCTTCGCTAACTCAAGATCCCTCGTTTCATGCAATTTAACAATTTGATCTTCGAGATCTTTTTCCAACAATTTCACTCTTTCCGCCTGCAGCAGTTGGATTTTATTTAGCTTTTCTTCTTCATCTTCAAAATAGCGTCCGTTAACCTGAGGTATACCACTCTCATGTTCGTTGTGCTTTCCTTCTAAGATCAGAAGTTTATCTTCTTCCCGTTTGACATTTTTCAACTCGTCTCTTTGCTCTTCCAATTCTTGAATTTGGGCAGTTATTCGTGTTTTAAATTTATCTGCTTCCTCCCTCTGTAGCCGTTCCAGATTACGTAGTCTGTTGCTTTCTTCTTGTAATTGTTTTTTCTCGTACTCCAAATGAGTGAGTACTTCATTATGTTGCTTTTCTCTTTCCAACAGTCGCATATTTTCTTCCTTCAGTCGATCTCTTTCCTGCTGCTCTCTTTTACGTTGTTCAATGGCGAGATCCACCTCTGCAACAATATATGAAAGATGTAAGACAATATTATGATTCGACAAATTTAAAAAAGGATGACATTAATCAAGATTTTAACATGAAATTTGTAGGTTAGTTTAACGAAAAACCAATGGAAGTGTCCGAAGGACCAATTTTCGCGCGAAAATACTGTTATAAATTTTACTGGATGATTATCTAATAGAATAAAATAACAGAATTTACCTTTCTACACCCTTTAATGTGTATTTGTTAAAAAATTTGTTAAAACATTTTCGTGCGAGTTCGCCTAACGAAGAAGGCCTAAGTGGACAGCAGCCTAAGTAATTTACTCGTGGGGTGGGATATCCCCGAACGACGAACACCCAATTTCTCAGTCTTGTAAACTAACTTGATCGTTACTTACCGGGATAGTATTTGTCGGGCATAACCGAGAACCTGTTTCCTGGATTGTTTTCACGAATTCGCTTCGCTTCTCTGGGATGATTGAAGCGAAAGTAGTTCGACTTTCCAAGACAAACCATGCAACCTGAAATATTTGGCATAACAATACGATTAGGCAAATGGAAAAAATAATGCGTAAATTGTAAGAGTCATAGTTTTCACGTAAACCCGCAACACTTATGGATTTTCTTTCCAAATTTGCACCAATATTAATGAGGCTTAATGACATACATGAAAAAGCCGTAAATGCTATAATAAAATCTAATTTTAGGTTTAAATAATGGATGGGTCATTCTAAAATCGATACAAACAGTCGGACAATCATAGTTGGGCGATGTTTCCAACAGTTATAAATCCTGGGTATTCCCTTCCCGGCCTTAATTTTCTTCTAATCTTAAAGAAAATATTGCAACACCAGGCTTTCACGCAATTTTCATGCAACACATGGATCGGTATTTACATCTCATATGACTTACCTTGAGGTAGTTTTGTTGGCTCGATAATAGAAACGCCGTCAAGGGAACACAGATTGCCTTTAGGATAAAACATTACTGTTTCGCCATCATATTCCACTAGACAGTGTTCTCTAAATAATATGGATCGATATAAAATTGTTGCTATGCCACATATCAACAGACATTTCTCATTTTAAACTGCTGGATAAAATATAATACACTGTCTAAATATTTCCCACGATATATTGGTTCATTATAGAAAAATTCGGTCCAGTTGTGGCATAAGGGGTTCCCCTATTAGTAAGCCTGGTTTCTATTTAGTTGGAAATGTCATGAACATGTCATTTTCACCATGTACATTGCACATGTTGTTAATCAAAATTTTAATAGCTGCGCAACTAATTACGCTTCTGGGATTTGCCCACTATTTTGTGCTTATTATGATGCACTGTACGTGGATTACCAGAAGCGCGTGATTAGTTGCACCGAAATTCTAAAGTTTGAATGTAGTGTAGAAACAATGCAATACGGCTTGATTGATTTTAAAGACTCTTCTTGCCGGACACCCTGTGCATTGTTCGATGCTATCGAAGCGTGTTATACATTATGTAGGTATTGATGATGATAATGAGTTTTTCAAAGTTCCACATAAATGAATGTACCAATCAAATGAAATGAATCAACCCTGGCAACACGTTGGAATGAACCAGGTCCGGTCTTATAAAATGTTTTAGAGAACTGAAGAGGTTGTTTAATTTCTAGGAGAAATTAATAGTGCCCAGGAAGTGTATAGTGTTAAGAACACTTACTTCAGACGAATTGTTCGTCTGGGCAAACTTGTTCAAAGGAAGATCGTTTAATGCCTCTTGTTCAAATACTCGTTCAGTTTCTTGCTACGAAAGGGAGGTAACACGACGTTCTACGTTTAAGCTCCAGTGTTTTACACTGATACAGCAATCACAACGTTATCAGTTATAGTATTTTTAACACCTGACGACTAAATTCATATCATGTTAATCGGGTGAAGACAATTTGAACACGTTTTCACTAGCAAGACCCATCACAGCCAAGATACGCATTAATTATGTCTCACTCTCTTTCACTTATTATTCACTCACCTTTCAATGCCTTTGCCATTTAATGCAATGTCAGGTTTAGAATCGCTGGTTGGCAAACCTATAACTGTTCTACCTGTTGAAATACGAGATAACATTTTATACATGGCTTACTTCGAATTGCAACGGAATTTCTCAACTGTCAGCATATACTTTAAGTGTTCAAGCTTATTTGCATCCAGCACAACTAACATTAGTCACGAGTGCATACGTGGAAAGAAACGAAGCATGCTTATTTAACAAAATACAGGGGGAGTAAAAAAAACCTGACACCTTTGAAATTCAAATTAGTCGCATAGCGGCTGTAATGTGGCAGAAGTTGCTTAAAATATTTCATAGGTATACGAAGCATATCATATTAATTAACCTAAAGCATAAAGTTTGTTCCCATTGGGAGTTAAAATGCATTCTAAGCTCTGTAAATACAAAAGAACAGTTTTATCAAATCGTTTTTGTTGATTGTACATGGGAATTGTCATATTCCAGCCATAAGTTCGCAGCTAATTTGAATTTCAAAGGTGTCAGGTTTTTTTTACTCACCCTGTACAGGGTTTTAATCTCTCCGAGAGCAATATATGGAGAGGTTTCGGCAGGCCTTCCAGGCAAACCTGACACTCATTAATCACTGGCAGTCGGAGATTTATTGCTGGTGGTCGGAGATTCATTGTTGGTGGTCGGTGACGAAGAGAATTTATACGAAGTAACAAAGCGCTTCATTCTTCATTCCAATGCCGGTGTCGCGTATAAGAACCAGGCTTACATAAAACCTGATTCACACCATAGCTCCTAAGAATCGGGGATCCATTGTATTACCTTCCGACAGACAGAACATTTTGCGCACCAGCGACCTCAGACAAAGAGAATCCTAGATTCTTTGGACAAGTGTGAACCAGGCTTTAAGCATGGTTTTCATATGTCGTAACTCATCGGCGATGGCTATTGTAGGTGGTCAGTGATGCGTAAAATCTTTCGTGTATCGAAGAAAATTATTTACTTCATTGATCACCGACATAGATCGTAGAAAATCGCCGATGAATTATGGGCCTAAGGCCCAGTTTTCCTACCTAGTTTGACAGGACACATTGTCACACCAACGCTCAACCTTCCTCCACCCAAAGTTATGAAATGTGGTTCATCAGTTTCAAATTTTAATCCTTGTCCCAACGCAGTCACCTCAAGAGCTTGTTCCTAAAGCAACACATTATTTATGCAAATATTTTTATAACAACATCATATATACTGTCAAGTCATCTATTAAAGTCGTAAATTTTCCCCCTAAAATTTCACTGTAAATGACAATACGCCTAATCTTACCTTGATAATTTCTTTTGCCTTGATCCATTTTTCCTCCCAAATTCCAGTGAGTCGCTTTATAAGTCGTTCATTATCTTTCATCTTTTTTTCTGACTTTACGTTCACACCTTCCTGTATGGTTAAAAAATCATATCGACAATGATATCATTGCATCTTTGAAAGCCAATTTCATTGCTTTTCTGGCGCAAAAAGTTATAACATTAAAAAATTGCGTTAACAACTTGCAACAAAAATTCCGCCGAAAGAAGAACGGCAGATATAGCAGTAGACCATTACCACCGCATGGCCACGGTAAAAAAACTTTAGTGGATCATCACATATATACCTTCTGCATTTGTGACCTTAATTCTTCAATTTCACCCTGAAGTTCTTTAATCAATTTCACATTCGCTTCCTGAAACCGATATGATTAATGATGAAAATAGTGCATCGATGCATCCTTCAGGTATTGCCAATGGGCATAACTAAAGGCCTGTGGTATCAGATCACAGGTTTAACCTGATTAGTCTTTCGTTATATGCAGTTTTTACCTCGCCAAGCCGGGATAACTCCCTCCATATAAACAAGCCTTAACTGTGTACACATCAACTACAATATACATGCAGGTACTATGTATAATACAGATACTGTAATTCGCCAAGAAAACGAAGGATTTCTCCGTGCTGACAAAAAGTTGGAACTTTGCAGGCAGTAAAGTTCGATTGATTATTAAACTGGCATTAACTTTTGATCGTGCACGTGTACAGACATTGGACATACAATTTGCATTGATAAAACTTTCGTGTCTGATATTGCGAAATTATTTGAATACCTCATTGACGGATGGTTTATTCATGATGTTCTTGGTATGGTTAGCATATCGCAATGTGCTGATAGTCTTGTTATAGTGGATGTCAGCTGGTGAGACTGTAGCTAACATTACCGTTTTACAATTGCCCCCAAGACAGTCTTTTAACAACAGAGTTAGAGCCTAAAAAAATAGCAAAACATTGCGATCATTTGAAATAGATGACTCATTTCTTTACTGCTATGACGAGCTCAGAGATAGAGAAACCTTGCAAGTAAAGCGTATATTGTCGTATTTGTCGTGAACATGTCGAGGTGGTTGATGATAGAATACTGATATGTTGAAGACAACAATGACAATTTAAATACAAAGAATAAAAACAAATTTCCATTTGAATTATTTCACATCGGTGAAAATGACTTGTTCACGACAATTAAACGATTAAATAAAGCCCTTACTATGCCGTAATAGATTCGTTCTGCTAAACTTGACGCTTACAAGACAGTTATTACGTGGTAATAACTTCTCCGAGTTAACGTTTCAAGAGCACACAGAAATTTTTAGTTTTGCGTTGTAGACAACGTACAAACAGCCTATATAAACTGTTGTTCGACCGTTCCTGTCACCGTTGGCGTCATGAATACGTCAGTTGACTCAGTTCACTACAAGTACTACTCTCTAGCTACTTCTGTACAAGTAATACACTCACAAATTATACCATTTTGGAAAACTTGTGATTAAGAAATCAAGATTTACCCAGAGACCGTTGTTGATTAATTCGTTACATAAATCGTCTTATTATATAGAAACAATATTTAAGTCTATATACTCGTAATATAGAAAGTAAAGTTGCACAAATCACATTATAAAATGAGGAGTATTTAACTAATTCAAAAACCTGCCGCAAATTAAAAAATCTGCAGCAGGGACTATTTCATCAAAATTCAGGTGTTACATATCGCAATGACGTTTATCTATTTTGAATTTACATTCGCATATGTTTATACTGAATTTCCTGACTGATTTTATCAGTGAGACACATAATATATGGATGAAAAGTATATACGCACCGATTCCTTATAGGGAATCTCGATATCAGCTTGTTCATTTTCATCAAGTTGTTTGTTTTTGCTTGCTAAGCACGAAATGACCTGACCAAATACTTGAAGTGATCTAGCAACTGCTATTTCATTGTCTTCATCTGGGGTAATTGTACGATCGTCCTGTGGTAAAACAAGTAGAAACCAAATATTACATGGTTATATTCTGAATATAGGGAATATTGACAACAGCTATCAATGTATATTCTAAATGTTGTTGAATCAAGAATATACTCCTGCGCTATCGCTATCGTTTCTCTCACGACTCACGAGGTTTCTGTTATCACAATAATGTCATAACTCCTAATCTAACTGAAATTTTAAAGCGAGAACATCAATGATTCAAGTCCTTTTCAATATCTGATTCTCTTTGACTTATTGTCCTTTACATGGGCGTGAAATTTTTCTCCCGCATAATTACAAAATTTTCTACCCTGGAATTATCTTGTCTCGAATCTGTCCATTACAGTTTCTTTGAATCAAATCTATAATTCCGGAAATGCAAACGACGGGCAATGATACGATAAGAAATTTTTAAAACTGAAAATCTGACTCAGGTAAAAAATGGCTAAAACAAAATTCAACATAATAAGACAAATTTGTTTTAGTGATACCTAACATAGCTTACATAGGTTACATTCATAATGTAACCGACTATACAAAGCGTCGAAATACTGCAATTACTGCAAACAAACACATCTGTATCATATTAGAAATCAGAAATCGGAATTTTTAATCCGTCTGCTGCGGTTTTTTATGTTATATTTTTCCGTCGTGCGTTCAGGCACGACGTTCAGCCGACATCTTTTTTTCTAATCGTAGATTAATTTAGGCTTGTTCCTGATTTCATCAGAATTACTCACTGCGTGCTTTACGTAAATATATGAGGACTGGAGATCAACAGACATCAGGATTTTAAATATTACATATTCGTACAGCATGTTGTTTTACTAGAGTTATTGCCCACCTTGGCATGGCGTCTGTCAGTTCCAGCTAGATCAACAAAGCTCAATGTACTGACTTTCTCTGAAGGAACACCGTCTATCATTTTAGCCTAAGATTATAAATGCATCTTTAAAAACTGGTTTGAAAATTAGAAACTGCATTCATTTGGTTAATAAAGGATTTTGAAATGACTTTAAGGGTTGCAGAAATAGTTTCAAAATTAGACTATTTTGGTTTCAAATTTATACCAGAGCTAATTCAACTAGAATAATTTCAACTAGTTTCATAAATATTGTGAAACGGATTTCTATTTAGACAATAGACACCTCCGTTTGAGCGCTAAATCTATACAGGTGTATCTGTATTATGAATGGCCAACTATTCGTTCTACAATTTGCATAAGATGTACCTGAGTAAATTGCATCATAAAGACAGTATGCGACCTTCTTGACAAGCCATCTGATGATTGTAAGGCAATCCTGCAAAGTTGGGAAAAAAACATGGAAACGAGGCCAATAGAACCAGCGCAGTGAACTCTAAGAGAAAAGTCGCTGTGCTAACTCGACGATCCACCATCGTCACGGATCGTAGCTTTTAAGCCCTAAACAAAACCCAGTTTTCCTACGAAATATTAGTGCATGACTGATGTTGCATTCTTATAGTGAACCTGTTTTCCTTCTTACCTGTTTTTCAAGCCTTTTTCTATCATTTTTATAATTTCTTCTGGATTGGTTACAATTTGTTTCGATAACTTTTCCACGTACGCTCCTCTATCAGGGTCATCACATACTATAGTTGAAAAATTAATGAAATCAATGAATTTCATAATTCTTTACAAATCGTTGCGGTTTATACGCACATCCGTGTTCGTTGTGCGTTGGAAAGTTACGGTTACGGTTTTTACCGGATGTGTGTCAACATTCTTAGAAAAAGATTAAGAAAGCGTTACTGCATCTTTTCTGCCTTACAAGGATGTTGCGATGTATTTAAAGTTAGACACAGTATAGTGTTACCACATATCTTCCATTGGCATTGGGATAATTCAGTCAAACGCCAGCATGATTCGCATTTATACCTTTCCCAATAATTTGACAGATCACGCTGTAAACTCTGAGAATGAACACAAAATACCTTTCAAGGAATTATTTCTTGTCATAACATTATTCTGGCTGTTATTCTTGGCTAACAAGTCATTTATACATTCGTTGTAAATCTCCAGAAAGCTAAAAAAGGACATTCACATTTTTTCCACATCATTCTTCGCAAAGCTGCAGCGAGAGTGCATGCTTTAAATATTTCATACATTCCAAAGGCAATGAGTACTTTCAGTTATTAACTAAACTTTGATAGAGGCAAGAATGTAGCTAATTATAAAGCATTCTGTCAGATGCTGTATAGTGTAGAAAATACCGATATTTATTTTTTTCTTGCAGTTCAAATTCATATTTTAGCGTTTCCTGCAATATGATTGGCTACGCAAGCGGTCCGTATGAGGCTGTACGGACCGTGCGAAATTTGAATGTACAGAGCCAACGCTAAAATATGAATTTTGAGACCTTGGGAAACATTTCCTATACGGATCTCCAATCTGGTGAATAACATATATGTATTGCTTTGCGATATTTTTATATATTTTTTATTACAGAATACATGCAGAAATTGGGTATCTGTTTGATCAGAAACTCAACGTTAACCTTCCAAAATTTGCGTCCACACCCTTATGGACTACTTATATGTAAATTACACTCAGCAAGTACACAGAATAGAAACAAGTTTGCATTAAGAATAAGTGGCGTTCTCGGCATTTGTACCGTACGTATGTACCTTATCTCTGCTCTGTAAGTCGTATCTGGGTCACTTGTTGAAGCTTTCCCAAAAAGTTCCTCACTCACATATTGTATTATTCCCCGGGTATTTTCATCTCCAAACATTGTATAGGTCTTTCCTGTTCCAATTTGTCCATACGTAAACACGCAACTGTTGTATCCTTCAAAAGCAGCTGATAAAACGTGTTCACCAAGTACAGAACAGACCTGTTTATGAAAAACGAATCATACTTTGAAATGTCAAATTAAATAAAATACCGTTATCTGCATGGCTTTAAATTTGTGAAAAATTAGAACAAAGCATATTTAAATTGAATAACTTGTAATGCTTTTTTTCATTATCTCATAAAGCCAAATCAGTCGATATTCCAAAACATTGTTCACGAAATCATAATCAACTCGTTCCCGTTGGAACCGATGTTGATGATGTGTTTTCCACTGGGCGGAACTTTGCGCGTGGAGCTGAATTTCCTTATAACTATAAACTAGTTTCTATAAGAGCTCACAAAACAAAATTGTTGGCGGAGTAATTAGCGGAGTAATTGGCGGAGTAACAGACTAGCAGCTAGAAAATATGTTACCATTTTAACTAAAATTTCCTTAAGGGATCAGGCTCAAGGCGGTTTTGTGATCCTGAGTGCATGTTTTTAATATACCTATACCTCTTAGTTGTTCGAATTTTGTAAAATATTGAGTGGTACGACACGCAAAATTTATATTTGCCTTTGTTTTTTTGAGTTAAAGAAGGGCCCTTTTAAACAAAAGGAATGTGATTGATTGAACCATTGGTCTGATACTCTGATTTATCTTTATGCCATTATCTTAGTTCAAAATCCTTTCATATAACTATTGTCATTTATCCCATAAGCATTGAATTCTATTCTCTTAGGGTGTGTATATTTTCCTATGCCTTCCCCATGCATTGTAAAAAGTATGGAGAAATGGAAAGGTCTGTTTTCAGGGTAATGGATCATAACCAAGGATTCTCAGTTACAGTTGCAAATGATGTACCTTATTAAATATTCTTATTCAATTTAGAAACACAACTGGCTGTTCTTGTAGTTTTCTTGTGCGGGGAGAAGGACCCTTCTTATAGATTTTAGGGGTACTTCATGTCTCGAGCACATGATAGGAGAGTCCCTAGGTGTAACTCAATGTAAAAATAAAAATATCAGGCAATGTTGGCACTTTTCGATGCACTCTTTATTTTTAAATGAAAGAATTAGGTGGCTATAGGCCACCCATCCCATCCACTCCCCTCCAGTCCCTGTTTATATAATTAGAATAATCTCATTGTTGGCAATCAGATAAATTGTAATGAGTCACAAGAATGATTGAGGAAAACACACTATTCCTGTAATCACAGTTAATAGAAATGCTGTAATGAATTCCAAAAAGGACAAAACTTCTATTTAATATACTGTATACAATAGAATATTTTTTCCTTCCTGAGTTAAGAAATACAGGATAATATGTCTTTGATACTATTGTGATTTGTGACATTAGCATGTCAATAAAATATCAAATGCAATATTTGCCTACATAACGTAAGCACGAGCCTTTTATGATCATGTTTACCCCAATATCGATAATTTCAACAGATCTCTAAAGAGACAGTTCACAAACATTTACATACGTCAATTTGAACACATGCTACAAGTACGGTTGGATGATCAGTATTCATAGTATTTCCTTTCTCACTTAGAGTATTTTAATTTGAAAATTCAAATTCATACAGCATTGCATGGCAATTTACTAGAGCTTTAGTTTTACAGCCTCAGCATAGCATCTTTGCCTGTTCTTCTGCTCAAATATTTTATAATGAATACGGTATTTCATAATATAATGCTGTATAACATCCCCTACTGTTTGAAAACATTCAGCTTATTATTATTAATATACACTTTATATGTTGAGAAATAAACCTAGTCGTGCTACGGTAATTATAACGATAAGACCATTTTAAAGAAAAGAAATGACACATAAACAATGTGGCTAACCTGATTTTGAGAATGGCAGGGGTCATCATCATTGGAAATGAACTATAAAAAACCAAGACGTATGTTTAATAGATGAAAGTACTAACACATGGAGTAGACAAACGACTCATATAAAGATTGATTTCTAGACATATACTTACGACTTCGTCGAATGAAAAGGTCTTTGCGCGTTCGGATTCGGGATTTTTGACAATCACTTGTGAATTCTCCGCTCTTATCACAACGCCACAATTTTGTGATACTTCTATCCCGTTCAAAGGGCGTACCCGCACCGCTACTCTCACCGATGACATTTTTATGAGCAGAAAATCAATATTATGCAAATGTTTCCTACCCGAAATTTATGAGCGCGAATGCTTAGTCACGCACTTAAAACCTTTTCCTATGTTATACGAAGCTTCGCGTCTCAAAATAACTTTTACACTTGTACTCGGTATGCCGATAAATGATATCATAAGAGGCAAGTAATAAATATTGCATTTCACAAGTAATTCCAAACATTTGAAATCTGATATAGGCTATGGTTGTTCTACCGGAAAGGTGTGTGAAAGAAACGTAATAATAATTTTGACCTCGATTTTGACTAGGATTCTTACTATATACATCTAAATAAACACTACATAAATTTTTATTTACTCAAAACCTTAATTTACAATCACCATAAATGACAAGGACAAACAATTCGCATTTTACCAATTTTACCTAGCCAGCAAGCCTTAGGACGACACAGTTATTCCCCCTCAAACGTATTAGCCCCCATCGTATAAGGGTCATTGATTTTTATGGGGGGTGCAATGTTGCACGATACATAATCCGTACGCCATACATAGACATATTACTTTTAGAGCAATTGACATTTAACCGTTGTTTTAATTTTGCTTTGTATCCTTAATTTCCTACGATTGACATTTATTTTCAACTTTATTAATTATAACTATATTTCTTTTTTATCCACTGAACTCTTGCAAGAGACGCCAGGCCTTCCGCCATTGTGGGCGGTAACAAAAAATTAACTGCAACATTTTGTATTAGACTCCAGAAAAGTCCTAAGAATCTAAGGGTTTTTAGCGGTCGGTTGAACCACAAAAGAGTAAAGATGGACAAGTACACTCAATACGTCATATTGCAAGAGTCGTCATGCCGACAGTAAAGCTACCCACAAATCACGTTTTGTATCTTAACGGCTGATTGACATTATTAGGTATTAAGTAACTATTTATTTGTCCCTATTGAGACTTCAACTTTTTCACTAACACTGTATTTTCGTCTTTCATTATCTTATAGTCTTTGGTAATTTTCTCAAGATTTGATGCCGTATCTTTTTCATGTTCCATATCAATCTGAAACAAAATTAGGTATAATAAACCTTATAGACATGCAGTATACTACCATAGCCTATACCAATGTAGCTTGACAGGATTACAAATTGAAAACAAGTTGTTCAAAAATGATTTTCATGGTTTATTATAGTAGCAAAGAATTTTCTAATGCAGTTCGTGATAATCGCATGCATATTTTGTTACACCATAGACTATATCAAGCTATTCATGGCGTTTCAATAATTATATAGATTCAGATTAGAGTTATTAAAACGCTAAGGCGCCTGTCGATTTTTTCTAAGGTGTCTGTCATTTATGATAATACATGCAGTAACTGTAGCATCTACCTAATAGGTTTCCTGGAAATAACAAGAAGTATATACCTGTTCTTCTAAGTCTCTGATCTCTCTCATAATCACTCCAGTTTCTTCCACACATTGCACAAGTTCTTCACAATTCTAAATGGTGAATATATGTTATACAGTAAGCAAGATTCTTGCTAATAAAATGTCCACTTAAATAAATGATGCAACTGCGAAAATTTCAGCTAATTCATGATGATGACAAGTTGACCATTTTCTAAGGAAAACTAAATTTGACACGCGAGTGTCGCCTTATGAACAACAAGTTTATGTTACTTACCTCGTGCAAACTGGCCAAGTAGCGGTATGCTTTTCGGCAAGCCTCGTCCTTTTTAGCATCCTGCAGAGAAATGATTCAAATACACCAGGTAATTCTCAGATTTCTAAACACGGGAGTAATATGGTAATCTAATCCTAAAGGTTATAGAGCAGCCTTGCCCCAAACAACTTTCTTACATATAACAGGCAACACTAGAGACCTGTACATATAGATCAGTGGCTAAGCTCAGCTTAATCTTGCATGCAAACTCATCGTGACGTCATTGGGGAATAGATGTGGAACGTTTTCCAATGCATGCCCGGCACAAGTATTCTGAGAGTCTGCTGAGAGGCTACCAAAAAGTTGTAAACCTCATGCATTGCCACAACCTAATCTGTATTTAATGTTTGTTTGCTCTTAAAAACCTGTATTTAATTTCAATTGCAATTCACAATAGTGGATGGAACAACCGAGGTATAAAGGCAAAATATTGTGAGATAACCGATCACTATTAGGCAATTGTATTACGACAATCGTTTACCTTAAAAATGAGTTCATCTGTAACTTTAAACGTACGACTGAGCTTTCCAGAAAGTTGATTGATATCTTTTTGAACACTTCGAGTGTCTACTAATATCTACATCGCAAAACAGAAACCACTATAAAGTTTATTTATTTTAAGAAAAGTTGAAGCCGAACTTTTGAGTACGATGTCACAAAAAATGTCGTCAATCGTCATGTCATACAAACACATAATTGCCAAGTAAATGTATACGTAAGACGAAGTTGTGGAATCGACATGTGCTGTACGCACGTGGCTTGCAGCAGTTAAGTTATTCTGGTTACGTAAATGAACTTCAAAAGTAAGAAGGCTTTTCTCTAAAGGGCTTGTCATACGTGCGTGCATGTAAGTACCTAATTAAAAATTGAATCTTTACAAATTTTATCTTAGTGTTGAAATCCTAAACAAATACGCATTACATGATGCAGAAAATGAAACTCTGCGTCTCTGACATTACTTATTAGTTACATATTTAACGAGTAAAGTTTATCAACTTTTTCGGTGCTTTTAGGACTTTAGGTATAGTAAGAATTTAGCGTTATCAAACGCAGCCTTCGGCTTCTAACGATAAACCTCGGGTTGATAATTCTTAATTTATACCATGTTCAACCGCATTTTATAATTATTAGATGTTGTGAAATAAAACGTTGAAATTGTTGAATAATATTCTTGCAAACCAACGTCATGACTGACGCAATTCGTTGGATAATGAATGGATCAAAATTCAGTATCTTTGTTATTGCACGAGTTTCGATGATGAGTTTACGGATGTTATTTGCAAATAAACCTTATGCATGATCACATAATAAGCCGTGACACCTGCAGGGAATTCTGGTCTTAGTAGTCACGGCGAGAAATTTTGAAGTTTGAATTTTTCGCCGTGACTTCTAAAACCAGAATTCCCTGCATGCGCTACGGCTTGATATACGTCATTATGCATAAGGTCTATTAAAATCACTATAATTTTTTAAACATGTATATAACGTAAACTATTGTACTACAATACAACTATAGTCTACAACATAAATGCAATAATGTATACCTTGTCAATATCATTTTTCTGCCTCTTAATATTTTCAATAATTTCCAGGATTCTTTTCGTGTAAGCAGATCTATTAACATCTTTAACCATATTCTGATATTCAGTAACCTGTACGAAAAGTATTGCAAAGTTTGCAAAATGCTTCCACAGAGAGTTTAAATGTCACATTCATTTCATAGATATACAGGCTTCATTATGCACGCTGATAACTCTACTGACAACAATCACTTACAATCCACGCGTGCATGATATATCTACGCAAGCAATATCTAGTTTTAAAATATTTTACCAACAAGTACGATCGTACTATAGTGGACCAGGAACTGCGTAACCGAGTTTAATTTCTGAACTGCATTGTATTTATAACAATGGAGAGGACAATGTATATCTAATCGTTTGCGTTTACTTATATATAGGCTGAATATTAATGATATGTATATATTATTTGCTGCAAATATATCAAGAATTGCTAGTAACTTGCTTCAAAGGTCAAAAGTAAAAATTCGAACTCCGTCAATCGATGCGGAATATTGCTTAGAATAATTGTACCAAGTTTCATTCCGATCAAACAAGTAATGCTAGAGCCTTAGGGTTTTTTTAAAGAGCGTCGCCCCCTAACAACAACAACAACAACAACAACAACAACAACAACAACAACAAAAACAAAAACAACAACAACAACAACAACAAGATTAGCAGCGGTTAGGGACCAGTTCCTGGTCCAAAAATCTGACAAATGCATGGACAAATTTTATTCTAATTACTACTTCTTACCAAGTCTTTCAAAAGATCATCCCTATTGCGAACTTCCTCTACGGTCTCTTTCATTTTCTCACGGAGATCACGAATTTGTTCGATCTTCTTCTGAGCTTCACTCTAGAAATTTAACCATGATGTACTTAGGAAACGAAACGTCCGACACAGCTTATCAGTGAAAAAGTAGAGTCATAGGAGGATACTTGAGTATACTGAACAATTCTACGCTTGCACAAAATTCTACTCTATATAATTCCCATATGCAGTATGAACATTTTCCCTCCCCCTTTTTTTACAATTTTAACTTTAAATTCACCTCTCACATGCAAAATGTCCTGAAATACAAAACCTTAAAACTCACCAGTCTGGTGCTATTCAAGGCTTTCACTTCTCGATATTGCTCGATCAATGGTTTACGATGTCCTTCCCATTGTTTTGCGAGGGTCAACAATCTCGCAGAACTGTTATCAACGACCGTCTAAGGCATTCAAGTACAATCAAGTGACTCATTTACAAAGTCAGTTTACGGTCAAAGAAGGCATAGTCTTAACAATATTGACTCCAAACCAAATCCAAACCAAATTTCGAAGCACAGTCAATAATCATAGCAATCGATAAATGCCTTTTACGAACCTCCAGTTTGGCGATGTTGTTCGCAGCATCAGGTAGTAAATCTGCAGTTCTTTTCTTCACTTTGTAAGCATCTTCTTCTTCTTTGTTTTTCCTTTGCAGTAATTCCGTTTGTTCGTGAGCCTAGAACAAATATTTTCTTTCAGACAAGTTCGTGCAAAATCTCTCAGGCTCAGCAAATTCAGCTGTCTTTCTTACACAGACCTGTTGAATAGTTGCAGTAAACTTTCTCATATCAATCTCCATTCCTTCGAGGCGACTCGTTAGCTCTGTTAAACGGCCTTGCATAGTGTCAATCTCTTCTTTTCTTCGCGCTTGAATTTCCTGTATTTTATTTAAAATGCATTGTGAACTGTGTATAATGAGGCCCACCATAGACAATCCAGAAGACAATCCTGTCTTCTTCTATGGGCCCACGTAACAGAATAGTAACTGCAACGGAATATCCACGAGCGCGATACCTATAGTTTCCAGCAGTTTTGATAACAATAAGTTATTTTTCACAAGACCTCTGCTTATACCGGACGCTGAGACATGCAGTCGTTTTAAAACACTCTTGTATTCTTCTTACTTCTATCGTATAAAATGGGATTATTGAGAGCTAAGAAATCTTTTCTTAAAATTCACCTCTTCAGTGTCAATTTTTGATCCGGCATTTTCAGCTATTGCTGCCACGGCTGCCAACTCCTTTTCATCGTCCTGCAAGAAACAACCAAAACGATGAGACAGTAAGCGGTAACTGACTATTATATACGTTAAATATACAAGTGGTTGCAAATGGTCACTGTTCCTCACTTACTTGAGTAAACTGAAGCTTCTCGGACCGTGTGAATCTTGAGCCCACATTTTCCTGACCAGCATTAACATTTCGTGCTACACAAGGAAGTGGAAAAGTGGAATTACAACATGCAGGGTAATGTAACAAGCTGTAAGCTCGGGGGCCGGTTGTATCAAGCCCGTTTAGCTTAAACGGTGGTTAAGTTTAAAACAGAAAGCAAGTCTCTATCGTTTCATTCAAGAAGCGAACTAACCTTAATACAAAGATACTCGTTACAACTACATATTCAGTGAATAATATTCAAGTTGGCTCATTCAAGAGAGATGTAAGAGTGTTATCTAAACTTGACTTATCCACCGTTTAAGCTAACGGGCTTGATACAACCGGCCCCAGAAAATTAGGAATAATAACATGCGCGACAATTTTCATCTTATGGTGCAAATGAAGAAAGAATCTACTTGATCACACAAGTAAACAATCCATGAATAGTTACTTATTACCAGCCTTAAATACGAGGAATCAAGATTGTATTATATTCAGTAATCGTCTATCATGGGATGAGAGATGCGCGGTTAGCTGTTCGTAGGTTAATTGCCTACCAGAGATTTCTCGGATCATATCATTGAAGTCTTGTTTATTTAATTTAGAACTTTCAACGTTCGCCTTTTGAACTTCAGCTTGAATATTTTTTGCTAATTTCTTCAAAAGTCTTTCCTGCTTCTGTCTTTTGTACTCCTAAAAAGGGTAATTGTATGGTTTTCACAGTTTGTATGAAAACAATTGATAAACCCAGTAACATGTATTTATGCATGTTCTATCTTGCATTTAGGTTCTGTCAAAACAACCAAAGTTTCTTCATTCAACACATAATATCTTGTAATTCTTGTTTAAAACATGTGTTGCTATGCAGTATATGGTAGTTTACAGAAAAAAAAGCATGTCATTCACAAAAGCAAGCGCGATTCTAAATGCTTCTTCAATTTTCTTATTATTTTTAGTTGAGCAATCTAGACGGTGGACACATAATTATCCATATAGAAATCCGGAATTAAGTACTCTGTAAGGCAACAAGCAGTTAAGATCGTCATTATCAAGTCTGTACCTCAGGGGTGAGACGTGACGCTAGACCACTGTGGTTCCACTCATTTTCCCATTCCATATCACGTGAAACTTTGAGAGAGTTTGCCTCCAAAATAGAATCAGAAATGTTTTGCTTTGCAGAAGGTTGGGAGGTAATCAAAGGCATCGCTAAGGAATCATAGTACTGCTTTGTATCTAAAAAACAAGAAAAATATTTGTTTTGATGCCTGAACTCATACATAAATACTGTATAAGTAACTTTATAATATTCACACCCTAATAAGACAAGCAGGAAACTGTTCTGTCAATACCTTTAGGAATTTTGCGTGTGAGGTCACCAAGTCCTTTCGGGTACTTCAGCGGAGATGAACGGAAACGATGAACACCTTTCACACCCTGCAAGTAAAGAAAATGAATAAAGAACTAATGACATGCGGAGGAGAATGAAGCCAATGAACGGATTTCCAACATTTTCTTTTTAATATCACATAATTATATATGTTGAACTGGGGTTATATAACTGAAGTTTACTATGTATCTTATCTTAAGTCTCCTACTCACACATTACTTTCTCTCGAAATACTTTCGATTTTAATACCGCAATCTTATTGCCAGGTACATTTCTTAACACATGCATTTAGGCAGTTGTTGCGGTCTAGTTGTTTAAACTCATACTCAACTACCCTTACTAGAGGGATGACTAATGAGAATTTTTCATTGATGATAAGCATTTGTAATGATAATAAGCATTTTTAGTGTCACGCACAACTCTATGCCAGGTCTGACCATCCTTCCCACTCCAACAGATACCACTACGCTTGCAAAACGGAGGTATCCATGTTCCAGCTAAAATCTTAGACAATTCACTTGCTATTCTTCTATTCAGCAGGATTGCACCACCTTTGATGAAATGAAGATTACAATAAGATACACTTACAGTTGAAAAACTCAGTGCACATTAACTACATATTTCATGAACTATAGTACAGAATGAAGAAGTATAGTAGCTGAAATTGTTGATGGTAGCATTATAGAAAAAATGTAAAATTTGTATCCTACCCATTTATAATTGTATATTTTTGTACATTTGTAAGCACAAGACACAAGAAATATAGCAGTACTTCATACCCATTGGTTCATCTGCTGCTTCTGCACTCTCTTTTGGCAGACGTTCAACCAAAAACATAAATAAAGTTCTAATGTCTCCTTCAGTAGGATACAGAAATGTTTGATACCCAATGACACCATTAAAACCAAGATCCTGTAAAATTCAATAATAATAAATATGTATATCTGCTGTAACAAAGAAACATCTCATAATTTTAACATTGGTTATAATTGCATATCAGTACAGCATGACTAATAACAACTAAATTATGAGATTTCTATGTTTTGAGGTGTCAATTTTAAATATTAATATTTTCAAACAATAACTATACAAAAATATAGTTTGGCAAAAATTCAATACCTGACAGGCTTGAGCTAAACCTGTGCCCAAACGAAATCTTGCTGACATACTGGGCGGGAGGGTTCTTGAAAACTGATTAGCATCATTGATAACACGTAGACACATTGATGTGGCCTCAATTACATTGTCAGTAGTGAATTCCTTCAAACTTGATATTGACTCATTCAAATTGCTTAAAATTAGAGATGATCATGTATTATAATACATAACTGTTGTCTACACTATTTATTTATAGTTGGGTTTGTCACATGACAGGTTTACCACTTGCTCTTAATATTACAGTAGGTAAAAGGTCATTGATGGAGCACATAGGTGAAGGTAAAATGGTACTGTAATAAGTTCTAATGTAAAAAGTGCAATTACTAATTCATAATAATAGATCATTATTAAACCGAATTATTTGCTTGCATGCTCGCATCTACTCACAGTAATCTATCAAAAGAATCATGTAGCAATGTTTGCATCATTACACAGATCTACACAGGCCGGTAGTTTGGCAACTACTTTCAAATTTAGATGCCTTGCCACTTGGAATTTCTTGGCCTTTTCAGTTTTAATATATTTAAAAGGCCTAGTAAGATGTGAGCTATGTGCTGCTACCACATGTTTTCAGGACCCACTCTGCCCTGCAAAGAAAACATGTTGGGCCCATAAAAGTGCAGGGCTTATGGCATAAGCCACTTTAGCCATATGGTGAATTCAGCACTGGATTTCCCTAAAATCCAGGGAAGGTATATCATAATCATTTTGATAATTATCTTATGCAAACTCCATTGCTTTGTTTACAATAAGGTTTTAATTTCTTTCTTTATTATTTTTTCTAATTGGCATGGAAATGTTTCCTCTGAATTTTTTAACTAGGGTGGTGATCCTATTTCCGAAATATATATGGTTTACATACGCTTTGTACACCATACCAAGTGAACTTTCCTAAATAAATACTGAAATAATTACCATCCAATCTGTCGTAAAGTGTGAATGATTATATTATCGACTTCCTCCATGACGTTATGACATCCAATTTTTTCAACAAAGGACTTTTTACTTTAAAAATTACAGATATTAAAACTGGACAATCCCCGAATAAAGTTTTACTTTTATTATTAGCTTTACATGAAGTTTTAGCTTTTATTCCAATTTTGCAACATTGGAGTCAAAACGAAAAACTTCATGTAAGCTGGTAATTAAAGTAATGTAAAACAAGAGTTCACTGTGTAAAACGATCCGCGCTGCATATATTGCGCCCTGAGCACTGACTGGAACCCGCAAAGATTTTGCAATAATGGAGGAAGAAGTATACGATGTAGTTATTGTTGGCGCTGGAATCAGTGGTTTATCAGCTGCATATCTTTTACATCAACGTCAACGATATGGCGAGTTGAAAACTGTAGTTCTGGAGGCAAGAGATAGAGTTGGAGGAAGAACGCACACTCTTGAAAATAATGAAGTGAAATATGTTGATCTCGGCGGATCGTATGTGGCTCCGACGCAGAACCGTATTCTACGGATAGCTGAACACCTCGGTATCGAAACATACGAAGTGGACGTACAGGGTAAAGTTACGGAACATTTCGGTGGTAGAATGTCTTCTTTCGAAGGAGATTATTCGACGTGGAATATATTTGCAATATTAGATTACTATGCTCAGATTCGTAAGTTAAATAGCATGTGCGATCAAGTGCCTTTAATTTCACCCTGGCAAGCAGAGTGGGCGAAAGAATGGGATACAATAACAGCTAAGGAGTACTTCGAAAAATCTTGCTGGACAGACTATGCGAAAAAACGGTTGTATCATGTTTTTCACTTCGCAATGGCTGCCGAACCTTATGATATGTCTTTGCTGTATTATTTATGGTACTTGAAAAGTTCGGGCGGCTTTTTCTTGTATCGCGACGAAAATGCAGGGAAGGAAAGAAAGTTTAAAGGAGGTTCCCAAACTGTCAGTAAGGAAATGGCAAAAATCCTTGGTGATAAGGTAATTCCTAGAGTAGAGATTGATTTCATCTTAGCGTATAGCATGCTTGTCTTCTCCTCCGCAGAAGCTTCCTGCTTCCGTTGCGGAAACCTACTCCGCTATAAAAGGGTGTGATTTGTGTTCACTTTTGTAAATGAATGTAAATGTGTTCTTTCATTTCATGTGCGAATGATGTACGACGTGTCAATACTAAGCGATGTCACAGCAGTCACGGTAGTGACAGTGTTTTTACCTCGTGAAATACCCCTCGCAGAAAACCATAATGATGCCACAGAACTAGTGCGCTATTCTCCTTCTGCCACAAATTCTTCGTCTATTTATTTCTAGCCTGGTTAGCACTTCTAGGAATATGCGATTCCTTTGTCCGAAGTTACTATAGTGCGTAAAATTCTTCTTCTATGTTCTGATTTTCATTATCGTCACTTCCGCGACGGTGCAAACAGGTTTGAAATAAGAATGGAGGTATAAAATAAAATGTTTTTGAGATTTTGATTAAAACGAATTGTAATCAGAGGGATGATAAAAAGCGACGAATATTCGCCTAATGCCATTGTTTTTGTGTGTTGAGGACAAAGGTTAGAATATGAATTTTTAAATAGTAAAAAATATATTAAAGTTAATAAGTTCATAACAGTAAAGTTAATAAGAGGGAACAATTATCCACGAAACTTTTAAAATGAGAGCTCCTGTCGCGACTAAATGCAATTACGCAGAGGGTGATTCCTCAAAAACGGACTTTGCAGTAGTCCCGTGCACTCAAGGAGTTGCAGAATCAATCAGGAAGATCCTGAATAATTGTGGTATCAAAGTTGCCTTAAAACCCATTCAGACATTGTGACACATTTTCGCCGAACCCAAGGATCGCGTAGCGACTGTATAATTGCGAGAAAGAATAACTAGATAAAAAACGTCAGTTCGGCACACGTTTCAAAAGACATCAAAAGGCTGTTTCGAACTTAGATAGTTCAAAATCAGCCTTGGTGGAACATGTGTGTCAAATAAGCCATAATATTGCGTGGAACGATTCCAAAGTCATCACCATTAACGATCATTGTGGACAAAGGCGTTGTTTTGAAGCCTGGCATATTAATGCGAGTCTTTGCGCTTTGAGTAGGGATGACGCCACGGAACTATTTGTTACATCTGATTGATAGATGACGTCATGTTGGGTGTATATAGGGATCTGATTTTCAACCTCAGATCTCCCCTGTCCCCTGATGAAGGCACTAGACCGGAGTGTCGAAACGTTGGGTCGTTAATGTAATCTTTGTGTGGTGATTACTTTCATTAATGAACTTTTGCATAATAGACCAACTTACGATCTAGGCAACAAAAAGGAAATAAATCACCGCAGCTAAAAAGAGCATACCGAAATTAGTATAATCACCAAGTTTGGCCGCAAAATGTCAAGTATTACGGAAAATATAGCCATGTGAACTAGCCAATTTTGTTGGTCTATTATGCAAAAGGTCTATTAAACCAGGGTAGTGATAATTGCGATGGAAAAAAATATATTACTAGCCTGAAATTTTATGCGAGTCTTCCGCCCGTCTACAAATGATTTTTTTTCAGAAATTGTCCTCAAAAAATTACAGCTTTCCATTGTTTAATGAGGTCTACATAATATTTATACTATTTTTAGGTAGTCCTATCGTCACCTGTGTGCAGTATCGAGCAAAAGGGTGACCAAACAGTCGTGAGATGCCTAAATGGAAAATATTATAAAACAAGATATGTCATTAGTGCTATACCACACGCGCTGTTAGGGAGTATTTCATTTTCACCACCACTATCAGCTCTGAAGAACCAGTTGATTCAGAAGATGCCGATGGGTTCAGTTATCAAGACTATTACATACTACGAAGATGCGTGGTGGCGAGACCAGGGTCTCTCTGGTGTCTTGATTGCAAATTCTGACTCTGGTCCGGTTTCTGTTACCCAGGACGACACTAAACCTGATGGATCCTATCCTGCAATAATGGGGTAGATTTCTTTATTATAATTATCATGCGTTATTTGACTTAATCAGTTTTGCAAATTTCTGACGACTGTAGTCTGTCGCTTCTTAAAAGATACGGAGATTCCGGTCCCTTCCCTACATTTGCATAACCACAGAAGGGAGCTTATCAGTTTAAAAATTTAACAAAAAACGAGTTCAAAAAACCCCAAATATTTAACTTCGGCTATGTGCACACGGTAACGTTTTCTATTGTCTTCGTATTCATTTGTGGTTCCACGCAAAAACGGTCTCAAACAACACTATAAATTTAAGACAGTACGGTTCAGGTGATTTAATACGTCGAACATATGTTTACCTGAAATAAAGAGGACGAAAACGTTTGTGATACCGCTCGAAAACACGGTGCCTGTGCTCACATAGCCAAAATAGCCTTTCCCCTAACAAGATATGAAGTCATAACGGACGATCATGTATCGCCGAGAAGGCTCATTTTAGGGCAACTTAATGAGCCATTGCAGCAAAATAAATACGACTGCAAGAATTGTAATCATCGCCCTTCTACTTAGTTTTATTGTAGGCGAACAAGCTCGGTTCTGGTGCAAGAAAAGTGGCGAAGAACGAAAACAAGCTGTGTGTGAACAATATGCCAAAGCATTCAATACTAACAAAGCCAAAACACCTCGCTACTATATTGATAAAAACTGGCCAGCTGAGAAGTATTCTGGTGGCTGCTATGTCAGTGTTCTACCCTGTGGAGTGTTGACAAGTTATGGTGAGGCATGGAGAAATGCTGAAGGCAATTGCTATTTTGCAGGCACAGAAACAGCAACAACATGGGCAGGTACATTATGGGGCTCCTAAATACGAGTTAGTCCTAAAAATGTTGAAAAAATCCAAACTAAATCAAGATCCTTTTCAAAATTATAGGATATCATTGCTCTTGATTTTTTTGTTTTGAAAAATCTCTCTACTTTTAGTGAAACGAACAGTACTGTATAACCACAGAATAGACATTATATAATTATAATTATTATACATTATAGTAGTAAAAGCAATTTGATTGGCTAACTTTACCTCGACCTTGATAACTCTGCATATCACAAAAACCTTCACAGTACAGTGTGTGTTTTGAACCACTAATTATTTTTGGGGTTAACTTATGTCTCTTCTGATCTATGCTTCAACAGTCGCATGAAGATTGTCACTGCCAAAATCAGACACTAACACAGCAAGCTCTGCTTAAATATTCAACAAGCCGAATTTGGGCCTCAAAAGTGAAAGTTGGGGTCAGGGTAGGGATTAGGTCCCGGTCCCTTCCTCCAGAAGATGCAATCATAAAATCGTTGGATTAATTACAGATATAGATAACATTACACATGTATGCGCTGTTGAACCAGTGCCGACTCTATAGATGCATGTTTGTGTGGCAGACTACACTTTACCAAGGTGGCAAGAGAAACAAAAATATTTGATGAAATATACAGATGTCGGCAAAAAATAGTAACTACTGCATTCCTGTGTGTTTTTAAGGTTCCATGGAGGGTGCTGTGGAAGCAGGTGAACGTGCTGCTCGTGAAGTACTTTATGCAATGAGGAAAATATCAAGAGATGAAATCTACCAAGAAGAACCTGCCTCTGAAGATGTCCCTCCAATTCTTAGTCTCACCCCTTTGCGGTTACGTTTACCCTCAGTACCGACATTTATGACAATGTTGACTGTTTTGGGGCTAGCGTCTATGTTTGGGATTGCGTACTGGAAGCGTTCTTCGATGTAGTAAAGGATCTAAAGGATACTATGTTTTTGGTGAGGTTAAACGCTCAAAGGATGGAATCTTTTATGGATGGACCGATTTTTACGACAAGGTTGGAAAGTGAAAGTGAAATTGAAGTCGACCGCGGTGGAAATGTGACGGGAAAATACCGGATTCATCTCAAGCTGAACGAAAATAATGCAAGTGTGACTGGCATTAAGACTTTGTTAAGAGTCAGTTTGGTTACGACGTAAAATTGTTGGACGCCAAGTATTTGCCAGTCATGCCTTGCGAAAGTATAAATAGTAATAAATAATTATACTTATTTCATAACAGACAACTCTATATATAGTCGCGTTTCGAAACGTTTTTGTTAAAGGTTTCTCATTAAATTTTTTTATGCAGTTCATAAAGAATAATTAAAATTGGCGTATTGAAGCTTATTAGAATTATAAATATGTACGTAAGGACTCGAGTTTACTCTATAGTCGATAGCATTGACAGCGAATGACATTGCAACGTATTTCCCCAATTTCCCGTTATTTCAAGCAAAATATTTGACTGGCGACGTCGAACAAGGTCAGCTATAAACCTCGTCGTAGATCGTAAACTATCCTCAAATAATAGTCAATATAGAAAGTGGGGACAAACCCCACTTTAGCCAAAACAAAATATTTTGTTCCAGGCCTCTCGGTTCCCGCCTCGCCGCGTGTACTTAAGAGTTGGTAGCCTAATCCCAGGCCTTGTAAGCGCGCGCTGTATAATTATATCCAGGGGCAGCCCACGCTGAGAGGCCTAGCACAAAATTTAGAGATTTCAAAAATTGTCCTTGATTTTGTCCCTGCAAACAGCCTAGTCATTATATAGGCCTCTTATACGTTCCTTAGTACACGCGGCGAGACGGGAACTGAGGGGCCAAGAAGAAAATATTTTACTTTAGCTAAAGTGGGGAGTTTTTGTCCCCACTTTCTGTATTGAGGTTAGTTTACGCGTGTTTCCAGGATTCTTTAACTTAAACTTTCACGGATTTTTAAAACCTGCGCAATGAGGCCTAGGAACTTGGCTGAACGTATAAGAGCCAAGGGACTAAGCTGCCTCGCCCCCCACGAATAAAGAAAGACCCTAAGAACGAAGTTGACATTTGTGATGCTTTCTTCTATGGTCACCACGTCACAGGCAGCTCCGTAGAAAAAAGCAAAATTAGGCTTCCGAAGGATTCGATTTCAAAAATCCTTGCAGTTTTGACTACACGTCGGGTGGACATTAGTATCGATCTATCGCACTTACCTATCAAACTATATTATGAAATAAAAACACCACAAAAGTCCGTCCCAAAGCTTTGGACACTCCCTAAGATATTTTCTTGACCTTGCGCCCCTGGCAGAGCGGCTCAGACACCGGACAATGTGTAAAGCTGGTTTTCCAATAGCAATATCTTTCACGCGAAGCGACTTTCTTCCGTTATATTTGGGCATTTGATGTTGTTCCAGTCTTCCAGATTGTTGCAGTTGAGAGCTCTGAGACGAAAGTAAAATGTCGCTCCGCCGCGAATATCACTAGTGGAAAACCGGCTTAAATCCGCATGTTTGATGTTTGAAGCCTCTAGATCAGAATTTCACATTTACGTCTTTAAAATTTCAACATCCCATGATGCAATTGTAGTAGTACGGCGTAAAGTAATACACCTCATCTGGCCCAGACGGAGCAAAGTTCATGTAAAAATGGAGGAAGAAATATTTGATGTAGTCATTGTTGGCGCCGGTATTAGTGGTTTATCAGCTGCATATCTTTTACATCAACAACATGATGAGTTGAAAACTGTAGTTCTTGAGGCAAGAGATAGAGTGGGAGGAAGAACGCACACTCTTGAAAATAATGAAGTGAAATATGTCGATCTCGGCGGATCGTATGTAGGCCCGACGCAGAACCGTATTCTACGTATGGCTAAACACTTCGGTATCGAAACATACAAAGTCTACGCAGAGGGAAAAGATACGGAACACTTCGGTGGTAAAATGTCGTCTTTCGATGGAGATTATTCGACGTGGAATATATTTGCAATATTAGATTTCTATGCTCAGATTCGTAAGTTAGATAGCATGTGCGATCAAGTGCCTTTAATTTCACCCTGGCAAGCAGAGTGGGCGAAAGAATGGGATACAATAACAGCTAAGGAGTACTTTGATAAATCTTGCTGGACAGACTATGCGAAAAAAAGGATGTATCAGGCTTTCAATGCCTCGATGTCAGCCGAACCTTATGATATGTCTTTGCTGTATTTCTTATGGTACTTGAAAAGTTCAGGCGGCTTCCGCCGTAATGTTGATGTCGAAAATGCCGCTCAGGAAAGAAAGTTTAAGGGGGGGTCCCAACGAATTAGTGAAGAAATCGCAAAAATTTTAGGCGACAAGGTAATTTTATTTTTATAGATGGTCTTCGTAAATTTCATTTAGCATGAGCATTTACTTGGTGTATCAAAATACACCCTAGCTTTATAGTTTAGCACGTTTGCTTATTCAAACCCCTGCAAGTGTGGTTACTGCATAATATATTTCCTCCGATTTTAAGCTCATGTTACAGCGGTTTCTTTGATGGTTTATAACCGCTGTCCTTTACTCTAATCCGATACAGTCTTTTTATGCCATAGATACAAGCCCCGTTTACACTATACTCGATTTATTAGCACGGCACGGCTAAAATGGGTACCCGTGCCCATTTCATCAAAGCCCGGCCTTTGTTTTGGTAGCCTGACCACTAGTGAAATTGGGCACGGGTACCCATTTTAGCCGTGCCGTGCCGATAAATTGACTGTAGTGTAAACGGGGCTCCAATCAATTAAATAAAGTCTGAACCTATTCGTAAGCGTGGTCTGCATAAGATTCAATTGTGGAAATATGAATAATATTTTGATACACCCGGTATACGCGCTTTCAAAAGAAATCCGTCTAGCTGAACCGCGAATGGACAAACTCGTTTATCAAACTCAGCACCTGCATAAGCTTCACTCTTTCACTTCTGTGTTTTCATTTCTGACATTGACAGACAGAATTAGGGCAGCTTTCCACGCAGTGGCGTAACTACAGGGTGTCCCAAAAAAAACGAAAACTATTGAAATCACCCATAACAATGCAATTGTTAGAGTTTGAAAGCCTAAGCACTCTGTTGGGACCCACAGGTGTATAAATGTTTACCATACTCGTTTTTACGCTTGCATATGATGCAGTAAAATTAGCTTGTTCGCAAAAATGATATTTATTAACAATATTTACAATTTACAAATATGGATAACATTATTTAGATGTGCACCTCAAGGACCATGACCTTCGACATGTCCCCTTTCTCTAGCAACACAAAGCATTTAGCATTATATAAGTTGCATTGAATCCCCACGGGCTGAAATTCGTCAACACGGCATTCAAATTTTAACAATGAGTGATTTCAATAGTTTTCGTTTTTTTTGGGACACCCTGTAGAACGATAATTGTGGGGTGAATATTCATATATTCAGTTCCACACGACGGATTTCTTTGGTAAGTGCAATAGCTTACAACAGACATCAGTCGGGCAAAACTGAATATATGAATATTCACCCCAACAATTATCGTTCTAGTTACGCCTCTGTTTCCAGGATAGAGGTGTGATTTATGATTACCTTTTCATGAGAAGGTGGGATGGACAACGTGCAATATCCGGTAAATGCTAAATATTGAGATTGGGTGGACATTTCAAGGTTCTAGTGGGCTCCAGCAAATCTGGGTTCTTCGTTAAAAAGCACCAATTTATTTAGAAGTGTAAATAAACAAAAATAAGTGAATAAATTAAATGCCATATAATATTAAATGAATGTCGAAGTATTGTAGTACAGGGCTCGCGCATGGCTATGACGCTGCCAAATGTCTAGCATTTTTTAAATTTTAAATTGAACGAAAGTGTAATGAAATATCTGTTCCTCTAGGTAATCCTTTCAACACCTGTGTGCAGTATCGAGCAGAAGTTTGATCAAACAATTGTGAGGTGCTTAAATGGCAAATATTATAAAACAAGATATGTCATTAGTGCCATACCACACGCGCTGTTAGGGAGTATTTCATTTTCACCACCACTATCAGCTTTGAAGAACCAGTTGATTCAGAAGATGCCGATGGGCTCAGTTATCAAGACTATTACATACTACGAAGATGCGTGGTGGCGAGACCAGGGTCTCTCTGGTATATTGTTTGCAAATTCTGACTCTGGTCCGGTTTGTGCTACCCAGGACGACACTAAGCCTGATGGATCTTATCCTGCAATAATGGGGTATAAACTAAGTTTCTTCCGCATTATTACTATGACATTTTCTTATTTCTGCTTTACAAACAATCGTCGTTTGATTAAAACATGCCAATGATTAATGTTTGTAATCTCTCGTGTAGAAATTCGATTTTGTACATTCTCCAGGGTGCAATAAAAAACCGTAACACTAAATACTCATACTGCATGAATATTCACTTCTCAAAAACAAAAGATCGTAGGCCACTGGGTTGCGTTTTCGTATACACCCTGTACTGGAAATATTTGAATATCTCCGGTCATTAAAATTTGCAGAAAATGATTATGACATAAAGGAATCAGTAAAATGAAAAATAATCAAAGGAACGTTTAGGTGTAATAAAGAAACGTAACCATGCAGCAAGATAAATATGACTGCTAGAATTGTAAATTGTAATCATCCTTTCATCTGTTTAGATTTATTGTAGGTGAACAAGCTCGGTTCTGGTGCAAGAAAAGTGGCGAAGAACGAAAACAAGCTGTGTGTGAACAATATGCCAAAGCCTTCAACACTAACAAAGCCAAAACACCTCGCTACTATATTGATAAAAACTGGCCAGCTGAGAAGTATTCTGGTGGCTGCTATGTCAGTGTTCTACCCTGTGGAGTCTTGACAGGTTATGGTGAGGCATGGAGAAGTGCTGAAGGCAATTGCTATTTTGCAGGAACAGAGACAGCAGCAGCATGGGCAGGTATCCTGATAGTGATAAGAAGAAAATCATGTACTGGAACAAATGTCGACAAAATTGAAACCCGTTTGCTTGTGTTAGTTGAAAAATGGATTGTTGAAAAATTGACTGTTTTTAATGCCTATATTCTTTTCCGTGTATTTTCAAGGGTACATGGATGGTGCGGTGGAATCAGGTGAACGTGCTGCTCGTGAAGTACTTTATGCGATGAAGAAAATATCAAAAGATGAAATCTACCAAGAAGAACCTGCCTCAGAAGATGTTCCTCCAGTTCCCTGTTCTCTCACACCTCTACAGTTATGTTTACCTTCAGTACCGACATTTATGACAATGTTGACTGTTTTGAGTCTAGCGTCTATGTTTGGGATTGCGTACTGGAAGCGTTCGTAAATGTAGTAAAAGGATTTTATATAAGAAGAGGATAACACTATTTAGCATTTTTTTACGAGGGACTGACCTCAGACTTCCTCGAGGACAATTGAAGGTTAGGTTAAACGAAGGAGAGGAGGCAACGCTTTCGAGTCACTTCGCCTCTGAAGCGTCGCGATCGCGTTTTTTATAGTCTTACTTACCTCTCTATATTTTATTATTTATTGACTTCAATTAAGGACTGCGAAGCAGGGCATAATTGGTGTAGTGTTGAATTGGCCAAAAAAATCAACAAAATCAACAAAAAATCAATGAAATTGAAATTAAATCAATGGCCGACCTTTAGTTTAATTTTTCTGCAATATTACAGTAGCTACAGTATATTATAAGCTCTACAGCAGGGCGCTTATATCCTGCTCTACAGTATACGCACCTCGTCATGTATCATCCCATACACGACTCGACTAGAATTTGAACGTGGTATGGGCGACTCCCATGTGACTTTAGTGATTTTATTCGGCGAATCCTAGGATTGACTGTAACGCTTACATGCAAGAACGGAGTGGTTGAATAGTGAGAGGGTTCAGACCAGTGGCTCAGACCCGTGATGCGTTCAGAAATACAAGAATTACATTTAAAACAGAGATGTGTACTTGCTATACTCTTAAGACGTTTGATTCAATCTTTTTAGTAGTACTAATGAAATCAAATAATCAAAAAATTAATTTCACAATACTGTAATATAATAGCTATCGGCGAGATAGCTTGTAGTTTTGTAGATCAGCTTTTCGAAATCAAATATAGAAATTTCTCAAAAACCTGTACCAGCCTGAAGTTTTAGAGAACATTGAGGTGACAATAGACAAAATATAGTCAGAAAATGAACATCTTGAAGGGAATAGATGATATAATATAATCATTATCAGCAGGGCGGCCAAGAAAAATTGTGGGGACAACGACAAAATTATTCTCTGGGGCCGGAAAATGGCGTATTCGACCATGGTCGAGTCTGTCGGAAAATGGCGTATCCGACCATGATCCAGTCTACCCGAAAACGGCGTATCGACCATGGTCGAGTTCGCCGGAAAACGACTAATTCGACCATGGTCGAGTTCGCCGGAAATCGACTAATTCGACCATGGTCGAGTTCGCCGGAAAACGACTAATTCGACCATGGTCGAGTTCGCCGGAAAACGGCGTATTCGACCATGGTCGAGTTCGCCGGAAAACGACTAATTCGACTAGGGTCGAGTTCGCCGGAAAACGACAAATTCGACCATGGTTTTTAAGGTGCTTTAATTTTAGGTTCTTTCTTAAGTCGGGGCCCCCTTCAGGTTTGGGGCCCGGGCAAAATGACCCCCTTCCCCCCCCCCCTCTCTTCGGCCCTGATTATCAGACAAAATATTTTTTATGCGTGGGAGGCGTTGAAACAGTGAAAATGTAAAATATACGGCTATTCGTTTAAAAAACACAAATTAAGACTTCTAGTGATCCAGAAGATATTTCTGGAAGTTACCTTTTATTTTATAACCAAGGAGATATAATTAAATAGCTAAACGGCTTTTATTAAATCATTTTGCAAATAAATATTCAATTAATTCAATTCAAATGATCTTTCCCAGTGAACTGGGGACTGGGAGCAAAGTTCATGTAAAAATGGAGGAAGAAATATTTGATGTAGTCATTGTTGGCGCCGGTATTAGTGGTTTATCAGCTGCATATCTTTTACATCAACAACATGACGAGTTGAAAACTGTAGTTCTTGAGGCAAGAGATAGAGTGGGAGGAAGAACGCACACTCTTGAAAATAATGAAGTGAAATATGTCGATCTCGGCGGATCGTATGTAGGCCCGACGCAGAACCGTATTCTACGTATGGCTAAACACTTCGGTATCGAAACATACAAAGTCTACGCAGAGGGAAAAGATACGGAACACTTCGGTGGTAAAATGTCGTCTTTCGATGGAGATTATTCGACGTGGAATATATTTGCAATATTAGATTACTATGCTCAGATTCGTAAGTTAGATAGCATGTGCGATCAAGTGCCTTTAATTTCACCCTGGCAAGCAGAGTGGGCGAAAGAATGGGATACAATAACAGCTAAGGAGTACTTTGATAAATCTTGCTGGACAGACTATGCGAAAAAACGGATGTATCAGGTTTTTCACGATGCGATGGCGGTCGAACCTTATGATATGTCTTTGCTGTATTATTTATGGTACTTGAAAAGTGCAGGCGGGGTGTGCCGTATTGCTGATGTCGAAAATGCTGGACAGGAGAGGAAGTTTATGGGGGGATCCCAACAGATCAGTAAAAAAATGGCAAACGTTTTGGGTGACAAGGTAATTTTCAAAACAGTTTTCATAAATTGTATGGCCAAGGACATACAGTCTGGGATTTTGCATAATTCATTTGTCTTTTGCTGATTTAGCCTGAAGGCTATTAATATTTAATAATTGACTTAATTCATGCTAAAAAAAATTTCAAGTTTAATACACATCCACCAACTGACAGCAAAGGTGTGATACCGGTATAGCTAGGAGTTTTATAGGAGCAATATGATCGGGTACAACTAATAAAAGGTGACATATTTATTACAATACAGTTCAATGAGTCTAGCTGGATGACCCTATACAATATGCACTGCACTTCAGTACCTTTCTTCCACCTCAAGACACTTTTAGTGGCTATTTTACCATTCTTATAAAATCTGGTAGTTTTCAAGTCATACATCATTGACCTCACCTACATTTACATACCCATATCCACCATTAACAGATAGGATGGTGATCACCCTCAAACCTATAAAAGCCACTACCAAAACAAGTCCTGCACAGCTTTTACAAGCTCACAACTGTCATGTGCTGCCCGATATCTAGCATTTGTTTTTCTCCTAGGTAATCCTATCATCACCTGTGTGCAGTATTGAACAGAAGTTTGATCAGACAATTGTGAGGTGCTTAAATGGCAAATATTATAAAACAAGATATGTCATTAGTGCCATACCACACGCGCTGTTACGAAGTATTTCGTTTTCACCACCACTATCAGCTCTGAAGAACCAGTTGATTCAGAAGATGCCAATGGGCTCAGTTATTAAAACTATTACATACTACGAAGATGCGTGGTGGCGAGACCAGGGTTTCTCTGGTGTCTTGATAGCAAATTCTGACTCTGGTCCTGTTTATGTTACTCTGGACGACTCTAAACCTGATGGATCTTATCCTGCCTTGATGGGGTATGTAGGTTTCTTTTTTATGGTTATCGTGCGTTATTTTTTTTAAATTGCTGTATAGGGCATCTTTCATTGAAAGATACCAATGATTTGGTATTTAGCTATGTAAAAATTTGATTGTATATATCGGAAATATTCCAAAACGTAGTCAATCTGCAGTTGATATGAATTAACAACGAGATTGAAGTATTTGACAAATTGTATCGTCAGCGTAGGCGCTGCAAACCCCAGAACTCCTAAACAAAAAAAGCAATTAACATCAAAGTGTAAAGTTCATTTCCTAAACTCTAACAAAATTTTCCCACTCCTTTGCGCTTCAATAATCCCGTCGTTTTTATATCCAAATTATTTAGCTTTACCTTTTACTCTGTGACCACCACGCTGTCAAAAATGTTTCTCGTCGACATCAACTTTCACTTCGCTTCCGTAGATTTTATTTTCTTTTTCAGCCCTTTGAAACTCTTTTTGGCTTGTCCTATCCTTCCTTGGATCGTGTGGACAAGGCGTTTAAACAATAAAATAGACAAAAATGATTTTGAAAACGCTCGAATATGACGCTTGTGTGCACACTTTGTGAGCTACACAATTAGAAGTACTACCATTGTGCTTAATAACAATATGAATATTAAGTGTTGCCAAGCTTAAACCAACGGATGCGTAAAATCGAAAGCGAGACGCTCAATTTGAATGCATCATCCTGATTACCATGCTATTTACACACCAGTGCGTTAACCATGCATTCAAATTTCAAATTCCAACAAAAGCTTCATTTCAAACAGTGGGTACTTTTTTATACACCCTGTATATCCCCTATTTTCCATTTTACCCATAAATTAACGTGTAATGGTCGTGTTAAACGGTGCAATTTTTCTTTGCAACAAGCAATGTAATTCTACTTCTAAGAGATGTATATTTGGCATTTACCAGAATCTACAATATAAGAAAATCACTACAAATAAAAGACGTACATTGAAATGGAAATTATTTGACACTGATAATACTCGATCCTTCTGTTTAGATTTATTGTAGGCGAACAAGCTCGGTTCTGGTGCAAGAAAAGTGGCGAAGAACGAAAACAAGCTGTGTGTGAACAATATGCCAAAGCATTCAACACTAACAAAGCCAAAACACCTCGCTACTATATTGATAAAAACTGGCCAGCTGAGAAGTATTCTGGTGGCTGCTATGTCAGTGTTCTACCCTGTGGAGTCTTGACAAGTTATGGCGAGGCATGGAGAAGTGCTGAAGGCAATTGCTATTTTGCAGGCACAGAAACAGCAACAACATGGGCAGGTACATTATGGTCTTTCACTATATCACATTAGTATATGTAATGTCACGTTACCCTAGTAAATCAAGTTATACGGTATTACTTGTGCAGTACAGTATAAAATTGTGCCATCTTCCTATCTGTTCTCTGTGCGTTTTTCCAAGGATACATGGATGGTGCCGTGGAATCAGGTGAACGTGCTGCACGTGAAGTACTTTATGCGATGAAGAAAATATCAAAAGATGAAATTTACCAGGAAGAACCTGCCTCAGAAGATGTTCCACCAGTTCCCTGTTCTCTCACACCTCTACAGTTATGTTTACCTTCAGTACCGACATTTATGACAATGTTGACTGTTTTGAGTTTCGCGTCTATGTTTAGCGTTGCGTACTTGAAGCGTTCGTAGATGCATGTCGCTGTTTTTAAATGCTAATAAAAGAATTCTAATAAGTGGACAGAGTTTAGGAGATTAAAGTGTAAAAGTTGGGCCTTGGTGAATTGAACTGTTGCAAGAAATACATAATTAATCAGAACATGAATAAGTGCATATATAATTTGTAGCAAGTTAAATTCAAAGCGTCAGTATATTGTCAGCAGGTGGCCTTCCTTAACTTGTAATTTCAACGGCTCCATCCGAAGGTGATACTGATCCTCGAAGTGTTAAATTGCGAAGTGTTAACGCTTATAGAAAATATATTAGGGTCCATAATGTCAGGTCGAAAGAGAAACTTGTCTTCCAAGGCGAAGACCGGAACGTCTGCTACGCCATCAAAGAAAAAAGCGGGTAAGTTAAGTGTACGCATCATAGTGTAATGGTGTTCGATTGAAAACGAAACAAATTCATAAAATTTATACGTAAACGAATATACCAAACGAGGCCTCTTGTCTTGAAGCTCTTATCCAATCTAACCCTTTGCATCTATTCCGACTTCCATATATATCCAGCAAGAGGATATCAATGTGCAATATAAAAGACGTTCAAACAGGCGTCTCAATATAGCTGCGATTTTGGCTATGTTTATAGATTTAGCCACTTGAAATTTGCAAATACTTGATAGAACAAGCACAGATTTATGGTGTTGCAAAGATTGACGGATGCATACGATGATAATCTCCAGACAATGCATGAATGCTGCATGCATGTGGTCGGCAAACGCTTGACTCAATAGTTCATATTATTTTATGGATATGCTTTTATGCACATTGTCTATATATAAGACTATAAATTATACGATTAAAGCACCATAATTTAAATAATTTTAACAAGTGGACTTCGATACCGTATATATTGGCACAATTTCTATATGCTCTTAATTTCAAGTCTTGAGCACTTTACTGCATGGCTAATTCGTGTTAGAATTGCACCGGAAAACAACTAAGAATTACTATATTAGTCATATGACAACCGTGCTTTCAACCTTTATTTTGTCAAAAGTCAGGTAGAGTGATCAAATGCCGGCCCAGGGAAACTTTCCATAGGACAAAATCTCCAATTGTTTTCATAAAGACTAAGTAGCTATATTGAAACATTTCACGGAAATCTTTTAGAACACTGTAGTCATAACTAATACTTACGTGCGGAGTTTGTATAATATTAGCGCACGAGTTTAGGTTTAGATAGTAGAATTTGCAATGCACATGCAGTTTGCCCAAGCTGTGTCTGGTAAATTTTATATAACTATATATCAATACAACAGTTATAATAATCACCCCAAATTTCCTTTCTAGTATATGCTAAGTTACATTCTACAAAGCAAACACTGTATGATTGAATGTGCAATTGCTCTACAGTTCGAACGGATGATGATCAATATTTAATAATTAATTTGCTAATTTCTTCCAGCATGTTGTGACCAGGCATAAAGCACCGCGTCCGCTAGTGCATGACATTCTCTAAGTTTTCTAATCTCCCCATCCGTCTTACGGCAGCTTTGTTCTATTATTAACTTCCTTTCAAAACGAGCACGAGGTCTTCCGAGAAATATCGGACCGAGGTCTTTTTGAACAGACCGAGCAAGGTTTGTGCAAAAAGATCGAGGTCCAATATTTCTCGGTAAAGGCCGAGCAAGCAAGGTTAATTAAAGGTTATTAAATGGCATAAGTCATGTATTTGCACTTGAAACAAACAAGAAATGAATGAATTCGTATTATTAGCCTGGTACGCATTTGATGAAAACAAAAACAACCATTACGGAAAAGTAATGAACCGCTGAAAATTCTTCTCAGCCAATCACTGAGCTTCATTTCACCGGAAGTGACGCTTGCCATATAAATAAATTTAATTAGCCAATGAGCTTCGCCAGATTAATTGCATGTGTGATATCCCGGGCACCCTGATGAAAGTCATCCGCTTTTCTCATATTAAAAAGTAACTCTGTATGTTACATCGTTATCAGGTATGGACGGCGTTACCGTGGATTTCAACTATAATCGAAAGGAAAACACAACACAACATCATACCGATGAATACGAAAACGACGTTTTAGTCCTGCGCCGTGGTGAAAAGTTTGACTTGGATCTAACGTTCCATAATGCTGATTTGAATGATATTCAAGAATCGTTTCTCCGATTTAATATTGGTCAGTTCTTGAGCCAATAAATTGGCTTCAGTTAATCTAGTGAACACCTATACCGATATGCCTTAAAACGTTTCTTCGCTGTACAGCTTTGACTGATTTATCAGCCCGGTTTTATTAGTCGTACTAGTGATCATTTTAAGGTGTTGATATAGTATAATATTGTTATACGTGCATGACCGGACTTGAATATATGAAAAAAATGGCGCAGTGCCGTAGCGGAAAGGGTTTTTTCCCCCAGTCTATAAACGATACAATAACTTCGCGTCTTCAGTTATTTTTATCGTGTTTTCGCGCATTTAAGTTCTCAGCTAGGATACAATGTGAATAAGTACACCCCAACTTTTTCTGAAAAGAACTTTTCGGGTTTCTGGTAAACTTGGGAGCCTGACGAAAGAGACCTTCATTGTTCATGGGTTTATCATTGCCATTATCCATGTTTTAATGATAGATGCTAACGTGTCGTATGTCATGTACATTTTTCACTTAAAGGAAAAAATACTTGCAAATGGGAAACGAATGTCGTAAAAGAGAAGGGGCTCGCTCGACGTTTGCAAATAACTATTCCAGTTGGTGCTGCTGTTGGAAGGTTAGTTGGGAAAGTTGTAGTTATACTGTTAAATAAAACGATTGATGAATTGATAACAGATTTTTGTCAATGTTCCTATTGTATATTGTTCAAAAAAACCTTGGACCTGTTACAATTTTAAACGCATAGATGAGTAAATCAGATAACAGGGCCGGGTAAATCTTTAATTTGAAATATGATCATATTCAATTATAATTTAGGTATACAATACAGGTTGTTGTTCCCAAACATTCCAAAGAGCCACTTAACCAGACTGGGCAGATTATCGTTTTATTCAACCCTTGGAATAAAGGTATAAAAAAATTCCAAATTCGGGAATTTATTTTAACGGAAGTGGACTGCATGTTAACATGGTTTTCCATTTCACTCAGATGATGAAGTTTATCTTGATGAAGAAATATTAAGAAACGAATATGTTCTGAGCGACTGTGGTCTAGTTTACGCGGGCTGGTCGTCTAGAGTTGGCCCAAATCCGGCCGCTTGGAATTTTGGTCAGGTAGGCATGCTCCTAAAACTATATTGTAGAAACAAAATTTTGGGTTGGAAATCAAGAATCTTGTTGTCCTTGGCATCTTGCTTGCACTACCTATTGTTTCAGCAGTTATACAACAATTTGCGACTTTATGCATGCAGCTTTAAACGAAAAACACTTCTGCGTGACTTAAGGAGAAATATGATTAATTCCCATTTATTACTGGGTAGAAAGTTTCTTTCGGTCGTGCCACATTCTACTTTTTAATTTATTTTGTTAAGTTTAAACTTTTTCTTTTGTTTTTTCTTTTACAGTTCGAGAAAAATATCCTGGATTGCGTGTTGTATCTGTTGGAAAAGGACCGAAGGATTGAAAAGAAGCCTGTAAAGTCTATCTTCATGAGACGTAGTCCAGTATGGGTTGCAAGAATACTCTCTGCCATGGTAGGTTTTCCTTGGGATACTTCAACGCTAGCGAAGTGAAAATTGTCCAACTAAAAGGAATATATTTTAGTTGCACATCTTAAAACTTACAAATGTTTAGATTAATTCACAAGACGACAATGGTGTGTTGGTTGGCAACTGGTCAGGTGAATACGATGATGGTAGATCACCCACGTTTTGGAATGGAAGTGTCAAAATACTTCAAGAGTATTTTGAGAAGAAAGAGCCTGTGAAATATGGCCAATGTTGGGTCTTTTCTGGAGTTATGACAACAGCTCTTAGAGCGATTGGTATTCCGGCAAGAAGTGTTACCAACTATGACAGTGCACATGATACTGACAACACAATGACCATTGACACATTTGTTGACGAGGAAGGAAACATTTTAGAAGATCTAAATAATGACAGCGTTTGGTAAGTATTTGGCAGATATCACAGAGTCGAACTAAAGCAGATGCACCAATACCTTGAACTGAACCACTGATAGCTGGAGTCATTTATTCACAATTAATTGATAATCCGCTGTGAAATGGGGAATTAGCAGAATGAATTAAGTGAATGGGGGAGTACAATCAAAGCCAAAAGTCTTATCAAGAAATAGATCAGTGTTCAAAACCAAAACCTGATGAGACATTCGTATATAGAGAAAGACTTATGCACGCCTTTGTCGTTAGCTTGCATTACTATGTCTCTTATTGACTTTTTATATTATTTTCGTGCAGGAATTTTCATGTTTGGAATGAAATCTGGAGCAAACGTGCTGATCTTCCTGGGAATAAATACGATGGTTGGCAAGCAGTAGATGCGACACCGCAGGAAGAAAGTTGCCAAATCTATCAAACAGGTCCTGCCCCACTGAAAGCAATAAAAGACGGTGAAGTGTACGCCGGCTTTGATACAGGCTTTATTTTTTCGGAAGTTAATGCAGATAAGGTGACGTGGGTAATGAAAGAAGATGAAGACGGTAATCAAACAATACAAAGTATGTAAACGTTTTTTATATTCAACGTCACGTATTCCCCAGCTTTCTCCCTGCACCGATCATCACAAGCCTTATCCTCACAATACTACTTCACTCTTCCTTTTCTACCTATACTGTTAATCCATAGAAAAAACTGACACTCCTGCAACTATACCACTCCGTCAGCCTGGGCCAATTACTGGGGGGTTCACACTTACATGCAAAACAAGCTCTAAGCCAACGATCAGTTTTACCACCAAATCGGAAATGCCATGCACACAAATGAAGAAGTTCACCAAGTCAAGCTTTATATAAGAGTGCTAATAATTTGATCCGAAGTGTCCACCTAGCTGGTACTGGAATCATCATACCAAACGTCCACAAAGCGTATCATAATAAACTGCGATTGATTTAATAGAAACGAGCAAACAATTGAAAGCCAGCGTCGGCCATTTTATCAGTACGAAGTGTGTTGGCAGTTTTGAAAGAAATGATATTACTGATCTTTACAAACACCCGGAGGGAACAAATGAAGAAAGAAAAGCATTTGAAACAGCTTATAGTTTCGGAGAAGGGGCAAAAGATTGGACTGGTCATTTGAATATTGAAGAAGAAGGCAAAGATTTAGATATTGGTATGTTATAATTTGAAATGATAACTATATAATTATCCATTTCTGTTCTTACTTGCCTTTTAAAACCATGACTTCTCACGTCAACTATCCGCAGAATAGTTTGGAGACGATTATTTTTTGTTATCGTAAGTTGGGTGCTTTTTTTATCTCTTTAGTAAAATGTCACATAAAACCAAAATTAACGACTTAAGTCGCCTTTTTTTTTATTTAGTAAAACGTAGTATATGTCTAGCCTTGGCACACTATACCACTCGGCTCACGACAATAGTTGATCAATAATCTAAGTTTATTATATGTATTAATACTCTTTATTTTAGAATTAAGCACAAAGGAAGATGATCTGCGTGTTGGCAAGCCTGTAACATGCCTTGTAATGCTGAAAAATAAATCTAAGAAAAACCTAACCGTGTGTCTAACAGGCGTAATTAGTTCAGTCAGATACACTGGAGCTGTTTGGAAGCTTGTGAAGAAGCAAAAGTTTGAAAATTTGGAAGTTGGTGGCGGCAAAGGTATGTTACCAATAAAATATTTTGACTATCATATAGAAATTACCCTGAGTACGAAGTTGGCTATTTTCGGGTAGGAGGGATCTATGGTGAGTATAGATCTCGTTATTAATGCTGCATGAAACCGCATATTTTTGGTCTAAAGTAAAGAGCATTGCCTGAGTTATTATATGAATCTTTCTTGCAACATCAGACGTGGAGAAGGAAATACGACTGGAACCGGATGAATACGTGAGTAATTTGACAGATCTTAATTGTCTAAAGTTCATCTTGGTCGCTAAAGTGTTGGAAACGAAGAAGATTTATGTCGATGAAACCAAGTTCCAATTGTTTAACCAGGACTCCATCAAAGTCAAGGTCAGTTAATACCTGATAAAACAATCAATTTGTGAAGAATTAAAACGACGTTTGTAACTTCTTTAAGCAAGCGATGGTAGATGTAATCCTGATGTTTTCTCAGACCTGTTTGCTATAGCGACCCTAGTTTAGATATAAAACATACTCCACTTTGCTTTCACGACCCAAAATTGTGGTTTCAGCGCTAGACCTACATTTTGTAGTGCATTGCTTTGCATATATAGCCTAATGAGTATATACGTCGCGTTGCACGCATGTTGCCCTAAAAACATAATTCTTTTATTCAATTATAGTTTAATGACAAGTCACCACTTCAAGTTGGAGTAGAGGCTGAGGTTGAAGTCTCGTTTACAAATCCTTTGCCAATAAGATTGTCCTACATTAAAATCAGTATTGAAGGCGCAGGGCTAGCGTATTTGGATACAAAAACCTACAGGTAACTTGTGTAATAATCTTTTAAATCAATGCAGGGTTACAGTAATGTTTGGAAATGTGAAAATTAACATGCATCAGTTTCAGAAACTATCGTCAATGTAAAACAATATAAATAAAACTTTGCATCATTGATACCTTGAAGCGAAAACTGAAATCCGGTGGTTGCTCTTGCACGGAATTGAAAACATCAAGGGCAGTAGATAATGAGGCGTTTCAGTTTTTTATAAATATACTGTTTTTAACGGTTCGCACTCATCAAAAGGAGCAGCTCAGATGGTTCTGAAGAGTATGTCGATTTATTAGCTCTAACCGATTCACAATAGATTATAGTTATTAAATGCATGACGTCTAATAAACATTTTTACTAAACCTTTAGCAAAAGCGTCCAGTACGGCAAAACACAAACAGCAAAATTTTCTTTTACTCCACGAAAAGCAGGAAAACGTACCTTGCTCGTTGATGTGGACACAACCCAAGTAAAAGATTTCAAAGCTGCGGCTGATCTCGATGTTCTTCCTCAGTCTCCCAAAAAAACATAACCGCGTGCATGCACGCATTTAGATCGCAATTTTTTCTTTCAGTAATATTTCATTAATTAATTGTTGTAGAATAGAATTTTAATATGTTTTATTTATACGCAAAGCATACATGCACCTTTACTCTCTGATTCATATAGGCTAATGTGTAAACTGGAGAGCATTACTCTTAATGTTTCCTATAGTGTATGCATATAAGATACGTTTAGCTATAATAAATTTATAAATGTTTTCACTCCGGTCTGATATGAATAAATTTATAAATGTTTTTAACCCCGGTCTGATATATTGGATGGCCTATTACGTATATGCATGTGAATCCAACTATATACACGCTAAATTTATTTGCTGAAGCTAACAGTTGAGAGAATCCATTGGCTTTGTTTTCTGCGATGATGAAGGTTGGTATGAATTTCTAAAATTTCATCAATCTTCGAGGACGAATCGCTAGATATCTGATCATTTCAAAAGCGGAAAGAAGACAAGAAGCGGCCACCGAAGATTTGTGTGGCAATGATTTCGCCCGAGGAGAAGACAACGCAGCTGAAACCAGCGCTAAACGCGAACAAGCCGCCCCTGTCACCCCTTGAGGCCCCATTCAGCGGCAGCGGCTCAACTATATGACCGGCCCTTAGGAAAAAAAGGCCGCGAATAACGAAGCAGCAATTCTTTTAATCATAACGTTATAATACATCATAGTAAACTATCTGGGATTGACACTTAAAGACTTGCATATTCATGTATGGAAGGAGGAACTCATTAGTCGTTGCACCTCGGGGAACAAATATCCTATAAAAATACGCAATGGAAGTCGTGGGTGGGTCATGCATGTGGTAGATTAAAGAGCCACTGTATGGAGAAATTGGAGACAACAAAAATAATGCGTCAACACTGCATGACCTTCCTCTTGTGCGAAAGGAAGAGCCAGTTTCATGCAGTGAAAGAATCATAACATGCAGGCATCGTTATACACGACAGTCAATAAAAGTTGAAAATTAAATACAGTGCTGTGTTGATTTACAGCCCTAACGTTCGAGGGCCACCAACCATATTAACTTGATCAAGGAGAACATATTTCATGTACCGTGGATTGTGTTTTACACTTTCTATACCTAAAGTCCAATGTACTTCAATCATGCGTTTTTGGCAAGCCAGTGAAAACCACGAGCTAGGCTGTATCAGTTTTCTCGTTATTCATCGCCGGCCACATCAACCCATGCACTCCCCGGTCGTTGATAAGGAACCTCTTACGTCATGAGGAAGTAATATATCAAGCCCCTCCCTTTATCATTCAGTCTTTTTAAACTCTTATTCAAAGAAAGTTTACCATAACTTTACTGTGAATATTGAGTTTTCAGTATTTTGTCAGTATTGCCATTGGCTATGAACAATATCGTAATTCCTAACGCGATCTATTGCCAAGCATAACGCAACAGGTAGTTGTATAGGTACTAATATATGTATAGATATAATCGTGATACAAAATACGCATGACGTCCTATTCTTCCCCTATTTTTTCCGATCCTAAAATAAATATCGAAAACAAATTGGCATATTCTTGCTATATATAATAATATATTATACATGCGTACGGGTATGACACGAGTGTTGATATATAATAACTATACATGCAAATTTTATTGTTACTGTTGTTGCAGGTTTCAAACCAATATTAATATACTTGTTTTTGCGGTCTCATAATAATATTACCTTTCTCGAAAAACTAGAGATAATCCCCCATAGAACAGTCTCTCGCCTCTATATTGCAATTTTGGTAAACCATTGACCATATTATTTCGACCATATTATCACTTGTACAGAAGTCATGCACGTATGTATGCATGGGAATGTATGCCTTATTATATACACATTTATTATTTATGATTGTAACAGATTGTTATCGATATAATATCTAAATTTACCCCGAATTTCAAAGAATCAATATATATCATGATGTTGTTCGTCTTTCACAATTATGCAGTGCTCAGTTCATTCCACTGACTCGGTGCATCTGGCAGAGAGCTGAAATCTTTGAAACACTCAAAGAAGTAAAGTTACATTATACGTTGCAGCGACGATTACAGAACTGAGCAGTTATTGTTGTTAGTTGTTGTCTATACCCGGCGCATCATGTGTTACAGTTTCCTTCATTTCTTCGACTTTTGTTACAAATTAATTTTTGGACCTCCACAGAAGGAAAAACCAAGCGGTCCGAAAACCGCCGGCCATCATTCAGGTATGTTATCATTGGTTGTATGATTTTATCCACATTCACTGGATGCAGGCGACTGTTATGACTTTATGTGCGATTGTGAGATGTGATGAAAATAAGTAGGTACAAAGGGTAAACTGTCCGCTGTATGCTACTATATATATATATATATATAATTATATATATATATATATATATATATATATATATATATATATATATATATATATATATAATGTATATAATATACACATGCACTCTCAACCTCATATTGGCTTTTTAATACAAGAGTCCTTGAAACCTAATTACTCTCTCTCTCTGTACTCTTTTCGACTGCAGCGTTTATAGAAATAGCATGAAAACATTTTTCAATGTATGCATGGGGCCTGTACTTCAAGACTACATATTATACCAGTGTGTACTGAAATGTGTACAGAAATGTAAACAAGAATGAAAGCTTTCCATATTTGATGTGGCAAAATATGGCTCTTAGATTGCAAGAGTGTGATTAGTCCGAAAGCGGCCTAAACCTGCATGACAACACAACGAATATAAACTACGATATTTAGCCGTCGCATGCATACCTACAACTTTGCAACTCATTTTATTTTCATCCCTCCAGGTTACAAACATGTTAAAGATATTGGAGTAGAGTGTGATCTATTTATCGAAAAAAACACCAAGCGCCATCACACTGATGAGTATATAAACCGTTCTTTGGTTTTACGACGAGGTGAATTGTTCTTTCTGGGGATGAAATTTAAAGGATTAACCTTTTCAGGGATTATGCATGTGAAACTTCGCTTCAGCTTGGGTAAGTGGTATCATATTCACAGAAATAGCACAGATAGCTCATGTAATTTTGGGTATTTTGCTCACTGCATCGTCAGAAGCTTGTGTGACGTTACCTGGCTTATTTTTGCGAGGATGAAATAAGTAGCTACTTTATAGGGGTTTAGGCACATATTCTCGAAAGAAAATTTTAAAATTAAGTACCGTGAATGCGATTTCCTGTTGATTTTTAGGACTGACATTCAGTTTACCAATATCAAACTTAAAGTCCTCCCCCGTGGCAAACTTGGGGGGCTGGGCAAGTTGCCCTATGCCCCCCTCTGGGTGCCCTAGCATGTTTAACTGAGGCCGTAGAAAACTTCAAACAAAGTCCAAAGAAAAATTCATAACAAGAGATCTAAAGGAGCATTCAAGGTACCTGCCACTTTCAACTGAAACATCATCTATGTGTTACCGTGGCATTACCCACGCAGGCCGGGAAACTGGAAACTGAATTTAAAATCAGTCCCAAGCAATATTTATTGATGATAAATTTATTCCTCCGAGGGGCGGGCATATCATGCAATACCTCCGGGAGAACTCCAATTCCCCCATCGCTGCTTATCTGGTTTGCGTTATCGTTATATCGTCGTTCTTCTTGCCCGTTCTCTTGCTCGACAGCCGGAATTAACGAAGAACAACCTCAATGCTGGTTCTTGACTCACATGGTTATAAGTGTGTTTTAAAATTACTCGCTTGTATATATACACCTGCCTTAATAATGTTCGTTGCTTGCATTGGCAATCTTGCGCTGATACAGTAAAAATATACAAGCTGGTTTTGTGAAAAACTCAAAAATTTTATTTTATAAGAAACAGTTTTTTGTGGTGTCACAGATAGCTATATATCAGGTAGATAAATTGAGCATTTTTTGGGTATATTGCCAACAACCTCAGGTGCGAAAAATCTTTAAAGGGCTTGTCACTTTGGAAGTCTGTCGCTTGTCTTGAACTTTACCATTTCTGTTAGTGTTTCATAGATATTTGGTATAAAATTTATGTAGAACGTGAATACTTGAAATCAAACAAAATGAATGTAGCCACCATTGGTATAGCAGATGACATTAATTACGAAGCATGGGGAATGGTTGTTGTTGAGAAAGATCATACAGAATGCAATATTGTCGTTAAAGTTATGATTCCAGTGACTGCAGCCATTGGAAGGTAATCTTAAAGCACAGTTCAATTTCAAGTCTGGCGATTAGCTTACAATTGGAATCTAGAGGGACCGCTAATTTTGTGGGAAGGGTCATATTTTTTTCATGTGTACTGTTTCACGAAGACGTAACTGTTTCTTGATTTTAGATATAAAGTCAGTGTCTTACTTCCTTCATCATCATCTTTTGTATTTTTAAACGAGTTTGAAATCATCGCTCTTGCAAATGCATGGAACAAAGGTAGAGTTAATAGAAGATAACTTAATTAAATTATCAAAACATTGCAATTGTTTGTCTCATGATGACGCAATTAATGCAAAAATTGAAGGAATTTCCTGCGCAATTGCTTTGTAAAACGTTTACTTGATAATGCACATACGAACTATTTTTTCCATTCCGGATTGCTTTTTCACAGTTCATGCATGTTGTGTTCTTTGCCAGATCCAAACCGGAAACGGTTGGCAAGACATGTAATATAACTGAAGAGCTATATTTCAAATTTATATTTTCACTTATTTTAAAGCCGGATTTTAAATGCACACTGGTGAAAAGTAAAATTATTAGATGATAATTCCTATCACAATCATTAATTGATCAATAAAACAATTTTGGACTAATCCGATGCGTATATTTACATAGTCAATCTCTCAATTTATAGACGACGATGTTTATCTTGAGGAAGAAGAGCTGAGAGAGGAATATGTTTTAAACGATGTTGGTATGATCTTCCGTGGTAATGCGAGTAATGGTGTGCGCGGAATTAGTGGAACACATTGGCAATTCGGGCAGGTAATTTAAATTGGTACACCGAGTGGAAGTTTTGTTTCTAATCGTGGCACAATCGACTAGCGACATAAAAACTTATTCAGTGTTAGCACATTTTCTTAATTGCAGTTAAAGAACAAAGTTTTCTTTTATGTAGTTTGACGAAAACGTTCTAGATTGTGTTTTACTGCTTTTGGAAAAAGATAAACGAGTTGAAAAACAGCCTCTGAGGTCATATCGAAACCAAAACAGTGTCGTGTGGTTAGCCAGGATACTCTCTGCCGTGGTAGGTTTCAATTGAGATTCTACATCATCACTAATAACGCCATGCAACTGTTTGTGCAACACTTTATTCAGTCGTGAGTCAGTGTACTGCTTTGTGCATGCCGCGCGCTATGGTTATTTAGACTATAATTTACAACATTTAAATACTGTGTATCTTCGTATATCATAAATATTATACATGTTCGAAGATCTGTGACCAAGGACTTACCCCTTGCAAAAGATCTATGCAAAGATCTTTCTCCACAAGTAGAAATAGTCCAACCTTATATATGGTCGGTCAAGTGGATGCACATCAGGCGACGCGTATCGCAACCTAAAATTCCACAACGTGTAAAAGCCGCTTCGAGACACCAGCAAAACATATTGGAGGGATTTATATACATAGAGAGACGCGGTCAATTAATGTAGAAAAGTAATCTGTGATTCGAGTAGGTTCATCATGTGGCGTTTAGAAAGACACAAGTCACAGGACACGCATTACATGGTTGACACTGCAAAGTCACCCATAAGACAGAATTCACAATTCATTTATTAACTAGTACATAAGTCGGCTCGTTTACTATAATAGAGATCTATATGTGACCAGTTTAATAGTACTCACTCGCAATCGTCTTTCCTTTCATTCTAATTTGATCTGCAGTTTCTTTTGCGTTTTTCTTTCTACTTTGCAAAAGCTTAAGTTTCGTGGTACAAACGAGGCGACGATTTACTGGACTTTGACGTTGTTTACTGGTCTATTGTTAAGTTCGCAGACAAATTGAACTGTAATATGTTATTTTGGCGACGAGATGACACTATAATCGGTGAATCACATGATTGGTGCGATAAACAAGTTATCTAACCTTCTTTTGCTTCTTCTAAGAGATATTAGTAGACAAATTTAAACAAAATATTTGAAGGATTTGATGCTTTCTTTCTCTTAGATTTAGCTGGGTTCGTTTAGGTCTGGTTCACACTAGCTCCCAACACACGGGCAAATATTCGCGAACAAGGCATTTAACAATAGGTCATTTTCATTTTAACAATAGGTGATTTCAATACGTAGAACGATAATTGGGGGTGCGTACTCATATATTCAGTTCTGCCGTACGGGTGCAATAGCTTATAGAATTCCGTCAGCAGAACGGAATGTATGAATAAACCCCCAATTATCGTTCTAGTTTGCCCCTGCACATAGCGAGGCTCTGAAAATATCTCCCTCTTCTTTTCTTGAGAACGGCATATCACACTGAATTAACAAAATTATTAATATTATATTAACGGTTACCCAATCAAACTGTACATACCATTCTTTTTTAACTGTGAATGTTCAACACGTACCGTGATTTGCTGATTTTGCTCATTACTGACACCTGAACTATATGTTCTTCTACTATCGACTTTCCATGCGGATCCTGTTGGTGGAATAGCATGAAATAATTTACTTAATCTTATTGAAAACCTACGCTAGCCGTTAAATTTTATGTCATGCATAACAAAAAAAAATGTTCTGCTAAATTAAAATTATATGAATCTTAGGATACGAATGAAGATATTAGGTAGAAAATTACACACAAGACTCCATAATTCAATTGCAATTAAAGGATTCACTCCAAGTTCTATTTTAGCTAAATTGCCAGCAAGATGATGGTCTATTGGTTGGCAATTGGTCTGGAAACTATAAGGATGGAAAGGCGCCATCAAGCTGGCTTGGCAGTTCAGATATATTCAGAGAGTATTACAAAACTAATCAACCAGTGAAATATGGCCAATGTTGGGTATTTTCTGGTGTCATGACCACAGCGCTAAGAGCTTTAGGAATACCTGCAAGATGTATAACAAATTTCGATAGTGCTCATGATACCGATGAATCTATGACAATAGATGTTATTGAAAGTGAAGATGGATCACCAATGGAGGACATTTCTAACGATAGCATTTGGTGAGTTTGAGATAGAGGCATGGGGTTTGTTGCATGAGGAAATCTTTGGCTTAGTTCAATGATCCAACTTTTAAGTCGAGATCAATTACATATTTATATTATTATACACTACATAGCTCCAACAAAATTTCCGATGTGCTGAGCTTGAATTTTGACTGAAACTATTATTTTGATTATAATATTGTACAGTTAGAGTATTGCCTGTGGCAACCTTGACTGAATGACTATCTGTATTTAAATTAATTGTTGCCAAAATATTTGCGTGCTGCTGCTGAACTAGGAATTTTCATGTCTGGAACGAAATTTGGACGAGAAGAAAAGACCTACTGGCCAAATATGATGGATGGAATGCAGTTGATTGTACACCACAAGAATTAAGTTCTCAATTGTTCCAGATGGGACCTGCTCCACTGACGGCCATCAGAGATGGCGAAATATTCGTTCCATATGACACAGGATTTGTTTTTTCTGAATGTAATGCTGATTATGTGAAATGGATCGCAAGCAAGGATGAGAATGGAGCTATCGCCCTGGAAGGTAAGTCTGTTTTCCTGAACTGATAATTTTTCTTTCTCCCGTCACCATACGGTTCATGAGCGTGTATAGCCAAATAATGTCGTTTTTTGTATACTGATACATAGAGGCGAGTTATAGAAACAAGACATACATTGGGAAATATATCAGTACAAAGATGGTGGGAGAAGATAAGCGTGAAGACATCACTCATCTCTACAAATATTCCGAAGGTTCTGACGACGAAAGGACAGCCTTCCAAACTGCTTTTAAGTTTGCCCAAGGTTCGGAAAATAGAAAGGCGCTTTTGAACAAAAAGTGCGAAGAAAACGATATTGAAATTGGTATGTATTGGTAATGAGGAAAATGACGAATTACAAATTAAGATCGAGCCCCGTCAGAGAGGCAGATGTTGAAATTCTCAGGTTATATCTAAAGTTGTACGCACACTATACGAAAACACTATGACAGCATGGGTGAGATTAGCCTATTCTTCGACCTGTTCCTTTTTAATAGCTGCAGTACTGCAATTTCAATTTCATTCTATCTTGGTAAATTTGCTACCCAAGATTACAATAGGCAAAAGTACAATGACGTCACTTCCATTAAAAAAGGCAAATCTAAATGTAGAAATAGTCGAACAGGCTAAGCATAAAGTTATCATTCCAAAATTAAATTCTGCATGACTTTTGTGATTTAGATCTTGTCATGCACCAAGGCCAAGGGGCAATGATACAAAATGGCACAGATATCTCATGCACAGTTCAAGTGAGAAATACTGCACAACGAGCCTCAACAGTCAATATGACGGCCGTAATCAGTACGATAGAGTATACAGGCAGAATAAAAGCATTGGTTAAGAGAGTAAAACTGGAAGATTTGAAAGTCAATGTCGGACAGTGTATGTATGATAAACTATTTTTTATTTGTGAATACTGTCATCCTCACGTGCAAGGTACAGGGACTGGGCGCAAGAAGGACTGACCCCCCCCCCCCCCCCCCTCCTAGCCTGCCGTATTATTATTTTTCAGAGACTTTCGGTTTTAAATAATTTATAAAAAAGAGTTTAACTGCATAGTGAACGTATTGCATTTCCAATCGAGATTACATGGTTGAGAGAACCTGTGAGTGCTAGGAGTGAACAATTTTTACTTTTCCAAGACGTAAAACATGACATGATTTTCCTGTAATTCTATAAAAAAATTGCCTTTCATAATAAAATAAAAATGGTCGTAAATTATGCCATGTTTGGTAATAATTATTGTCCACATATATACCAGCTCTCAATTCATGACTCATGTTGACATGTTTACATCTAATACTTTATAGACCTATTTTTAAACATTTCTAGCGCGGAAGCCCATACAAACGCAGAAAACCTGTGAGTGGTAGGAATGAACAATCCTAATAAATAAATATTACTTTTTCAAGGCGTAAAACGTGAGTTTGTAGTGAAAGCTGATGAATATGTGAAAAAGCTCTCGGACCTTAACTTCATGAAAATTGTTGCCATTGCAAAAGTTCAGGAGACGAAAAAGCAGTTTGTGGAGGATTACAAAATACAGCTTTTTCATGCCGAATGTATTTCTGTTAAGGTAATACTTATGAGAGTATATTCTTTGTCTTCTCAACAATTATCTTCATTTTGCTTTTTCACCCTTGTAGCGCACATGCATGTATATTGCACACATATGCATTTTTTATTGCATGTATATTGTAGCATATATATGATTTTCTAACCTCCATTCCAACGTTTGCTTAGTTCTTGGACCCAGTAGAAGCTGGTCATTTAACTCGTGTGGAAATAACATTCACCAATAGGCTGAATGTTAACATGACCAACCTCGTTTACAGTGTGAGTGGAAAGGGGCTTACAGTGCTTCAGGTCCAGCAAAGGTACGCAAAGAATAATTTTTCGTTGGGCCACTACGTTCGAGTGCCGTTAACCTGCATTTACTTAATATATATTAAGTTAGTTGCACACATCCATGCATGATGTGTGCCTTTTTGTGGTCTGTCATTCAATAAACTCAATAAACTGTGTAAAGTGGTCTGTCCAACTCTTGCAGTTCAATAAACTCACTCAAATATCCGCCGCAGCTATAGCGCTACCAGTCCAACTAAATTACTGTTTTTGTTGACGAAAATTCTAGTGGAAATGTCGGTATTCTCGAGGTGGAAAGAGTGATATTCAGACTAATACCATTTAAAGCTGGCAAACATACATTGTGCGTTGACATCGATAGTGTGCAGGTGAAAGATTTGAAATGCTTCGTGGAAGTACAATGCTATTAACTTTTTCCTTTTTTATATAATATTTAGATATAGCATAAAATTCAATGTATACCCATGCAGTGAGATAAAAATAATTGTTCACACGATATCTTTTGATGGTAATAAATGGTAATTCACAATGGCCAAGTGCATGACAAGTTTATGTTGCATTTTAAAAGAAAATCAAATCTATAAAGCATGTCGGCCGGGTATAAAAGAAATTATAAGTATTAGAGCAAATATTGTAATTAATATATAGAGTGCACATGCACTGCACCCATGCAGGTCAGCAGTAGATATAGTTTTAACCCGTTTTTTGCATGATAAGGCTATCTAGTCTTAGCAAATTTTCACTAAAATATAGAAAAGTTAGAGTCCAAAATTATAGTTTTGCTCGAGACAAGGGACTTTAGTTGTATTATTCACATGTTGGTTTAATATCTAAACTTGAGAATATCGGAATACAAGAAACAATTTTTGATCAATTCAGGGAAACTTTATCTACAACTATTCTTCTTATCTATTCAATTTTAATTCATAGAATTAGTCCTGCCCCGTGCATTCCGAACTTTCTCAAAATCACCATTCATAAAAACTTCTACACGTTGCTACCAAATTGCGCTATAGTATAATTATCTACAATCCCCATCAAAGCCCTAAACACTTGTTCCGTTATATTGATCAATACCAGTCGTAAGAGCAACATCCTTATAGTCCATTGTCCACTTCGATTCCACACCTACAGTGTCCGTCAGTGAATCATGGGAACTGTGCGCGTTTTGTATTCTTCTGGTGCTGATATTTTCTGAATTGTATGTTACATCAGACCGAACGGACTGTGCTTTTAGCCATTCCTCGGTCTCGTCTAGGATTGACTGTGTTTGTGTTGACATGAAATATTGGTCTGTTCGTTTCCTACAGAGAAATCTCATTAATGTTAATGTAAAAAACTTAACTACACATAGCTATATGATACAATGGTGGATCATAACTGCACATAGCGTGGTACAATGGTGGACTCAAATTGTTAACAATGATTTATGTATTGTATATAGTCGCCGCTATATACATGCAATATTCTTTTGATCCTTTATATATATATATCCATTCGATCTTGTATACGATAATATTCTTACCAACATATATTTGTAATCTAATAAGCGTTTGATATGAATAGCCTACAGAATCATTATTTTTAACGACAAACAAGGATGTGGTGATCGGGGTAAATGGTCAGTAAAAAAATCGGAAGCTTAGTACCTAACTTGCGAGATACACATTATTGCAGAGTGAAGAGGTAAGATATTGGACTCACCCTGACTGTCCAAGAAACAAAGCTTTCCTGGTCTCAGTGTCTGTGCACCTACACAACTTTAACGCTTCTTGCAATTCCTGAACCTGACGTCTATAACGATCTTCTAGTTTCTGATAAGCATTTGCAACCTTCTGCTGTTCTTCGTATTTTCTCTTCCAGTCGCGTCTTTCACGTTCAAAATTTTTCTCAAGATCTTCTTTCTGCTTTGTTAAAACTTTCATTTGTTTCATGTATGTTTTAAGTTTATCCAAATATTCGCCCTTGTTCAGATTATGAATGTTACACGAATTATCCCAAGCAAAGCTTTCCAAACTGCTGCAGAGGGAATTCACCATCTCCTGGTGCCGATCGGATACCACAAGAGGAACCAAGTTGATTCTAGCCAATCTTTCTTCATACATTTCCCTAGTGGTTCTGGTCTTACCAAGTACGTGATCCTTTTCTTGAATATGTTCTTGTTCAAGTACATCTTCGCCGTTACTTTGTACGATCGCAGTAGACACGTGTATAGCCGGCAAACTGCTGGATAATGTAATAGGGCGTGGTCGTGTTTGTTCACTCAAAGGGGATGCCTTGATGTATTCAACATTTGGCTCAAAATCCACTTTTGAAACAAATTCGGTACTTGGTGCAAAAATCTCCTTGGGAACATATCCAGTTTTTGGTTTGATATCAGCAGTAGTACCATAAGATGGTTTGATATCAGCAGTAGCACCATATGGTTTGTTATCAGCAGTAGCACCATACGTTGGTTTAATATCTACAATAGCACCATATGTTGTTTTGTTATCAGCAGTAGCACCATATGTTGGTTTGTTATCAGCAGTAGCACCATAAGCTGGTTTGATATCTGCAGTAGCACCGTATGTTGGTGTGATATCTGCAGGAGGACCATAAACCGGTTTGATATCTGCAGCTGGGGAATATTCAATATTTGGTTTAAAATCCATTCTAGGTCCATAATCGACCTTCGACTGCTTAAAATCCAATGTTGGAGTATTTTCAAGATCGTTTTTATAAACAGGAGGTGGAGGTCTTGCCACAATTTCCTCTACACTGCTGTAAAAATTTTTTGGTAAGGGTGGGCGTTCTGGTGGCACTTCGGACTCATTGTCCAACAAATCTTTCCCTTCATCCGCTTCTTTCCACAATTCATTTATTTCTTTATTAACAGCAGATGTTTTAAGTTCCATCACGTTAGATCTTTGAACCCTTTCGTCTACAAATTGCTTCTCGGGTTCAACAGGTTGTTTTCTCAAATACTCGACCTCTGCATCACTATCACTGATAAACATCTTCTTTTGGTTCTTTCCTTTTGGCGACAGCTCGCCCAACTCGCCATGAGGGACTTCATTTTCTTGATGGTCGAAACCTACTAAACCAATTGCAGTGTGTCGCTTCCATTTCTGGTCTTCCTGAACAGGCGGTTTTGTCCTCAATTCAACAGTGTGTCGTTTCGGTTTGACGGCTGCCCTCGTTGTAACCAGGCTTGCTTCATTCTTAACATTTAAAACTTCTTTCTCGTTAGCAGGCTCTACAACATTACTTCTCACCTCCCCGCTTTGCATTTTCCGTGGAGATGGGCTGTCTGAGCTGCTCTTATTTCCGGCAAAGGTAACCTTTGCTGCATTTTGTTTCGCGTGCGATTGTTTAGTCTCAATTTCGGGAACGATTTTCACTTTCACTAAACGACCTTCGTGCGCTTTCCCTACAGACGATGGTTTCTTCATTGAAGCGGCACTTTTCGCAACCTCCGCTATCTGAATCTCGTGAATTTTTATTAGTTGACGCAGTCCCAGAGGTCTGGACTCGTCGGTTCGACCGACCTCGGAACGACTTTGCGGGGAACCACAATCCAGTCTATTTCCACCATCAAGCCTACTGGGAACATCGCGTTTATGGTCTTTTACTTGTGTGATTGCAGGCTTGTCTTGTCCTGATGTATTCAGTGGAATTTTACCTGGCGCACTTTTGATTGTATTCTTACTTGAAGTATCCAAATTAGTATTAGCATTCCCTTTTGACTCGAAGTTGTCAATGTCACCACTACCATTAGTTTGTGGGATTTCCCTGGGAGTTTTATACCCAGCGGTTTCATCGCGAATAGGTATAGTCATACCAGTAGCCTCGCGGACTTTATAATCAGATTTCCTACTAGGACTATCTTCCCAACTTTCTTCAAATCTAACTTTACTTACGTTAAAATTCCTGTTATTTTTACTAACGAACTGGCCAGTTTGACCCTCGTACACGTTTTGGGTTTCCGGTTGCGGTGGTACTTTTCGGTTATTTGGTAAGAAACCATTGATTTTTTCAGGCGATTTGTTATTTATTCCATTCTGTTGGTTTAAACGCGATCGTCTTCCCTGTCCCTCGCCTGCAGCCTCAGAAAGTCTTGAAGGAGTAACCACTGCATGTCGATAGTAACCATCATCACCATTTGTTACGCAACTAACAGTATAGGAAGAGCTCACAGGCTGCGCTGTTAAAACTTGTCCATCATCCTTATTGTGTTCACCGAAACAACGTTCTTTGGAATATTGTTCTGTACTTATCGGTTTTCTCATTGTTTTGTTACTTGTTTCATGTTCTTCATCCAAGTTTAGCGATCTATTAAAAAGAAAACTGCCAGGTTAATCATGCCAGGATGATTATGCTAAGAACGAGTAATAAATTACTAAAAAACTGATTTAGCAGAAAACTGGTTTAAAATATGAAATCACAGCACACCATACTGTACTATCACTATATAAAAAGTTCAAAGACATAGAGAGGACATTGACATTCACCATTATGAAGAACTGATTTCCTAATTACAACCTCATCAAGAAAACTATTGCATGCAAGTTACTGAAAACATGCTTGTTTACTATTTTGACCCATGGTTCATCGCGCTTTTTATTTAAATAACAGTACTTTTTAATATTCTGTGATTTTTCTTACTAACAAAAGCGGCTGTCCCATAGTTAAGTTCGAGGTCGGGACTCGGGATTGTATATCTATTTCATAGTTAAATTACTTTCTAAGACCCACAGTTTGATCGAATAAAACCAGCGGACTGCATGCAGGTGTTAAACTCTATAAAGCGCGCGAGGAAGTGATCAGGATAGAGGATTAGCCCCGAGAAATACCTGATCGAACTGGTTTCTACACAAAGTGGTGAATAACATTTCAGTAGAATGAAATTATCACTTCAGAGTTCAGGCTTCTATAAACTTTACTAAAGTTGGAAAGAAGACATCAGTTTGCTTCATTTATCAAGCGATGCTAAGTAGTTAGAGTAGCTTCCAATACTGTAAATCCTAAATCTTTCAAACGTACGTGACAAATTCTGTTATTTAATATCCATTTTCTTTTTTTTTTAATGAAAATTTAATCTCACACACCTTACGTCAATCGTTACCTAATCGAGAGATTACGCAATAAGCCAATAGCGATGTAGCAAAAACGTTAAGCCCACCCTTTGAAATAAGATCAGTGTTCATTTCAACGTGATACTGATAAGGATAAAAAGTACGTAATTAGGAAACATTTCGATTAAAAGTAACAACTGTTACACAGACAAAGCTTTTAGCTTGTTCATGCACTATAATTTAGCTTTTTTTTCCACTGCTTTAAGTGTGATATTGTGTGATATCTTCGAAAATACCATACGCACGATTGAGAAACAATAAGATGGAGTGTGTCAGCTGCATATTGGACGAGAAGCTTGAGTAATGGGGCAAAAAATTTCCTGTTATACTATTGATTTAAAAGTTTCTTCATTTTACACCTTTTATGTGTATTTCCACCCAATATAATTTGTTTTGCATGTGACAAAATCCCAGAATTTGAGTCAGATTCCAAAATATGCACAGTACTCATAGCAATAAGTTAAAACAAAACTCCAAGCATTCTCTCTGATAACATTGTTACGAAATTATCAGGGGCAACAAATATTTAATGAATTCATTTTGTAAGACACTATATTTGAAATGGACTAGAAGATGGAAAATGAAAAAAAGATTCCCAAAAATGTCCAGAAACCTAGCTTGCATTGTTGCCAAATTAGTTTTGCATCATGCTAATAAGCCCGATAAATTGTGTTTTTATTCTCATTCTGTAAAGCAGCAGCAATTTAAGTAAAACATAATTATAAAAGTCAAGTGGAGATTTCCACATACAATAATTGTTGCTATCCAAATCTCTATTTTTGACAACTGGTAACAAGGGACTACATTTATATTAGACCACTGAATGAGAAATCTTCAGATCTGAGTTTTAGATCTGAGTTTTAATGGATCAATAAAGGGGTTGTGAGTACTAGGGAGAGCACATATAGTGGGTAAGTGCATAAATTGTTGAAACTCAACATTACAGGGTGCTCCCTTACCACCTACTGAGCTAGTGCCTAATAAATTAATACAAGGATTCCTTCAATTTTGTGAATGTGTGCAAAAATTATTTTTTAATTCCAATTCTAAGTCATTCCATGAGTGACCTTAAAACAAAGGCAAGACTATCTACAATTGATCATTATTATTAGGAAAACAACACAAGAACAGAAAATATTGGGCAATATAGAAACTATAGTACCAATAAAGTAAATATGATTAAGATTAGTTCAGATATATAAAGAAGAAAACTCAGAGCTAATGCTAACCATGAGATAAGAGCATAAAAACAAAAGAGCGTGTTACAATTGTCAAACTTTAACTTTGATAAATAATTTTGACAATATTAATGAAACATAGAACTGTTGTTGCATAGAACTATTACAAAACTATCTGTCACTGTCCCCTAATGCTTAGCACCCACAATACTTTAATTACTTGCCAAGCATTTTACCTTAGCTACAGTAGCAATATCCCTGCATCCAATACAAACAACTCCTGAATGTAATATATACAATACATACAAAACCCAATTGAATAAACTAACATACACTCATATAAATAAAAACTATTATTAATACCTTAGTACTTTGTATTAACGTTGACAGGGAAGAGTATACAGCGTGACATATTATTAGCATTGTTCTCTATTTAATAAAATATTATTATATGTTGTTTACCTTCTAATTGGTGGGTGTACAGTGCCATTTATTGGCCAAGTCGCACTCATATAGAACTCATCTTGTTCGTAAGATTGACTTCTTTGTTGCTGTTTCAAACGTTTATTTCGAGGTCCTTTTCGTCCGGAAACATAGGCACAATTGATGTCGCCCTGTTTAGAATTTTGTTTTCGCCTAGTTTTACTTCTCGATCTCCGATATGCTGATCTTTCCAATTGAGCAGCTAGCCTACTTGATGCCGAACTATCCGGAGTTGAAGATCGACTGTATCCATATTCAACATGTGTCATTTCTCGTGATCCATACGATTCTATTGTGTCTGATGACATAGACAACATTCTCAAATTGTTTTTTTCTCTTCCAATCAAAGGATATTTATAAAAGTTCGCAATATTTACTTAAATTTTAAATTTACATTAATGAATATATTAGTATGTTACGAAAGGTGACGATTGACAGCGAGACGTTCCGAAGAATAATTACCCCGGAATATTGAAAATATCTTAAGAAATAAGGGGGGGGGGTAGTGATGCCTATGGTAGATTTAAACTGGTAAAAGTATGGTGTACATAGTGAAATGAAACATGCACAGTTCACTGGGTGTACATTTGATTTGATCGTTTCTGGGTGATGTCATTGGTCCTTGTAGGAAATTATTTTAAACGTGTTTTTATACTATCCCGCTACAGACCAGGAAGATATCAACAAAGGACGGATTTTAGACAAAATAGACAATACAACATGGGCAGTGATACCGAAAATCATCTAGTATGGGTTGACCTTGAGGTACAAACTGATGTGTACTCCATTGTGAGGATTTAGTAATTTTCTAAAGTAAACCCTGTTGGGAGAAATGATTCATATATAATTCAGTTAAAAATGATCAATTTAGAAACATTGTAACAAGTAATTTCATTAGAGTATTTGGGATGGATATACTGGGGGGTCGGGGGCAGTGTCCTAGTCCAGAGGACTGCAAGAGGGGGCTCAAATTTGTTATAAATTCAAATTTGGGGTATTATGTATCCAATTATAAGTATTTTGGTGTATTTGAAAGTTTAGAGGTGTCTTACAATTCAGGTGGCAGCTTATGGTCCCATTTTATAATTTTTGAAATAAACATTCATCCTATGGCCCAGCTAGCTTGAGCCATTGACAAACTACCCTGGACCCATCCCTACATTAACATTAACAGTCATCCCTGAATAGTAATTGACCAAAATAATTATTTTCATGTGATAATGGTGGCAATCTTGGCAACAACTTTATATTATTCTAGATGACAGGTATGATAAAATGAAATAATTTTATTACATAATAACTATATATGTTGAGTACAATAGTAAAATTAGACTTGTCAATTTAGTTTGTCTTGCATGACAAATGAAAGAAGGGCATCATGAAGTCATGCATGTAAACAATACATAATTACAGTAGTAACTTAGGTAATTATCATGTTGTTATTGCTATATTGGACGTTTAATAAATAATAATTCTTATGCCAAATGTTTTTCTACAAGGGCTGGATGATCAGAAAGACAAAATCCTGGAAATTGCCTGTTTAATTACTGACACTAACCTAAATGTCATTGCTGAGGTACGTAATTATTGATTTGGCCAAGTAAAATGAGTATGTATATACTGCATGTTGAGATGAGCATGTTGTGTTACTGTAGTTTCACACGAGAAGAACCACTGGTTAGAATGAATAAAAATTCATATTAATATCAGTAAATTAGAATTTAAGAGGCTTTGTCAAGACACACTTACTCTTTTAAGGTAATAATAAGGGCTGTGGATTCCTATATATTAATATGCCTTTCTGAGTTGCCATAAGAATTATAACATGGATTATCACCAGTTGTGTGAAATTGGCATCTGGAGCAATCTGCTTCTCTAAATATACACTTTTATAAAACTTGTTAAAGAAAAATATTAGTAAATATTTTAGGGGCCTGATATTATTATTCATCAACCTAAGTCTGTGTTGGAGTCCATGGGTGACTGGTGCAGAAAACACCATGGCGAGGTACAGTAGATGGTTTTATATGTTTTAATGTTGTTGCTATCATGCTAAGTATGCATTTTAAAATGCATTAATAAGTTTACTTTTAGTCAGGATTGACAAAGGCTGTTCTGGAGTCAAAGACTAGTGTGGAAGATGCAGAAGATATGGTGTTAAATTTTGTGAAAGAGCATACAACACCAAAGAGATGTCTTCTTGCTGGAAATTCTGTCCATGTAGACAAAATGTTTTTGACAAGATATATGCCAAAATTTGTGGATCATCTTCATTACAGGATTATTGATGTTAGCACTGTGAAAGAACTATGCAAGTATGAAATTCTTTATCAGTGCCAGTGACGCATTTCATTGTGCTCAGTAGTGTATCACGTTTCCGTAAATGGATTTCTAGAGGACGGAAGAATTTCTAAACGATCGGAAAATAGATGGTTTACCAAATGTTCTACTGCATACGTTTTTCGTAGAAATTCATAAACTTTCATAAACTTGGTTTTAGCTCTTTTGCCATTTCTTTTCCCACACGTCTAAAATGTTAGGCTTAGAGAAAGTCTTTCATACATTTGATTCCTTCTTGTCATCATATCACATGTTTTGTCAAACGTCAAAGCATGAAAACTTACAATACTGTAACGGAGAACTTTACTAACAAAGCTCAGTCTTATAAATGAAAATAAGAGATTATAAATATTTGAATGAAATTCACTTGGTAACTGGAGTGTAAGGATTGATGTTATTATTTTTCAAGTGTAATGGAATTTTGTGGTTGTTGTATAGACACTGGTATCCCGAAGCATTCTTGCAGGCTCCAAGGAAAGCAGGAAGTCACAGGTACATACTGTTAATTTACTCGCTTTAATTATCTGAGAAATGTGAAAAGACAAGAGTGAACGATAAAAGTAAAATTGTCTTCTATATTTAGTCTGTGATTTAGTCTACCATTGCCATTGATCCATGTGCAGTTTAATAATGCGCCGCGGTTGATTTAATTATTAATGAATATTGATTTAGCGCTATTTTTTACATAGAAAGGCATGATTTAAAAAAAAGCCTGTGCCGTGTTTAATTTTTTATTCATTTCCCTGTATATAGAGCTCTTGATGATATCAAGGAAAGTCTTGCAGAACTAAAATTCTATAGGTCAGCAGTATTCAAATGAATATACATGGTGCATGAAAGCTGATGTGATCAGATCTTGGTCCTACGAGTATATATTGGAAAAATGAAGACGAAAATTTCCTCAGAGCAAGCTGAACTTTTCGTGCTGTATACATTTCTTCTGGTTCTTAAGAAAACGTTAGAATTTCCATATATTGCCAAATGGTAAATACTGGAATTATTCTCTTACTAAAAAGTATTCCCTGCCTATGGAGAAAAAGTTCAATAAGAAAAACACAATCCTTAAAGTGGAGGTCAACTCCTTTTTGCACAGCGCTTCCACTTAAGCATTGAAAAATATCCATAGCTGAATAGATTTTAGGTTAAAATCACGCAACCTTATATAAGGACTGGTTATAGAACAAATTTACCACACAAGTGAACATGCAAATACTTTTGTGTTTACGTTATTACGTTTATAATCTGTTGCAACCGTACAATGAGTCCAGTACGTCTTTTTGATGTGGGTATTCCAAACCATCCAAGAAGTTTTGAACAATAGTCTCCCCGTATGCATCTTTCTCTGTCAACCAGTCCGGGATCATTTCGTCTTTGACCTCAACAACAGCGATCTGAAATGGCGAGGAAACATATCGAAATACGACATATTTATGGATGTAGATCCAACCAACTGTCATTGCAGCGATGCGTTCAAACCATTCTGACAACTCGGGATGACAACTCTTTCCTTCTTTTACGAACAAGTACATTTGTTGTATAATTCTGTCGAGTATTTTAGAGACTTTCGTAGTCGCTGCTTTCATATCGGTCACTTCATTTTGTGCATACCAAACTTTTATAACACTATCAGTGTCGTCCAGTTTGTCTCGTTCGTACGAGTACAAATCGTTAATAACGACACAAAAAAGGGTACTCAGCAGGTAAAATTTGTATAACTCGCTCGTAGGTAACATTTGATTCCTCACGAGTGTTTTACTGAAGACTTCAGTAGACATGTACACTGCAATGGACAACGCATCAAAACATCTTCTATACAGCATCTCGTTCTCCGAAATCTTACATCCGGTTTTAGTTTTAGACAATATTGCATTAAAATAAACCGCAATAGCATTCGACAAACGATTTCTATAATTCAGCACACTTTCCTCGCATATCTCTCCTTCAAGTAAAATCATTGTAGTTCTGTTCACATAGTCGACTACAGTTACGATTGCCGATCTTGAAAATTTGTTTCTCGCTTCACCGAGTAACTTCCAAACTTTAGAAATGCTTGGCAACTTCGGAAGCGTTTTTGATACCTGATTTTGTAGAAAGTTGTACCCATCGATGAGTTCTTGCATTTCTTTTTCGCTGTATTTTTCAATCGTATCATCAATGACATAACCCATAACCAAGAAGTGCAAGTTGAGTTGGAATAGTTTTTTGCCCGTCTGATCTTCAGGAAGGATTGGAAACAAACATCGGAGATAACGATACGCGTTAAGGTTATCGAAAACGGATTTTGATGCTGCTTCCGTGGTTAAACCTGTTTCTTTTACCCAGAGCAAAAGTTTGTCCAGAGCGATGAGCTCTTTGTCTTCTTCATGTTCTGCCAACATCTTTTTATGGGAAATTGTCCATTTTTCTGGGACGCGAACGTTATCGGAAAACATTCTTTTTTTTGGAAAAACTACTAAAATGCTTCGATAAAAATATTCGCAACGGCTGTAACCTTGTAGCTTTTATATAGTCTAGACTAGGCGGAAGTTTCTATTTTTTCGTAAAAGACCGCGTATGGTACTGACGATTACGGCTAGACTTGTTTTTTTTTTACCATAGCACATTCGTAAGCATAACAGATCAAGCATCAGTCCTCGACTTTAATATATACAAAAAAATTATATTCCCGAGGAAAATAATATCAACAAAAATGTTGTCGAAGGCATAGCTCCGTAATGTGCTATTCAGGGCAGTATCGATGCTCTGCAAATTATAGTGATCCCAGTTTTAAATACTTATAAGTTTAAGCTTCCATTGTGGACTTTACCTCAGCCAAAAGCTCTCGTCTGGGGAAAACATGCCATAGAGCCTATAGCTAAATACCACGCGTAGATGTTACCTATGATAATGTTTACGTGTGCGACAGGTATAGCCATCGTGTTTCTTCTTATTTATAATTTTTTTTGTTTTTTGCGCAGGCACGGTGCTATTGCGGGGAGGGGACACTTTATACCCAAGATAATTTGCTTTACCATTTCTTATACTTGCCGGGCGAAGTGATGCACGACATAATTTAAAACTTTTAATAATTTTAACCGAACTTTTCACAAAAAAATATGACGTTCCTTTCCCCATTGTATGTGTCGATAGTTGTTTCATTATGACTCCCCCCTCACTTTTTCGCAGTAAACAAAATTGATTTCTAAGAAATATCGTATATTCTCTGCCCTAAGCCCAGTAATATTTGGTGAATTCTAGTTCGGGATGTGCTTTTCTAGCCGTTCTAGCAGGTTTAATTAATGAAATTTTCTTGCGCGTTACCCGACCATGATGAATCCTATGAGGCAAATCAACTCTTAGGACACCCTACCACCCACCCTTCCCAGGTTCAAATTCTTGGCACACTGGCACCGTCCCTGTTGCGAAACTGCGACCTTGCGGAAACCGCTATCAGAAAATGGCGCTGTTTTTAACCTATTTTTCTTATTGTGACTATAGTTTTTAGGCAAATGGGGATCCGATTATTCAACAAAAATGGGCTAAAATTAAATTAGACTTTGTGTTAGGTCATTTTTCGTGGCTGGGACGAACAGAATTCAGCGAGGCGGTTATTGGTCTGTACCTGTCACGAACAGGAAAATTTTCTCACAAATGATCCGGCAGAAGGTTTCGCTCAATATTCAAATGATTTGATTCCTATTTAAGAATAAACTACGGACAACAAGTACGTTTTATCACTTCATCGAAAGTTTTAGAGTTATAGGGAGAGCATTTTCCCCTTAAATTTTTTATCTTTGTTTTCATACTGTGAGGAATTCTCGTCCACCTTAGGATGGTTTCACGATTGCTTCGCTGATGATTCACAATTGCTGTGCTATCTTATGCATGCATGCAAACTCGCGATAACAATGTCGAATGAATTTTTGCCTTCTATATATCGTTTAGAATGCAACTTAAAGGCCTGGTTGCGATTATCACCGGTGGTGCAAAGGGAATTGGAAAAGCAATTGTCGAATCACTGCTTGAAGAGCAAGTAAAGGTAAAAATCATATACCTTTTTGATATATTATAAAAAGAATCATTTTGATACAGAAGACAAGATATGAGGAATATAATTTTCATCCAAACGTATGTCTACTCCTCCTGTGTCTTTGTTTAAGACGAAGAGATAAATTAAGAAACGAGTAGGTAGATTGTAAATTTTTTTAGAGAAAGCGGATCTTTCACGATTTTTATTTTTTCTCACAAAGAATTTTCTGTTAAAGGTTTACGTATTTGATGTAGACGAGGAGGAAATGAAGAAAGCTCAGAAAAGATTTGACGAAGAGTACGGAAAAGGACAGGCTGTGTGCATAAAATGTGATGTGACATGTCAAGATGCATTTGAAAGTAATTATAAATTTCTATTAACTTTCAAGAGATATTTATCCAGCAATCGCGAGGCGATGACGACGAAACATTAAAAAATTGCTCTATGTTTTATGTATAGATGCTGTTGAAAGAATTTTTCAGGAACAAAACCGCCTCGACATCCTATGCAACAATGCTGGAATTCCACCAACGTCTGACATCAAAAAATTGATTGATACCAATTTGGTGAGTATAGAGTGAGAAATGTTAACCCGATCTTCGACCATGGTGCATAGCGTGATGCAAAGTTAGATGTGGCATCAATGTACCATACATAACATAGAAGATCGTATAGCATGGAATTATCATTCTCTTGGAAGTGTAGAAATCACCCACTTTACCGTCCAATTATTGAGCCCAATTGCAATCTTATACTTTCACGTTCTTTCCCAGTGGCAGTGATGTCACAGAATTTGTTATTAGGTTAGGATAGGAAATCAGAGATGATGAGGCACAATTAATAGTTAGACATCCAACATAAAATAATATCACGGAAGAAAAAATTATTTTGTTACTTGCCATGCGTGAATATGTAAAAGTATGTGTTTTTTCTTATATTATTCATGAATCAAAGACATCAGTAATACGTGGCACGATTATTGCTATGAAATACATGGATACTAAGACTGGTGGGCGTGGTGGAAATATTATCCAAATGGGATCTATGTCTGGTAAACCGATCGAATGGCACCCCTAAAATACGCAGTTATTACATAGTTATTATAGGTTTTTTTCTTACAATTGGTTTGAAATCTTGTTTGAAAACTAGCATTGCACTGACTATACCATGCATGCAAGGCTTCAAGCATTTCAATTATATTTGATTAATTTTTCCGTATCGTTTTATTCATGCAATAATTTATCGCTTTTATTCTATGATGTTAGGTCTTTCTTATTATCCAGCTCATTGCGAGTACACTGCTGCAAAACATGGCATCATTGGATTCACAAAAGGCTTTGCTAAGGTAAGTAGCCTCCATAACATGATACAATGTGATACAATGTCAGCTATGCATGCTTGCGATGACCAGTATCATTCATGCCTGTCGCTATATTGGATTCTTTACATAATCGTTGCAACACTTGCATGAGTTAAATCTGAAAGTTTTTAGCGAGTTTTTAGCATATATATATATATATATATATATATATATATATATATATATATATATATATATATATATATATATATAGGCTTCGTTTCTTAAGCCATGAATCAGAGAAGCTAGGGGAGGATAGGAAACTCGTTGTTCTATGTTTTTGTTTTCGCTGGAGTCTGGAGATGCATGGCAAATTTGTGGCTTTTTATTTTCTAACCAATAAAACATATCTATATATATTCTTTCAACATCAAGCTAATTTTTGCTAAAAGATAATGCGGTTGCTTGATTTTCTTTACTTATTATACGAGCCATGGTCAAATGCCAGGCGAGAATAATTTTATGCTGTAAGACAATGATGAGAAATGTTCTTGATATTTTTTAGGAGGCATTTAGTAAAGGTGTTCGTATCAATTGCATTTGTCCATCATGTGTGGACACAGACATGTTGAGAATAGTAACGAAAGATAATCCAATTATGCAGCAAGCGGTGGAGGCAATGGGCGTACAAACGTAAGTAAATTTACTCTGTGCTGCTACTTTATAAATATTACCGCATCGTTCTTTCTCGGGGAAGTTTTCACAAGAGAGAATCTACTGGCTTCTGCATCTAAAAAAAATTGGAGTTATGTTAGAATTGTAATCAGATAACTTCATGTTCAGTAAACCCAGTTCTTAAACGATTGATAACACCTTGCAAAATAACAATTTAAACGAAACCGATCCTCTTAGGGTTGATGTCGTGGCGAAAGGTTTTTTGGAACTTTTGCACGATGAAGAAAGGGTGGGAGAAGTTATGAGAATTACAGTGAAAAATGGAATTGACTTTCACAAATTTCCAGAGGAACCAGTCCCAATGTAAAGCATGCAAGTGTGGAAAAACATATGTTTACACATGATAGCGAATAAAATTTATATAGTCCCAATATTGTATTCGTCTTTTCACTATTGTAAATCCGATTGTAGGCCTTTGCCTCAGTCACAGACAGTGAATGACAGTTGGCGGATAGAAATAGCTAGAGGTCATTATTGATTGGATTATAAAGTTTTACACCGCAGATTCTTTGAATCATGAACGGTGCCTGGAAATAGCTTGCACGAACCGCAGAGTTCAACACACTTAGCTATGTTTCAATACCTTACAATCTTCACAAATTTTTATTCATTATTACTCTGCAGAACCTTTTTCGCAGTGATTATAATTATTTTTTTCTTCTTGATTGCAAATACTATGCTATAACATTCGGAAGGTCAAAAGTTTTCCCGCACTTTCTGAGGTGAATGTGCTGTTCAAATTTCAGTGGTGGACGTTCTGACTGTCACGGTTAGAATACTGCGGATGCATGTATGTATATGCCATGGAGAACTCATTTCAATACTTTTCCAATACTTTGTCTGTATTAGTTGTATTAGCTTAGACCAGTTCACTGTCTTAGGCATGCCTAATTCAACGAAAACGAAAGTAATATTCAGTTATGACTTATAATGAGTTGCATATATAATTAAAATCATCCCAGCCATAAGTAGCTACTGACAATTTACTGTGCATGATATAATATATTTCGTTTGCTTATGTTATGTCCGTATATTCGTTTGCTTTTGTTGTGTCCGTATAATTATTTTCGCACTTGTCTTTACACATTTGATAGACGAAACCTCTGGTCTAGCCCAAACAACAAGCGAGTATTCGTTCGTTTTCATTAAATTGTGCATGGCGGCAAAACACAAGCACCTCCTACTGTTGTCGCATATGTCTGTAGATTGTTCAAAGATCAATCTTGTACCATGCACATTCAAGTGCTGCTGGAAAAGAGGTTAGACGGTTTAAATTTGGCTGGCTTTACCACTGTCGTCAATCAAGATAGTTCAGCCTGAAGAAGGAAAGTATAATATTAATAGGAAGGTAAGCTATAATTATCCACAGTTTGATCAAGTCGTTTACGTTTAATTGTGTGTCACCTTTCCGATTCTTAAACACACGAAAACTATGACCGCAAGGAACCTAGTTCTAACAGGCTTTTAATATATCATTCCAATGAGATCAGACTGTTTCGTTTAACCGTTTCGTCCAAATTGCGAAGACAGTTCCCTCCCAGCCTTATGATTATATCATGCATGCAGTCCGTTAATTTGTAATATTATTGCCCCATCGCCCGTGCAGCGTTAACAAATTCGAACAAGAAAAGCATGCAAGTTCCGGGTGCAATGAATAGTTTAGACGAACCTCGCAGATAACCGCTATGGGTCTTGATGTATGATCAGACGAATTAGGATGAACAAGTCGGTGATTTAGTTTCCTTTAATAAAAATGGTTGGTAAATGGATGGTCTGACGTTCCGATATACGAGAAAAAAATGTTGCCAACAATTTGCTTCAGCAGGCGTGGCGTTGATCAAGGACTGGTATATCAATACTCTTCTGGATTTTTTCCTATAGATTCAGTTTCGGTGATGAATTCCAAAGTGAAGATAGAAGGCTCTGTAGCAATTGTCACTGGTGGGGCACGAGGAATAGGAAAAGCAATTACAGATGCCTTGTTACATAATAAAGCAAAGGTATGATATAGCCTATTATTAGGATTTTTTCCATTCCTTGTTAACCAAACTCTCTAAGGCCTAGTTCCTGATACGTCGCATTTTGGTCGCGTCGAATGCAATTCAAACAATCCATAATGATGGTAAACCTCATTATCATCTCATTAGCTATTGTTTGAATTGCATTCAACGCGACCGACATACTACATTATATACGTATAAACTGGGCCTAAGCATCTTTGACGGCAATTAATTGCGATCCTATAGTGGTGATTTTTGCCGGAAAATTGAAGAGGGAAGAATTTCACACTAGCCTCGTTTTTGCGCAACCCATATATACACAACTTCTTGCTCTTCTTCTCCAAGGCCTCTTGCTCTTTTTCGAATATTAGGTCTATTCAATATAGCTAAGCTCCTAGCGTAGCACCTTCTTATATAGGTTTATTTCCTGGATATTGATGTTGATGAAGGCAAAAATGTTCAAAATGAATTTGAAGACAAATTTGGTCAGGGAAAGGCAATATTTTTAGAATGCAACGTCACAAACTATGAGATTTTAGAAGGTATAACTAAAAAAAGTATATTGAAGACTTAAGCATATATTGTATAGTATACTGAAATAATGTTTAAACAACACTCTTCTTCAAAGCCATCATATCCAAAGTTGTGAAAGACAATGGCCATTTAGACATTCTTGTGAACAATGCTGGCATTGGACCAACAGATGATATTGAAAAATTAGTCAGCATTAACTTGGTGGGTGTAGGCATATTCGTGGATAATTTTTTTTAACATGACTGTCCGAAATAGCATGCGGTTTTTACTCGGTAGGAGTCAGAGTTATCTCAGATGGTATATATCTCTGGTTCGATTCAGTTCTATATATCCCTTAAATCCTGCATTGTCATCGACTAGTAATATTGCCTAAATTTCCTTAAATGAATTCATATATTTTATTTACAGGCAGCTGTTATTCGAGGTACTTTGCTTGGGGTTAAGTACATGGATAAAAAAAATGGTGGTCGTGGTGGTTGTATTGTTAATATGGGATCAGCAGGAGGTATACGCGAAAGTGCATGACACACTGAACTTAACTGGTTCAGTTTAACTTTTGCTGAAGTCTTTAACATCAAAGTTATCGATTATTATCTTTTCAGTGGAGTAGTTAAAATTTCAACGACAAAACGATTCTACAAGGTTCTTTATCTATCACGTCCCAATTTTAGCAGATTTTACATTTTACCTTCCGCCGGCGAAATTCATTTGCGACTTGCCTTCACTTGGCTCAAATTGATATTATATTTCTAATTTGAAGGACTTTGTTACATTCCGAATTCGAACTGCGCATATATTGCTTCTAAACATGGTGTTGTTGGATTTACGCGAACGTATGCGAAGGTGAATACGTTGAAATATTTTCATAATTTCATTCTAATCTTTCTTATTATTACTGCCTGATTGGGTTAACTCTAGTGGAGATTCCGGATTGGGAATCTATCAGAAATTCTGGAATACAAAAGGAGTTAACTTATAACTATAGTTAATGACAGGAATAATGGGGATTTATATAACTATAATCTTAATACTGAACGAAAATTAACACGAATTCGGTTAATAACCGCTTTTAGGTCGCTATTGAGTCTGGCATTCGCTTAAACTGCATTTGTCCATCTATTGTGGATACTGATCTGTTGAGAAAGTCTTTGGAAAGAGATCCGACCGTGCAGCAGTTCATTGATCAATTAGGAACACAGACGTACGTTAGTTTTTAACATATCGTGATTTGCTCATGGGACATATCAGCGCGGGAAGCGTCATATGCCACAAATCTCAAATACCACATGCCACCCGAATGTGATGCGTACATGTTTTATGGTTTTATACGGTTCGGTCGGTGGACGGTGGGACCCAACCACTGACTTTTTACCTCCGCTCCGTGGAACCCTTCTCAATTTGGGGCGGGGTTAAAACAATTATATTCTTTGTAACCCGAATTTTTAATTCTTTCATCATCAGATCTTAGGGCGTTTTCGGTTGATTCGTAAAGCTTCTTTTTTTTTACTCTATCGCGATAAGACTAAGGCAAACGGAAACTTGCTCATGACGGCTGATGTCTATAGAATATAGGGTATTATCTCGTGTTTGTGCCTAAAAATAAAAAATATTTTGCCCAAATAATAGACGTACCCCGTAATTAGGTGGTGAACTGCACTGCACCCCCCCCCCTCCCCAAGCACGTTACGCTCGTATGTTTAGCAAACCATACGTACAATGGCAATCTAAATTCAGTTGTAAATTCGGACTGGCTCAAACTATAGCAAATTACTGTTGCTTAGTACAATGATTTTACTATCAAGCTTTCTCTTTCAAAAAGGGTTGATGTTGTTGCAGAAGGTTTCATTCAACTTCTGAACGATGTAGATAAAGTTGGAGAAGCGATGAGAATCTCAGTTCAAAATAGAATTGATTATCACAAATTTTCAGAAGAGACTATTCCACTTTAACTCATGAAAATACTTTGCTTTGAATTATTAAAAAGTTATAATCAAAAATCATTCATTATCAGTTATTCTAGCTGGATAAATGCATGAAATCAGTCAAAGTGAAATTGTATTGTAATTTGTAGTTATACCATTATACTTCTGAATAAAAATTATATTAGTCCATATTTGCAAACTGCTTTCTCACACATCTGTATCGTGTTTAATCATGGATTTCTCAGGCTTTGCTTGTCATTAGATTATATCAATGTCAATGCCCCATTGCTCCTGTCCCACATGAACATTAATTTTGCATGCTCCCTTCTATAAATTGAATAGCACATTTTGCACTTTTTGCATAATTTTTGCATAATTTTTGCTTTGTTGGGCAGGAATTCAACATCAACGCAATTCAAATTTATTTGCAAATTTTTATATTTAAATTGTCAGATGTTTCTTTTTTACTATTTTTCCAAGTGAAACTTAATTCCAACACATAACAGTTAAGTCAATGTCAGCAAAAAGTTTAGTCATCTCCCATTGAGGAAGATGCTGTATCAGTGAATTGAGCAAGTTTAATATCATTTAAAGAAAGCCCACCACAAGAATGAGTTGAGTAGGTAATCTGGACCTTGTTATAAACATTAAACCATTCTGGATGGTGATCCATTTTTTCTGCTTCTAGTGCCACCCTTGTCATAAAACCAAATGCACGGTTGAAGTTTTTGAATAAGAATTCCTTGTGTATAGCATCCCGTCCATCAACCATTTTCCATCCATTTTCAAACAACGGTTTTAACAATGTTTCCTGCTCTGGTTCACCAAGTTTTCCAGGTCGAGCTGACTAAATTACAAAAGTTGAATGCAATTGAATGTAATGAAATGACAATCTCTGTGCATCCATCTACTCAGGGGCATCCAATGTTCAGTTACTTCAGTATAAATTGACATGTTATACACATTAAGTGTTCTAATATTTCCCCTATCACGAGTAACAGACTAGATTTCTCAAGAAATTATATATTTGTGTGACAACAACTTTGGGTATGAGTCTTTATGCGTTGCCATATCACCAGCTGGCCTGTTTAGTGAGAGGCTTATCAAAGTTCGCTAATGTAATCGTTAATCATTTTTTGTACTGAAATTACTAAAATGTTCAGTTGGGGTATAAGTACTATGAATAAATTAATAAAAGCGCGAGCTTCTATTTAAAATTTGGTATAAAAATGTGAACAAATACGAACAATATCAAATCTTTTTGCCTCTCAAAGAAATCAAATGAAAAATGGCAAAAAAATACTTACTTCGTTGCGGGGTTTCTTTGCTTCGGACGCCATGTTTAGACACATGGGTATAAATATAAATAGGTCGTATTTGGCGGGAAGAATGGTGTTTTCGATCACACCATCGTGCAACGTTCGACTGAAAATACCAGGTACTAGTTATACGAACACATCTATTGAAGACTCACCATTTTAGAAGATCTTTGTACACAGCGTTTCCAAGGTAGATTAGGCAGAAATTCAGAAACTTGCAAACGATGAAAGTATCGTATCATGAGAAACACTTGCAATTTGTATATTCTGGCTTCTTAATTATATTATTATGTAAATATAAAAAATAAAACAAAATAGCAAATGCGTACGTAGTAGCTCGTTATACGTTCGTTGCACAAATGTACTTTTCCGAGCCATTCACGATACATAAATGCGCCAACTGAAGGATGAATTTTAAAAGCCGAAGGCTTGACAAGTGGCAAAGTGGCCTGACAACACAACCCGACCTCAGTGAACCCGACAGGGAGGGTGATCATTCCATTGGTTGACCGTACAAAATCCACATGGCAGCAAAGGGAGAAACATCAGACGCACCAAGTAAAGATGATGATGAAGATGATTTGGACGCATTATTAGATAGTAGGTTTTAAAACATGCATTAAGACATCTCACATCCTAGTTCTATCATAAAGCCTGTAAAAGTATGTCAAATGGAGATTTCAGGTGTGTAGGTGGGGTAGAAGCAAGTACTTGGAGCAGCTAGACATCCAGTACGTACAGCAGCTTACTCAGCCTTATTGTCATCAACTGGTTAGGAAAATAGGGGACAAGCTGGACAACATGCATAAAATGTGACATGCATGACACCACAAAAGTGAGCCTTCTAGCTAGTCCAAGTCATTATGCTCTGGCAATGCAACTGATGATGAGCTCACTAGATTTGATACCTAATTTTTATTTCATAAGACATATTTGAAAATTGAAATCTTGGGCATAATTGCACAATTTGTTGTCCGGGGTAGATTAATACACTTATTTACTGCGAATGAAGGTAACATTATGTTTTGTACATATGGTTTTCTAAGTTCTTGGTAAGTAAGTTTTTTATTATATACCACTTGCTAAAGAAAAACCAAGCTACAAGGTAAACATCGGAATATCGATCTATTCATAAAAGACATAATTTCAAATGGATAAACAGTCTAAAGGTTGCACGTCCAGGTATGCCGCACCTGATAAAAGTTGTTATTTCCCATGGGATAACATGTTATCTCACTTGGCAGGGGATCGCGCGGCGACATCAAATTTCGTCACTCTCGCATGATTCACCCTCGACGAATGAAATGCTACGAACACCAAACTTTGACAAGTGGTGTAAAAATAATGAATATTATGCTTTGATTTTTTTCACAGTTACCGACATAACAAAATAAAATATTTTAATTAATAAATATGTTTGGCTGTATAGCATTGTAATTACAGATATGATCAGCCCCTATAGAGATAAAATTTTGCACTAGTACGATATAAGAGTAGTAAATTTTTTTATAAATTGACCATGTTACCTTGCAGGTGCACTGGAAGATTTTGAAAATTTGCCATCTTGCAAAAGTTCAATAAACAAAAGTGAGCCAAGCAAAACAAAAGACTCAGCATCATGTCTTAATCACACTCAGGAACCCTCATTTGACAACTGGGGTTTGGGTGAGAGTGACATAGAAGCAACTGCTGCAGAATTTGAAAAATCAATGAAAGAAATTTTAGGTGATGATAACGAACTTTTGAAACAGTGGAATGAATTTGCTGAAAATGCAGCTTTTTCAAATCCAGGTATATATCTTGCTCCCATGTTTCTTTTGCTATAATAGTAATGATACTTTACTCTACTAAAAAAATATATTAAAATAAACAATTAATAATATGTAGGCATTATGGCCTTGAAAACAAGATAAACTTTGACCAAAATATGAGATGACTACAGAACAAGAACTGCCATTTGCTTCCAAAATCTTCATTAATTAATATTCAAGAAAATATTAATAAATTCTAATTCATTTTTTCTTACATAGATATGCCTAATAATGAAAATGAATCATTACCACAAAATGCTGAAGAATTTGAAGCTCACTTATTAAAAACAATGAAAAATATAGCAGAAAATGCCAAGGAGATGTCAGTAAGTGATTAATACAAAAAGAAGTAACTTCTAAGAATAAAGCTGTCTAAAATATGTGAATTAAAACAAGACAAGTGTATGCAGCATTTTGTCCATAATTGTCATTTCAGACAGATTGAAATTTGAAATACAATATGTTTACATGCATGCAGTGAGAGTGGATTAATTGAAAGATTATTTATATATCAGGCCATGTTTTCCTCTTTTAAAGAGCACACCCGGTATGGATGAAAACTTTCTTAAAGCAATGGCAGACATGGGGGTTGATGGTCAGGATCCAGACTTAAATCAAGAAATATTTCCCATGATGCAAGGCATGATGATGAACTTATTATCAAAAGATGTTCTTTACCCAGCTTTGAATGACTTGAGAGCAAAGGTACAAAACATTAATTGTAATAAAATGGAAATTTCCACTGTGCTAAAACACAACTTTATGGTGTTATTGTAGCTAAACCATATATATATAATTTTCTTCTTCATTCTTGGCTAATAATGCCTATTATTACAGTCTACTCAAAGGAAGGGGAATGGGCTGTCATAATTATTTCTATGTGAATAATTTGGTATTACATATTAGCTAAATACAAGTTTTTCATAATTTATTTCTCAGCTAGGGCACTGGAATTACTTAGCACTTCATATTAACATTTAATGTTTTATTTTACAATATTTTAGTACCCTGGTTGGTTGGAAGAAAAGAAAGGCACCCTGCCAAGTAATGTTCACGAAAATTATTCAAAACAGTATGAATTAGTTTGTCAGATATGTTCTGAATATGATCAAGAAAGTGAGAAAGATTCAGTTGAAATTAAGAAGAAAAGATTTGACAAATTAATGGGGTTAATGCAAAAGGTAGGTAGTCAATTTAATATTTCTATTTATTTTTATCGTGGATGATACATACATGTCCTAATATGTAATATAGTTCCCTCACCTCTACTAAAAGGGGCTGATAAATGAGTTAAGTAACTCTTTTTTAACATTTTATTAATATTCATCATTCTATATGCTTTATTATGAAAATAATTTATTTGTTGTTATTCCAATCTCCACCCCATATTGATAAAACTGTATATGAACAGTGAAAATGTTTTATATTTCTTATTTATAATATACGTCTATATATTATTCTAACAATGTAATGGTAAGGCCTCTTATACAAATAATGTCTATCTTAGATGCAAAAATATGGTCAACCACCACAAGAACTGGTTGGTAACGGGGTAAGTGCTATGCAAGAAGATCATCTGGAGAAATTGTTTTTAAAAAATATCTGGGTTATTTCACATATTCCTAATCCTCAATGTTTTTTGTAGGTACAAGGGCAGGGTCCCTATGGAGAGAATTTTCAACCAGACAAATGTCCAGTTATGTGACAAAATAATACTAGAAGTAACGTCATTTCCATCAAGCGCAATCAGATATCCTGTCAATCGGCTATTAGTAAAACCAAGAGCAGCGGAACAGCAATAATCCGGAACAAAAAATAATTCTTTAAAATTCTTTAAAATTGGCATGAAAGAAAAAGACCATAGCTATAATTTTGTTGTTCTGTGTTCCGGATTATTGCTGTTCCGGTGTTCCTGGTTTGACTAATAGCCCCGTCAATCAGATATTACATCACTGGTAATATATGCATAGCAGCCGAATTACTTACTTCACTTACTTGCAGTATAGTATTAAAATTGATTTTAGATCAGATAATAAAGCAACTGTGACATTAATAAGATAGCCAGTATTTAGTATTATGGACGACGCATCCGACGACACATGTTTTGATTATTAATTTGATGAAGAAGTGGTTTATTTTACTTTTTTAAAAATTGTCAAAAAATATTATAAAAAATATCATCACAAACTGAAACAAGGTGTGTTTAGAAAAGTGAAATAATTGTTTATACTGACTTATAGCGGCCTGCGTTAGGCCAACTGATATACTGAATATACAAAAAGATTCAAATTTAAGATTGTTATATAATGTCAGAGAGAAGTGGGTCCGCTAATAATTCAGTAGCCGACAACAACCCTCAACAACCAACATATTTTATTCATATATTAACGTTTTAAGTATTTCATTGTTGTTGATGACGATGAGCTTGTTGTATGGGCTTGTTGTCGGTTCTTATCGGTTATTAGTAGAAACGGAGAAAAGTAGGTGTCCTTCCTATGCCTCTGGTCTTCCACAATGCACCGCCACTGTAGCTCATTATTACTCCGGCGTCAGCGACGGAGTTGAAAATTCGCCCCGGTTTTGTTTTGTTTTTGTTTTTTTTTTTTTTATTTTTTTTTTTATTATTTTTCGTCGTCGCAAGTCTGTAATGGCGCGAAATATACTAGTATTTGAATAGTGTATGTGATCGTATTTATCTACGTCCCAGTCTTATCTCCCAAGAGTTGTGGTGCACAGCTTTGGCTAATTTTCCAATGCGCGATTCGATTTCGCTCGCATGATATGGCAATTCCTCCAAGAGGAACAAATAAACCGTTCTTTTTATGCTGTTCGATTAAGTTTAGATTGAATTGGGGTAAGAATATATTTAATACATGTAGACTCGGTCCTATTTTAATAATATCGCTGCTATTTCGCCGTTTAACAAGATGATGTGGTCGTGTATGGGCGCGTTGACACGTCGCGTAGTTTGCACAGGATCGAAGATTTAATACAATATTATAAGCGCGAATTCCAAAGGCAAAGTGTAAGACGAAGCGAATGTATCATGCGGTTTATTTACATTTTTGAACAATTGAACTTCTATACTGCGATGTGCTTCTGAATTTTGCGATCGAACATTTAGGTTCGCAAGGCATCTAAATGCGAATATGTATGCGAAACAATACGCGAACTGTATTGTTTATGTTCAGAAGCTCTATATTGAAGACTGGCACGTGCGCCGGAGTTAACGCCAGAACGGCGTCTTGTTCCAAATCGTTACTCAGACTTACTACCATCGTGTTGTTCGATTAAGATCTGTTAAAATATATTGGATGGATTTGTGGTGTAATATAAAACAATATGTAGACTGTGACGTATACCAACACTGCAAAAATGTCAAAATGTATTATGTATAGGAGAACGAAACAGAATACGCATTGCGCAAAATGCAAATGTGGAATTGAAGCTCTGTTATTCTCATTGGTTATTCTAAAGTAACCCTCATTCACCACCAAACAACATGGCTTGCGTAAGGGCCTGTTTATATGAAGCAAGTTATCCCGGCTAGACGAGCCTGACGAGGTAAAAAGCGCACTGTGATCAGATCAAAGTCAAAGCCAGTCTCATTATATGCAGTTTTCACCTTGATTATGATATGTCACATGAAGTATCAGCTTTCTAGATTTACACATTACCGCTACCAGTGCTACCAGAAGGCTCCCTTTTAACTTTTATAACTTGGTGTTATGAATTTGAACTTGATTATTTATCAACTTTGCACAGTTCACCAGAATAATTATGTAAAACCACAAGCAATCGTTTTGTGCATTTCAGGTTCTGGTAATCGTATTTAAAAGTCCTACTGATTGTCGACATCCTCAAAATGGAGAAGAAATGGGAATGCTATGATTGCGAGAAGTCGTTCGATCGTTTGGCTGCCTTAAAACAACACGCTCGGGTTCACACCGGTGAGAAGCCACATGTCTGCGATGTTTGCCATAAGTGCTTTTCTCAGTCTACTAACTTGAACATTCATAAACGTATTCACACTGGCTCCAAGCCATACGCCTGTGACGTGTGTGATAAAAAATTTAGTCAACTCGGTAACATGCAAAGCCACAAAATACGCCATTCAGGGGTCAAACCATATTCCTGTGATGTGTGTCAGAAATATTTTGTGGATAAAAGGGACTTATCAAAGCACGAACTACGTCACACTGGAGTGAAGACTTGTGAATGTGACATTTGTCATAAGAAGTTTGCGCGAGGCACGTCTTTAAAGGTTCATAAGAGGATACACAGTGGAGAAAAACCGTACCACTGTGATCACTGTGGCAAAGGGTTTAGTCAAATTAGTAACTTGACTGCTCATAAAACTGTCCATTCCAAAGAGAAACTGTATAAATGCCAGATTTGCAATAAGGGGTTTGGTCACTTCAGTACATTAAGCAAACATAAGTTGACACATAATGACAACACATATGAATGTGATATTTGCAAAAAAGTGTTTAAACATCCCGGGCATTGGACAAGACACAGAAAATCCCATGTAGAACCTCAAGAGAAGGAATATGTATGTACAGTATGTACCAAGAGCTTCATTAAACCTGATTCACTGGAAAGTCATTTGAAAACTCACAGCAAGAGTTATGATTGTGATGTCTGCAACAGGACATTTGCAAATAGTACTGCATTAAAGCTCCATGCAAGAACACACACTGGTGAAAAACCTTATCAATGTCAGCTTTGTGACAAAAAATTTAGCCAATCGAGTAACTTGACTGCTCATCAAAATGTGCATACTCAAAAACGACCATACAAATGTCACCTTTGTGATAAGGCATTTGGCCATGTGAGTACACGAAACAAACATCTAAGAACCCATAAGAAAAATGTTGTTGAAGAAGAAATTATTTATACTCAAGAAACAGTTAAAAGTACCCAAGAACCTAATATCCAAAAACAAGATATCCATGGACAAGATAACCAAAAACATGAAAATATCCCAAAAGAAGATATTCAAGAGAGTGAAGCTTTTCATGGTATTGCAGAGCATGATCTCCAAGAACATAAAGTTGTCCAAGATAATGAAGTTATTCAAAAAGAAGGAATTCAAGGACAAGATGTTGAAGAACATGATCATGAACCAGAAGAAGGTAGACAAAATATCCCTGAAAAATATATTGGAGAACAAGATATTCAAGAACATGCAGTTATTGGAAAACAAGATGTCCCAAAACAAGATATTCAGGAAAAATGCATCCAAGAACAAGATGGGCATGAAGATCCAGCAGTTAAAAATTTAATACATATTCAAGAACCAGAGATTGAGATAACAGTTTTTGAAGAATTAGTTGTTCAAGAAGAAATACCAACAACTTGCATGATATTGGAATCAGGTGATGTTGATACTCCATTGCCTCCAATTGCATTGGTCTGTGAAATGTTAGAAACATCAAAAGAAATGCAGTGAAATTTAGTGTAAGGATCGTGATGCTTTTTTTAAAATAACCTTGACATTCTGCAAAAATTATTACCTTCTGCATGTTCTTCGTTGCATGTAGAATGGGTACACTTTACTATTTCTTGTGTACAAAGAGTATAGTCAATACTGTTATATAGTCGACATGTTAACGACTGCGCAGTGCGCATAAACTTTGTAATTGAATAAATTATTTATCATATAATTATGTAGCACACATAATTTTTCTTATGTATATTATTAACTAATAGGTAATAGCATAGATTCTCGTGCAATTTGCATTCCAGTGCAAATTGCACTCGAATCCATTCCATTATAACCATACAAATTCAAGCCTCTCTCTCTTTAATATCACGAAACATTCGATTGGTTACGGAAAAAAAATCCTCAGCGCCGGCCCGTAGGAACCGGGAAGCATTTGTGGCACATGCATCCCAACTTTCACAGTTGAGACTTTTGGAGACTGTGTAGCCATCAAAATTAAATTATATAGAGAGAAAAATTAAATATGGACCATGCAAAAGTTACGCGTGAAATAAATAAAATACAGACATAACGCACATGCCCTAAAATTTTAAGAATATTGAAAACTCGTGATTTAGATTTTCTAAATGGTGAATTTCTTACTGTTAGAAATTTGGAATGTTGGTTAATATATCTGGGAAACTTCAAATTATTTCCAATTATTTTAGCAAAAAGTTAGCAATTATTTTAGCAAATATCAAAACAATAGCGATTACTTCCGGTATAATATTTTAACCTTTGGCTGGCAGCTGGCTATTAATAAATTATCGTCTAGAAACATTTTATTTATATAAAAGGCTATGCCGACTGCCGAGCCCCGAGCTGGCCCGAGCAGATCGATTTGAAAAATTTTTATTTTACATTGATCAGTTGAACTAATTCGTGGCGCTCATTAGGAAAACGGCGTACTAGTATAATAAACCACTAAACCTGTAAAGTTATGTCTGATGAAATAGAGAATGAACGTTCACGTCTTTTGAATAAATGTTCGGGAGGTGATATCCAGGGCAATCAAACTTCTGATGAAATTTTCCCAGAAATGCACGAAGAAAATCGTGAACACGAACATGCTACCACGTACGTACTCGATTTTAAATCTATATATGATAAAATTTGATTACTATTATGGAGGTATACTGAAGATGAGTTCATTAATCGATTTTGCTCTCTTGTTTATATGGTTTTTGTGAAATTTTGTAAACATGGAAATGAAAGTGAATGTGTTAATAATAATATAATGATGTATTAATGAGTTCTAGGAAAGCTAATGCAATATATTCTCTGCACCAAAGTGAGGCTAGCTGGTAAACACATAATTGAAAACCTGTTTACACTTGCAATTTTTCCTGCAATTTTATGTGTGATTTTCTTTGTTTGGTAGATTTGAACAAGTGACTAGTTACAAATGATCATGGGCTGCAGAACGGGGGGCATGGTGCCCCCGCACTTTTTTTGAAAATACCAAAATGTACCCCCTTTTTCAAGTGAACATGCCCTTCTTTGAGTCTTTAAGTGTTTGTTATTGTAGTACATGAACTCAGACTATGTAGAGATTTGTATTTATCAAAACATTGCAGTTGTAATCAATAATTACGTGAAGTAATTCAGTGAATTTCACTGTTGTTGCAGATATATGGGGGTAAATGTGATATAGTTCTAATTGAGGAAGTGCCCTTTTTGTCAGTGCCCCCCCCCCCACTTTCTGAATGGTTCCACAGCCATTGCAAATAATGCTCTGATGGATAAGCTCTTATTTTAACAGCTGCTAACTAATTCACTTGTTCACATCTATCACGTACAAGAAGAAAAGTTGCACGAAAAATTGCAACAAGAAGATACCCCTACAATGCTGTGCTGTATATATCACACAAGATTTTTTCTGAAATCTGTTTGCATATACCCTAGAAAATCTTGAAACCTTTGAGGAAGGGGAGAGAGGGACACTGCCTCATGATATGGCAAAGGGGGTACACTTGCAAATTATTTTTTATCACCTGCAAAATGAATTCAGTTGCTGCTTTTGGATTTAATAAAAGTCATATTAAAGCACAGGGCCGCGTTTCCACACCGCGGGGCCCGTGTCATTTTCTTCGCGCGGGGACCCAAATTTTTGCTTTCTCTATAGTGACATAGCGTTCCTAAAAATGCAGTTAGAAGCACTGACTTAACTGTGTAGTGTGTATATGTGTGTTATGTTATATATTATTCGCATTTCGCATAAGGTGATGTTGGGTCACTGAGACGACGATTTATATGCGCATGCAGATTTTATGCATATAGCATGTCTAAAGTCTTAAGGGTTAGTTTTAACCCTTAAGACTTACAAACTTACAAACACCAGATTATAGCACATTTATTAATATATATAATTATATATATATATATATATATATATATATATATATATATATATATATATATATACTTTTAGCGTAAATTGCGGGGCCCTAAAAGGCGCGGGGCTCGTGGCATTTGCCACATTTGCCACTGTGTAAAACCAGCGCTGTTAAAGCAATAGCAGCCAGGGAGACAAATGTAATCACCCAATCATTACATTGCTTACATTGATCCCTGAATAATCTCCACCAGGAGAGAATAAATTTGGCCATATGTTTATTTTATAGCAATCTTGAAACTTTTATGCATTTGATTAAAGCTAATATTGGCACTGGATTACTTGGCCTTCCTGTTGCTGTCATGAATGCAGGTGTTGTGGTATGTTATCCTTGATAAAACCTAATGCAAATTTTCAGAATAAACATTAGAAAATTTTGTTACACCTAGTGACCTAGAATAATTTGAACAAATATTATCAGTATTGTAGTTTTTTAATAAGATGTCTGTTCTGACTTAGATTCTTTATTGTTATCATTCAAGTAGTTCAGGGCAACACATTTTAGCAAAAATTCTATGGAAAGTACACACTGTTTTAAAATTCTAACTAAATTTGAATTATTGAGCTTGTAGTCTTCAATTGTGCTTTTAAAGAAGCAATGTATACGCTACCACTGCTGCCAATTCAATCCAAGATTAGACCTATAATTTGAATTTGATTACAAAAGTTGCCGACAATGGCCATGTGTACTTTCAATGATGAGCACAAGAGGTCAATTTCTCTGTAATAGAATTTCAGTGAATGGCTGCAATCTGTTATTATAGAATAAGAAGAAATTTTCTTGTGAGAAAGAGTGTAACTAATGATACTTTGGTAACACCCAAAAATGGTCCAGTTACTGCAGTCACTGTAAATACCTAAATCATGCAAAATAGAATACACAGGAAGAAGCTTTTTCTATATAATCTATATGAAGAATTTTACGGGGGCGAGTGATTGCATGGACCCTAGTCCGTTAAACCGGCTAGTTCGCTTACCCTGTAAAATGAATCAGGCTGAAGTAGCCAAAACAATAGCAAAGTTATGAACAAAAAACGAGGATTCAAAATTCAAAAATTTTATTTGTGTCAATATATAGTAGAATTGTAAAAAAGCAACGTTCTAAACGCGAGGAAATGCAGTGAATGCAAATGCAGCGAATGCAAATGCAGCATGTAATAAATATTTAAATATATATGAAGCAACGATTGCTCAAATACAGGCTCCATTTTCATTGGTAGGTTGGTCCAATTTGTCTTGTGATTATGGCCATAATTGCTATTCACTGCATGCATCTCCTCGTTCAGAGCTCTCATAGCTGGTGTAAAGCGTAAGTAGAACACACTTTAACTCATGCATGCATGGAACTGCCTTGCAGTTGAATGTACAAAAAATAATCGTAACATTTATAGGAAAGGAAGGTCAAGCATGAGCTTTGCAGATGTTGCTGAAGAATGTGTAAGGACGCGATACCCAGGGAAAGGATGGATTGGAAGGTTGGTTATGTAGCAGTAGAGGCTGTACACAGGTCTTGACAAAAATAATCCTAGCCTTTTCTGCATCATTCAATCCAGCAATGGGCGGCATTTTTCGATATCTGCATGACCACGGAATTTATATTCTATGCTCGTGCAAACCTTTTTTTTGTTCTCCTGAAATATATTTACCAACTTTCAACTATTTTATATTGCTGAATATATGGACTAAATTATCATTACGACAAAAGTGAATTTTAGTACATTTTTAGTAAATTGAAGTTTTGTTTGTAACCTTGGGCGTCTAACTGGACATTGAGCGTGGCAAAAAAATAAATACTTGTCTTAAATATCCGGACCTCTATGTCGCTACACGTACAACAAATCAAGTGTGTCTTAGGGAGCACGATTGCCTGTTAGTATTTACAATACCCTGATCTCCATGCATGGCAGTCGTAACAATGAATATATATATTTAAAATCGTAGTATGGTTATTTTTTTTTACAGGATGGTTATCAATACATTTCTGATAATAACTCAACTTGGGTTTTGCTGCATATATGTGCTATTTGTTGGACGAAATTTAGAACAAGTGAGGATTTTTATTTTAGCTTAAAAGAAGTTTTTAGAATGTGTCTAAAAAACTTTGCTCCTGCATAGCTTACTACTCCCGCATTTTCCATTGGCTCGTTAGTAGTAAACCCTACGGTGCCTACTTTGAGCGTCAATTCACACGTTCAGTGCATTTTTACTACCTGTAGCTATATATCAAATCAAACATATTTTTGTTTTAGATCCTGGATGATTATTCTTCGTTTAACGTTTCTATAACGATATGGATTTTAATAATTACACCGTACTTTATCGCCTTCTCGTTCATCAAAAATCTCGACGCTTTATCCTGGCTGTCTTTGATCTCGAATATCTTTATTGTCTCAGGAGTCATTTGCATATTCGTTTTCTTATTTTTGCATTTAAATAATCCACTAAATCTCCCAGCATTTGCTGGGATCAAGACGTTTCCATTGTTCTTTGGTGTCGCTGTGTACTCGTATGAAGGAATTGGATTGGTAAGAGATTGTTGAATTTTAATTTCATGAATGCTTCCCTTAAATGCCCAGGCGTTTGCCAGTAATGAACCTCCATGTCCCAAATCATAACCATACTTGATCTGTTCTTCAAAAAGATTGCGTTTTAATGTGGAAATGTTGTAACAATTCCTACTTATCCATACGGTACGACTTCTCTGTTACACTAAAATCGACTTCCAAACCGACAGGTACTTCCACTCGAAAACGAGATGAAGAAACCATCCGATTTTCCCAACATTCTCACCCTGAGTATGCTATTTGTAACATTCCTCTACGTTTCCATGGGTTTGTTTGGTTACATGATGTGTACGGATGATTGCAAAGGAAGTATCACGCTAAACCTCGGTGACAGCGCGTAAGTTGGCTTGATCATTATTACACCTATACTATATAACGCAATTCTCCATGCACTCAGCTATGTGTAGTAGACGTTTTTCATAAGACGTCAAGCGCGGAAGACCTATTACACAATGCTCGAATGGCTCGTTTATTTTGCGGAACCAATCATACGTCGTATGACATTTCCTAATTTCTATAATTTCCAGCGTTGTAGCAACTTCGTGGGTAGTTTTCTTTCAAAGTCAAACATTCAAATTCTACTTCATGTTAAGTCAGACACCTAAAATTCACTGAGAAAATAGCAACTTTATTGCGGAAGAGGGTGTTGATTCATCTTGTAGTTACTACCCCTGTTTCTCGCTAGTTCCATGTATTCATGTTTCAACCTATCCAAAATTAAGTAAGCGCAAAGTCTGTTGGGAAGAAGATATATGAGCAGGTAATTAAATTATGTATTAGCTTGCACATAGTAACATTTTTCTATTTTCCTGTAGGTTTGCGACTGCTGTGAAATGTTTGATAACATTAGGAATATTCTTGACTTACTTCATTCAGATTTACGTTCCGTTGAATATTTTTGAATCTTGGTTTCTAAGACGTGTCTTCAAAGGAGAAACTCTGTTCAAAAGTTTCATATTTCGAGCTCTCGTAGTAATCTTTACTGGTAAGCAATCCGGTATTTAATCATGCATGTATTAATCTGCTATTGCTTAAAAGACATAGTGTGCCAAAACTGTGCATGTCTGTATACCAGCGCCAATCGTGCATGTGCATAGCCATAGCCATAGGAGACGACCACCTGCCTTCAAGCGATGAGAAACTGGAATATTTCCTATAGAGCGCAGTTAAAATATATCATTCAGGGCTGACTTTGATTTCTATTTTTCTTGACCTAGCAATTCTGGCTTCCGTCATACCACAGCTGGATAATTTTATTGCCCTCGTCGGTGCTATGAGCAGTTCAGCTTTAGCATTAGTATTCCCACCAATATTCCACTCCCTGTCGTGTCCTGGTCTCTCCCGTCTTACACATATTAAAAATATTGCTATCGCTGTCTTTGGAATAGTGGGAGGAATATTTGGGACAATAATGTCTGTTATTAATATAGCCAAGGATTATAATTAAAATTCGACTGCTAATGGCGTAATATACTTAACTAAATATTATATCGTGCAGTGGTAAAAAGCTTCATGATATTTTACTTATTTATGATATTACCATAGAAATAATAGATCTATTATTTCTATGGATATTACACATATTTTAAAAACGCGGTGAACAAATATGTTGACAAATGTACAGAAATTTAGGCGTTAACAATCATACAACGTATTTTTTCCTCTAATAAAATAACATTAATTCGAGTTTTTTTCGTCGGATTCCCCTGCTTTCAAGTGTTCGCCACCAGGTTGAAATCCGAGCTCGCTCGACCAATCAGTGCATGGCTATTTTGATAATCACCTGGGTATTACAATATGTATCTGTTCGAATGTTTTAAGGTCTATTTCTATAGAAATTAAATTTACAATTCATGAGTTCGTTACCATATTACTTTCTCTCCAATTTATCCTTTTAATCGAGCAACGTGTGTTTACACAATTATTCTGTTACGTCCGTTATCTGGGAAACTGGGATAATTTTAATTGCGAGCATGTCAAAAGATTTTACTGAGGTGGAAAGTATTTTTATCACATTAATTGCATGATTCAAGGGTTAGTGATTTAACAATGAGTGATTGAAACTACTTAGAGCAAGTCCGTTAAGATCAGCAATCTTGTGACAACTTGCAAAAAAGTACGAACCAAGATTCCTAATCGTAGCTTAACTTCAAGGATTTAATTCGTCATGTACTTCGTTCTTTAGTCCGAATCCTATGGCAGCCTAGTAGACCACGATAGGCAGGGCTAGCGTTATCGTAAAAAAATTGTTTCATGATTTTCTATGTATTCATTCCTATGGCAGCCTAGTAGACCACGATAGGCAGGGCTAGCGTTATCGTAAAAAATTTGTTTCATGATTTTCTATGTATTCATATTTCTAATTAGGTAAGTTAGACCTAAAATTATTTATTGTGGATTTGTTGAACAAATAAAATTTATCTTTTTTATACTGTAGATCTATATATAGACTTTAGTTGCAAAATACCTCGTTCTCAGAAAGAGCTCGGGAGTTATAACCTCTGATCGTATTTGTTTTGTGCTATTTCCTACGCGGAGGCCCAATTGTTTTTTATCGAACAATGCAGTCAGGTTTTCAAAACGTCTGGCGTTCCATCAGCTTATCACTTTTACATGGAGTCATGAGCAAGGTTATAGTCTTAACTTTCGAACAAGAATTTGGAAATCTTCTTAAGCGTCTGAATAAGTGTGCGCAAAGATTAGAAGTGTTGTTCCTAAATTCGCCCCGTATTCGTCGATTGAACGCAAATCTCGAGATCCAAAACATCGTATTCGAGTACTTCTAATGAGCTACAACATCCCTCCTTGGCAAGTAATTAAAAAACAGGATAATTAGGATCATTTTTTGACATTCCTATGAGAAAGATCTGGGCGAAACAGTGGCGACGTCACGTGATTGCTAACGTATTTATGGTTATATGTACTTTGGTGCATCACTGGTGAGTGTGTTTGTGGGCAATAAGTATATGCTCAGTAAAGAATTCCAAGTAAAAAATTGCACAACAGTATTTTAAGCTCTAGGGACATTTCCGATAGACTCGCCCAAGCGTTCACTAACTGGGTTTCCCAAAGAGTGGGTAAAAAGAAGAAACTGGACAATTTTGGGAAATGCAGCGGCTAGCACAACGTGCTAATCAACAATGACATTATAATCTGCAAGCAATATAATCTTATTTTAAACACAAAATATTTATTATATACTTGTACTTCACAGTGGAAATTACAGGGCCTTTTTTAACCTATAATCTGTGCATGGTATATTTGCACCCCCCCCCCAGTACGTGCCTCTTAATTAATGCACCCCCAACCACCGAGAATTCACTTCTTTCCATTTTAAATTTTTATTCCAACAAATCTGTCAATTGAAAAAAGATTCAAACAAATTCAAATTCATTCGAGTAATTCGAATAAAATATATTAGCATAGAGTTGCTCAGACTTCATTTTGAAGAAGTCATTAACTATGTTCGTAATGTTCCCTCAGTGGGTATTGTTTAGATTGCATTTCTTAAGGAATTTTGACTACTGTGGTAAAGTGAGTATTATAGCTATGCCTATAGGGACCTTGCACATGCAAGACGAACACAACACAACAGTTTTTAGTTTTTAGAGTTTTCGTTGTAAGTCACGGCATTTGTCTTGATAAATACGGCTTTAGTTCCCAGGGTGACGGCTGAGTTTTTTATAGTAAAAAAAGCAATGCACGATCGAGGCTTCATTTCTAGTTCTAGCCACGAAATAGTTTGAATATCGTTTGAATGTGATTATCAATATGTGCATCACTGCGTATTCGCACCTTGTGTTCATACAGTAGTTTACCTTTGCATAGCTTACACCTGGGGGTTCAGACATCCAACATATATTAGTCCCATTCATAAACTGTTGCAAAGCATTTGGGGAATCTCAGAATTGTCTGGAAGCAGCCGTTCGGATATATCAAATTTCAAGATTTTCTTGGTGTTGTGCCATTTAATGGTCTCAGGACTCAATGCAAGTGCTCATATGCAGAACTCTGTTTTTCAGAACAGTGTATATAGCTACAAGTCATAAGTATATATAACGCTGTTTACGTACGACGTAATCATACTTGCACCAGACAATTGATCTATGCTCCTTTGTAAAAATATAAAGGTAATTATTTTATTTCGTACAGCATGTTTTTGTATACATGAGCTTAGTCCAAACAGATAGTTACTATCGTCCGCATCGCCTTTGACGGTTACAACTGTATACAACTGTTATACTGTAGTCCTTAAATTCACAACTACAATTATAACTATAATTATATTACTTTGTAGAATCAACTTTAATGGCTGAGCAAGAGACTAGGGGAGCAGCAGCCCTAAATTGTAAGTTTGGGATTTGTTATACTTTTTCTGTGTCGCGGTAAATTAAAAGGGTGCGGTTGTAGAAAAAATGAGTGAAAGTGTGAAACGACCTTAAGTTTGACATCATGACATGGCTTTAATTGCTGGGTGAAGCGCAGGTAAACGCCGCCTGAAGTACGTTTCACGTTTGTCGTCTATTGAGTGGCGCTGTAATACTCTGCTTGGAAATTTTCGGGTGCGGTAATACGGAGGGACATGTTGCAGCCAGGGACATGTTGAGGGGACAACTGAATTTCATCGCGTGTATCATTTAAAAAAGGTATCGCAAAAACCATTTTTTGTTCTCGCGACATGACTGTCCCATCAGTTTGATTTTGTGCAAACATGTCACAGGGACAAAATTTAATTTGCAGAGCTTGTCCCATCGTGTGATCATGCAGCTCGTGCAACATGTCACGGGGAGAAATATTTCAATAAGCCAATTCGAATACACTTGGCTAATTTCCCATAATTTGCGCCTGCTCCTGGAACAAGGGCGACATACATGTCGCACGAACCATTTTTTTCGTGTGGTGCCATAGGACATCACGGCCGTGTGGCAACCGTCAAAGGATTTGTCCCTGCAACATGTCCGGATGTCCCTGTAACATGTTCCTGTATGCAACATGTCCCTCCGTGTTACCGCACCTTTAGATTTGGCGTGCTTAGAAAATCCTCCCACGTTTCTAAATCCTACGTTGCATGTACACTGGGCAGTTTGCGTGTCAGGATCAGCTTTTAGTTTTTAACTGTCTAGCTTTACATGGAAAAAATTTATTATATGACTCATTTCGATGTATATGTAGCTAATTTACTATATCGAATGCCTCTTTTTGTATCAAGCAAATGGTGAGCAAAGAGAAACCAGAACTCCGAGAATTATTGTTCAGGGAGGAGCGTATACTTTGGGAGGGTTAAATGTATTTAGGCAACAGTTTCTGGATGGAATAAGGGAAGCTGCAAAAGTAGGATATGCTCGTTTGGTGGTGAGTAACAGAGTATTTACCGTAGAAGCCTTTTTAAGTAGGTATTTTACAATACGTATTTCAATCTTAGCCGGAGGGAGTTGACAGTTAAGTGAAGGTTTAAGCTGCAAAAATTCAAAATCTTTTAGTTCAGAAGTTTATAGTGCATGGAACTCGTATATTACTCCTTACTTATAAACGTGAAGAAGGATTGCAATTATACTTGACTTGGTTCGCGTGTTTTATATTAATTTTTACATAAAAATGACCAAATATAGAGTTGAAAAGTTTCATTTAAGCAGCAGAAACTCAAAAACATGTATTCACTGGTTTTAATCCCTCTCCGATTTATCATCCCAGTTCTTAGTTAAAGTTTATACTGATTTTAGTTTCTCAAGGGCCTGTTTACATGGATCGAGTTATCCCGGCTAGGCGAGGTAAAAAACGCGTCACATCAAAGGCTTAACCTGATTAGTCTTTCATTATAAATTATGCAGTTTTAACCTCGCCAAGCCGGGATTACTCGCTTCATGTAAGCAGGTCCTTAAAGAGTGCTCTAACACGATCATGAAACAATTCGGTTAATCTTAATCAACAGACAGATAACGGGACGGCAGTTGACGCTGTTGAAGCAGCAGTTTGCTATTTGGAGGACAATCCGTATTTTAATGCAGGTTATGGCTCCTTTCTGACCGAGAAGAAGGAAGTGGAATGTGATGCAATGATAATGGATGGAAAGAAAATGAGTGCAGGTGCGTTCATTTAAATGCCATTGGGTTGGTTGTGGGATGTATATATAATTAATCCACATTCCAATAAGTTGTGTCTGCAATTGATAGGCCTACTAAGGTTAATGTGTGTAAATTAACCTTTTTCAGTAAGCCTAATTATAATGAAATTTCGAATACATGAAGTCATTTTAGACCATGAATTGTTTAAATTGGTAGAAATAAGTTCTTTCATGCATGCATATATATATGACAGAAACTAACGCATACATAATCGTCCGGATAGAGTGCTCAATGCTAGCGCAGAGCGGTATAACAACGGTGTAACTCGTGTTTCTCATCCTGTGTTGTATATATATATATCCAAGCTGAATCTTGGTCTAGGTCCATGAGTCTTAACTATATTGTATTTATAATATAAATTATAATAATTTCCTATGGCTTCAATAGGCTTCTTCTTTATTTCCAGGTGCAGTGATAACTGTTAGTCATTTTCGCCATCCTGTTTCACTCTCCAGAAAAATCATGGACGAGTCATCTCACTGCGCATTAAGCGGCGAGGGTGCTTTGGAATTTGCTCGGAGCAAAAATTTTCCTACTTTGGAAGACCCAAATGAACTTAAAGCGCCGACAAGTTTAAACATGGTGATACAGCACCACAACTTTGATAAATTCGTAGAGTATCATTATGCTGGAAAGCCAATGATCGATAGTAATAATGAGGGTCACGATACAGTCTCAGCAGTTGCTTTGGATGCTAATGGTAATTTCGCATGTGCAGCATCAACAGGTATACCAAACTGATGATGAAAAATAATAAAGCATGATGACACATATTATGGTATCGCCATTTTCTGGAAGCCGTTGAGCGGCTATAAGGATGCCAACGAATTCCCAATTTCCAGTCTTCTTTGTGCCTTTTTCTAGTCCTCTTTGTGCTTTTCTCCAGGCTTCAGTTCTAATTTTGTCTGCAAACGCCGTAGTACATGAAGTATAATCGTTGAGCCGGAATTGGTTAGAATCCTAGGAAGTAGTAGCGAAAATATGACAACTTCTTCGTATTATAAAATTATTGTAACACATATAATTTTAGGTGGAATACCAGGAAAATTGAAAGGACGTGTCGGTGATGTACCAATGATTGGCTGCGGTGGTTATGCAAATGAATATGGAGCAGCTACAACGACTGGGCATGGGGAGAGGTTAATGAAAATGACTTTGGCAAGAGAGGTCGTTTATAATATGGAAAGAGAGAGAAGTGCTCAGGTTAAAATTATTTTCTTAACTCTTGCTTATAACCATGTTTCTTCCTATAAGACCAGGCGGTTGACCAAACTGATCGGGCCAGAATTCTGCCAATATTCCTTTGCCATTGAAAGTTTGATTGATTTACATGATTTGAATTTCAAACACATAGATATCTGCGGAGGAAGCGTTAAGCAGAATGTTCAATCGAGTGGAAGGTCATGGTGGTGTAATTGCAATTGACAAAAATGGTGAATTTGGAAAATCCTTCAACACCGATGTAATGATTTGGGCGACGGTTAAAGATGGGGAATTGAATTATGGCCTTGATAACAATAATAACTTCACTGAAAACTTGTAGAAGTGAAATATTTTGTGTAGTATTTTGTGTCCATATTCGTCGAATCGACGTTATGGGTGGGCAGGAGGGTCAACGTAAAAACGTTTGTCTCTCGACGTAAACGTGTACCACTATGTCGACGTTATCTAAGCTGGGTGGATGGGTACAGACATAACGTCGATTCGACGTTAGACGTGGCATCAGTTATTAGGGGCGGACTGGCTCACAGGGATACAGCAAAATTTCCCGGTGCGTCCCACATATCACAGATTTGTGGGCCTTAGCTCCTCATTTTCATTTTCAGCTTCAAAAGGTGTCCCCCCCCCTGCTAGCTAAGTTTTTCCAGTGAATCATTATTGGGAGTATTCATCCATGGGTATGCCAGTCCGCACCTGATTGTTACCACTTCAAGATTTGTAGTTGTTGTTTATAACTAAAGAAGAAATTACCAAGCATATTAAAAAATTACATATAAATTTTCCAGTTTTACCAATTCCCAACGTCAAATGCTTCCTCTGTAGTCATTGCTACTTCTGCAAGGACGATATTTTCTCACAAATGGAAGCACCGAGCGAGTGTGTTTGTTCCACTGAGCTATATAATAATTCCTTTAATATAGCTCAGTGGTTTGTTCTCCGAAGGTTGTGAACTTGTGGTAGCCACGTTATACAAATCTCGATACAAATAGCGGCAAGAGGTTTTGAAATCTTACCTTAGTCAAGCTTAGATTCATCATGTATCGTATGCCAGGTGCTGGTGGAAGTGCAAAAACTTCAAATGCGGCGGAGGAAAAGAAATTAGCACGGCAAAATGTGTGGCATTCTGTCTATTTTTTTGTTGGCTATGTGTTACTGCTCAGATTGGGTAAGGTATATAATTTGCTGCCATACTTGTATTGATACAAATGTTTGAAATGTGAAATACTATATTATCTACCATGGTGTATTGAATTATTTAGATACGCAGCAAATTGTGCTAATTCAATAAGGTTGCCCAATGAAAATCTAAGTTAGGAGTTAGGAGAATTTTGTTGGATCCAATTACCTCCTGATGGATGTTATGTAGTCTGTTGTAAAGGACCGCCATCACATACAAATACATTTTTTTAATTTATTAGCTCCAAAGGCATTAATCCTGAAATCATTTATGTAATCTTCAACAAGAAGAAGGCCTGCTGATGAAATTATGAGAAAAAATAAAAAAATAAGTAAAGATTATAACAATTTTTTTTTGGAAAGCATCAATATTAATAAGATTAGGCTGAACACGATGCCTGCTTAGGTGTTTACATGGGCTTAAATGTTAATAGTGAGGTGACAAAAAAAATTAGAATAATATTGAAAGATATTTCATTTGATAACTGGACCATTAACCTTTAAACTGGGAGTATTCATTCATACAGTGAGATGGTAAGAGCATCACTACTTCTTGAGAAGTGGTAATGTTTTATGCATGCCACTTTATTTACCATCTTTACCACATTTTTCTTTTTTGCAAAGAAACATTCTAATTCAGCTTCTTATTCTTTTCCGGGTTATTCTATCCAGCTTTACCACCCAGTACTAATAAATTCTTCTAGTTACCTAATCATTTATTAATGGAAGCCGGAATGGTCTATTTACTGTAAATTAGTAAATCTTAAAAGTGCCTTGTGTTGTTTTTTAATAAACTATCATTTTGTACTTAGGGTAGAATAGATTTAGGTTACCATGCATTTCAGTTCTCACCTTACTTTGCATTAATTTATTTGTCAAATGTTTAATTTTGATAACATAACATTGCACAAATAGTGTCATGCAAAGTAATATTACTAGACCTGGTAACATATTGAACTCACAGCTTCAACAAAAAGTTGCAGCTTGATAACTACAAAGTCCATAATTATTTTCTCCTGTTTCCATCCAATGCGAACAACTGTTTTTACCTGTGTCATTGAGAAATCCCTCATTGAACACTCATTGTAAATCCCTGGGATATTTTATTGGTAATTTTACAGCAATATTGAAACAGTGTCTGGATTCTTGATTGTTAAGATATTACCTTTTATTAACAAGAATATGATATAATTTATTGATTTACAAAAGTTAGTGCCAGGTACCAGTAGTAAATAAATTTATTCACCAAATGTGGTGTCATAATTGCCTAGAAAAACCACCACTGCCACTCTGCACCCTGGTTATAAACCAGTCTATCCCTTTTTTTCATTACATTATTCATAAATGGTGTGAATATTTCACATTTCCTAGTGAGTCTACAAAAAGTATCAAAGGTACACGACATTTAGTTAAACCAATAGCATGTGCCCTACAGTTCCGGCGTCTGCCCATCGCCCTAGCTTTATTATTACTTATCCAACCAATAGTAAATACAATCTATGTACAGCGTCTGCGTGAACGTGTGGACAACTTGTTTTATCTTTATATTTTCATAAACCAGGGTTAGTACGTTCCAGTGCATGCATGCTCGTAGCTAAATACAGCTAAATATGGATTATAGTTCTAAATATGATCACGTTTTATGATCACGTTTTTTCTCAGATGCCAAAAAAAATCTTGAAAAAATGCAAATGCCCACTACAGGGGAGTTAGTATGAAAATAAAAAGAGGAGAACACATGTTTTGTATGGGGGCAAAACACGTGACACTAACTCTCCTGGCGAAGGCCCTCAGGTCGAAACGTCGAGAAGTGTTTTGTCTATTTGACTTGCCTACTACAGGTTATCACTGAAACTATATAACATCGAAAATTTAAGTATATGGTAAAATGTTAGTAAAAAATAAACAACACAATCAGGCGATCTCTCGCCATTTCGGGTTGTCTATCAAATTCAAAACTAGGGTTGTGCTAGGTGTTTGCCTGGTGTTACAAAACACTGAAAGGATTTCAGAATCCAGATTTTTTAATGTCTGTGTCCTGTTGCATTGTCTATAAATTTATCAGCTTTTCCTACGCCCCTGCCCTCGAAGATAAACAGGAACGATGGTTACTATAGAAGATAATGTCTTTTTTCTTTGAGCCAAGGAAATTATCCTATTTTTCCGCCTACTCAATGCCAATGAAGATATGGATGACACTTGCTTTGTAACTTACGTAAACACAATTACACAAACTTTACCAAACTTCAAATATAATATTCTACGTATATAAATTACGTATATCTACATACACATTAAGATATTCTTTACCCATAGCGGTATAGTATATTGTGAGGCGAGAGACTGAAGAGTCAGATGAAATACGTAAAAGCTATTAAAAAAGCTCTTTCTATGTATGCATGTATATACACGTGGTTTCAATACGTAGACTATTTAACTTTGAAGGAGCCAAATTCGCAAGTTAATATAACGTTTTTATAACAAGTTCAACACGCTCATCTTCGGGCCCGTTTACATTTGCAATTTTTGCTGAGATTTTATGTCAATTTTCTTCTTTTGATAGATGTGAACGAGTGAATTAGTTACTGATGTTCAAATAAGAGCCTTTATAAAAGGTCTGAACACAGACCTTCGTTTCGCCTGTCCCTGTCTTTGTTCCGCCTTTGCGTCTCCCCGCGAATTTTAAGGCGGGTGAAACCAACGAAGGTCGGTGTTCAGGCTAAATCGTGGTGTACGTGACCGGTCGTGACGTATGATAACTTCATATTATATTAATTTATTTAATACATGCGCCTGACAAATAAAGCTCAGTCGTGTATAAACAGTTGGCTTATTTACCTGACTATATTCGAGTCTGTCTGTTTTGTCTGTCAGACTTTTATGATAGTTATATATATATTAAACGGAATGGAATCGACATCGAAACGAGCGAACATATTCGCGAGACAAAACTCGTGGAGTCCTAGACGAAAGGTAAGCGATTAAATATGGATAACAATTTGTACGGAATATTAGTTAATTATTAGGAAATTACAAAGTTATTATTTTACTACGAACCTGTTCTCACACTTGACTGAACTTTTAATAAAATATCATGTAGTATAGCTAAGGGATGACAAGGCTCTCGTGTTGCCATAGCCATAGGTTTAGCCAAATTGTTTCTTCCTATCACTCTAGCAATGTAAGCCTTTTTGGTCGATGAATTTCAGCCTTATTTTATTAATATTCATGTTGATGTTTTATAATAACATCAGCAGGAGGCAAACAATCATATTCGAATCGTGACTCTTGCCTCGATGTGAGATTACAGATTAATAATTTAATTCATGTACAGCGATCTGCGATCGTTGTAACTGACAATAATACCGAAAAATTTTTCCCGAAACTGGAAACTGATAGCAATCCGACATAGACATTTAATTTGCCCTATAGGCTATAATTTAATATATCATCACAATGACATAAAGCGACGAACATGCATCATGTCATGCATGTGAAATTGGTTCCTGCTTCAGCTGAGTAAGCTGACGAAGGTGTGTTATTGCGACTTCCTTTCCCTAATTTCATATATATGACTGTAGTGTAGACATCTTTCCAGGAAGTAATCTAGAAACGAGACATTCCAAAACGAGACACGCTGAGAAATAAACGTTGAACATTGAAACAAATATTTATGATTTTAATCTGACCCTTGCGGGGGCATATGGCACATGCATTGTCAGTGCCCGTGGTAAATTTAAAATTTACGTGCACGTGCAAATGTTTGAAACAAATGTGTGAACTTCTCGTTTTATACTTATACTGAAGTCTGTTTACTCCACAGTCGTTGAAATGACCTCAAATTAGTATAATTCGGATTTGAAAATCACTTACAGTCGAAGTTCTGTACTATAACCACTCTCTTTAATATCACTTATTATATACTAAAAAGGTTTGCTCTCAAACGTCGACTTACTCGACTTTCGGTCCACACTCAGTATACTTTTCAGATAGTCGATCTTATCACAAAACGTATCTAGCTTTGAACATAGCAACCTCGTTAATTTGAAGCATCTACTTGTTTTGAGTCCCCACGCTTTCCTGGTAACACCCACTTATTAAAGCATGCAACTGAAACGAAGAACAAGCTATACGTTATGACAATTTTTGAATTCAGAAGAAAGTGATTTAAGTTGGGAGAAAGAAGATGAATTCGATCTTTGTTATTTGGCTCAGTCAAAGCAAACCGTAACTGAATAATAGGCATTTTTTCTACTCAAATTCCGCTGAAATTGACAGTTGAAAAAGACTTAAGACCGAGTATATAAACAGTAGACACCTCATGGGTAAAGAGTTGAACGCTGTATAGCTTAAACGTTATATCAGTATAGCTTTTAGCAAAAAAAGGAACGAAGGAATATATAGGAAATTAATTGTTTAAAACAATAAGACAGTGTCAATATAATATAGTTATTATATTTACTTCCTTATAATACAACTTTCGATCAATATACTTACATTCGATAGCAGCTGAATCTGGCTTTAGTTATTCATTATGCAAAAAATTTACATAAAAAAGTTCTGTACCTCAAGCAAGTCACGTACGATTCGAACTAGAGTTCGTTGGGAACAATCCCCCCCCCGGGACTGAAGGTTGGTAAACTCGGTGTCTACCAAGTGAATTCCTATTCTGTGTTATATGTCAAACGCCGGTATACGGCAGAGGTATACGAATAAAAATAAAAAATTGAAGGCTTGCTGGTAAAACTAACCTGTATAGGAAACCTTGACTTGTAATTAACCCGAGAAAAGTTTCAGGACGCGAGGCAGTGGGACAGTTGTAAAAAGGCTGGTAGCGCTTCCACCGGATTGTGATTTTTTTAATTGACTACCATTTCATTGATCATGCAACCATTGGCATTGACAATTGTTAAAATGCCCGAAAAGGAATAGAACTACAGATTGCGAGCTAACAATTGTTAAAAGGGTTCCCCAATTTAAGAATACTAAGGTTTAATCCAGGTTATATATCGAACAACGGGCAACTTTTCAGCGATTAAAAGTGGCACTATCGGTAAAAGTGCTATCCGCCTTTTGAGGAGTTTTGTACAACCGTCCACTGACAAATTATGTGGCCATGATAATAGTCAACACTATAGGTTTCATTTCATTATGGACTTGACACGCCACGAATTCTCAAAAACCTCAAACGTAGAAATTTTATACAGCGAATATGATATATACACTTAATGTATGCTCCCGAGCCGAGGGAAATAGTGAGTTTTGTTTTCCCAAGAGTCTGAATTCGTCTCGGAAAACATTGAGACTCGTGGGAAAACAAAAGTCATTGTTTTTCGAGGTAGTGTACATTAAGTGTTTTGTTATATAGGAACAAAAACATACATGTTACACAACAATTTAATTTAAAAAAAAACACTTTACTTTGTTATGACAACATGCGAGCAACAATTTTTTACTGATGCATTTATTTAAAGTCATGTGACTACGAATGAACCAATCACATTTAAAATACACAGCACCTATATAACAAAACGACTTAATCTCCTTTGATATACATGCAGCTGGTCCATGTACCAATGAACGTGTTTCGTGCACGATTCAGGACAAACCAAGGGAGAGTTAATTCTTACGGGAATTACTTGACCCTTGCCCGGATGACTTGGACATAGACGACCAACCTAAGTTCCTACAGTTGCTCAAGGAAGGAAATTAATTGCAATTCCTCCAAGACAACGTAAGAGCTAGGGAGCGGTCCATGATGACAGCTTGCCGGTATGTTTGGCATGTTTATAGGCGAGGAATACGTAAGAGGACGTTACCGTAAAAGTCATTCCTTCATTTTTTAAAAACAGGGGCCAGTTGTAATAAAGCCGGATAGCGCTATCCACCGGATAGTGTTTTTTCTCCACGTTCTATTCAGGAATTATATACGTTACATTTCATTAGGCACCCTTCCAATGCCGGCAAAACTAGAATTTGCCGAGATGATACCAAGATGATATCTACAATAATAGTCTTCTTTCCTTGTTCAGGTGTTTCGTCGGCTTTCCCAGGAGCAATTAATGGAGTCGACCCGAAGGAAGGCGGTTATTAATGAGTGTGTGGATGTACTTCATCATTCCAAAAAATGTGAAGACGATAAATGCTCATCGCAAAGATGTAAATCAATGAAAAATGTTTGGAAGCACTTTGATAGATGCCCAGAAAATAAACTAGCAAGTCCGAAATGCCCAATCTGCCAAAGTGTCACATCATTATTGAAATATCATGCTGGCGATTGTAAAAACGATTCGTGTACAATGATACAATGTCGCGAAATAAAAGAAGGTTTTTCAATATGGCAGAAAACACAGCAGACATTCCTCAGTAATCTTATCAAATTCAGACTGTCAACAGTACCTACTGTTAGAAAAAGGCAATGCGAAAAAACTGTTGCTAAATCCCCAGTGTTGTCAGTGACTGCCGAAAATGTTCCAAATGAAAAAGTTTCTGTGGTGATTACGAATAATGATACAAAACAGGAATCAACGAGTATTCATAATAGTAAGAAAAAATAAAATTTTAGGATTCTAGGATATAGGATATATAGGATACTGAATAGGATATAGGATATACTGAATGCATGAGTACACAGCTCTATCAACACGAGAAAAATTGCAGAAAAATGTGTGGAAACACGAAGCCTGAAAGGGCGGAGCCAGTTTTCACATAATTCTTAGGCTCGGTGATGTTTACAAATAATAATCAACATAATTTCATAAAAATTATAATTACTTCAAATTTCTTAATTGAAAAACAACAACAAAAAGTTATAGTCACCGGCCAGTGAAATATTTACATATTTTCTTTTGAATTAAGAGCAATCATGTTGAAATAATTTATTTATGCTGTTAAAATTCTAAAGAAAACATGCAAATATTTCGCTATAAGCATAGGGAACTATTTCTCTGTAAGTGGAAATCCAGCCTTAATTAATGCAAGAGAAATCCAGCGTAATTACAATAAAATTTAACTGAATGCAATCCTAAAAAATCGTAGAAAAACAAATCAATCAGCACTGTCCAAGTACGGCAAGTAGTTATATTTAAGGGGGGAAATAACAGTTTTAACACCTTTCAATATAATTTTGTATAATAAATGGTCTCGATAAATCTTCGATAGATTATCGTGTCAGGGCCTGATTCCACTGGCACTGTCTCTCTCTCTGCGAAATATTTCGCATTTCGCTTAAAAATTTTCCCCGTCGAATTTCTTGTGAATATAACATAATTATAAATATACAGGGTGTCTCAAAAAAAACCGAAAACTATTGGAATCACTCACGCCCGTGGGAATTTAATGCAACTTATAAAATCCTAAATACGAAAAATTTGAAATTGTGTATATGATTATAAATTTAAATTAGCCTTGTTATTGCTTCGAAAGAAAATGGTACAGCTGACCGCGGAACAACGAGTGTTTATTGTGATATTATCCCAACAGAGTGCTTAGGCATTCAAACTCTAACAATTACATTGTTATAGGTGATTTCAATAGTTTTCGGGTTTTTTGAGACACCCTGTACATCCCGCCCCTCGTTAACATTTTAAGACTGTACACCATGCACTGAATGGTTAAAGCCCAGGTTATACGTCGCATTTTGGTCGCGTCGAATGCAATTCAAACAATAGGTAATGAGATGATAAACCTCATTAAGCTTCATTACCATCTCATTATCTGCAGTCAAATTGCATTCGACGCAACCAAAATGCGACGTTTAACCACAGTTAATTGAATATACACGGTTTGGAGACCACATAAAACTACAATACAACTCATTAACTATGTTGAGGTAGATTTGAGCAATATTTTAATAAACATATTTTTCAAGTCAAGGATGAGGAGCTTAGCAAGAAGCTTGGTAAGTTTGGCTAAAATACAACAGACAGGTGACGAGAAACTGAGAAAGGAACTATTTTTTGCATAAACCTGGACAATAACATAGTTAACATAGTTAGTTGTATTGTACTTTTATTTAGTCTCCAAACCATATGCATGTATATTCTATCAGTAAACTGATTCAACCGGCACATGTCAAGGCGACTGTATAGAATTTTTTTATGTGCATGTGTGCAGTCAACAAAGACGATTTGAATACAGATATAAAAGACAAATGTGCATCTGCATCACTGCATGGACTATTTCTCATAGTGAAAATGACTTGTTTATTTGTGAAAATGACGACAATTGCGACTAAATTGGTACCAGACGTTACATGTCGATGAGTATAGCAGCAGCTAAGTTGGCAGCTAGGTTGGCAGCTAGGTTGGCGTCATATAATGTGGAACGAGGCTTCACATGCAGACTCGCAGTATACCGTAGAGTCCCCTGCATGAGAAAGGCCCTTGCCTTAGCTATAACCTTTTTAAAGGTTATTTTTAAAGTTAAAACTTCAAATGATCCCTGTTTCAATGTTTGCCATGAACGCGTCAATGAAAAAATCAGTACTGCATGTAAGTAAAGCATGGCTTGCGAGGTTGCGTCAATGCTGCTGCGATGCATGTAACATCGCACGTAACTAACAAACAAGATGCAAAAAAAAATTTTATACCGGGTCAAGGTATATTTAAGACAGATTTTTAATAATATATTGCATGCTTTTTCTTCTTCTACATGCACTCGTTACTATATATATACAGTCGAACCTGTATTAAGCGGCACCGCATTAACCTTTGTTAAGCGGTCATGTGACAAAGTCCCGAAAATTTCATAATATAAATACTGTTGATTCCAAATTTAGTTATAATAAATATTATATTTAAGCCGCGCGGTGATTTTCTACAAGACCTGTATTAAGCGGTCAACCTGTATTCAGCGGTCACTTGCGAAATCCCCGAGGGTGACCGCTTAACACAGGTTCGACTGTACACATGTAGTATGGGTAATTCAGATTGTGTGAGTCGTGACCTTGTCATTTGCAATATCAGTGTCAGGTTTCCCTCTGTTCACTGACCCATATTGAGTGTACGAACCAGACATGTTTCATTAACATTGTTATTTATTCATATTTGGTTTTTTCAAACCAAACGCAGTGATGCATGTGCATCGTCAACCCTTCAAAATTTTCCACTGTCGTCCTATGCAAGCCGTAACTAAGTAGGGACGAGTACAACGATGTCGGATGAGAAAGAAAAAATCGACAACAATGGCGAATACGCTTTGCTACCCACAGAAGAGTCTGACGAGGAAAATACTGACAAGAAACTAGTAACTATAACTGAATATCGCGACCACGAACATGCGACGACGTATGTATATTAAAAGTTATAACATATACATGCCGAAATATGTAGAATAACCATACTATGTTTTAGTAGAATATACATAAATTTCATATATCCGCGTATTTCAATCACTGAATTATATACCGTTGTGATTCGTCTGTGACTGTGTGTATAATATACATTTTTCCTCGTTATGCTTTGGCGGACATGCATGACGTGCAGCATATGTATATACCGAACCCGGAGCTATACGACTTTTTTTCTTTGACATGAAGAATTTTTTGTCTAAATGCATTGCCATAACAATTCCGCGTTTCCACTCTACGGTATTTTTTGCCGGCAAGAGCTTCGATAAGCACAATATTTCATTTGTGCCTGAATGCTGGAAGACCCTTCGTCATCTTTCTCCAACTATTATTTCATTTCAATTATTTGAATGAGACATGGCAATGGCATACGTAGGCTGGGCTATTGAATTTTCTATTAGGTCATGGTGTCAAGATAAATACCTCAACACGCTTATTTACGTGGTTTTGTTAACGCAAACGTGTATCCAAGGTTCGGATAATCCGATCATTGCAGAGTACGTATTGCGACGTTCTGCATGGAGAAACGTCGTAACACTCCTGCATATGTATATAGAGTTTTTGGGGATGCCTTTTGCTAATTTAGTACATGTTGCAGCTATATGAACGACAATTTAAGTTGCAACCAAATTGGGGACTCTCATTGTAAGTTAAGTACCTTGTTTCTCAATTAATACCAGCCCGGTCCAAGACGGAGCAAGTATTAAGGAGCGAGGGGTATAACATTAAGATTATTCATAACAAAATGAGATTCTTTTAGCACTAGCTATCCGACTGAAATTTACAACTTAAAGTTGTTCACCACTGAAATTATTTAGCCATATATATTAGTATTGTGTTTCTGAAAGTCTGATATTTAGATAGGATTTTACAGACAATTTCAACGTCTATATACGACGACTTATTCGTTCCTAATATTATGAATTCGAGGATTCGTGGCAGGCGAAATATATAATAGCGTAATTACGTTTACCCGTCTAAAAACCTTGTGATTATTCTGATAAATGTTAGATATATTCTGCTGGTGAAATATTTGCTTATTTTCTTTAGAATTTTAACAGCGTAAATCAACTGCTTCGTTCAACATGATTGTTCACAATTCAAAAGAAAATATATGCAAATTAAATATTTCCCTAGCGAACTATTTGTCTGCAAGTGGAAATCCACCTTAGGCGCCCATGTTGGCTCGTATTTCGAAATTCTGCATGGTGTTTATAAGGCTGTAACATATATCGATTTTCAGGAAAGAGTGAATTTTAAAATCAAAAGATAAAATATCGTGTTTACTGAGATGAACGCGTGATTGGGTATGCCGGAAGCTGTTGAAAAATTATTTAAATGTTTTGAAATTCTTTCGTTTGCCCTTCACACCCCAAAATGTTTAGGCCCGCAGGCCTTTATGCAACATTCAATCTCGTTTGTAATGACCAAATTACCAATCAGGTTTTATATTACATTTTTCAGCGATTTTGAAACATTGCTACATATTGTGAAGGCAACAATGGGATCTGGGATTCTTAACCTTCCCGCAGCTGTCAGAAATGCTGGAGTTGTGGTAATAAAGTAGACTATAGTTGACGTGTATTCCGTTACCCAGTATTCTACCTTACAGAGTAGAATTTTTCACTACTCCTTTTATTAGTATCCCAGCATGCGTGGAAGTGAAAGTATCGTCTTGAATACATGACTACATATACATATATAGTCGTGATCTAACTCAGGATCAACCGAGCCAACATTCCTTGATGATATATACTTGTCCTCATTTTACATGCTCAAAAAGTTACTTTTTTAATTTTTAAGGTTGGTCCATTGGGTTTGCTTTTTGTTGCAATAGTCATTGTTCATTGCGAGCATCTCTTGGTCATCAGTTCACGAACATGGTGTAAAGTGTAAGTATAATCAATATAGTTGTCCTTATCAGCTACTAATCCGTCGTAAATTAAAAGTGTATTTCTGTCAGAATATATGGGAATATTTAAAAGCTTATAGTTATATGTAAACTTTTGATTTAATCATTTTATTGGCAGTTAACTTGCCATCCTGTATTGTACGGTACATATAATGAGAAAAAATCTTCCACCACCCGAAGCAACTATAATCATGCAGTTTCGCTCAAACCTTGAACCTTGAACACTTGACATTTCTTGACGACCGGAATCTTCTAACGGTCTAACCTGCATCTAAAACTAAAGCCCGTTTTCCACTAGGCGAATTTATATACGCGCATTCAAACTGATGAAAAGTAGGAATGGATTCTACTTTTTCGCGCATGCATCACCGGATTTCATATATTGCTTTATATTGCTCATATATTTCATATAAATTCGCCAAGTGGAAGCGGGCTTAAGTGTTTAAAAAAGGCTAACCAATATATAAAAAATGCTCTTGATTGAAAAGGGATCTCTTCAGGTAACTCGGCCACGTAAATATATAGCTTAGCTTACGAATGGCACTTTATATTAACTGGTCAATTCGTTTCGTTTCGTTAGGTTTTTGTACAATTTTTGTCATTTGCCGTATTTCAAGTGAAATTTGCCTTATTTCCCCAGATTTCCATCCCAACACAATATAATATCTTACATTTTACAGGAGGGGGAAGTCAAGCATGGATTTTGCTGATGTAGGTGAAGAATGTATTATGACGCGGTATCCAAAGAAAGGATGGCTAGGAAGGTGCGTCAAAAACATACAGTTAATTTTACTGTACAAAACGGAACAGTAAAACTAGAATTCTAATATAAGACTATAGAGCACTTGTACAGGGAGAACTTCATATTCACGTCGATTTATTAAGATATATACTACGTTGCAGGTTGATCATCAATATATGCTTAATGTTAGCTCAACTTGGTTTTTGTTGTGTTTACATGTTATTTGTTTGTCGAAATTTGCAGCAGGTGAGTAGTGTGCATATATATATGGCACTAGTAGTGTAGTGGTATAAAATCTTCCATATGTTGAATTCCTATCTGCAAACTTTGAGCTCCTCTATATGCATGTATAATGTAAGTTAACAAAACTGATATGTATACATGTCCACGTGAAGTGTGAATTTCAGTTAACCACTCAATGCTAATTTCTTATACGTACTCTACTTTCAGATATTTGCCAACAACACAGACTTTGCCGTGGATACGAGACTTTGGTTACTGATACTGCTACCATTCTATATTTTGATTTCCTTTATAAAGAATCTTGACAGCCTTGCTTGGTTATCTTTCATATCAAATGTCTTCATGATCGTTGGCTTTGTTTGCATATTTATTTATGTATTTCAAACTCTTCACAATCCTCTTCACTTACCTGCAATGGCTCCTGTGAAAAATTTACCTTTGTTCTTTGCTTCTTCAATTTTTACGTATGAGTCCATTGGTTTGGTAAGTTCAAAATCTAGCCTTACTTAAGCCTGCATGTACCAAGCACGTGACCAGCGTTAACATGATAAAGAAAAGTATGCACTGATTGATGAACACCTAACTCTTTGCAAATGACGGTCATGGTACTTATTTAGTTGGTAAAACATGAGCAAAACCCGATTTTCTTTCTCGTCATTCTAGATTCTTCCTCTTGAGAACGAAATTAGGAATATAAAGCGATTTCCATCTCTGTTGAATCTTGGTATGGCCTTTGTGTCGGTTCTTTACATTTCAATGGGTTTTTTTGGATATTTGTCTTGTACTGATAATTGCTTGGGCAGTATCACACTTAACCTTGGGGAAACAGCGTAAGTAGAACATCAAATATGATTTTAGCGAAATACGTATAACAAGGAAGAGGAGGCTCTTGAAAAACCACATATTATTGAGAAATATTCATGTCAATTGTCACCATTCGTAAACAACTAACCATTTAAAATTTGTGCATAAGTCATATTCCACTGTTGTATTTTCATATCTATATAGCACCCAATAATTCGATCGATGTTACTAATGAGTAATGATGTGATATATGAACTATCTTTTGTCTCGTATACTTCTTTTCATATAGAGAGTGTGCAGTACGACACAACAACCAGTTTTTTGTATATATACATAAGGAAAATTTTCTATTATCATGTTATTGCAATGTCCAAGCATCAACCGCAAAAACGTGCGATGTTCAATTTTCCTTCCCCTTCGTTGTAGATACTCTGTCACAGTAAGATCAATGATGAGTGCTTCAGTGTTCTTGAGCTATTTCATACAAGCATACGTTCCATTCGTACTCGTCGAATCATGGGTATTTACGAAAACGGGCAGCGAACCTGGAATGGCAAAAAGATGCGCTATAAGAGCCGCTATTGTCTTTTTTACAGGTACAATAAATTTTAGTTTTTAATTTTAATCTATAATCTTATATTTCGGGATAATTTATATATGTTTGCATGTAATACATGCAGTCCTTTCCAAAAAGGTTTCAGTACCTTGAAAAGTATTAAACATTGAGCATATACATGCAACTACAAACATGTTGCATGCATACATGCATTCTTATCTAAACTATCTAATATATAAGCCTTTTGAATTGCTGAGTTTTAAATTCTCTGGCGAATCTCTAAATGAGCGGTCATGCATATATGGCCAGAATGATCAAAATATGCCGGGTTCCCCAATATAAGGACATTTAAGGGTCATAAAAATTGCACCTTCAAACACACCTTAATATAATACATTTTATTACACCTACGTTGTCCCTCGAGTTAAACATGTACACGAAATATATTTTACCTTTCAGCTGTTTTAGCAGGAACTGTCCCAGATTTGGAGTATATTATCGCGTTGTTTGGTGCAACGACAAGTACGACATTATCCATAACACTTCCTGCCATATTGCATACAATATCTCTTGCTCCCAATCTATCCAAATTTACTATAACGAAGAATATTGCCATTGTCGTATTCGGAATAGCTATGAACATATTGGGAGTGGCGGTATTAGTCCAAAAAGTGATAAATTTGTATGAAAAACCAAAGTTCTTAGCGGGAAAATTAAAAGTATAATTTACCAATATTTATTTATTTAATCTCAGGATTACACTTGATGTAGAGGAATAGTCATGGATTATGATTATAATCCACTATATGCATGATTCATTGACATCTCATGTTAAACACGTGACGATGAAGCGACTTTTCGTCGCCATTTGATGAATGCATCTGCATAATTATATAGATTTCCATAAACAAGAACAAAAACATAACAATGAGTTGCTTATGTTTTTCTGGTCCCCGTTTATTCAATTACTGAAACAAAAGACATCAAAAGTTAAAATATTTCGATACTAATGCAATGCTTTCACATAGCCTGTGCATATAGTTAAATTTGAGACAATGTCGAGGAAATATAATTTAGCAATGTATATAGAATAGGGGTAATACTATAAAGCCTGGTTTCCAATTTAGTCGTAATTGTCGTGAATAAGACATTTTCGCTGATGTAAATTTAGTCACTCATGCACTAAAGATAGTTCAAAAAAATGTTATTTTCCATGTAAAATGGCGCGGGCTTTACGAACGCGCAAGAAGTATGCCCGTATAAATATATAGTAATATTTTTCTTTACAACTATTTAAATTAGTTCTTTAAAAATCTATTTTATATACTTTTTACAAAAGCAATAAAGTGTTCAAATATTCACAACTTATCCAGTCTAAAATTGCGTTTCTGCATTAAATGAACTTATTATGACATCCACTTGGTTTTGTCATACAAAGGCTGCCGCAAAGAATGCAAACCCTACATTGATTAATAACTCTAGACCAAGTTTCTTTTCATACGGTAATCTATCTAGACATTTTTTATTCCTAAATCTTACTGCAAAAAATATATAGAACCAAACAGTAGTTTTTTATCAACTTAAATTGATTACCTGAGTGTAATAATATTACTCTATATAACATAGAAAAAACATAAAAACTTTCCGTTAATACGTCAATCAAAACCGTCCATCGATTGGATTATTTGGATATGAACTCCGAGGCGGTGGAATGTGTGGGACTCCTGTGCACCTCAATGAACGCTCTTTTCATAATGCGTCTCATCACTCTCATGGGTTCCGAGTGTTCCGAGCAGAGCCGTCATAATGAAGGACTGTAGAGAGCTTCTTATGTGGTGGTTTATTGATCAGTTTCTTTTGTATTTATACTCATATCACATTTAACTTGAGTTGATCCATGTTCCAAAACTGACGTAATATCTGTTGTAATACTAATAGACGTTTGCGGTTTGCTATGAACGACAATTCATGTAGCTATATTGTAACACAGTTAATAGTTCTATTAGCTGTGATTGTACATAACACGAATGCATGCAACAGCATTGCATAACAGTAATAGATTTTATAGATAGTCAGCTCATAATTATGTTCAGTTTTGCTTTTTCTGTCTTCGTCACCAGGGCCGTCGCTAACAAAAGAAATCAGTCGGGCATAATACGAATGTATAAATATGCACCTCCCAGACCCAATTAATACTTTCTATCGACGACCCTGTTCGTCACTGCCTAGTATATAATGCTGATTCTGTGACCTTGCATAGTTGCATGTCATTTGTGATATCAGGTTTCCCGTTTCTCTCAAGCTGTTGCTCAATGAATCATATTACTTTTCTTGTGTAGTTTATTTATTCAGCATAAGTATATAAAGATGAATTAGATCATGACTCGTTAACATTGTTGTTTATTCATATTTGGCCTTTTCAAACTATACACAATTATATATGCATCGTCAACCATTCAAAATTTTCCGCTGTCGTCGCAAGCGGTAACAAAGTAGGCACGCGGGTACAACGATGTCTGATGAGAAAGGAAAAATCGATAACGATGGCGAATACGCTTTGCTGCCAACAGAAGAGTCTGACGAGGAAAATACTGACAAGAAACTAGTAACTATAACTGAATATCGCGACCACGAACATGCAACGACGTATGTATATTAAAAGTTATAACATACACATGCCGAAATAAATAGAATAACCATACAATGTTTTAGTAGAATATACATAAATTTCATATATCCGCGTATTCTAATCACTGAATTATACCGTTGTGATTCGTCTGTGACTGTGTGTATAATATACATTTTTCTCGATCGTTATGCTTTATGCATTCTTATAGACTTATAATTTTGTGCAAGCGTGATACATGCAAGGAATACTGTACAATAACGATACTATGTGCGCTTCCATTAAGCTGGCAGACCATGGTCAGACCGGTCATTTCGTTAATATTTCGTTAAGAATATAGCGATAAAAGATAAAACTATATCTCCCGTGCCAGGAGATGTAAATAACGATACACTTGAATGCAGATTTCTTGAAAGTGAAACGCTCTAAAATATCAGTAATCTGTCTGTACCGAAATACAACAGGACCGGTCTGGCAGTTTTTCCGTATAAAGGAAAGCGCCCTATGTTATTTCATAAATTTCATATATCCGTATTTCACTTGTATTCATACCGTTGTGATTCGTCCGTCTGTATATTAAATGAATTTTATATGCATATATATGATATAATTGAAGTTCTTTGTATTATAGCTAGTTACTGCTGTTTGATTTGCGTTTTTCAAATACTTAAAGTCGCTCTGACATTTTCGCTGTGACCCCTTCTATCTTTAAGAAATATTTCCTCGTCGTTTTGTATTGACTGTTTTTGCGTCATTAATCGGCCTTTCTACTGATTACTTATAATTTATACTTATAATTTTAATTACGGTTTGTCAGTTCTTTTGTAATGAGTAATGACCTAATGACCAATCAGGTTTTATATTATATTTTTGCAGCGATTTCGAAACCTTGCTGCATATTGTGAAGGCAACGATTGGAACTGGAGTTCTTAACCTTCCCTCAGCTTTCAGAAATGCTGGAGTTGTGGTAATAAAGTAGACTGGTTTGACTGAGTTTGCAATGATTACTGCGCACGTATTTCGTTACTCTATCACATTTGAATTAGATAATGTTTTCTGAATGTTTTTTGATAATCTTTTTCTGAATATCGTCGTTTTCTGTTGTGAAGTTCAATCAAAATAACCAGATTTCTGAATGTAGTCTAGAGCACCATTCCTCTTTATCACACTATACCTTCAGCATTTACCACAATTTAATTAGTTTCCTTTATTCAATTTTAAGGTTGGTCCAATTGGTTTGCTTTTTGTTGCAGTAATTATTGTTCATTGCGAACATCTCTTAGTCATCAGTTCACGAACATGGTGTAAAGTGTGAGTGATCAAAAAGCTGATATCTCTTTACAACCTGTTCACGGCCAAAAGCTACAGAACACCATTTTTTGCTTAAAGGTTTTCGAAGAAAAACTCGGGCAAAATTCAGCTTTGGTGAATACCACTTAGATATTAGGACCAAGGTGGCCAGCTTAGCTTAGCTATACTTGCATGCATAGAAAATATTTTTTACGCCTGATTCACAATAGGTTAATAACACCTCATCAGTGCTTTTAGCATCAGAAGCGTAGAAGAAAAATGCTCATTGAAAGTATATATATAATTATATTTTTAAATTTGGTTATATATGCATCTTACAGGAAGGGGAAGTCAAGCATGGATTTTGCTGATGTGGGTGCAGAATGTATTATGACGCGGTATCCAAACAAAGGATGGCTAGGAAGGTTTGTCCGTCAAAACATAGTCAAAACGATCTCATTGTACAATTAAACGGAATGTAAAACTGAATCAGAGCAGAATACCTGCAGAGTTAAGGACTTGGCATCGCATTCGCGTCGATTCATTAAGATCTGTATACTACGTTGCAGGTTGATCGTAAATGTATGCTTGATGTTAGCTCAACTTGGAATTTGTTGCGCTTACATGATATTTGTTTGTCGAAATTTGCAGCAGGTGAGTATTATGCAAATGGTATGTATACTCCCTTGCCTCCCTGCTTACAAATCCTCGATACTACGCTCCCGATCGTGCAAATTTGACCTCCCGCATATATATACACGTGACGTAGGTTAATACCACGTGAACTGCAAGTTTCACTCTTCCAATTTCTTACATATTCCACTTTCAGATTTTTGCCAACAACACAGATTTCGCTGTGGATACAAGACTTTGGTTACTGATACTGCTACCAGTCTTTGTTTTAATTTCCTTTATAAAGAATCTTGACAGCCTTGCTTGGTTATCTTTCATATCAAATATCTTCATGATCGCTGGCCTTGTTTGCATATTTATTTATGTATTTCAAACTCTTCACAATCCTCTTCACTTACCTGCAGTGGCTCCTGTGCAAAATTTGCCATTGTTCTTTGCTTCTTCAATTTTTACGTATGAATCTATTGGTTTGGTAAGTTCAAAATCTAGCCTTGTTGAGGAAGCCTGCCGTGACGTCTAGTTCTCTTCTCCTGCCGCCATTTTGGGTGGAAAATATATCGGTTGAATAAAAGACTTATTGCAGCCAAGATGGCGGACTACTAGAATCTGCAAGAATCTAATATAAATTAACAATATTAATATGCTAACACTAGATAACGTCTTGTTAAATGATCTGATCAACTCAAGGCAGTCTAGTTCTAAATCTGGCATGGAATGCCGAAATTTTTCATTTTCTTTTGCAAACCATTTTTTGCAAGGGCAAAACAATACACGATAAAAAAATTACAGTTTTTTACACACCTATATATAATTTATGCATTTTCTTCGCACATTGTCATTGCACACAAGACTCATGCTAGTAATTTTATTTTGTTTATTGGTTAATGAAGAATGAATAATACGTGTTTTTCTTTCTCCTAATTCTAGATTCTTCCTCTTGAGAACGAAATACGGAATGTAAAACGATTTCCATCTCTCTTAAATCTTGGTATGGTCTTTGTGACGGTTGTTTACATTTCAATAGGCTTTTTTGGATATTTGTCTTGCACTGATAATTGCTTGGGCAGTATCACGCTTAACCTTGGGGAAACAGCGTAAGTAGAATCGTATATTAAATTAAGATTTTGAAATTACAGGTTAGATACATATCAACATGCAAGTTTAACGATATACAAATATTATGAATGAAAAAAGACATGCAATAAATGAAATATATGTAAATCAAGGACGAGGTATGACTGCATGCATATATGTACCTTGTCCTTCGACGTAAAATCATGCAGAGCGCCACCGTTCGTACAAACAACTTTTTTCACTTTCAAAATCTGTGCGCTGAAAATGCTTTTAGGCTAGTTTAATTACATGCAAGCCCTCTATAGCGAGCTTGCAAGTAGGTGGGCGATGATTGGACCGCAATGAGACTAGAATACCACTTTTTTTCTTTATACTGTGACAATTTTCTGTATTCTTATCATGTGTATAGCTATATCAGTTGCGATCAGGCAAAAATCGCAAAAACGTGCGATGTTTAATTTTCCTTCCCCTCTCGTTTTCCATGTAGATATTCTGACACAGTAAGATCAATGATGACTGCCTCAATAATCCTGGCCTTTTTCATACAAGCGTACGTTCCATTCTCACTCGTCGAATCATGGGTATTGGCAAAAACAGGTAGCGAACATGATTTGGCAAAAAGGTACATGGCAAGAGCTTCTGTTGTCATTTTTACAGGTGGGTAAATTTTAGTTTTAGGTCTATATATTTCGAGCTAGGGTGAGGGTTGATTTAAATGTATTCAGAGTCATTTCAAGGTTAGGCAAACAAACTATTTGTTCACATTTTTTAAAATTTTTATATATTATATATTTTTATATATTTTTATGTTTTTTATATATATGTCTTATTATTATTATTAATATTCTGCCTGCATGAATATTAGAATAGCTACATATGCAGTTCTCTAATATAAGCATGTTTTCAGGACGGGTCATAAAAATGCACCTCAAAACACAAAGTGACGTTAATGTAAAACAATTTTTCCTATGCAAACGCGAAATATATTTTACCTTTCAGCTGTTTTAGCAGGAACTGTCCCAGATTTGGAGTATATTATCGCGTTGTTTGGTGCAACGACAAGTACGACATTATCCATAACACTTCCTGCCATATTGCATACAATATCTCTTGCTCCTAATCTATCCAAATTTACTATAACAAAGAATATTGCCATTGTTTTATTCGGAATGGCCACAAACATATTGGGAGTGGCAGTATTAGTCCAGAAAATAACGAATTTATATGAAAGACCAAAGTTATAGGCTGGAAAAGTATAACTGCATGTGTAAATATATTTATTTAATCTCCGTGAGGATCACATTAATTTTAATATATAGGAATAGTCATGGATTATAGTAGCGAGAAAATGATAGGTAACCCTGTTGTCTTGTTCTCTGATCAACTTCGATTCAGAGGACATCTCATGTAATGAAGTTACAAAACATAAAACAATGAATTGCTTATATTCATTTCTGGCTTTTATGATCTATGTAATACAACGAGAGGAAGTCATTTATTGAATTATATTACTGTAACGACTAGACGTTTATTTACTGTCAAAATATTTCATTACCAGAGGGTGATGCTTGCACATTGCCAGACTGCACTGAATGGGTAAATTTGAATTAGCAATACACGGAAGTGCAAAACTTGGTGCAGTGATAAATCTGGATGGAAAGAGCAAACTGCTGGAAAGAGTTTGCATGAAGAATTTCTTAATGTCTTTACGAAATAAAGTGAAAAGTTTCTTTATAATGCTGATGTACGTTGATTTCCCCTCCTATGTTCGGGGATTTCTCTGGGCATTTCGGTTTTCTTCCTGCGATATTAACCCTAATGCAGAATAGTACCTATATAACAACGGGCTTACATGCAGCAATTGCCACGTCCTGTTGCAGACTCATCTCCATTAAGGCAGAGGTGAATAAAAAGTAATTTAACGAAAATATATAGTATATACATAGATTCCGTTGAAATATTCCACCCACACGCCTCTCTATTGCAATTTTGTACTACTTTGCTACTTCAGCTACAAGTCAATGGTCGTGAATACTTCATGCTGATGGCAATGTAAAGCTAATGCATGGAATCTTAATCCATCACCTGCGTCTATATATATGGAATTTTTTTTATACCAAACGCGCAAAAGATGGCTTTTGAGAACATGCACGAGGTATCTCCATAGCCTTATTTTTGTGTATACCTATTTGAACTCAGCATTATACGAATTCCAATATTCGTTTTATATAACTTCGAACCAAAAAGGAATGTTTAAATACGCACCACTTAGCCACTCTTAAAATTTTCTTTTTTCGTTAGACCTGGGAAGCTCAATTTCTTCACTCTGAAGTCTAAAGGAACAAACGTCATGCCATTCGCAAGCCTTGAGGAAAGCGTGGGAGTACGGTAACTTGAAGTAAGAAATTTTTTTCCTGAGGCCACTTTGAGGAGATCTTGCCCAAGAAATGTTCCATATTGTATGGGGTGCAACCAAGCATTCAATTTCAAGCAAAAGCTTGATTTCAGAAGATGGTAGCTACTTTGAAACACCCAATTTTCCCTTTCTTTTTTTCAATCTAGTTTTTGCGATAACGTCTACGAAGCAAGGTGTTTGGCCACCATCTTTTTGAAATGGCAAATTTTCAAACCAGCACATGCATGAGGTGCCATACTGCCATTACTGGCTCTGTACAATATAATAGTATCTTATCTCCTATCTTCAAATATGCTCGTTGCGAGTACTTGCCAATGGTAAGCATCGACTAAAACTAATCACGCTCCATACACACCTTTGGATCCAGGGACGCCGGAGGCAATTCAGTTGGGCGGGGGCGAGTTTTAGAAAAGGGCACACTCTTGGCAACTACACGGACACAGGGTTAAGGCTAAAAGGTTAATATTCATCTTATGTTGGACTGATTTCTCTTGAAAGCTATTGTTCCTACGAAAATTATAAACGAATAAATGAATATGCACCCCTTACAACTAAGTCTAAGTGGTCTAGCAACGGCCCTGCAATAGCTTGCATAAGTCAACAATTTTGTGTCCGCGGGAGAATGCATTTCTAAACAATGTTATCATTAAGTTTTAGTTTGAAGAGTAAGCATCATGCTACTTGCTCCCCTGGTTCTTTTTCGATCCAGAAGTTTGCCAAAAAAACGTCGAGAATATTTGTAACGATTTGGCTCTACTCTGTTACCCTGTCATGTGTTAACATTAAAAACTCTGCTGATTTGTAGTAGGTAAGGTCCTTACAGAATGAATGCTTTAGATTCTTGGATTGTTTTATTAATGTGTCGTTACTAACCTATTTTGTGTATGATTTACACGAACAAATATTTGTGTTAATTTTACAGACAAATAGATGCATACATTCTATATTTTGGTGTTCAAATCCTATGAGAGACCTTCCCATAAATGTTCCCTCAAATTTTTCATTCATAAACTTCTACCATGTAAAATTTAATGTACATACACATTTCGGGTATATTTGTAATATTTTCAAGGATATATAAAACAGACAAGATATTGAACTAATACATTTATTGATAACTCCAGTTCATACATCATATACAAACAATATTTCTTCCCAGCAATCACCTTTTTACATTTTGTAATCTATCTGAAGCAGATAATTTTTCTTCCCAAAATCCCAATACAAAAAATATATGCCAAAGGACTAAATATTACTTTTTAAATTTTAATACATTTTTCAAATTTCAAGTTCATCACTTTGCCTCTTGTTTGACATTTCCTGAGCATTGTTCAGCAAGAACTTGAGAAACAGTTTCTGTAACCTTCACAGAAGCCAGAGGTTGTTCTTCAACATGACTCTTCTTGTGTGACGATAGGTGACCAGACTGTTTGAATGTCTTGTGGCAAATATCACACTGATATGGTCTATCCCCCCCATGGATTCTTTTATGTGTAGTTAAGTTGCTTGGGTTATTAAATCTCTTTTGACAGATATCACATTGAAATGGTGCTTCACCTGTATGTGTTCTTTTGTGTCCAACCAAATGTGCAAACTGACTAAACCTTTTATGACAAATGTCACATTCAAAAGGTTTTTCGCCAGTGTGAGTTCTCTTATGAACAACAACATTGCTGGAATTAGCAAACCTCTTATCACAAATATCACATTTATATGGTTTGACACCGATGTGGGTTCTTCTGTGACTGGCCAAGTTACCATGTTGACGGAACGTTTTGTGGCAAAATTCACATTGATGAGGCCTTTCGCCTGTGTGCATACTTTTATGTTGAATGAAGGATGATATAGAACTAAGCCATTTATTGCAAATATTACATTTAACCCGTTTTTGTGTACCACTGGTATTTTTTTGAAGTTGTGGGTTTATCTGTTCTTCTGAAGACGACACTTTATACTGGATTTGTTGGACTGTAGAGGATTTTATATCTGGTGATTTGTTGATCAGTCTCTTTTGTGCTTTGTATTCATATGACATGCTATCACCGTTCAGTTCTGATTTTAGACAGCAACTGTAATAATCTTCATCAGTGTACTGATCTTCAGTCTGTGTTGATGCCTCGGCAAACTCGACTTCGCGTGATGGCTGTGGAGATGACTCGATTGCACTGTATTTAGTTGGTCGTTTACCTGCCTTTCGTCTTGAGCTCATTTCTTTGTCGTTAATAAATAGCAAGAAAATGAGTCAAATATTCCCATGAGCAGAAAATACAACAAAATGCTTCAAACCGATGCCCTTTGGCACCTTGCCTTCGGCAATCCGCTTGGCTTAATTTTCAAGTCAACTTTTTCGCTGTATTCCAATGATCAAATCCAATATACAATCGTGTGATTGCCACAAATAAAAATTACTAAAGGTCAGCAATTTCGAGATTTTGATTGTTGTTTAAATTACAAACACAAAATCGAACAAAAAATTGTTACAAATCGTGGGATGTGACTCACATTCCATAACCCACTGGGGGAGCTCCACTGAGCCTGACCATAGACTATCGAAGGGAATGGACTGGAAACGCCAGTGTTTCTCGCGTTGCATATCCGTGATGCGGCCTGTAAAATTCGCGGTCTCATTTGAGCACAAATCAAATTCAAAATGGCGGAAGCTTCAAGTGCGGGAAATTTAGGATCTGAAGAAGAAATCAACTGGGATACCATTTTTACCGCTGAATTTGAACCCAATAGTTGAAGCGAAGACAGCGAAGGGAACTATAGTAGCGATGAGTGTTCAGGAATTGAAGAAAAACTGTTTATCAGCGGTATTTATATTGTTATTTGTTTGCAAGTATTGAGATACAAAATTGTTGATTTGATATTATCTAATATGTTTTAGTATTTTCACATTAAAACTGTGTACGTTTTAAAGTTACTCACTCTTACAATTTATATTACAACGTATTTATTTTAATTTTATTAACTTTGCCATATTATCAACAATGCATGTGTTTTTATATTGTACAGGTGTGCAGGAAAAAAATCTACAATTTGTTTTAATAATTGATAATTAATACTACACACTATGTCTATGATACTATGGCGTACTTCGTCTCAAATTAAATGGAACTGTATGTTCTGAAGGCATATTTATTACTGAATTAAATCACAGGCAATCAAATAGAATTCTATTTGCTTGTCTATGATTAAATATATACAGTATGACCACATCACAGGCATTACAGTATCTTGCAGTATTTTCAGAGAGCATATATTAATTATTATAGTAATACACTGGAAACAATAACATTAACATATCATTTCTTGCAGACAAGGCAGTTTCAACAAAAGTACAGGATGGTGTAAAGAAGCTAGACAGTGACAATTGACAAAGAAACCTCTGCTTCTGGTAAAATACATTACAAATGATACTCTGTCAACTAGAATTTTGTATCTACAATCAGTGACATAATTATTGGACTATTTGATTGTCTGTGCACTGATATGGATATAGGTACATCACTAGGGGTATCACTCTTGTAGCCCTGAGAACGAGTTCATGAATAAACTTTCTATGTTTCAACCTAAAGCTTTTGTAGACATGAATGTAATATGTATATTTGATGTAATATTGTGAATATTTAAATTATTTTACAGCAATTAATATATTAAATTTTTTTAATGACTATTGATAACATGATTAAATTGCATATGCAGCGAATTTTTTTATCATTGAATTGCAAAGTTAATTTAAAATCACAATATATATAATTTCTTTTCTAAAATTTTGTTAGCTTTTTTGTATGTCAAGATATCGGACCTTCTTTGATGTACAAATGTAACTCAAATGGCGTCACACTGCATTATATGATTTCTAAGAAGACTGTGTTTTAGACTTATAGCTTGATAAAATTGTCATTAGCCCAAATTTGAAGATGAAGTGATAGCTCTTACAGTATATAACTTTCAGTGTCGGTAGATTATAGACTCGGTAAAAACAAGGAAATTTCAGTTATAACAACACACAATCTTTAACGCATAATTTTAGAGTTATATTTTTCACCAGCTCATTGTTTTCTTTTTTCACATGTACATCCAGCACTGTGCCTGTGGCAGTGTTTTCCTGGTCTTGTTCAATTTTTTTTCTGAAAAACCTTTTTTTATAGAATATCCTTTCTTGTATAGCATCTTCAAAAGTAATTGCAAAGTACTGGCTTAATTTAAGGTTGTATGTGTATACTTGATTATGTTATTACGGCAACTTTTAAAAAATGTTTAATATTCTGTAAAATATAATTTTAATTAGTTGATTTATAATTGCTGTTCGTAGACGTATGGTCACAATCATATTACATTTTTTTCTGAACGGAAAATCGCACAGCAATGAATTAACTATAGTTTCGTAGCTTAATGACTGAAGAATTGTTTTAGCATAATCCTGTTGAAGAAAACACACTCGCGTTTAACATACAGGGTTCCAAATGTGACCCTTGTTTCGATAATAATATTGTGTTTTTTGTCGCGTGCGTAATTACTAAATTCCGTATCACAACACTTTGCTGGCTATTTTTACGAAGTTTAGAACCACAAACGTACTTATTTTTGATGATTTTGTAGTTAAGTAATCAAAGAAGCGGTATAAATAAATAAAAATGAATTTTATGAAACAAATTTTAATATATTGAGTTACTTTTCACCTGGACATCGACAATAACAATGTCGATCGGCGATTTTTGCAAAAACAACCAAAAATTATTTGATCGGATTTATTGTCAAACAGGAACGTAAATAGCTACAACTTTTTTTGCGTTTCGTTTACAAGACGTTTAAGAATAGTAATATTTCCTTACACAATCGTAAAACATGATGGTTCTTGAGTTACAGGGTTTCAAAGTTTTGCAATTTACAACACTGACCTTACGTGCGCCATTTTAAAAGGTATCGCTTGCTAGCGGCTGCAGTTTTTGCTACTATTTACTATAAAAGTCATATTTTTTTAACATAATAACCTTTATATAGTACTCAACTTTGCATACGAAGTCTAATTTTTTTCTACAAAATCTGTATTTTTTAAAAAACGCGCTATAAACAAATTTTAAATTATGTAAATTTCATGTTTTTATTTGGCCCGTTTCCTGAGCAACGCGGCAATTGATTCGTGATAACCCATATCACGGATAGGCAACACTGACATTAGCGCTTTGCGCTGGCGTTTCCAGTCCATTCCCTTCGATAGTCTATGGCCTGACTGAGCCCTACTAAATACTATGCCTGAGCCCACAGATCACAGATATCAATGGTCCGTGAAATATTTGGTTTATACTTCGTGTTAAATAGATTATCGATTCAATGCACTCGATTTTTAAAAATTGGAACTTTTCTCATGCTGCAGCAACCGTAGGTAAGCGAAAACTATTTTTTGGGTCCGAGAACTACAGAACTGAGAATAGTATAGTCATCTAGATCGGGGAGGGTGAGAAATATATTTTCATTTAATGGCATATTGCTGTTATTCCAGTAGTTTGCCCCCGACTTGGCCCTTTCTCCCCATTTGTTGCAACCCTCCACGGCTCCACCTGAATAAGGCCCCAAGGATACAGTTTAAAATGGTTTACCATAAATGGAAAACGTATTGTTGTATGCAAAAACAGCGGCGTAGCCAGAACGATAATTGGGGGGGCCCATATTCATATATTCGTGATACGCAGGATTAATTTCTTTTCAAATCAATTGTCTTTACAGGCTGTTTACATGAATATATGAATATGGACCCCCCCCCAATTTATCGATGCTGGCTACGCCACTGTGCAAAAATATAATTTGGTCAACAAATTCCTTAAAACTTAAATAACCTCTTGCATGCCTTTGATTTCCACAGCAGGCAAAGGTTCACCATCCTAATGAAGCTAGTTAGTTTTTTATTGCCAGCAGGGCCGTAGCTAGAAGCTTAATTGGGGGGGGTGCATATTCATATATCTTATGCCCAAATGATTTCTTTTGTATGCTATTGTTCCTATGGTATATAAACATGAATATATGAATATAAACCCCCCCACTCAAGCGGTCTAGCTACGGCCCTGATTGCCAGTCATTTCTACTGGTTTCTACGGTTTAATTTATTTTCTAAATTGGAAATTTGGGGATTTCTGCCTGCATCTTTCTTAGAGATATTGTGCAGGCAAAATACATTCAATGATAAAACAAGTGTTTATTGTTTTGTGTTTTTGTAAAACTACTCAATGGACAATGGTAACCAATACTAACCAATACTAACCAATACTAACCAATACTAACCAATACTAACCATGTTTTTACACAAGATTTCCTGGCCATGTTTTGGAATAAATGTAGTGAAGACTTCAACATGACTGATTTTAAAACTGACCTCATTGGCAAAAACTGTTATGAGTAGACATGTTATAACAAAACAAGTTATTTTTTATGCAATTGCATTATCCTTTATTTAGTGCTCAAAATCCCTCAAATGTGACAGATGGTGTACATTCTCCTATGTAAATGCAAGAATAAGAAAAAGGCACCGAATATATAGCTGAAAGTACATAGTGCAAGATTTTCAGCGAAAAAAATGGATACCAATAAAAAACAAATACAATGTGATGTCTGTAGGAAGTCATTTAAACAACAGGGTGCCCTTATTATCCATAAGAGAATCCATAATGGTGAGCGTCCTCATATATGTGATTTTTGCGGGAAAGGATTTGCTCAAACAGGCACGCTAACAGTTCACAGGCGATTACACAGTAATGAAAAACCTTATGGTTGCGATGTTTGCCAGAGTTCATTTAAAAACTCGAGTGCACTCTCTCGTCATAAAAAATCGCACACTGGAGAAAGGCCACATGAGTGCGACATCTGCTTGAAGAAATTCGCTGAGAAGGGATGCCTCAAAGTTCATAAACGGATACACACGAATGAAATGCCTTTCGAATGCGACGTGTGTCAGAAACGATTCCGACAATCAGGTACTTTTAGATATCATAAACAAACTCACAGCGAACAGGTGTATGCTTGTGGTGTATGTGAAAAAAAATTCCAAAATTCTGTGAGTTTGCGACGACATCAGTTACATTATGAAAAAGCAGCACATAAATGTGATGTGTGTAAATGTAAATCTTTTGCTGATTCAGCGCAATTTGAGCGACATAAAAAGTCGCACTCGCATCTCTACAATTGTTACCATGCGGGTCTACTGCGCATGCCCGTCAGTGAGCACGAAGAATCACCAAAAGTTATTTTAAAAGAAGATGGGGGAAAGTCGTATCGCTATATCGCATGCGATAAAACATCATGTAATGAAACCGTTTTGCATTATCATAAGACGACACTTGATGACAATTGTCAGCAATGCAGTCCCAAGAGTTCTGAAAAAATTCAGCCCAATTGTAATTCGAAAAATGGATGTTCTGATAAGGAATCACGGACCAAATAAAAATAGATGGAAACACAAAATGCGAGGGAACTGGTGACGGTAACAGAGGTTATAGCAGAAACGATGGGAGTTACTTTTTTTAAGAATTCGCTAAACTCTTTTTAATATCCAAATTCTATGAACGAACTATGAAGTTGCATTTTCCTAACATGATCGTATTTCTTTTTCATCCAGTATAATCTCCTAATCATCATGTTTTATAATCCGCGTAACCATTTAGAAAGTGTGGGGGAGGGGGGGCACTGATAAAAAGGGCACTTTCTCATATAGAACTATATCACACTTACTCCGGCCCATACATCTGCGAAGACAGTGAATTTCACTAAATGGACCTTTTCCGTAGTAAAAAAGTATACAAAATCAGCTACTTTGCATGGCTATATTTTCCGTAAGGGAAGTTTGCGGTCAAACTTTGCAATTATACTGATTTCGGTCTGCTCTTTTAAGATGTGGTGATTTATTTCCTTCTTCGGTTACCTAGCTCGTAAGCTGGTCTATCAGTATGCAAAAATCAAACTAGTTTTGCCACATACAAATTTCTACTGAGTCTGAGATGATGAGATCGTGTACTCCTGTAGCCCTTTTTTCTTTTGTTAACGATAAAGCACATTTAATGACTCGAAGAAGGGTACGTTCGCTTAAAAAAGAGGGTACATTTTGGTATTTTCAAAAAAGTGCCCCCCGGTTCCGCGCCTACTGGATACATATAATATATGATACGTCGTATATGATGCGAAAGGCCCGCTTACACTTGCGTGATTTTGTTTTGAGAGTTTGTTTTTAAGGAATTTGTTACGGGTGGTTAAATAAGAACTGTTATTAGCTCTTTTACATCTATCAAAAGAGGAAAATCGCAGCAACAGTTGCAAGTGTAAACGGGCGCGAAGGCATATGGGAATATACAATCTATACAAGAACGAGACAGCAATATGTACGAGACTACAAATACACTTTTAAAATATAGCTTTACCAGATTTCGACATGACTGGTTGTTCTCATGCCTTATGTAAATGTTATAATTAAGAGGTTACAAAAAAAACAAGAAAAAAGGAACTCAATTCAGTTTGTTCTTTTTAAGCGGACATAAAATTTGTAAAATCAATCAAGATGGCGCCAGCAGACTGGTTATGACGTCATATATGCCACAGAAGAATTCCTATAAAGTGACAGGATGGCCGGAAAAGCAAAGGTAGTTGTCAATGCTGAGAAAAATATAATTAAGTTATTATAGGCGCCCCGGCACCTTAGAATAACACGTTATTGTATAAACATAGGCGCGTGTATGTATGGAATTTGAGTCGAGTTGCCTATGCGGACCAGTAGTGATACTACAGAAATCGTTATGCTTGTTAAAAATAACTTCTTCCCATACTAAATTTACAAACAGTAACACACGTTCGTTTTGCCAAACGAGGAAAGTTTCAAACTATCGAATTGTTGATAGATATGGCGTTTTTACCAGCGCTATTTTAAGCGGTGATGAAAATCTCTCACCTTTATCTCGAGTGAACGTGAATAGTCCATATCACATGTGATAATTAAGATAGATTAAGTCGCGTGTTATCTAGAGACTTGACAGATTTAAAAAGCAATGTTAAATATTTTATTCATGCGCCCATCCTGGGAACACCCAACAAGAACGGCGCGCTGAGTTTTTTAATCAGGGCATTCTGCTTTTCCATATGAAGCGCGAAGATTTTTTAAAACTGGTGCAACGCTTTGGTTTGTTCTACTTTGCTGCAGCACGATTTTCATCCTACACCATATACAGCTATAAGCCTTCATTTCATCAGTTCCTTAATTAAAACCATGGGCTTCACAACTATTTAACACGTAAATTGAAACCTCTATAACATGACTCTGCATGCATATTTGGGAGGCTACGTTTACTGGACAGTTGGGAAACATGAGGAAATACTACACTAGCATATCCATATCGGGGAAGAACGTTGAAAGGGTGGCAAGGGGTGGGAGGTTGATGCGCACCCCTCTCATAAGGTTAACTCAAAGGGAATGTGGCTTCTCTATAAATTGGTAGTCAGAAAGACAATCTTGCCACCTGTACTACAATAAGTCGCTGGAAATATTTAAAAAATGGACAAAGTTTCACACATTCTACACAACACTGCTAATGCGGCTCGTGCTGATTAGTTTTTTTTATATACTTGAACGGTTGGCACTGGTGGACGCGGTTTGTGACTCCGTCTTTGAATAAGAAGCTATCCACGGTGTCTCGTTTCAAAACGAAAACGTATTCGTCCTTATCTCGTTGATTTTTTCTACTTCGAACTCGACATTTAAATGCAAGAAATATTTAAGACTTGACTTCCAAAGCAACATGAGAAAGTTATTAAGACTCTATTAACGAAGTCGGTGACCTACTTTTTTATTCCATTTTTTTCATCAAATTCCTCAAAAGTTTCATAAAACAGTCTTGTGGTGATAGGTTACCGACTTTTTTGGTTACAAGCAATTGTATTTCTATATATTATCCTGTTAAATGCCTTCCTCAAGTTGCTACGGAAACACTGACTATGTTTACTGCAACCGAGTTAAAACATCGCTTGCCAAGTTATGCTCCTGCAAATACTTCATTAACTGTAGTGGGCCGCCTCATTAGCTAATATGTGCAACCAGTCAAGGAGACAGCGGTAGTTAATCAGTTAATTAACCTAATTACCTCACAAGTGCTCGTTAAGATTAGTTAGTGTCCCGATGATTCACTACCCCTAGACCTGTGAGCGCTTTCTTCATCTCCTTCATTTTTGACAATTCATTCATGCCGAAATGGTTTTGAACATGGACAGGTCTGGCTTATATCGTTACGACATGCTAAAAAGGTTTTATTAAAATTTAATATAATCAGTTTGTGCCAAAATTTTTAGCAATTTAAGAGCCGGCCGGAAAGCCTGTTACATGCATGGGCTTGGGAAAAATATTATCCAGAACTATAGCTGAACCGCGATGAGTGATCAAATTTTTTCACTGCAAAGCCTTTACATTCAGTCAATTAGAATAATTTTTGTAACAATGAAAGGGGTGGCATTCAACAGACATTTTAAATACCATGCATGAGAACGTTAAGCTATATACTGATATATACTTCGGTATGCTGATTCTATATAATTTTTTGAAAAGATTTTTTTAATGGTGGTAGTTTACTTTACGTAGTTACTTTCCATGAATTAGCTGATCCAACTTATATTCGATATAAAACAAAGAAAGAGATCTTCCATCACATCTATTTTTCACCAATGAACCTTCGTTATGGTTTTTTGAAATCAATCGTACGATGACTTCGCCGAACAGTTGAGCTAAAATGTTCGGGCAAGTCATATATTTTTCCTGTGTCCGTGCTAATATAAAAGTTCCAGTCGTATTCCAAAAGCATCCTCAAAAGCGGAGCGACCGTGAAATATATAAAGAATTGCAATCGCAGGGAGCTGGAACTGGTGTATACCACTTTTTTGTGTGTGTTCTAGAGGCTAGTATTAATTAAAGGCGTAGTAAAAATTACGCCAGCTATATGGAAGAGCGATTTATCATTGATTTCATCAGCCACATCGGCCATCTGCTTGAACAAAGCACAAATAATTTGACCATTATATAAGAGTATGTCTATAGTATATGATCAATATATAATTTGTTTTGACGCGAACACCCCAATACTACCGTTATAAAAACACGTTTTTTACAAAAAGTATTTCAAAATTGTTTTGACTAACTATTAATTAGATCTGTATTTGTGTTTGTATCATATCGTAATATAACACCGCAGGCTTTTGACGTGTATAGGTTTAACCCCCAGTGTCAAATGTTGTGCTTATATATTCGTGCTAAATTTAGTTACGTCTGTATTCAGCAGGAGACGCCAGCCAAGATACAACTCGAGGAGTGCCACAAAGTTGACAACTCTAAGATTTCTTCTCAACGTGCGAAAGTCCGACACATCTGCTTCGTACTCTTATCGCCTGTTTTCAAGAGCTAAGGTAAACAAGTTCTCTTCCTATATACCCTAGCTACTTCAAGAAATTATTTTATCTTCTTAGTTAACTCGATTTATGATCATGTGTGTTTACACAATGGATCGTGAAACTTTTCGAAGATTGAGGAATTCAACTTTACCCGTCATGAGCCCAGTTCATGCGATTATAGATTTCGTCAAGGCGATTGCACAAACTTTATCCCTGTGTCATTTGCCGAGTCACGCAACTTCTTCAAGAGAAAATAAAACTCAAGTTAGCGCGCCCGCTTGCATATCAATTTCGCGTTGCGCTAACAACAATTGATGACAATTAGCGCTCATTGCCCTAAAACGCATAATGCAAATAAAAGACTTCCGGAAGCATTTCGTTTATTGAATAGTACGCGATGTTGAGCATTTCGACGCAAACCAAACTACGGCGTAAAATTACAGCGGTTATACGCGGAGCAACCGATGATTGGCGCGAACATAATTTTACTGTGATGCGATGAAGTTAGTTCTGAGACACACGACCTTTGAATATTTTTGGTGTTTCCAATCTCTGAAGTACGTGCGTAATTTTGATTTTCTAAATGTCCTTTTCGATAGTGACATCGAAAAATTGTTCCTCCCCTCGGTTGTGCATTTTAAAACGCAGGTCGTATATTTATGGCAAGGTTTGTTTTGGCAGACATTTGGCTGTATTTGCAACCAAGTGTATATCATATTTGAATAATCGATTATCTCATAACAAAAACCTGATTATAAATAAAGCGCTGTTAGCTACTTGTTTGAACCTTACTGTGACGCAATACAGGTAATATTTTCTTACTAAAACAGAAAGTTTATAACATGGGGTTGAAAAAACAAACATTAGTCTGATTGATTTAACTCGGTGATTTCTTAACAGCATGGCTGGATGGCGTAAAATACTCGTGGTTATCGCATTCGTGCGAACAGTGTCCGCTTTATCGTGCACATCGTGCGATGAGACAACTTGCGTTGAACCCTTGAATTGTAAAGCAGGCTTCGTTAAAGGATTGTGTGGTTGTTGCGACGTCTGTGCGAAATTGGAGAATCAAAGATGTGGAGGTCTTTGGTACATTCATGGCAAGTGCGCCAATGGATTGAAATGCGTCACACGAACACAGCGGGAAAATCAAGACGGATTTCTACCAGACCATTTCAAAATTGGCGTTTGTGAACCCGGTAAGAATGCATGCCTCAAAATGTTTCTAGCGTTCACTTCGTGTTTATTATTTATCATGCCTTCGTCAAAGTGGAGTGCACTTATAAATTTCTCTCAACTGCCAACTTAATGGTAGTAGAATTTCACAATTCTTCTAATGCTCTTGTATTGTACTTTAATGTACAAGATTTAACATTGCAATTACTGAAGTAATCCCCCAAGTGAACGTGCTGCCTTAATGATCTGCACTTCCAAAAATCCCGAACCTTCGTCCTTCAAGATCAGATTTTGACAGATGTGTTGATTAAAGCTTGAGATGTATAGTAATGGCCAAATTTAGCGTTCTCGTGAAAAAGAGCAATTCGTATACGCTTCATGTATACAAATCCGATAAGTCGTGCAGTTAGTAGAGTATTTTCTTTACCGAAAATTTGGACAAAGTCACGCGATGTAATTCAGCAATGTGACCGAATTGTTTTGTGGTGACTTGGCTGGCCATGCGAAAAACATTGCTTTGAACTATAAGATCATGTTAAGATAGCAGAAATTTTCTTGACTGTGGTCTGTTCTAACTGCGGCTCGCGACAATCGATTAACCTGCAATTGATATATACACATGCACAAACGGATTATTTAACAGTCATTCCAATCGCTTTTTTTCTGTTTTTCGGTCGTATCCACCGAAAGCAAGAGAATTTTCCGCTTTCTCCTTTCTCAATTCTTCAATAACGAGGTGAAAATCTGTTAAATGGCAATGATCAAAATTAACCGAGCAGAGACGCGTTATCGACTTATCTTGTTGGAACAAGCGCGCAAAATTTGTGCGCATCATCGTTAAATCTCTGATCTCTTCCAAATGGCGTTAATTAAACAAATTTGTTGTCATTTATTTTTAACTATTGTCGATTGAGACATGCATGTAGGTAATTCTATGTTGATTAATCAATTATTGGATTTAACTGGTGATTTAAGGGGGTGCGCGCAAATTGTGGCGAGGAAAGCATGTCAGGATTGTGCCACCTCATTGCGGCGGTGCTCAAAGCCGATTGTGAATACAGTCCTCAAAATAAATCGCTGATATGTGAATGATGAAACGAAGATATACTGTATAGACGCATTTACGCACTTATAGTTTGTTTAATTTACGGTGAAATATCGAGACTGCCTTAGCGTTGATCTGAAATAGCCGGCAAATAAGTGTGGATTGACTTGAGGAATATATTGTATATCAGTTAAAAATGATGAGAGAATTGAATGACATGTTGAAACTAGTGAATTTGATAGTACTCAGCCAGCCCTTCTCTTCAAACTGCTAAATATAAGGAGCTGAGGCTTGAATTATAGTGTTAACTAATCCCATGCTCTATGTAAGCTACAGTCATACACGCACTATTTAGAATATTTGACAAATGTGTGATAGTCGTTACTCGTTAACAGCATATACGCGAGGATAACTAGATACAAGATACTCGCCACACTTTGATTCTCAATTAGGAATAATTTCCCACCACACCCAGTATAGAATTCACTTCCTAAATAGCAAAGTTTTTGAAGTGTATCAAAATATGGCGTGTTATGCAGAGATCTTACAGCCATGTACGTACATCAAACGACTTTAATGAAACAATATTATTCGGTTAAATTGACGGTTAAAAGTATTTCCGTATATGGGGTGTATCAAAAAACGCATACCCCGGCCCCTATTAAAATCAAGCTTTTGTTCGAATTTGAATGCATTATTATTATGCCAAACTCACGGGTGCTTAAAATGTAAAGCGAGATGCTCAATTTGGACACTTTAACCTAATTACTATGTTATTTACCAGTGCATTATATAATCATGCATTCAAATTCCAACAGAAGCTTCATTTCAATAGGGGGTACATTTTTTTATACACCCTGTAGAAACTGCATGATTAATTTCGTCAGGAGGGCAGGCAGGGCGCTATATTAATCTTTCGTTGTGGACATTGAAGCCCGGAGAATTCGAATCACCTAGAGGGATGGGCTCACTTATAACTACGACAATTTCTAAAGGTTTAATAATCTGAATTCATTTTGCGCCACACACTCGCTGTTATTTCCAGCATGGTTTAATAGCACACGAACAGGCTATTATATTGATCGCGTATATGATTAAGCTGGTAAGTTATTTTGTGCCTAGGTGGTCCCTGACCTTAATCGACCACATCTACAGTTGTTATATGAATTTTGATCGCATATTTTGTACAACCAGCAAGCATTCGATAATAGGATCGGATCATGATGGGATAAGTTAACACTCCACGCCTCAATTTTTTATCAAAACATATACTATATGGTCTATACCTATGGCCATGATCCGGTTTGTGCTCTCAAATCCAACCATTGCATGCGTGTGTGTTTATCGCCGTCGATCTCTGCAATTTGTAAGTTGTTAGTTAGCTATGGCCACGCTATATATAACCGATAACAATATGTCGTGATATTTCACGAATAAATTCCGTCCGATTCGAAGACTGATAATGTATTTGGGGGAGGGGGTGGAGTCATGTAACAGCTACAAAGCAGCTACATTACATTTTTATCTAGCAATTTCAGTTGTGAAAATATCACCAGAATGTTCTTTTACTTCTGTAATCTTATCAGTTCAAAAAGTTTATATCGCTGGCTGCAAGATTGATTCTCGGTTCAGTCCAATGAATTCGTGATTCGTTTTAAATTCTTTGTATTTGATTGAATAGTGAGTATGAAAAAATGATCAGCCAACCTTTAATGAATAATTTTATGCCCATAAAGGCTACGGACCAGCGAATTAAAGTAAACACTATTAATAGCTAGCCTGTGGTCTAACATAAACTGCCTTGATACGACTATTTATCCTCATTCAAAAATCCGATATAGGACATTAGATCGGACGGGCAGTTGTCAAGATTAAACTTCCTTATTACCCACCCTAAACGATTTTCACTTGAAGCGTTATCACTAGGAAATACAGCTTAAATATTAGTTTTAAAACAGGCTAATTATTGCTTATCTTGTTATTACACATGCCTCTAATTGTCAGCACCCCTTCCTGTTATAACATTAATCATCCTGTGGTGTAGACATGAAATAGTTCAAATACAAGTTTATGCATTAATTAACAGGCAAAAAAAGACTAAGCCTTACTGTCTAAGCTATATACCATAATAATATTCCCAAGCAAATATATTCTTTTTTAATTTGCGAGTTTGATGTGACTGTCGGAACTTGCGAAACAGTTAAACTGCCATGAATGCAATATAGTATGTTTTCGGAGCTTATATTTTATAAATTATAATCATTGCCAATTCATATTATGGTTTATTATAGAGATATTATAAAGCGAAGGATCGGCAGACCATCAACTCATAATTTGACCTTTTGCGCTCAGTTGATTGGCTGATCTAATAGATTTTCTCGCATTTGATTGGTTCATGCATGTGTCTCTCAAAGTCAAACGGAAGTAAAATCTGAACTTCCATTAAGCCAATGACTAACAATTACGGGAACCACTGCATAAGTGTTTCAATAAAATACTGATAAAGACAATGGAAACTCCGTAAAGAGTAAACATTTTGAAAATATATAATTTTCTACGTTTCGACTAAACTATGTTCATCATCAGATGACTATGATGACTATGATGACTTTATAGTTTAGTCGAAACGTAGAAAATTATATTTTTCCAATGGCTAAAATGACATAACTTTAATGTCTTAATCAACTCAACACTCCCAAATTTACTGTTTTCCAATATGTTGATTTATAAACCTTTCCTTCTACGCACATAAAATTACGTTTACCCGCTTATCTCTCGATCTGTGTTGCCCAAAGCAAAGATAATAAGACATTCCAATTGGATCGGCAATCGCTGCCTCGATCGCTGCAAAAGTACGGCTCTTATACTTTTGAAAATAACTTAAGTCTTAAAACTTAACTGATGTGTTTTTTTTAATCTAAGCCAAGTGAAGAGATTATTTGATAATATGCTGCAGTTAATTTCGCTAATATATTGGTATTGTTTTGCCACGCGAATGAACACTTTCTGACGATGCGTGTTGGTTTATCACTAAGAAGACTACAATGACTTATAATTATTCTAAAAATACCAACATGCATGATTATCCTAGTGTCATACCACAATAACGCAGGGTTGCTGAGAAGAAGACTAAGCCATCCATAAAAGGCCAAAAAAGAAGGATTAGAAAGAATGAGAAAACAGAACTTTGATGTTTTATCATAATTGGATTGTGTTTCGGAACTTGAACATTATAGTATTTTTAGAATATAAGTTTATAAGTAAGATCTATAGATCTTGGAATAACAGGAATTTCCACTCCAAAAGCTAAGCTATATGATTGCATGCATATGCTATATAACCGAGGCTCTTTGATCGGGTAATGAGCATGCTGCTAAAACCTTGCTCCGAAAAATTCAATAGGCTATAAATTTGTTTAATACATAAAAATTGTTAATCTGTTTATAATCTGTTTACTTGGAAACTCCGAGGAGCTGGAGGTCAGCGCACAGCATGTACTTTAATTTTCGCAGAAATGTATAAAGTCTAAAATCCCGTAATAAAAATGCTGCGGTGGGTCAAGGATGTGATGTATAATTATATAACTCAGTTTACGAAATCCTGGAACTAGTTCAAACATAAAAAAACGAAAGGTTAAAAATATTGTGGATTTTCTCAGAGCGATATGATTTAGAAATCGGAGTCGTCAGTATATAGTTGTCATAATAAAGCAAGGCACAGATTCTCAAATTGGGAAACCTTTCAAATAATTTATACAACTTTATGTATATACAGATGAAGTATATCTCTAATACGTAAGAAATGCCATAGGCTATTAACATTTTTTCTAAATCATTTTCTAAATCTCTATCTTGAATTAGACTTAATACACTCTGCCAAATTTACCGACATCTATATACGCATGAGACCTATTCGAATTTCCTGGCTAGACCTCGCATCCGTTTTTTTGCAGCATCTTAGTCAAGGCAAGAGTTGTCTGCAGGTCACATTCGGTCATCTCTTCTTAAGAAGCAGTAATCCCTGCCTTGATAAAACACAGAGAGACATAGTGTATTGTGTTGTCAACTGCAACAGTTAAAACATATTAGCATGACTTATTATAATTTAGCCTGTTATAAATAACTATGAGTATCTGTGATCCATATAAATAGGCGTTCTTTGCTCTGACCACTAGCTGACAACAAACCTTCATTAGATTACTTACTTTGTTTTTACTAGATGCCTGTCAAAACATCACATGCGGTTTTCGTCAAAATTGTAAGACCAATAAACGTGGTGAACCTGTCTGCGTCTGCCCGCGAGGATGTGGAAAGGCAAAGCATCCGGTATGTGGATTACTTAATGGCAGGCAGTACCGAAACAAATGCAAGCTTCGAAGGGAAGAGTGTTTTACTGAAATGGAAATTGGATTGGTAAATGGAAAATGCAAAAGTAAGTTTAGTAAGAATTCATAAAATATAAAGCTATATGTAAGTCATAAAGCCTTGGGCCTTGGCTCCTCTGTAACCAGAACTTGTCATTGACAAGATGAACTCCCAATCGGAAACCAGATATGTCGCGCGGAGACCCACGCCCGATTGTAGCATTCCCTGTATAATGAGGTCGTGCGGGTATAGAACCTAGATGCTAGGACCCATGTTCACGATATTTGTTAAATTGGCTTTGCAATTTCTTATCATTGTCTGACTCCTGCATGTTGGTTAAGCGTGGAAACATTGCATGGAATCTGATTCCCACCCAAATCACCAAATGAAATGCTCTAAGTTAAACTGATCGATGAAGAATGGTCCCATAAACAGGACGGCTAAAGGGGGGGTGGGGGACACCTGTACAGCAACTACGTGAAACCAAAGCCGTGTTGAGAGATTTTACTCGCACACACGGTATAAGTTCTGCATATAACCGCGAACTACAGGGGCCAGAACTCTTTAACTACATTTTTCATAGTCAAATCCTAGTTAACTCAGAATTCTGTTAACTAGTCGTTTATACAACTGCATGGGGCCAGGTGTTTTTCTGATCGACCTTTCCCTCCCCGTCGACATATTAATTTCCACAAACCAGTTTTAATATATCCATGATTCGATCTAAATAAATTATCCGCTACTTTCTGAATTGTTTTATAGTTATCGCTGAATCTCATATCATAATTATGTATACAGTCGATATTCGTTAAATATAGATAGGTGGTAATCCAGTTTTCTCCTTAATGGATTGATATATAACTAAGTATGTCTTGACCTGAGAACAAAACACTCATTAAAAAATTGTTCAGGAAGAGGAAGATGTATCTCAAAAACGAGTTCTTAATTTCGGATTATACGTAGTTGCCGATGACACTTACGCGTAATTTACGCGTAGTTTTTTTAGGCAAAGATTTTAAACATTTTACTATGGTATCCAACAATGCATGCAGGCAATGTTGATATCGTAAGTGAAGTACATGGTGACCTGTGGAGGTTAAACAAACAGATTCTACACATGTAGTCTCATGCAGTATTTGTCAACACGACGAATGTCTAATAAACAGGTTTGAGTGTTTAATAATAACAACAGAGCTCAGTATAAGTTTAGTAAAGAGTTGAGTTAATCCATTCCTAATTCCTAGAGATTCTTAGCTATGCACCCGCGATCATTCATGAGGTGTACTGATTATTTTCTTTTACCATGCATGCATGTATGCATCATTTCCTTTTCTTTATTCTCATGTTAAATTGTTTTAACATGTCAAGAACAGAGAAAGATAATATCGCTTTTTGCTAATCTTAGCCTCAATGGCAAACTAATTTTCAACACAGTAAACTTGAAAGAAACAAAACAGTCAATACTTGGCACGAAAACGAGGCCATTAGGTTAAAAGCGAATGACAGTTTGTAAACAATTGACATATACAGCATGCATGGCTGTATATACTGACTGATACCACGTCAAATTAATTAGACATTTAGACTGCTTATATACATTATTAATATCAAATATTTTATCAGCTGTTATATACAAATGCGCAAGTATTGAAAAATTTTATCCAAGGACAGCAACAGCTGTAATTGGCTTTTGCTGTTGCGGATACCCTGCCTAGTATGTCCTTTTGTTACTGTGTATGTATATAGTTTTGTAAAAGGCGAAGTTTTTAAATAAATAAATAAATAAGCTATACTCGTTTTCCTTAATAAATCTGAAACAATTGATCATTGATCAAGTATATATTAGATGTATGAGTGTAACCATCTATAGTGTATACGATCTAAAGACAAACACTCTAAATGTGGCAGTTTCCTTGAGAGTTTTCTACTTAATAGGTTTATCGGCGGCCTAAAAATAAAAGAAAACTCGACGTTTCTACTTGAGTGCCTTAATTTGCGGTCGGTTTAGCATCACCCTTAGCTATATTATGACAAGACATGCACTTAAGTAGAAATGTCGAGAAGTTTTCTTGTGTATATAAATTATTTAGACAGTTGAAAAAGTGAAATTATTTTATATGATGTTAGCCATGCATGGTTATCATCCCCTATAACCATGCAAGATCAGGCAGTACCAGGCAGATTAAGTCAAGGACAGGATGCGATCAAAAAAAGGGAAAATACGCCTCAAAATGGTATACACGGCCATAAATGGACATAGAAGCAGAGGAAAGGGCGTCTTGGATCCCGTGGGAAAGGATGTATATATAAATTAAGGCGTGGATGCATCTTTCGCAACTGCTTTTGGTCGGGTTTAAATATTATCAATCGTATAAATCCTCTTTCCCAGGATTAATAATCGCTCGTGTCTGTCCAGGATCATCAATTTTTTATAACAGAGGCTCTTAAAAAGCTTGAAATGCCCATATAGATTGTACACTTGTTGCCAGTCAACATAAATAAAAAAGCTATAAATTCTCACGACTGAGCAGTTTCACACGCAAAACGTACGCTATACACTTAATAAGAAGAGATTTATCATTGCATTTATTATAAAATACCATGGTTTCCATCTAATCACAATCGAATAAAGATCGATGTAAAATACCAGATAGATAAATTAGACTGGTTTGCATGCAATTATAATTGAAAATTTAGATCAGTGCAATACTAAAATGCATATACAGTTATGCGACCAGCATTGCTTGGTTTACCAGTTTATATAACAGTGTAATTCTTATGAAGAATTCCTAATATCATTCGCAATATGCCACGAATCTCGGACGAATTTCAGATTGAAAAATCTCTGTTGTGAGTTCATCGCTGTTTTAATTCCATTAGCTAGAATACAGAATTCTAATTGTGGTGATTGTAACAAGACAGTATATGCATTAAGTTTGGTTAGCTTTGTGAATTGTAAGCTAGCTATACTATTCTTAGAATCCTTAATTAAAACATGCATCCTAAGATGGCTGAGACCTTATCGAACTGATGATGTATTGCAGAACTAATTGATTATTTGATTTGTGCAAGTCTATGATTTGCTCGGGAACGTAGAAATATCTTCCTCTCTCCTGCTCCCTATCGATTTGATAATGCTTTGCGTTTCTTCCGACGATTAGGAAAAACTTTCTCACTGCAAACGTAATTTCCGATGACGGTTTAATTAATGTACTTCGCAAAATTTTACTACTGTGAATTGCCTTAATTGGATTTATTACAGTTCCTGTGGATAGAGTTAATTGCTTGTTTGCATTTCGAACGTTCTAGAGTGCACCCACAAAGGCAAGGAATTCAAATTTGGGGACTCGAGGCCAGATGCTAAACCGTGTGAAACTTGGTAAGTATCTACCTTTTGTTGATGCCAAGATTAGTCTCTGTCCAGTTGATAAAAAGCTACAGCTGCGCGTTTTTGACAAATTACGAGATAAGCTTGATTGCTTATTAAGTTGTTTACGCTTAGCATAATTGATTATCAAACTAACTTTATAAGACGAGAAGGGTCGCAAGGTCATTTTGAGAAATAATAAGGGTGTTGTCAACATACTCCATCACTACATGTATGCGTGCATGTTTACCATTTTACCACTGGCACTGAGGGACATAAATGTTAAAGCAGATCATGCTGAGAGAAATTCCTTAAGATAGCCTTCTGGCAACGTATCAAAGTCCTTTACTATTTTTAGCAGTAATTATAATATCGAATTGCGTTTCATATAAACTGGTACAGGTACCGCAGCCTTATGGAATGCTTGTTATGCTGGCGTGTGACGTTTCTCATTTAACATGATCAAGGGCCTGTATTCAAAAAGCTCATGCACTCACTCTCACTTATTCAGCGTGGCATAGAAAATTTAATTGTGCCATGGCTGTTAATACATGAGATAGTTCTTTCTTGATCAATGGAAAAATTTCAGGTAAAACATAATTGAAAATCATCTCTTATTCGAGTGCGAGTAAGCTTTTAGAATACGGCCTCATAAAAGTGCACGTGTTTTATGGAACAAAGACTAAGATTCCAGTTTATAAACTCAATGCACGTTCATTGTATTACATTGACTAATTTCCACCAGCTGTCTCGGCTTCAGTTTATGAAAACGTAAATTGTACAGCGTGTTCCCAATTCCTGAAACTTTAATTTATTTGTACGATTCGAATATCAGGACCAGTCTGACTCGCAAGAACACACCGTAAGCTAAAGTCCATGAAATATGCGTAAATCCCATTGTTCTCCACGCAGACATGCAACAAAGCGTATTTGGCAGTTACGGACATACTTCCTTTAACATTTTTATTATAATGCAGCGTCTGTCATCATGGATTGTGGAAGTGTGATATTCAACCAAGTTGCTTTTTAAACAATTTGCCAACTCAGTCTGACGATCTGACTTGTCTGACGTCGCAAGATGGTAAAATTCAAGTGCTACCCTGTCCTAGAGGTTTTTCCTGTCGACTTCCCCGTTCGGACAATTTCCATGATTCATTGCGTGTTGGTATATGCAAGCGGAATAAAGGTAACGCAATTGTGCACAGCGTATAGAATAGATTGATGAAAGACAAACTCTTATAGGGAATCTGTCCAACATATAATTGAATCACAATGCTTGACTCAAATGAGACGTCCTTCTGGTTGGCGCCAAACAGAAACGTCTTAAGAATTCAAAGTTCATAGTTTCTTGAGATTAGTTTTTGTTTGATTCTTCTCTGTAGTTGGAAACATTCAATGTCGGACATATTGTTAGTTTTTTTTATGCAATGACGGAATTAAGTGGGTGGTTTGGACATACCTCACGGTTATTACTCTCCATGTTTAACCAATTATTTCACAAATATCTTTTCAAACGAGGAATTGCATGACGCAGAATCTTATCGTTTCAGCGACAAAACCAAAAACAGATTTGCCATTTCTGGAAGTGAACCTTTCAATGAACAGGATTTTTAAAAAACACGAGGAATACTTGAGCGAAGACGGAATTGGGGAGAGAAGAATGCCTTCAGAATCAGGTATGTTGCTGACAGACGTCTTTTCTATAGTTTTTACGTCCCTGACTCCCTGTTAACAAATGTTGCCATTGGGAAAAACTAAATTACTTTCTTTAAATTGAAATATAACCAAGATGAAGCGTGGCAGCGTTTTGTAACAACTTCTCATTAAATGTTATATAAAACTGACTAAAATATAGACAAGAACGCTCGGACTCTCGATCGACATTTCCTAAGGAAATGAAGTCCGTTAAGTCAAAACATCAAGAAGTGCAGCATTTTTTGTCCATTTTAGGCAGTTGTTATAAACGGAAGTATTGTGATGCTCTCATCATTATATTTTAGTTGATTGTGAATTCTGCATGTCCTTCATATTATAATTTTATGTTTTCAGAGTACAAAGAAACACAACTTTTCACTAAAATGAAGACAACTACCTCCGCTATTCATTCCACTTATGTGCCAACAACCCAACTTAGGAATAAACAGCAACAAAACGGTGTGTGCATGTATAGCTATAATTCTTCGTTCCAGGGGTGTGTGACAACAGCGGAGGGTTTATTGGTAGCCTAAACAATTAAAGAATGGAAAAGACCCCTAAGTCATGTGTTTTGAGAATAGGAAATTTATGTTTTGGTAGTATGCATGGATGTGCACTTGACAGTTCAAATCCTGGCTTTATTTGATTATAAAGCCAATTATTCCAGAAGTGGGGTCAGGGGACCTCTTCCAATTCCTGCTGTGTAACCATAGACAATCCAGAAGACATGTCTTCTGGATTGTCTATGGTGTAACATAGTATATTGTTTGCAGTACTTAGAGATAAAGGCATCAGGAACTTCAATGTAAAGTTTGGTATAGTATTTGTTTTAAGTCTTATGTATCCCTTCCTTTTGTTGAACAGGCGGTTTAATGAGACGTGTATGTTTCGCATTTCCTGACGAGAGGCGGTGCACTTCGGAAACAATGGTTCGTTGGTACTATAATGCAACTACCAGAAACTGTGTTGAGTTTAACTATGGAGGATGTGGTGGAAACTTTAATAACTTTTTATCCATAGAAATATGCCAAGCCGTCTGTCAGTCAGGTACGAAACATCACAGTCAGCATCTACAGTTCTACTTTCTACTTGATTCACATCATCGAAATATGAGGGTACTATACTTTCTCTTCATTTTCAGACTCGCATCCTACTGCCTGGCCATCACCAACTATTATGCAACCTTCTCCAGTATATGTCAGCTCCAGGAAACCGGGTACGTTCAGAAATAGGCAGTATAATGAGTCATGCCGTATGCGAGCACGAATTATATGAATATGCATTTCCCTCTTTCATTATCAAGTTGAGGCCTTGACTATACGAGGTACTAAAGGTGAAATATACTAGGAATTCTGATGTTGTGCATATTATAGATGGATAATACAAGACATCGCCGAAGAATTAAGAGTACTGACTATAAGTGGTCTTATGCATGTGAATCTTCAAACAATATAAAAATGAATATATGTACTGTTTATTTGGTTCGGTGTAAAATGATTAAAAGTGGGGTACCATTATTGTACATTAATTTAAAAAGGTCCCCTAAAATGATCTAGAGAAAAAACCCTAAAATTTTAAGTCTTACCTTCTGTGCTTTGCGTTTGCTTGCGTTTTTCATTGTGTTTTTGAGGTTTAGTGAGAGTCAGGTGTTAGAAATTCTGAATCATTATACCACAGCAAAAATGAAACTTTCTTGTTGTTTTAAATTATAGGTGAAAATGATGTGTCTAACGTTCTGTTGGACATGTGCCATGATATGAAGTCAGGCATGTCTTATCGTGATGGTGAGAAGTGGCATGTGGACGCCTGTACATCGTGCTCGTGTGTCAGCGGTCGTGGTCTCTGTATTGCGGCAACCTGCCCCATAACGTGTTTAAATCCCGTGCATGTCGAAGGAAGATGTTGTCCAATTTGTAAACCTGAAGTAGACGACGGTATGTTGTCAATGATCCGAGACCCGAGATTATTTCACTGTCTCAGTTCGGTGAAATGAAATTTTTTCGCAGTTTATCACTCGTACTGTTAATCGCGAATTGTGAAGTATTCAATTAAATAAACGTTTAGAAATCTTTATTGACGGTGAAGACACGAGATGCAGAGATACGGAAACAAAACTATGGTTTCAATCAGGAGAAAGTTGGAATAAAGATAATTGCACGAAATGCGTTTGTTTCGAGGGTGAAATATCGTGCATGGCCTCAGTTTGTAGTAAAACGATGTGTTCCGATCCAATTAGGAAAGATGGAGCGTGCTGCTCTGTGTGTCCTGAGGGTGATGAGCAAGGTATGAAAGGACCAATTCAGCAAATGTGACGTTTTATAAAATGGTATAGTTATTGCTTCATAAGTCTGGAATCTCGGCTATATACCGTGTTCCAGCATTTGAAATGATATTTTTTTAGTTTTATGAGTTTTTCATAAGTTTGATTGCGTGATTAAACCAGGTGATTCTATTGAACGAATGCACACGCAAGTTTTTGCAAGAATGCACAAGTTTGCATAAACATGGACAAAAAGATAGAAGAAAGACTTTAGCCGAATTTCCAGGTTCCTTATCAAGTAAACCTCCCCGATGTAAATTTGTCATACTAATCTTTATTCCTTTTTCGTTTCAGTTGTTCAACCAACGAAGAAAGAAAGAAATGTTGAGTGCAAAGATATAGACACCGGTAAACGGCACCTGCCTGGGGAAGGCTGGAATATGAATGACTGCGTGAGTTGTTTTTGCGATGAAAATGGACAGCAAATGTGTTACGAATCGAAATGTTCCGTACCAAAATGCAAGAATCCTGTCCACTTGCAAGGAAGATGCTGTCCAGTCTGCCCTGAAGCTTTTCATTCAGGTAAAAAGCGGCCTATAATCTGCAATTGCAATAAACGTTTGTCCTGATGCAAGACCTTTAGAACATGCAGTATAAAGAACCCTAAGTCCCATAAACTAAGCGATTTATCAGTTGTGTTCCATTGAGTCGCATCATCACGAGTTTCGTATGTATATATGGCTGTTTTAATATTTAATAATATGAATTCAAGTTGGTATATACCCATCGCGAAATCTAGTTTTGGCACAAAGAGTAAATGATATCATCATAAATAAATATTATCAAGACAAAACAACAGATTAGTTTTTGTATCCTGCACCTGCAAAAGCCGCGTACACATCTTTACAAATTGCCAGAAAGTCTGGCAATAGTATATACGTAGACTTCATTTGACCCCAACCTATGAAATGTTATGTTTTTGTTTTACAGTATGTGTCTATGATAATCACCAATATTTCCAAGGCGATTTTATGCTCTTGAGAGATATGTGCACATTATGGTAGGTTTACAACATAGCAGTTTTACTTTTTGATATTTGTGATTTTTTATCGCCCGTATCTTTCTTTACAAAAAAACCGTTGACGTTGCGCAGTGAAGATGATTATTATTTTTGACACCTTTCCCGAGGTCCATTAATGGTAGTCAAAACATTATCAATTAGAACAGTAGGGCTGCATGTATATCTCGTTAGACTGACTAAACTTTCATATACTCAACCTTTTTTTCAGCAAATGTAACGGAAACATGTGGAACTGCACCAAGAAACATTGCAACAAAACAGGTGGGATATATAACATGAAAATAGATTGATAGACGCATCAGGGCTTATCAGCAGCACAATGCAATTCATAATTTTGTAAAAGGCATAAAACATCTCACTGTCAGATTGCACATTTGTTTTATACTTGAGTGGAGGAAAATTTTTGAATGAGACTGCGATTCGTTCAATTTTTGCTAAATATACCGCGTATACCTGTTGTTTCTTGACTTTCTAGTTTCTATGTTTATTTCGTATACCTGTTGCTTCTTGACTTTCTAGTTTCTATGCTTATTCCGTATACCTGTTGTTTCTTGACTTTCTAGTTTCTATGTTTATTTCGTATACCTGTTGCTTCTTGACTTTCTAGTTTCTATGTTTATTTCGTATACCTGTTGTTTCTTGACTTTCTAGTTTCTATGTTTTTCAAACGGAAGCAAACGGCTCTTTCGAAACAAGGCCCGACAGTCAACACAAAATCGTTCATCAATACAGAACTGATGGAAAATATTCGGACTGATGATAGCTCTGAAGATGATGACGACTACATCATAGAAGATCCCGAAAGAATGACAAGACAATTCATCGAGAAATTTAGTCTAGCACAAGATGGAGTCGAGGGAAACAATGACAGTCGTATTGAAATGGAGAATATATTGAAGGCGATGTTGCATAAAAACAAACCAACGACGCCCTTTGCAACGTCAGAAGATAGTCAAAGCAACTCAAAAGATAAACATAATGATCCCAACAAAGACGACATTGAAGACCCAACTGAAAGGATATCTCAGGAGGAAACTCTGCCATGGTCGAAGGATTTCGACGACGAAATGTGGTCGAACTGGGATGATCCTTCTTATACTGATCGTTTCTCACAAGACAAAACTGATCCAACGGATGTTTTTGGCAGGAAACACCTGTAGTATACGTTATACAGACATTCGCTCTACAATAGTGGCCATATTGAATTTAAATATACCTTGGATATGGCAATCATGGAACGTGGCCTCAGATGTAGTGTGTATACTTTATTTGAGCAGAGTAGCCCATGCATTCAGCTGAAGCCAGTGAACTGGCTAAAGCTGGTACTGTAATATTTGAACCGTGATGGCGACAACTAATCTATTCATTGTCATTGACATTCCGAACATTGTAGAAGAAGAATACAGACCAACCTTTCTCTGCGTTTGTTACAAATAATACCATGACTACAAATAATATGGAGGAGCTTATAAACTGCATGTTTATGTAAAATAATCAGACCTGTTTGTAAAATATATTTGTATTACTATTTCCTTGATATGTAATATCATTCGCGTAAACAAAGTGAAGCTACTGCAAATTTCTCTACCTTTCAAGCATTCGATTATTATCCTCAACTGACTGCTAAATCATCGAAGTGGTGGCCTCTAGGTGTGCAGCTAAATCTGACGTGAAGTCATACAACTAGTGGGATCCTGATCGAGGAGTTTAATCTAATTCGAGGTACAAGGTTGAACTAAGGTTCGTTCTCGACTAGGCCTGCCCAGCAATCCGACATTTTTTCCGCAACAGGTTTTTTTCGCTGGGGATTAGTTACGTTGCCGGATTATGGTTTTCGCTTTGCGTTGCGCGAATAACAGGTGAAAACAGGCTTAAATCACGCAATATAGCCTAAACGATCGCAATTGGTTGGGCAAATTGAAATTGCCACCGCCCGATGAATGCTTTAATTATCATATTCTCGAATGCAAAGATTCCATACTCCATAAAGAATGTCCGCCTAAAGTCCCTAAACTACAGTTTTAAAGATATTGCATTAAAAATGAAGTAACAACTGTACCGTAACCTTACGACCAACATTGTGTGCTGGCCTGCCTATGGTTGAATACCAGTAAGCAGGTTTGGCTACTGTGGTTTGGCCTTTAAGCTCCTGGGTATGAGCACGTGGTACTATCAAACACGTCCTTCAAATTTCAATTCGGATTACGTAATCTCAGATAATCCCAGATAATCAGAAACTCCAGATCCAATCATATTTCCAATCATTCCTGTGAAATACGATTCAAAAATCAAAATTCATTTATTCAAATCGCTGTTGAAACAAAATGATGAAACAACATCATATTTCAAAATTTACGTGGGCAGATTGGAGGCAGGAAGTTTTGGCTACAATGGAATAAATATTTTGTTCTGTTTAGGAAACGTAAATTATTATACATGGCTGATTATTCGAGTTTCATCGTTATTTGGCTTGCTGTGTTTTGGTCTACGGATGGCCCGTTCGCAGATTCAAAGGTTAGTTAGGCCAAGTCAAGCAAATCATTATTCGATGTTCTTTGTTGTGTTAATGAAATAATTGCTGGTTTGATCGTCCGGCTGCGTGATTGTTTCGTTTCGTATTTTGTGTGTACGGAATTGTAACCTAATCAATCACAATATGTTTGAATGTGTCAGACGTTATAGTAACACAGTACTTTTGTTATTACGACTATTTACTGCTATTGAAATCACTAAAAATCTTGATACGACTTTTTAATACCAAACAGTCAGTCTCACGATCACCTAAAAACCATGCTACGGTCTATGCTGTAGTTTTGGAGATTCCAGGATAGATATTTACAGTAAATTGCCACTTTATAGTCCGGAAAAATTTGTTATTCTCGGAAATAAACAATGGAATTAATCAGTTTTATTTCGGGTCAATTAATTATCAGAATGACGTTATGTCATGTGTAATCCCTTTATTGCACGATTATGACTGCATACCCCCTTCCCATTGTCAAAAGGGAACTTGCTGCAACTGCTACTAAATGAACATGTATTGTTTTTAGGGCAATAATAAGAGAACGAACATCAAAACAAGGTTTAGAAGGAATAATGGTAATACACTACATGCTCTTCCATGCTATGTTTAAGTGAGGTTTCTAAATTTTGCAAATGGTTATTAATGTATTTGTATGAATATATTGACTGTATATCTCTCTCGGAGTCTCTATAAATTTGTTAGAATAATGTCTGTTGTGACATTCTTTTGATTTTTAGTTTTTACTGTAATTTTTATGAATGCAGCAGAGATGAGAGAATGAAATCTGTGTACCAGTACAATTTGCATGACAATTACTGCGTTAGTTGCCTAAATTTTGACCACATTTCTCAATCAAATTCTTGCTAATGCTTTAATTGTAATTTACACATTATGCATTATTTATTCCGATTTCAAATCTTAATCAGAAACAAATCTTAAGATTCTGGACATTTTAAATAGAGCACAAAATATACCAGTGTTTGTATTAATTTCATTGACATTAGTAGAATCATGGGCTATTTCCAAGCCATTCTGCAGTGTGGAGGGCATTACAAAGTTCCATAAATAAATACTGTTTGACTGTACTATCTACTATCTAACTCATTCAAGAAGAGTGCCAACGTGACTACAATAAAAATGGGTATGCAGTGTTGAATAAAAGTGAAATGGATGTAAAATTTCTCATCAACAATCATAAGCATTTTGCAAGGCTAAAATGGAATCCCCCAACAGGTAGAGTTGACAATATGAAATTCTGGAAGATCTGAAGTTCTGAGTCCCCACCCACCTCCAAAAATCATTACTATATACTAGGCAAATTTGTGCACATTATGTGTCACATAAAACAAATCTTGGCAATATAAAACATATTGGGTCATCATGTAATATTTCAATATTTTACAGTTAAGAAAAATGTACCTGTCACTGCATTCGTGGTTTGTTGGAAAGGACAACAAATAAATCATAAATGTAAATGTGTTAGTAATAAGGTATTTATCTGTAATCAACAAAATTCCTGTACCAAACAATTTTAACAACTATGTCTATCTATCTATCTAAAACAATTTAAAAGTAATAATATTCTTGTAAGCTTGCATGGTGACATCAATAAGTAAATTAGTTTGTAGGTACATTACGTAAGTATTTAATACTGCAAAGCTTTCATCAGTGCGATTATTAATTGTTTATTGCACTGATGAAGGTCTGGGTTAACAGACTGAAAGCTTTGCAGTATTAAATATGTTCGTGGTGTACCTACAAACTAATTTACTTACTAATTTCAAAGTACTTATGCCATTTGGGGGGTGAATATTCATATACATTGTTCTGCTTGGTGGATTTTGTTGGAAAACATACCGTATATACTTACTGGTACATTAGTTCTGTTGAGCAGAACTAACATATACATGTACCCCCACCCCCCTCTAATTATTGCATTAAATTTTCATCTGTACATGAGTTTGCCAACTTTGCAGTGAACTTAGAAAGGTATAAAGTCTCCATAAAACTTGGAAATTTTTATAATGTTCCCCACCAGGATGTCTGCATTGCTATATACAGGCTTGGCACAAAATCTTATGTTACTATACTAACTAAAACACTGTGCCAATTTGTTAAGGATAGGCTAATAACAATGCTACTGGGCAGGTGTATAAGATTTATTATAAGGGTATATTTGAGGCCGGGTAAAGTGTCCTGTGTTTGCACTATGAAAATCCATATGGTTCTAAATCTAGCCTTGACTCTTGTCTCTTGGTCTGATATTTTGTTGCCTTAATTAGTTTTTCACGCACTGCAGATGTCTATAAGATACAGAAGCAGTGTTTGGTGATTGGTTATGAGAGACCTTTATCACAGAGCCTTTATCATGGCTCTTTGCTCAAAGCCTTGGCTTGATTTACATATTTAATCTATCACAAATCAAGCTCCTTCAAATGTTTTCTCTGCCTCTGATGCTTTTCCTGATGCTGATGCATCATGCATGGATACGAAGCAGCCTAGCCCCTAGGCCTCTTAAACGTTCCTTGGTTCGCGATTTCATTAATATGCGGGATAGGGTACGAGGTTGATGTACTTATGTCTTCTTATCAATTATCGACCTAAGAATGCACCTGAAAATTAAGTTAACAGCTTCATCATTAAAAGCAAAATATCTTATATCAGTACATGCTTTTTTCTTGTATAGACGTTAGAGCTTGATATTTGGCCGTCTGAGTCGAACTGGAAATACGACAATATCTTGAATGTCTGTGTTAGTACAAGAATAAAACATTTCATAAATAATTTCTTCACTTACGTCACTTAAATCATTAAAAACATTTCTTAAAGAGAGTTAAACTGGGAGGAATATATGTGGAACTGGGGAGTGGGAGGATTAAAGCTATGAAACATCCCAAACTTTTTGCAACGACTCATGACTGTTCAAAAGGCGTTCTGTCCATAAAGACATTTAAAATTATAACTATACGTCAATAATCAAGATTTACACCTTCTATAAGATAATAATCAATGAGGGCGAAAAACGAAGCCCTAACTGTTTTAGCAAAGACTGGTAGAAAAGTATCATCCAATTATTTATGCATGAAAAACTCTCACGCATATTTATGCATCAGAATGCAGCTTTTACAACGATTAAAGTTATTTTATATCACATGAAATTTAGTGCTTGAAGCCCCATTTTAATATCTTATTAATAAGTTCATTAAGGCCTGCATGCTTGTAAGAAAAAGGCAGGGAAGTGGCAATAAAAGGAAAATTTATAATGAAAAGTGCATGATAAATATTAATTTATTCATACATGTTTTAGACCTTTCCAATGCCGAGCATGGATACCACTTGTGAAATGACAAGCTTTACACCGGATTACAAAGGTTGGTAAAGTGCAGTGCCCGCGGAAGATCCTTGGGACGGGGGTGAACATTCGTATATTCGCCTTCAGCATAATGGGCGGTTTACACTGGCTATTTTTGCTGCAATTTTCTTCTTTTCTTAGGTGTGAACGTCTGAAACGAGTGTATTAGTTACGGATGTTCAAGTAAGAGCACGTATTCATTAGAGCATTCGCAAATAACAACTCGTTCATATCAACTAAAAGAAGAAAATCGCACTAAAAATCACTGTATTAATACTATATAACGTACACTAACATATGAATATTAGCCCCTCACTTGACTATCTTCTGCGACCACTGACCCTACCCACCAAACCAAGTTTTGGGTCGTCTAATTCTTTCCAGTATGTCGAACACGGTTAGTGTCGTAGTTGTTTTACATCAGTATGAACATAATCACAAGCACCACCGCAGAATTGTGTATAAATTTTGTATGCCTAATTTGAAAGCGCATAACTATTGAGGCACTGTCTACACGATGCCTGAAGAATTTGAAAATGCAAAAATATTTCTCCGTTGAAATATTTATCCGCGTCCAAACGTAAACACAAAAACGATCCGAAAACGCTAGAGTTATTTGATCCTGCAATGCACCATCATGTACTTCACCCGCGTGTCACAGTTTGTATGTCGAATTTAAAACAAAAACCTACCAAATCCAAAGCAAAAAAACAAGAATTAGAACTTTACGCGTAAACTACTTCTGCAAATGTTAAACTGAGGATTGGCGAAGATTTCACTCACCATGAAAATAACCTAAATAAGACTTATTTGAGGCTAATATAGCAATATAAAGTTGAGCATAAACCACCAGACTTGAAACAAGCCTCATTAACATGGAAACGATTTGATACGTGACGTCATCGTTTTCAAATTTATCCGGCAAAGCCATCCACACGTATCCGCTCAGCCTTCGTTTTCAAATTCGTGTTTTCAGATTCTTTCGTTTTCAGTTGCCGAAAACGCCGGATACGTGTGAACGATACGCGTAACCATAAGAATGTTCTTTTTTTTCAAATTCTTCCGGAATCGTGTGGACGGGGGGGGGCTGAATTATGACCAGATGATTTCTGCTAATAATTGTGTACATTACAGGGCGAACTACCAACCACACCTCAAGTACAGCCAGTACAATGTATACCACCGCTGCCGGTACGAGGAATGACACCACCTCTACGAGAAACGTTACCGTGAACGGAACTAACAACGCCGCATCAACACGTAACGATGAATACAGTTCGAAACTGATTGTCGGGTCCGTAATCGGTGTTGGTATGGCAGTTGTTCTCATAATTATTTTAGTGAAAACATTTGGTGGCAATAATGATCCTCCACCCAATAAACCAGGTACTGTGGCGCTAGTATTTCACTAATTCCATGCATGAATTCATTAAGCGTTCGTTTACTTGTAAATTTTGCCGTAATGCACTCTCTTTTTAGCAAAGAGCAATCACAAATACTTTTTAAGTTATAAACATTCGACATAATCGTTTTGTAGAAAAGCAATTCTACTCTTTATGTACTGTGTAGATACCTATTACATTTCTCACTACCCGGAAGGTGATAATTTTGTGAAAGAATTAAAGAAGTTCGTTAAGTGGCTGGATGAGAATGGGTTTAATGTTCAAATGTTGACAGATGAAGAGGACTTGTTGAGTGCTGAAAATAAATGCTTAAGACGAGAACTTATGTCGTTCAGGTTTCGCGAACATATGATAAGGACCTCAGATAAAGTATTCGTCATCCTTTCGCCGTTGTATATAAGACTTTGTGAGATGAGGGAGGACGATGTTCTGAATGAAAACCTTACCGAAGAAGAGAAAATGGTGAAAAGAGAGATTGCCCAAATCAGGTGTGAACTGAATGAAACTATCTTTCGCACCGATCGATTCATTCCAATTCGTTTTCGCTTGGGCGAAATGGCCAGCATTCCTTTTTGGATAAAGGACTTTGAACTGTTTTCCTGGCCCGAGGAAAAAACAACTACGAGGCTTTTGAATAAGTTGAATGGCTTGCCTGAATATCACCTTTCAGTTTCCCAGAATTAGTTACAGCAGGTATGTTGTGTCAAGCAAGGGTGATGCGCACGGCTTTTCAGCATCTAAACTTACCTCGATGTAAAACCGCGTATTCAGTAGGCATCTTTTCCTTTCTCGGATGGTAAAAGCACAGTTTTTGATAAGTACATACATATGGTCATATAAAATATGTTTTGAACAACACTATATTTGTAGACAAGGATCGTCCGCGGCGCAAATATTCCACCACATCATGCGTCTACTGCATAACCACGCTATGTCTATGGATATAGTATTCAATGCATTTGGAGAATAAAGTTTGTAATATTTATCCCGGGTTCTGTAAATTTAGCACTTATAACGCTGCTGTAAATATTAAAATGTAATTAAACCTTGTATTCTACTGGACGGAGTTTTGTGAGTTTTTCTCTGTTTAGCAGTACGATACATCCTCGCAATTTACTCCCTCCTCGACATGGTTGATGTAGGTTTTAGATATGTCACGGTACAGCCATTCGACAGGTTTCTTTGGTACCAGGTCACGAATGTACTACATTGCGATTTAGTTGCGCAAATCTATAGTACACATAGTGGGTAAAATTTACTAGGTTGTCTATTGATTACATGCATTTCTGCTGCCTTCTCACCAAAGTCGTAGTCTTGCAGCCATATACAGGCTATCGGTGTCCGTTGCAGCTAAGCCATCTCGATCACCGTAGATATTTTGAATACATTAATTGGTGGGCCGTTTCACTAAACGTTTTCATAGTTTGATGATTGAGCGGGGGTCAACTTCAATTGTCTGGACGCTTATATGCTGCACAGAAGTGAGCAAATGATACGAAATTGCACATATGTTCTACGAAGCGCAACACATACAATGAACAATTAACTCACTCTGATTGCTGTCTCGTTTTCGAGTTGACCCCCCGTTGGAATTATGACGTCACATGAACCCAAGAATAAGAAGGAAAATCCGATTTCCACGTTCGCCTTGATTAACAACATGTTCTAGTCCAAAGAGGTACATTGTTCCGTATATTCTTGAGGCTAGTTTAAACCAATTAGACGGTGAACTTTTCATTTGCAGAGTCTAATGTTAATGAGCTCTATTAAAGAAATCATTCTTCCAAAAAGCTGCATGCTGGGAGGATTCATGTCTCATAAACATCATGCATTTATAAGGACTGCATGGTACGTGGTCACCGTATAAACTGCACGCTATTTTTATTCTTTATTAAAATAATTCAAAAGGTCAGCACTATATATAAAATTAATAAATTAATAACTCCTTAATTAATAATTATATATTATATAATATATAATATAATAGAATATTATTAATATATTATATATTTGCAATATTAATATATTGTATTATTTTTAATAATTTTTTAATTATATATTCATTTTATATATATATATATTTTATATATATAATATATATATAATATAAATAAAAATATATAATATTATATTATATAATATATATATATATATATATAATTATAATATATAAAATATATATTATATATATATTATATATTATAATTTATTATATATTTATTATATATATATATTATATATAATTATATATATATATATATAATATATATTTATTATATATATTATATATTTAATATTAATATATATATATATATATATATATATATATATATATATATATATTATATATATATATATAATATTATAATTATATATAATTAATATATATAATAATATATATATATAATTATATATATATTAATGTGATATATTAATATATTATATATTATATATACATTAATATTTTATAATAATTATATTAAACATTATATTATATAATATAATTAAAAATATTGGTTTTTTTGGGCATAGTCAGACACGCCCACTTAATCTAATTATGACTTCACTTTTGGTGGGCGGAGCTTATTTCGCTACTTCCTTACGCTTTGACTTTCACCTTCCGATTTTTTGTGGGCTTGGTTAGACACGCCCACTGAATCTAATTATGACGTCACTTCCGGTAGTCAGGGTTTATTTCGCTACTTCCTTACGCTTTGACTTTCAACTTCCGATTTTTGGTGGGCGTGGTCAGACACGCCCACTGAATCTAATTATGACGTCACTTCCAGTAAACGGGGCTTATTTCGCTACTTTTTTACGCTTTTCAGTTTTTTTCTCCACATTCAGATTCAGAATCACTTTTTTCCTGAGATTCATTCTTGGAAGGATTCACTTTAGATTCATTTTTGGATTCACTTTTTTTCTCCAGATTCAAATTGGGATTGGAATTTTTTCTCGAGATTCATTTTCAGTTATTTTCTCCAAATTCAGATTCGGAATCACTTTTTTCTCGAGATTCATTCTCAGAAGGATTCACTTTTTTATCAAGATTCATTCTCGGAAGGATTCACTTTTTTCTCGAGATTCATTTTTGGATTCACTTTTTTTCTCCACATTTAGATTCGGAATCATTTTTTTCACGAGATTCATTCTTGGAGGGATTCACTTTTTTCTCGAGATTCATTTTTGTAATTACTTTTTTTCTTCAGATTCAAATTGGGATTCACTTTTTTCTCGAGATTCATTTTGGATTGAGTTTTTTTCTCCACATTCAGATTCAGAATCACTTTTTTCTCGAGATTCATTCTCGGAAGGATTCACTTTTTTCTCGAGATTCATTTTTGGATTCACTTTTTTCTCTAGATTCAAATTGGGATAGGAAATTTTTCTCGAGATTCATTTTGGATTCAGTTATTTTCTCCACATTCAGATTCGGAATCACTTTTTTCTCGAGATTCATTCTCGGAAGGATTCACTTTTTCTCGAGATTCATTTTGGATTCAGTTTTTTTCTCCACATTTAGATTCGGAATTACTTTTTTATCCAGATTCATGCTCGGAAGGATTCACTTTTTTCTCGAGATTCATTTTTGGATTCACTTTTTTTCTCCACATTCGGATTCGGAATCACTTTTTTCCCGAGATTCATTCTCGGAAGGATTCAATTTTTTCTCGAGATTCATTTTCGGTTTCACTTTTTTCTCCAGATTCATTTTCAGATTCGAATTTTTTTTCGAGATTCATTTTGGATTCAGTTTTTTTCTCCACATTCAGATTCGGAATCACTTTTTTCTCGAGATTCATTCTCAGAAGGATTCACTTTTTTCTCGAGATTCATTTTTGGATTCACTTTTTTTCTCCAGATTCAAATTGGGATTCAATTTTTTCTCGAGATTCATTTTCAGTTTTACTTTTTTCTCCACATTCAGATTCAGAATCACTTTTTTCTCGAGATTCATTCTCGGAAGGATTCACTTTTTTCTCGAGATTCATTTTGGATTCAGTTTTTTTCTCCACATTTAGATTCGGAATTACTTTTTTATCCAGATTCATGCTCGGAAGGATTCACTTTTTTCTCGAGATTCATTTTTGGATTCACTTTTTTTCTCCACATTCGGATTCGGAATCACGTTTTTCCCGAGATTCATTCTCGGAAGGATTCAATTTTTTCTCGAGATTCATTTTCGGTTTCACTTTTTTCTCCAGATTCATTTTCAGATTCGAATTTTTTCTCGAGATTCATTTTGGATTCAGTTTTTTTCTCCACATTCAGATTCGGAATTACTTTTTTATCCAGATTCATGCTCGGAAGGATTCACTTTTTTCTCGAGATTCATTTTTGGTTTCACTTTTTTATCCAGATTCATTTTCAGATTCGAATTTTTTCTCGAGATTCATTTTGGATTCAGTTTTTTTCTCCAATTCAGATTCGGAATTACTTTTTTATCGAGATTCATTCTCAAAAGGATTCACTTTTTTCTCAAGATTCATTTTTGGATTCACTTTTTTTCTCCACATTCAGATTCGGAAAAATTTTTTTCCTGAGATTCATTCTTGGAAGGATTCATTTTTTTCTCGAGATTTTTCTCCAGATTCAAATTGGGATTCAATTTTTTCTTAAAATTCATTTTCGGTTTCACTTTTTTCTCCAGATTCATTTTCAAATTCGAATTTTTTCTCGAGATTCATTTTTGGAAGGATTCGCTTTTTTCTCGAGATTCATTTTTGTATTCACTTTTTTTCTCCAGATTCAAATTGGGATTCACTTTTATCTCGAGATTCATTTTTGGATTAAATTTTTTTTCTCCAGATTCAAATTTTGACTAAATTTTTCTCGAGATTCATTTTCGGTTTCACTTTTTTCTCCAGATTCATTTTAAGATTCGAATTTTTTCTTGAGATTCATCTTCGATTCAGTTTTTTTCTCCAAGAATGAATCTCGGCAAAATTTTTTTTCCGAATCTGAATGTGGAGAAAAAAAGTGAATCAAAAAATGAATCTCGAGAAAAAAGTGAATCCCTCCAAGAATGAATCTCGTGAAAAAAAATGATTCCGAATCTGAATGTGGAGAAAAAAAGTGAATACAAAAATGAATCTCGAGAAAAAAGCGAATCCTTCCAAAAATGAATCTCAGGAAAAAGTAATTCCAAATCTGAATTGGAGAAAAAAACTGAATCGAAAATGAATCTCAAGAAAAAATTCGAATCTTAAAATGAATCTAGAGAAAAAAGTGAAACCGAAAATGAATCTCGAGAAAAATTTAATCAAAATTTGAATCTGGAGGAAAAAAGTAGATTAAGTGGGGTGTCTGACCACGCCCACAAAAAATCGGAAGTTGAAAGTCAAAGCGTAAGGAAGTAGAGAAATAAGCGCCGCCCCCCGGAAGTGACGTCATAATTAGATTAGTTCTGATTTTCGTACAGTTCACTCACTGTTCAGTTCTGATTTTCGTACAGCTCACACAGTTCAGTTCTGATTTTCGTACAGTTCACACAGTTCAGCTCTTATTTTCGTACAGCTCAAACACAGTTGAGTTCTGATTTTTGTACAGTTCACACAGTTCAGTTCTGATTTTCGTACAGTTCAACACAGTTCAGTTCTGATTTTTGTATAGTTCACTAACAGTTCAGTTCTGATTTTCGTACAGTTCACACACAGTTCAGTTCTGATTTTCGTACAGTTCACACACAGTTCAGTTCTGATTTTCGTACAGTTCACACACAGTTCAGTTCTGATTTTCGTACAGTTCAACACAGTTCAGTTCTGATTTTTGTATAGTTCACTAACAGTTCAGTTCTGATTTTCGTACAGTTCACACACAGTTCAGTTCTGATTTTTGTATAGTTCACTCACAGTTCAGTTCTGATTTTCGTACAGTTCACATACAGTTCAGTTCTGATTTTTGTATAGTTCACTCACTGTTCAGTTCTGATTTTCGTACAGTTCACACAGTTCAGTTCTGATTTTCGTACAGTTCACACACAGTTCAGTTCTGATTTTCGTACAGTTCGCACAGTTCAGCTCTTATTTTCGTATAGTTCACTAAGAGTTCAGTTCTGATTTTCGTACAGTTCACACACAGTTCAGTTCTGATTTTCGTACAGTTCACTAACAGTTCAGTTCTGATTTTCGTACAGTTCACACACAGTTCAGTTCTGATTTTCGTACAGTTCACTAACAGTTCAGTTCTGATTTTCGTACAGTTCACACACAGTTCAGTTCTGATTTTCGTACAGTTCGCACAGTTCAGCTCTTATTTTCGTATAGTTCACTAAGAGTTCAGTTCTGATTTTCGTACAGTTCACACAGTTCAGTTCTGATTTTCGTACAGTTCACTAACAGTTCAGTTCTGATTTTCGTACAGTTCACACACAGTTCAGTTCTGATTTTCGTACAGTTCACACAATTCAGTCTTACCATTTTGACCGCTTTTGGATTGTTCCAAAAACCAACTAAATGTGCTTAAAATGAACGATATTAATCTTAGGAAGCCATTTTCAGCATCTTAAAACAGTTTTTGAAAAGTTCAGAAAGTGGTCAAAATTGACTAAAATGGTAAGGGGTAAGCCTTACCATTTTGGTCAATTTTGACCACTTTTTCAACCTTTCAAAAAGTGTCTCAAAATGCTCTAAAATGACACAGTTCAGTTCTGATTTTCGTACAGTTCACACAGTTCAGCTCTTATTTTCGTACAGCTCAAACACAGTTGAGTTCTGATTTTTGTACAGTTCACACAGTTCAGTTCTGATTTTCGTACAGTTCAACACAGTTCAGTTCTGATTTTTGTATAGTTCACTAACAGTTCAGTTCTGATTTTCGTACAGTTCACACACAGTTCAGTTCTGATTTTATATATATATATATATATTAATAATTATATATATATATATAATAAATATAATTATATATTATATATATTATATATAATATATAATATATATAATAAATATATATATATAATAATATATATATTATTACATATATACAATTATAATATATAATATATATATATATAATATAATATATATATATATATATATATTATATATATTAATATATATATATATCATATTTTATCTACTGCGAGATCTTTGGCTAAATTATTCATGATGTTTTTGTTCATAATTTGGTACCTGTTCACTCGTTCATTTCTTTTCACAAAACGTCGTTTTTTATTCGGTGATTATATTGTAGTAACGAATTTGTTTACCTTTTATATTCGGTAAGAAAGACAGCAATTTGTTTTTCTGGCTGCAGAAAAGAAGAGTGGTATCGTACCAGAATTTTATTACTAATATATATACAATTAGATAGTTTGTCCAATGTTTGTTATTAATATGAAACCAAAGTCAGAAAAATGCGTTATTTTCTATTTATTGCTGTTTCTGCCATCGTATCTGTCATTAAACCAAAGGCCAAACTCAATAATACGGGACAAGAACGCGAAAGTTTGTACTCATGAACATTGTAGGCGAGTGTCGGATGAAATCTTAAGATCAATCAATGTCTCGGTCAATCCTTGCGACAACTTCTTCCAGTATTCGTGTGGCTCGTGGATAAAAAACCACACCATTCCTAAGGGACGAACTCAATTTTCTGCCATTACTCAACTGAGTTTGAACAATGAGAAGATACTCATGGACGCCTTGGAAAAAGATGAGCCCACGGACTCGCCAACTATAAAAAAGGTCAAGAATTTCTACCGGTCATGTCTCGATACAAAGACTATCGATCAAAGAGGAGTACAACCTGCATTGAACTTTATAAATGAAATGCATTCTTGGGAACTGGCTAGTGACGGTTCTTGGGACCAGAGGAAGTGGGATTTCTACGACACTTTGAGACTTTTACACAAAACGTCGCCAGCAGAAATCTTTTTTGTAGTGGATGTTATTCCGAACCCTGTCAAACGTGATAAGAGCAAGAAAGATGTAATATTGGTAAGCCATATTGTTTGAGAGACTTTGATTTCTGTATTATTAAAATTTCAAGATGGCGGTCTTTGAGCAGATATATGGATCTGTTTCAAAACAAATTCTTCTGAAAAATTAACTTTAATTTTAATAATAATGTCGTTGATTTACGGAATTTGCTTCAGGTGCGGAATTGTGCCTTGCAACCCCAGATGACACAATAAACAGCCCCTCTGAATTACCGGTGTTTGTATGGTCATGGAAATGTACCAAAAAACCCACCTCCTTAAAAACTTATTCTTTAAATTTCTACGATATATACGTACAATTCATCACCCTTTAAACCACATTTGAATTATATGAATTATATATAGTAATAATACATCAACCTAAATATCGGGCACTATATAAATGTACAACAAAATTAAACTAGATTCAGTAAATTTCGGCACAAAACCTTGGATTTTACTATAAAAAACAATCGTGTAATTTTTCTAACATTCTGTTGCTTTAAATTACAGTCTTGAGTCACAGAGATACAAAGCTGATTGAAAATAAAAAAACGGACAGGATTTGTTATTGATTTTTTCCTAAATAATTGCTAACAACTGAGGCTTATACTTTTCAATTTTTTTTGTCCACCCACTGTATATATCGAAATTTATGCCGATATGTTGAATTCATCTCAAAAGATACATATATTTTTTTATATATGTTATAGATTGATCAAGCGTCTCTTGATTTACCTCAAATTATATATTTTACCAGCGCCACTGTGAGTATAAAGTTCAAATTATATCATTGATTGTCATCATTGGTCAAGCTGGATGAGGTCTGTTCCAGACGCTGAACCTTTCATATTAAGTTTCAAGTGCCGCGGCAACTCTGTTTGCCAAGTAATTTGCTTTTGATTCGGCACGTGAAAAGTTCGACGTCTAAAACAGGCCCAAATCATTGCTTGTAAATATTGAACAATAGCACTAGTTTTAACAATGCCATGATTTAATATATTTTGATTGTTTTAACTGTCTGTAAACAGCAATGTCCCCATGATACGTTTCAGTGCTTATAAAAAAAAAAATAGTGTTTGCCTTATATTCCAACTAACATGCTCGATCGATTGTATTGTCCTTCAGGATATTCGTCTTTTGTGGAGGTACATGACAGAGGTCGGTCAATTAGTTGGAGCTGAAACAAACAAATCTGCTGAAACCATGAAAGAGGTCATCAAATTTGAAGCCGAACTAGCAAAGGTGAGGCACTTTTGCTACTCATTGGCTACGGGAAGTTCACCATCAATAGAATTTAGCGTTTTCGGAAAAAAATAATTCTGCTCTACATATAACCAAGGTAATTTTAGGACAGGTTTACTGCATGCCTGACAGCCCTGACTGCAGCTTAGTAGATATTAAATTCAAAATAAAAGAAGGCTGCCTGCAGTTATAACATTCATGTATTGAAACATTTCTGTCTCGCTGTCTGCCCTCTCTACAGAGGTTAGCTTCGTCAAGCGCCCTTAACAAAAAATCGCTCCGCGATCCCGGATCTGTACATCCGGGATATATATGTAGTCTCTCCTTTGACAACCATATATATTTCGTCACTACTTTGTATTATCTGCTTCATGTTTAGATATTGGTTCCAAAGTCAGCAAAAAGATACGTTAAGGTTCCGCTCCATAAACTCGAAAAAGCTGTTCCTGGGGTAAGTTGATATGAAAAAAATTAACCCTAAATCAATGGCGTTACTTGTCCAAGTGAGTATAGGGCTATATAGCTTGGGTTAAACGAGTCTGCATCATGCCTCGATCTGCTTGTAAGCTGTGGTCTAACAAGTATTTAAAGAACTGTATTTGAGGCGGTACAAGAAAATGGTTTCCAACAACCTTTAGTAAAATTACTATTTTTAAAGCGTTTTTACCCCTTTCCTCAGTGGAAAGCTTTTCTAGTTTCTACCCCTTTTCGTGGCGGAGTGTAATGATAAAAAAAGAAATCCGTAGGGCAGAACTGCATGCATGAATATATGATAAACACCTCCCCCCCAATGATCGTTCTACAGAGTGTATGTAAAAAAAGAAGACCTTTAGAAATTAAACTATTGTTATAATTTAAATGCCCCATCACTGTGCTAAGCCTGCATGTGGTTGTGTAAAATATTGTCAGCTTTGTGCATATATTACATGCAGTATCTTTGTTACAAGCACAAAAGCCTTTCTGCTGCTGGGAATTTGAATAACTTCTAAAAGCAAAATTCTGCACAATAATGCATGGTCAAAAAGAGTTTTTATCGTGCAGACTTATATCCAGGCGTAAAGTACAGAACGCGTTTTGAGAACAGTGCTTGATAGAAATCCAACGGTGAAAACTGAGCACAACCTTACGCCGCTGTGAAAGAGCAGTATTAATTCGTGCCGTGCATATTAGATTCTATTCGATTGTGCATGTTTGCGCACCCGTGGGCTTAGAAAATTGATCAGGCATTTAAATTATAACCGAATAGTTTAATTTCTTAGTTTTAAATTATAACAATAGTTTATACACCCTGTAGTTTCGGCCCTGGCTATATGTTGGTATATTCCGGCATGACAATAGTCAATAGTGCATGTTTAATTACCTACAGGAATATTCCAAGGCATATGCCTCACAGAAGAAGTCTAGCCGAGACTTGCATGCGTGGCTGCATGGCGTCCTAGCCACGGTTAGGTTCTCCCGGTTTTTGTTATTAATGTTCTTTAATGTCTTTGCAGTTAGATTGGCACACACATCTTAAGTCATTATTCGAACATAGAACAATTAACAAGTCCGAACCTGTGGTAATCCTTGCCAATAGCTATATACCAAAGATGGTTGATCTCGTAAAAAAGACTAAGAAAAGGTAATGAAAGTATAGTATCATTTCTATGGTTATATATTTTGGTTATATTTATACTATTTTGGTTCTTCGTAAGAGAAAAGTTCTCAATACTCTAATTACACGAAACGCTGATTTTTATTGAAGCACCTTATCAAATTACATGGTTTGGAGAACATTGAAGGAAGTTGTTCCACTGTTGGACGAACGTTTCAGAAAAACATATTACAAGTTCAAAGAAAAGATTCAAGGTCCCACGGCGGAAAAGCCCCGTCGCAAGATTTGCTTCAGTTACACGGATAATATTCTTGGACCACTGTTAGGTTCACTGTTTGTACGAAAAGCTTTTAGTCCCGAAAGCAAAGCCAAGGTAAGTGTTTGATGAATACCATGCAGTACTACATAAAACCAGCTTGGCTGTCTGGCGTGCAAAACGACAAGTTTTAACCCGTGTAAGACAATTATAGTTCAACACTTCAACCATAATCCTTTTCAATTTTTTTAGATTTTATTTATGTATTTCTCATTTGGTTGTCTCGACTATTGAGCAAAATCTTTGGTTTTAGGTTGAGGAAATGATGTCAAAAATTATCCAAGCTTTCAAAGAGAATGCAAAGGAAGAACATTGGTTAAGCTTGAAAAGTCAAAAGGCAGTTCGGGAAAAGGTAAATTATATATCAAGCATGATGATGCGCTGCCAGCGCTGCATGGTGAAAAATATACACATGCAGATTCCACGAGTGATGCGTGTGGTTCTAGTCCCGTTCTAGTCAATTTGTTTTGTCTTCTCAGGTGGATGCGGCCACAATAAAAGTTGGTTATCCCCATTATCTCTGGAACGAAATGGAGTTCGCTGATAGATATCACAAAGTGAGCTACATGCAGATGCAGTATATTCTTTTTGCAATCATGCGTCGACGTACTCGTGCACATGCACACTGGCGTAGCCAGCCTGACGATTTTGTCCCGCTATCTAAATTTCGAGTTATTATAATTATTCATGCCTTTAGAAATTTATACTCCTCACAGTCAATGAACACAAAACATTAGCGTAGCGGGACAAATCATCAGGTTGACTACGCTACTGCATGCACTTGCATTTAATGAAAATAAAATAAATAATAACGCCCACCATCGTTATAGGCATATCAAATATTTCTTTATTTCGTAGCTTGAAATAACGGACAGTCGATGGTTCGAGAATATTGTGAACACAGACAGATTTTCTCTTATGCAAACCTTCGCAAAACTTGGGCAGAAAAGAGATAGAAGGCAGTAAGTATATTTTAGTATACTAGGCGTCATGGTCAATTTTGAAATATTACCATCGATATTATTCGCTGTTCTCTCGACTTAACTATATTTATTTATATCTAAGGTTGTCATGCACCTGAGTTAATATACATTTCGTTTTCCTAGCTGGATAACGGTTCCACATTTAGTCAACGCTTTTTACGTCATTACTAAAAACGAAGTTGGTAAGTGGCTTGGATCAAGAATAAGAACACAATTCAGCGTTTCATATAGACGAAGAATCTAAAGCTTTGCATTAGATTCCCCTAATGTTACATGCGCACAATATACGCGTTGCAAATATATGACCCCGCACGGGTGGAAGAAATCTAGCTAAATTGGATCACGCAACGCTCCCCCCTCTCCTAAGATTTTTACCAGGAAGCATGAAATAACTGATGAACAGAACAAACTGGGCTTGGTGACCACAAGCGTTGTAAACTAAGATTCACCTCTGCCATATTTTAGTTATACCAGCTGGGATTCTACAACCTCCATTCTTTTATTCCGACGTGATCCCAAGGTAAATCTACTTACTGAAGATTATTAACCTTAAATATGACTTAGTTTAAACATCGAATTATTGTCCGAATACTTCAAGAATGCTGGATAGAATGCTGAAATACCTCATTAACTATTGTGCTATCTGATGTTAGTGCATCAATTAAAAACATCTCGCGGTTTTTAACGAGCGTTCTATCAATTTTTAGGTCAATCAGTTATGGAGCTATAGGTCACGTTTTAGGCCACGAATTGACTCATGGTTTTGATGATACAGGTAAGCTAGCAAATAGCTATACTTAACTACTTCAACTAAACTGAATTTGCTTGACCTGTATAATTTTTATTCGATAATTTCTATACTCCGCTCGATTTTTTGGTAACTTGACATTTGACAGTTATGCAACTTTATCGCTATTTTATGCAGATCACATGATGTAATTGTTTCACATTTCAGGACGTAAATTTAACAATGCTGGCGAGTTGATTGGAAATGGCACAGGCTGGAGTAAAGTGTCAATAAAGCGTTTTGAGGAAAAGGCAAAATGTCTCGTTAAACAGTTTGGAAAATACAAAGTGCTCAATAAATTTCACGTAAGAAAATCACTGGTTGCATTTGTAAAACAGCAATCCGACGTTGTATGCAAAAAAACGACGAGTTTATATATGTAGTGCATAAATCCCATAAGCCAAAGAACAGTATATTCTAGCATATTGTATTATACAGTGGTGGCGTTAAGCTTCAGGGAGAGGGGAGGAGTGGATTTTGGTGGTAGCTCGAATTTTTTGGTTGTAAGATGAATTTTGAATTTAATATCTATGATTCATTTAATCATTTTAGCTTGTTGCTTCAGTTTTACTTTTAAATGCATGAGTATTTTACTGCAGTGAGGTGCGCCATTGTTGAGCATTCGTTAAGTCGCTGAGACCTCCGAGTTAACTAATTAACGCCAAGATAATCCACTGCCTCAGATCCGACTTAATCACAGGAACAGGATTAACAACTTCCCTTCCATTGGACTCCACTGATATCTATTTGCAAACTCGTCTGGTCCAACAAAAGTATGCCCGAATCAAAGCCGTATGATGATAAAAATTCTGTTCAACTTTTTGTCCCAGGTTGATGGAAAGGAAACCCTTGGTGAAAACATGGCGGATGGCGGTGGAATCAAAATGGCTTACCGGGTAAGTCTAAAAGAACTTCGTTTCTTGATTTGTGCTACGAAAAATTACAGTTAATATGCGTTGTAACTATATCCGGGAGAAACGAAACAGTCTTAAGCAACCCAGTGCTTTTTTGGCGAGTGTGGAATGAGTGAACTTTGTTATCAAAGGCATTACACGTCTATATATAGGGTTGTCGAATTTCATTGAATTGCCTTTTGTGGCTTTCTTTGAGCGTCGCCAAATGAAAGCCAAATATTGCGTTATTTGTTAGAAATCGGGATGATGTTTTACACCGGTCTCATTTGGTTTCTTAATTGCATGATGTTTTGTTTTGTTCTAGGCATATCTTGACTGGATTAAGGAACACGGGGAAGAGGAGGTCTTACCAGAGTTGGATAAGACTAGTCAACAATTATTTTTCATTGGTTATGCACAAGTAAGATATAATTAACTTTTAAAAAAATGCTTTCATGCAAATAATGCTTTCTGGGGTTGTTTCTGTAGACAACTATAGAGAAATATCATAAAAGTAGCATTATCCATATTCAATATCATTAACTTCTTAAATGACCGAAACATTGAACGAATTTCCATTTCATATTACAATCGCGGCAATAAAAGCGTTCAAAAAATATTCAGTTGATTCATTTTTCTGTTGAGTTCGTCAAAAATTTTGGGAAACTCCTAATTAGGCTCGTTTCAGACCTCGAACTTTTCATGTGCCGAATCGAATACAAATGAACTTAAACAAAGACTTTAACTGATAACTTAGGTTCGGCACATGAAAGTTCGACGTCTCATCTGAAACAGGCCTAACTTACTGTAACCGTATTTCCACTGACCAATCAATTTTGCCTATATTACTGAGCATTTCATATTGGGCCATTTTATTCACCAACTAAATTTGAATTTGTTTCTTGAGTCTTCCTGATAGCTCAATGAAAATAAATAAGTTTTAAACTTTCTTGCTGGCTGATGGCTAATTTTATCCCAATCTCTAATTTTAGAAAGAGTGTACAAAAACTACGAGTACTTCGGAGTTCATATCTGTGACGGAAGATGTTCATGCACCCACAAAATTTCGGTAATTTTCGTAACTGGCTATCTCAATGTCATATTACAAAACAAAAAATTCTTGCTTCATTGAGAGATCCCGAATTAATGCAGAGGATTTATCAGGTCAAATTAATTGCATGTGTAATTCATTTTGTCATCTTGTAGTGTTCTCGGAACTCTGGCGAATATGAAAGAATTCTCAGAAGCATTTAACTGTCCTCTTGGAAGCACGATGAATCCCACAGATAAATGTGATGTTTGGTAGTCACACGGTACAGTTCAGTAATTTTTTTTCGAATTTAATACTACAATACAACATAAACATATTAGAGCATATTATGAAAACAAGTGTAACTAAATATAGGACATATTTAGCTGGAATAAGAAGCAGGCAATCTTTTCTTCGAGGTTGAAATATTTACTATTATAGCTATAATGTTATTAACACAGCCACATAGAAGGTTTGTGAATTTAATTGTAACATATCGATGGCATTTTTAAACTACCTTAGCCTTGCCCAGCCTAGACCCAGGCCATGTAAGCGCGTGACGTCACAAGAATGCGAGGCGCGCTGAGGAGGACTAGCTAGCTGATCTGGGTGTAAAAATCAACCAATCAGAAGCCAGATCTTCGACATAGCTGAATTATCATTTTCTTCATTGCATATGACTTTTACATTCGAAATATCAAGTAATTTTATTGTATTTAAGCGAAAACACGCTTATTTTTTCCCAACTGTAAATTAGAATTTAAGTTTTTCGCCCTCTATACTGTTAGTTAGAAGAATAAGGACAAATAACACCAGGCGTATGATAACTCAGTTTTGTCGAGACGCCTTATGACGTCATAATCTCAGATCAGCTGGAGGGACTAGTCTGCCCTAAGCCTAAGAGTTGTTAAACGTTACTGGGTCGGACAAATGTTGTTAAAAGTTGTCAAAAGTTGTTGAAAAAGTTTTTATAAGTTACTGGGTAGGAAAAACATCAATTAAAACTACAATAAAGTTAATTTGACCTAGAAACTAAAATGACATCGTGATGATAAATCCCGTGCACAGATAAATGTGATGTTTGGTACTCGCACGATGCAGTTGAGTAAAATGTTTGCCACATGCAATGTAACCTCGTCAACATATATATGTATTGGAGATTTGGAGCATATTATGTGAAACCAAGTGATAACTAAATAGGGACATATTTAGCTATCCAGGATGTATAAAAAACGTTAATAATTCTCAGGGGCCTACGATCTTTTGCTATTAAAATGTATACCAAATATTTTTATATGTTAGGTTGTGTTTTTTGATACACCACTGCATGTATAACAAGAAGACAATCTCTACTTTGAGAAGAGCTATAATTATTATTATTTTAATGTCATCAACAAAGATTTAATTGTAATAAATTTTAATTATAACATGACTAGCAAATATGGCAAATAATAAAGTAATACTGAAAAAGTTAATTTGAATTTAAACCTAAAATGATGATGTTTCATTGCTGCATAGCCATTGTTGGATGGTTTTGAGCGATTATGTGAGCTGGATCGTTTGGATTCCTCGCGATAGATAACACTTGATCGTTCTTTGACTTATCCTTTATCAGTTTCATAACTTCGTTACTGACATCTGTAGGTCTTCACAAACAAAAACACCGTGTATAATAACGCTTCAAACTATCAGAGACTTGGAATTTTTCAATAGTGGTCTTGGGGGCTTGGAAGCACATAGTGCAGAGTATTCCTCCACCTCTGGTCACTTATACGACGAGTTTCATTAATAAAAGAAGAATGTTGAATCGAATACAAGCTAGCCTTGGTGAATTATGTCGAATAAACGCGAAAATGTAGTCTTGAGGTTGGCTGCAACCATGCATTAAAATGATGAACTTACTCAAGAAACTGCTTGGATACTTCTTCAAAATATGCGTTCATCTTATCACGCTGCTCCTGAGGAAGTTGAGCTAATTTCTTTTGATCATGCTCAATGTTAGATTTTAGCATGTCAGTCCAAACACCATGAGGACATACGCAGTTCACTCTGACGTTATGTTCCGCAAGAGATGTCTGAAAAGAAGCGGAAAACTGGTTATTGTATTAACCTTTTATCCATACATATATAGCTTTAATTGATTGAAAAGGAATAACATATACTATAGTAAATGTGGTTTATATACAATAATGATTATAAAGTTAAATAAAGTTACATTTACTAAAATAATAACTCGCCTAGCCTAGGGATTGAGTTGAATTTCGAATCACTTTTTATTGATGGCAGGCGTCATCGAACGTGCATGGAATGTAAAAAAAACCCGTGAGATACGTCTTTTAAAATACTCAAAACGACAGTTTTTTCTGCTGTTGTTTCATTTTAATTCCCAGCATTTTTGCCACGCAGTAAACGCTCGAGCATCAAACTAACCAAAAGTAACATTCCAGTCTGTATATTCGAACATACTTTCTGCCTTTCAGTAACTACTAACCTGCGCGAGGCATCGTGTGAATTGAACGACACCTGTCTTTACAGCTGAGTACACTGGTAGATGTGGAAAAAAAGGCGGGATAAAAGCTAAAATGCAAAAAGAAACTTTATCAATTATATTTGTAGAAATCAGCAGCGGGCGGAATCCTATCGCTTTCTTGCAATCTGATTGGCTGTAGCTGTAACCGCGGGCGTATAATTCAACAACATCTGACTATATATATACGGTCAGAAATTGTAGTATATTTAAGCCAGAATTTTTTTTATAAGAAAATAATTTGCAAACTTTTAATTTCTCTATTCAAAGTTCGGATTAGGATAAAAATTTTCACAACGAAAGTGAAATTTATGAATACAATTCAAATAGAAAGTTTTCATTATTTTGCTTGAGGCTGGGTCAGTATTTTCAAGCTATATTTCACAAGTTGGCGTCAAATGAAATAGTTGAAACAAGATTAGCCAATCAGAATAATGTATTTTGGAGTTAATTACGATTTAAATACCGAATAAATAACGTGTACACGAGAACGCGTCAAATGACGCAGGAGGAAAACATTCATTCGACAAAAATCTAAATCAGTGAGATTAGAGAGATTTCTCAGTTCTCCTTCGCCGAAGCTAATCAGATAACTGATTATTGCATGTAAAATAACTTTATGTGCTTTATGTAACTCTTAACCAACTTCAGTTTTGGTCACCTCACAGTAACCTCGTTTTTTGGCAGACCTGCAAATGAAGCTGTGTTAATGATAACACCACCGTCACCACCATACCCTTTTCCCATCAATTCAAGACCAAAGATACTTCCACTTATGACACCACCCTGTAAATGTAACATGCATAGAGTCTTAATGACAGCAATTATGTGCATATAACTAGCAGCTAGCTTAAGGAAAATCTTCAATATCAGACACATCTTTATATAGCTACAAATTGTTTGTCGAAGAAAAAATTTCTTTATATATCTATATATTAGCTATACGTTATATACATACCAAATTGATAGCCATAATTTCTTCATAACGACTTTTTTCATCTTCAAGTGATAAGCTTATTACCCCAGCATTATTGAATACAACGTTCACGCCATCCATTTGAGATTTTGCTTCGCTAAATGCGGCTAAAAAAGATCAGTAATTATAATTATATAGTGGAGTAAGTGGACAACAATCACAACATCGTTTGATTTGATTTGTCTGATATTTCCATATAGTTGGGGTCTGATCTCGATTTTAGGTGAGGGAGCGATATACTCTGGGCTAAGCGTATGGACATAATATAATTTAATTTTAATATATTCCGGCAATTCACCCCGTAGTTCGTCCTTTTTTGTGACATCACATTGTACGAATACGGCATTTCCTCTGCCATATGTTTCATCCAATGTTTTCTGCGCCTTCACTCCTTCCGCGGCTAACACATCCAGAAAACGAGCCTATATATAGGTAGCAATATATTGATGAAAACTTAAGGTTCTGTTTCACGGTGCAACTTGCAATGCAATTCTACTTTTCAAAGATGTATATTTGGGAACGACGAAACTTTTGTGTTTATTACACTTCATGCACTTTCCTCAGTTCTGGAAGACTCTTGACTAATTCACATCTTTTGGAAGTAGAATTGCTTTGCAAGTTGCACTGAAGAAAAATTGCACCGTGTAACAGGGCCTTCAGTTTTATTTATGCATTAGCTTGCATGCAAAATTATTGCAAATTTTAAACACGGCAATTCGCACTTTTGCTACACTTTTGCATGGTCGCAAACTCGGCAATCACAACATTTAGGTTCACAACGCTTCTATACTTTTAAAGGTGTGCTGTCTGAATATCGAACAACAATTAGGTTCGCAAGGCTTCTAAATGAGTATGAACTGTAGTGAAGACTGGCACGTGGGCGGCAGTGCCGAAGTGCCAATTTCTATACAAATAATTAACATGCCTGCATTATCGCGTTTTTTCTCGTACTGCGGTGAGTGTTATTGAACTAAAACGACGTATATGGCTAAGATAACCCCAGAACAAGGAGTGCTTTGATATAATGTTAAATTTATGCGCCAACTCAAAGTTCAATGCAGCGAACAATAAAATGAAATCATGAAAACATTTGTTTTAATGTATGCAATTAAGCTCAGTTTGAATTTTAGTAATTTTGATACTGAAAGACTCGATACTGACGATACACTTCGCATCACTCATCATTCATCGATCTTTAATTTTTTTGATGGTGGAATGAACTTTGAGAAAAAAATCCTGTCTACAGGGTGTATAAAAAAAGCGCAGCCTAATTCCCTACGATTTTTTTGTTTTTGAATAGAAGCGAACATGCATGAATACTAATTGTTGCAGTTTTTTAAGTGGATTAAAGTCAGAAAAATCACAGATAATTTTTAATATCTACCAGGCCAAAGGCATTAAATTACGAATAAATATTTAACTTTTTAAAGTTGACGAGATTTTAGAAGCCATGAAGAAAATCGAGATTGTTAACTTAAGGCTTAACTGAGTAATCTGAGTTACGGAATGTTTTCCTCATCATATGAAGTTGCCGCGACTCCTGTACAATATGTATATACCAAGTGATGTTAACGTAACCTGTTCTTTTAGGTCTTCAGGATTTAGGAAACACCATAAAATTAAAGAAATTGAACGAAATTCTTGATATCCGAAGCATATATAAACAAATTCATTCCGAACTGACAAACCCATATTTTTGGAAGGCGTCGTTACCGACAGTCTGGACTCTAACACAAAAATTTTGACGTTTTGAAATGAATTCTGTCGTTTGCATTAAAGGTGTGTGGTAAACGCTAAGCTAAAGATCTCTATTTGTAGTGTAGTTCTACTACAGTACCTTTCCTCCTGCAGCTACTATTGCCGAGGTAAGTGCATAACCAATGCCTTTTGCTCCACCAGTGACAATAGCTTTGTAAGCAGCCATTCAATAAATTCGATGCGTTTAATGTATTAATCTACAGGAATGGAAATTCCATGTGTGTTTAAGCGACACAAAACATAAGATCAAATAGCAACCAGTGCTAAGCGCCAAGCTTTAGCATAATTGAAAGAATTTCCATTTCTTACGCTGATTGGGTACATGGATGCACGGATTAGTAACTACGTAACCTCCTTTAGGATCTTGTTACCAAGCTTGGTGTTAATGAGATACATTAACATAGGCAAAGAAATTAACACAATATGAAGTTTGAGTTTTGACTGCAAATTAAGTGCAAAGCGCAAAAGCATCTGTGTAATTCGTCTAGAAGAAAGAAACTGTAAGGCTTTATCTTTGCTATTAGTTGGTGGGTCTAGACGCCTACCTTGCAGGATAAGTGACCCCATGCTGGGAACAGGGTTCCTTATGCTACTGACCCATGGTCTTGCGGGAAAATTTGAAATTCTGTGTTAATTTGTATTATCAGTTACCCAAGCCGCCTTACTGAGTCGAATTGCTTACAGGATTGAGATACAGTAATTCACTTTAAAAGAGACTCAAGTTTTGTCATTTTGTGGAGTTCATTTAAAGGAATTCTCAGAAGCATTGAACTGCACTAATGGAAGCACGATAAATCACACAGATAAATGCAATTTTTTGGTACTCGCACGATACCGTTCAGTAAATTTTTTCTAACTTCTTGCTACAATGTAACCTAGCTCGGCAGCATATATTGGAGCATATTATAAAACCACGCAAGTATACAAGCTAAGATAACAATCGGGCTATCTTCACTTTGAGAAGGTTAAAATTATTATTAGCTATTATGTCATGAACACTAAACACAGCCACATATTGCTTAAAAGATTTAATCAGGGCCGTAACTAGAACGATAATTGGGGGGGTGTTTATTCATATATTCAGTGCTGCCCGACGGATTTCTTTTGTAAGTGCAATAGCTCACAATGGAAATTCGTCGGGCAGAACTGAATATATGAATAAACACCCCCCCAATTATCGTTCTAGTTACGGCCCTGGATTTAATTATAGTAAAATTCAATTATAACATGTATCTATAGCATGTAATGGCAATCAATTAAAACTGAAAAAAAGTTAATTTAAATTTAAACACTAAAAGGATGATGTTTCATTGTGGCATAGCCATTGTTGGATGGTTTTGAGTGATTATGTGAGCTGGATCGTTTGGATTTCTCACGATAGATAACACTTGATCGTTCTTTGACTCATCGTTTATCAGTTTCATAACTTCGTTACTGACATCTGTAGGTCTTGAAAAAAATGGGAAATACGCGTATGATCACGCTTTAAACCATCAAAAAGAGGGTATTCTAACTGATACGTCTGAAGCCAGAAAACACACACGCTGCGTTTCAATAAGATGGTTGTTGAATCAAATACATGCAACTGATGCAAGCTTGGCTGCATGAATGTGTCAAATAAGCGCGAAAATATTCTGACCTTATTTGCAAGTATATGAACGAGTCAAAAGGATGAACTTACTCAAGAAACAGCTTGGATACTTCTTCAAAATATGCCTGCATACTATCACGCTGCTCCTGAGGAAGTTGAGCAAATTTCTTTTGATTATGCTCAATGCTAGGTTTTAGCATGTCAGTCCAAACACCGTGAGGACATACGCAGTTCACCCTGACATTATGTTCCGCTGGAGATGTCTGAAAAGAAGCGGAAAATTGGTTAGTATATTAAACTTTTCATCTAAATACCTTTATTGATTTAAAAATATACATGCAGGAATAACGTACTATAGTACAGTACTGTGCAAAAGTTTTAAGAACCCAGTAAATTGTCACTTGTTAGTAAAATTCTGTAGTGGTCTTGCACTTGGTACAGCCATCATGACTCATATTCATGACCCGTCATTGACCCAACAAGTTTCTTTGTTACATCTGGATTAACAGCCTCACGTGATGCGAAACTGATAGCCTCTTTGATTCTTCCAGATGTCTGCATGGTCTTTTATTTAATCTCTTCCAAACTTCTTCCCAAAGATGTCCAATGAGGTTTACGTTAGCAATCGTTTATAGCCCTGGGCTGGTCAATATCACTTTCTATCAGGCTCTTTTCTGTTTGACATGGTGCCTCATCTTACTGGAAGATCAAAATCTCCACCACAAAGCCTTCTCATCTATTAGGAAAGTTCTAGATACAAGACAAACATGACATCATCTAGTACAAAATTTACGATCTTGGGACCTTCTAAAAGGTGGAGAGAGCTTTGCGGTTGAGACTTTATCTTCGAACAAGATAGGGCACCAAAGTCTGACCCTGAGTACGAGGTTGATAGGGCACCCCCTGATGTAACAGAAAAAAAAGCCCAATAGAAAGAAATATCAATCAGCATAGGGCAACGAAAGAATCCTGACCTAAACCTGATTGAATATCTCTAGGAATAAGTGAGGAAGAGGTCAGATAGAAGATCATCTCGACATCTGGAAGGATTAAAGAGCCCATTTTCGCATCACATGACTGATGTGAGGCTGTTGACCCAGATGTAACAAACAAGCTTGTTGGATCAATGACTGGGCATTGTGCTGCAATAATGGTGGCTGTTCCAAGTGCAAGACCACTACAAGTCGTTCTGCCTAGCAAGTCTTTGCAATACCGTGAATTTGACTCTCTAACTTCTAACGTAACCACAGAAATCATTCTATTGACATTGTAATATTATTTGAAGGAATAAAAGGTACTAAACTTTCTTTTCGAAAAGTTGAAATTATATTTTAAAACAATTTAATTAGGGCAGTTTAATTGTAAGCCTTTGAGTAACTTACCTGCGCAAGGCATCGTGTAAATTGAGCGACACCTGCTTTTACAGCCGAGTACACTGGTTGATGGGAAAACGGAGGCGGGGTGAAAACTAAAAGGAAATAACGAAATTTTGTCACTTTTTACAAATCAGCTGAGCGAGCCGTAATCCTAGCCATCCGATGATCATTCCCGTATTTTGCCGGTGTATATACAGGGTGTCCGAAAAAAACGCAACCACTTAAATATGCAAGAATATTAATATTGTTCGCGTTTCCACCATGGAACCACCGTTTCCACCGTTGAACAACTAAAATGACTTTTAGCATTGTAAATGAAGGATTAAGAGCCATTTTCAATTCCCAGAGGTGCTTATGTATTGCGCTTTAAAGCTGTATTAATGTTCTGCATATTTAAGTGGTTGCTTTTTTTTGGGACACCCTGTATATTTCACCAATTTACGTCATACACAATAGTCAGTCAACCTCGCAAGCCAGGCTCTTTTACTTGCAAGATTGAATAGTCAGTATAGCAGTACCAGCGCATGGCTAATCAGAATCGTGTACCACGATTTAAACACCATGCATGATATTTTGAAAACACAAGAACGAGTTAAATCCTGCATAAGAAAAATTTCAATCGACAAAAATCTAAATAATAATTATGAGATTAGCAAGATAAATTTGTGCATGGCAATGACACGATGTAATTCCTAATCAACTTCAGTTCTTGTCACCTCATATTATAACCTCACTTTAACCTCACTACGGAGCAAACCTGCAAATGAAGCTGTGTTAATGATAACACCACCATCACCTCCATACCCTTTTCCCATCAATTCAAGACCAAGGATACTTCCACTTATGACACCACCCTGTAAATGTAACATGCATGGAGTCTTAATGACAGCAATTATGTGCATGTATAACCAGGCAGTTTAATTAAGGAAAATCTTGTCAGCAATTTCGGTTCCCCGTTCATGCTTTGTCGCCCCCCCCCCTTGTCGATCCTGCCTCCCACTGCTAGCATGCAACTATCAATCACAGACATGCATCCCTTTATACAAAGTGTTCATCGAAGAAATAATTTCTTTCCTTTTCCAAAACCACTGATCTTTTTACTAATACTATATTATACGTTACGTATATATACCCTCATATTTTCTCACTATACAAACCAGATTAACAGCCATAATTTCTTCATAACGAATTTTTTCATCTTCAAAAGTAATGCTCATTACCCCAGCATTATTGAACACGACGTTCACGCCATCCATTTGAGATTTTGCTTCGTTAAATGCACCTAAAAAAGATCAGTAATGCTGGCAGTTAGCCCGCTTTTTTTGTTCACTACTCACTAGCAGTTTTATATAATAATCGGTAATTCTGTTTTTATTACTATCATCAAGGAAAATGATACACTATGAGTTAACAGTAAGAATGACACCGGAATGACATGTATTAATTACCCCGTAGTTCGTCCTTTTTTGCGACATCACATTGTAGAAATACGGCATTTCCCCTGCCATATTTTTCATCTAATGACTTCTGCGCCTTGGCTCCTTCCGACGCTAACACGTCCAAAAAACGAACCTATACGTACAAAGCACTGCGGTTGCGGTTCGGCTGCGGTTAGGTTGCGGTTCGGTCGCAGTTCGGTTGCGGTCGACCGATAGAAACCGGGTTGCCGTTCGCTTCCGAACGGAATGTTATGAACAGCTGAGAACGACAACACAATTATAATCTCGAAAACATCTTAAACATCTTAAGAAGAGTCTGTCAGTACAGAGTTAGGCCAAGGTTAAACATCCGTCTCCCCGCGGTTCGACCTCGGTCTGACCTCGGTTCAACGGCGATCAGACCGAGGTTTGACCTAGGTTGACCGCGGTTTTTGTTAGGTCATTTCTGGACAGTACTACAGGGTGTACCAAAAAAAACGAAAACTATTGAAATCACCTATAACAATGCAATTGTTAGTGTTTGAATGCCTAAGCACTCTGTTGGGACCCACAAGTGTGTAAATTTTTGCATTTTTATGCATGCATATGACGCAGTAAAATTTGCTCGTACGCGAAAATGATATTTATTAACAACATTTAAATGTGCATCTCAATCACCATGACCTTCGACATGTCCTCTTTCTCTAGCAACACAAAGCATTTAGCATTTCACTGAGTTGCATTAAATCCCCACGGGTTAAAATTCGTGCACATGGCATTCAAATTTTAACAATGAGTGATTTCAATAGTTTTCGTTTTTTGGGACACCCTGTACGTATATATGTAAGGCGGTATTGTTGACTTGTGCGATGGAAATGGGCGGTTCATGGTCAGGACCATTACCAACCCCCAGAACGAAGGGATAATCTGCCCTGGGGAATTAGATATGTCAGCAACAGGAAGTCATAACACGCTTTGTTGGTCGCGTCGAATGCAGTTTGAACAATAAAACCTCATTAACACAACAGTCAATATATTGGCAAGGCAAGGCTAAAATTGGTACGCGTATATACACTAATATACCAAATTCCATCAGTGCTCAAGCTACCAATATAAAACACCCGGCATGGATGAAATGGGCAAGGCGCCCAATTTAGGTAAAATGCGTCGTATATAACCTAGGTTTGATATTGAAATTCTTAGTTTAATGAGATACAAGGTTTAATTATGGGTACCTTAATGAGGTACGAGGTTTAATTAAAAAAACGTGCAAAAAGTGAGGAGACCTTCTCCTAAAAGTCGACTTCTAAAAGGACATCTTACACACACTTGTAATATTTTCATCCTTTACCCTCATGCATATCAAGTGTTTTATATAAAGCATTTCCTTTCACACATTTTTTAACTTTTCCTCGATTACTACAATAACTCGGTGCCCTGAGACGAGTAATCAGAATTAAAATTTAGTCATTTAGATTTTGTGAGAAAAATGCTTCAACCATGCATCGTGGGTCATATGATTTCAACAAGACGACCTCCATGACATTGGAGTCATACTACCACAACGTAACTTCCCCCATAAGACTCCCCTAAAATAGTTCTTTTATTCGGAATAAATTTGTTATATATGCTTCAAAATTTATCAAGAATTTTTTCAACTCATTTTTTTGTTGCCCAAGATTACCTCTCGGCCCTCGATGTGAAGAGGCATTCCATCGGTAGAAGACGTGAATCAATCGTCATCTTTAAAAGATTGTTTGCGTGTTTTGAATCTGCCTATCACTATGATCAAGAAATCACCGAACTGAAACACGGAGTTACGTACAATAATTATAGGATTGTCATTTTACGGATTTTACGATCTCTCGATGTTTTGAAATAACGAATAACCGTTATGTTTTAAAATAACGTTAAAAATAACGAATTCGTGTGTGTTTGTGTTTAAGCGCATTTAAACACAGGGTCGTATATTGTACACTGGAAATTAGTTGCTAAAGTGTGCGACCTGAACGCCATAAGGGGTCGCTAAGATCATATGATTCTCATGATGAGAGAAGTTATAGGAAAATACGCAAATCTTATCATTTTTAAGGTGGGTGGAGATAGCATCATGAAATAACTATGAGGTGATAAATTTTCCGACTATGTCTATGTGTTGGGTTTAGAATATAGACATAATAAGTTAGTGTAGTTCTACTACCTTTCCTCCTGCAGCTACTATTGCCGAGGTAAGTGCATAACCAATGCCTCTTGCTCCACCAGTGACAATAGCTTTGTAAGCAGCCATTCAATAACTTGATGCGTTTAATGTATTAGTATACACGAATGAAATTACATGAGTGCCCAAATATCACTGATCAAGATTCAATCATTCAAGTGGCAAAAAATGAAGAAATTACCATATCAATTACGGTACTTCGTCTGCAAATAGCGCAATTTCATTGGTGAGGAATACGATTTGTGCATTAATTTAACCCTTTGCTAGTTATAATTGCCAGTAAGCTATAATTATGACTGGGTTTTCTCAATTCATATGTATATGACAGCAAGAAACTAAGCCATTTACTGAGGATTTCAATGCGTGCAGTGTTGAACATTCTGAGAATTAGTTTACGCCCCTTTATGTACAGGGTGTCTCAAAAAAAACAAAAACCTTTGAAATCACGCATAACAATGTAATTGTTAGAGTTTGAATGCCTAAGCACTCTGTTGGGACCCACAGGTGTGTAAATGTTTGCCATAAGCATTTTTATGCATGCATATGATGCAGTAAAATTTGCTTGTTCACAAAAATGATATTTATTAACAATATTTACAATTTACAAATATGGATAACAATATTTAAATGTGCATCTCAAGGACCATAACCTTCGACATGTCCCCTTTCTCTAGCAACACAAAGCATTTAGCATTTTATAAGTTGCATTAAATCCCCATGGGCTGAAATTCGTGAACACGGCATTAAAATTTTAACAATGAGTGATTTCAATAGTTTTCGGTTTTTTTAGGACACCCTGTATAAGAACTACAATATGGTGCCAATTAGCTTCCTCCGCAGCCCGTGGAGCTGTGTGTTTATATTAGGCATTTGCTTCAAGCAAATTTTTTTCTCGCTCCCCGAATATAAATGCCAAATATAAATACATAAGAGATGCCTGCGGAGGAGGCTACAGAAAAACTACTGTTATCCAAACTGAGTTACTGCATGGATAAAAATACCAGTTTCTGGTTCGTCAACAAAGTAAAATTGGATTCTCGACACTTCTGACTGTGTTTCATAATTGATTGTGATATTGGCGGTAATCCCCCCCGGATCATCTCGTTCACCGGGGGGGGAAAGATAATATGGAACGTATGACGTATCGCGTATGTAATCCATGAAGGAGAGTGGAGTCATTTCCTGTCCATGTTTATTCTTGAAATATTTCTTCAAATTGTAAATATTCTACCGGCGATATCCTGCATTTGAGTATTTGCAAAATAAAGCAAACCGATTCTTAGTAAGTCTTTCTTTACCACCATTTAAAAATACGGTATTTTTAGGCTTATTATTTGAGCTGTATTAAAGGCTGGTTAGTAGGTTTGTTTTAAAATATTGGGCGTATGAAATTTATTTAAGTCACTTCATTGATCATGGACTCACTATGAAGAGAGGCAAAATGCCGTTCATATAATATAGTTTTTATACGTCATTTTGCCTAGGCAGTGGCTAGCATTTGTAGTTATATCCCAGACTAAATTAATTTACTCATATTGTGATAGATTTTACCTATACTTCTTAGTATCGTTAAATGACAGCTGTGCCAACTTGTATTCAATTCTATTTTTCCTTTAACTTGCTTAGTATAATACAATGGAAATTGCAATTATATGAAACATCTGACTTATATCCCTCTGCTAGGCTTGTGGGCATGATGGCCCTGTCCAGACTAACTGGAAACTTTTTAAGTTACATTTCCTGTTTCTTCTTTGAGGAGGAAAACCTCAGTTGTACAGTTACACACTATTTTGTTTATTTTGCTGTTTACAAGTGTGAATAGACAATTGTACAGGTTACAGCCTGATCAGCGTACAGTCTTACATAACACTCATTGGGGCTTTTCATGCAAGCTAATGTATGCCAATATACAGTTAGTCTTTCACTTTAAAGGTTTGGACTATGCAGTTTGCTCATAGAGATATGTTTAAGCTTTATTGCATGTGAATAGTTTTGAGCAATTTATTTTTGTCTACGCACTGCGCTCACTTCATGTATTAATTGTGCTCACTGTGCAACTTTACTAAAAAGAATTTCTAATTGCTCCTTATTCAATTTTCACAATTTAGTGTAACTAATGGAGGAAGAGCAAGGTGCAACTGGGGGAAAAGTATCACCAACGTCAGAAAGTCCACCAAGCACCCCTGTGAACGGAGTTAGTGATCAGGAATCCCCAGATGCTAAGGTGTGTTACAAATTAAATATCATTATTTTAGTTTTTTCATGTTGGATGTTATTTTTACCACTGATCATTTTCTTATATATGTATGGAGATATTCTTTACATAACCTTACAAACAGTTATACTGTGTTTGATTATTTAGACAATAAAAGATGTTCATTTGTGGAAAGGAGAAAAAATCCTGGCCACAGGTAATTTTGGGGTTGAATATATTCATACTACAATTACACATTTGAATGAATAATTTTATATGTTCACTGTTTTATTCTTCATATAATTATAATTATATATATAATAGACATATAATTTTAGACAGTTACAGCTAGCAGGTATTCAATCATCGACCTTGCTGCTATCTCATTTAAATTAACTTTTATAAGTGTCCTAAATAAAAGTTCAGTAACGTACTGTACATAGCTTATAGTTTATGACAAGGCTTTATCAAGTGCAACAGAAAATATTCAAATTCTTCTTTAGGAAAAGACGTCACTTACCTTTGCCCTTTCAGTGGACCTGCCAGAGGAGTTAGTTATGTGACAAACTACAAGTTGGTGTTTAAAGCAGATGAGGTATGATTACCCCATGTCTACAAGGTGGTTGTTAGTTTTTTTTTGTTTTTAGACCAATCAGCGAATTTGTTTACATTTGCAGTAACCCAATCAATTTGTCAATTTTACATGAAGTATTAAAAATTGTAATCATTTTCACTAGCTTTGCTGAAAAGTGTATAAACAAATCTGCTTAAGATGAAATTCCCTCTGGTTGATTAAATCTCAGTCTCTTAGTATGAGTAACTTGTTAATCTAAACCCACACTACCTGTTTCATGATAATGCAAGTCACTACAAACTTAGACCCTGACCTTTTAGGCAGAGGTTTAACTCAGCAGTGATCTAACTGCATCAGTTGCCACATCTTAACAATTGTTACAACTTTATATGTACGTCTACGTCTTACTCTTTATGTCATTCGACTGGGTGATCTAGTAAACGGCCTGTTCTTTGTTTACTCCTTGTACAGTATATATATTGTACTTAGTTATAGTGTAATGTTGTTTTTCTCTCTCAAATCTCAATTTCTTTTTCCAGGATCCTATGTACACTGTTGAGTGCCCTCTTGGGACGATTCTGCGTGTCGAGAAGGTTGGTGGTTCTACAAGCCGGGGAGAAAATGCATATGGTTTGGAAATATTTTGTAAGGTACTGAACAAGATAGTTCTAAATATGGTAATTATTGTGCTCAACACAATGCATTATGAAATGCTATGGAGTTGAGCTTACTGTACTCCTACAGGCTATGCATAATGAAGCCACAATTCAGTGTCACTTTAACAACAGCTTTGTGTACACATAGGTCATTTAGACCCGTGAATATTATTTTTTTTAGGATATGAGAAATCTCCGATTTGCACACAAACAAGAAAATCATTCTCGAAGAATTGTTTATGAAAAACTTCTGGTAAGTTTCAAAGATAATCAACATTTTTTGAATCTGCTCAGTGAACCTTTTCGCTGCATCAAAAAAAATATATACAAGGTTAGACATGATTCCATCAACTCTTTACTTGGCAAAATGCGAGATTATCAAGAAATGGTTGTTATTGAGATCCTCTTTATTTTTTTTCATTTTAGCAAATGGCATTCCCGTCCCCGAATATAAAGGTGGAGTAAAACTTTTGGAACTTCATGTGCCAACACAAGCAAAATGTGTTTCACAATGATAAAAATGTTCGTCTAGGGGGGGGGAGGGTCGTCTAGGGGGGGGGAGGGGAAGAGAGTTTATAGCATTATTATGCGTGTCCATTGTTATAACTATTGAATGCATATTTTTAGGAATTCTTTTGCTTTAAATTACAAGAGAAGTTTCAGGACAATGGCTGGGATGTTTACGATGCTTCACGAGATTTGCATCGACTGGTGATTAAATTATTTAAATAGTATAGTATAGTAATAAATTTCAACCTTAGTTACGATCGATGAAAAGCAACTAAAGTGTATTACTGTACCATGCATATACGACAGCATAACTCACGCTTCTTTTACAGGGTTTGCCAACAGATTGTTGGCGAATATCCCACATTAACGAGAATTACGAACTTTGTGATACTTACCCACCCTTGGTAAGTCCAACTTTATCATTGTTGTGCCGGTCGACCGATTGCAAGGTCATGCAGTAAAACGAGGCTAGAATCGCTGCAAAATGACTGAATGATTGATGTTTATTGCTTGAAATACTGCCCGGAATAAATATTTCACCATTTTACTTGAACTCATACTGCGGTAAATATAACTCTTGACTTCAGTTGGATGTAAAGAATTGAATTGTGACTGAACCTGGACTGATGACGTACTGTAGAAGACTTGTTAACCCATATATCTACAATCAGAGATACGGTTTACCTTGCATATGTATATAGGTGTTTTCGTAAAGAACGCGGTCAAAAAAACTGGTTTCTGTTTAGAAACATCCTAAACTGAACTTCAGGTTTCTCGAGAATTAGAACGAGAATCAGAACACCCTATTGCAACACAGGCATAATTTTTTTTTAAAAATGTAGGAATACAGTACGTTTGTCATAATTTGCGAGAATCCCTTTTTATACTAACTTCTTTTTCTTAAGAATATGCTACTTCTTAAAAATGAGCGGGTATTTTTCTGACGCATATTCTGAAGAATAGGTCTCATAACTCATATTCTATCATTGTCTAGGTGGGAGTTCCTCAAGACGTGGTAGACGATGATTTAAAGCAAGTTGCAACATTCAGGAGCAGGTCAAGAATCCCAGTAGGTTTTTACGTACTTTCTTGTCATCGAATATTAGTTTCTCTGAAGAGCCGTATCTTTCACATGAACGATTTGACAATTTGTTTATGATGATACATATTCTTGACTTAAAGTGACATTCATGTGCTGTAATGACGTAGGTTTTGTCATGGCTGCATCCTGTTAATAATGCTTCCATCACACGATGCAGTCAGCCTATGTGTGGCGTGAGAGGCACGAGAAATAAAGATGATGAGAAATATTTACAGGTTAGTTAAACATAAATACAATATCAATATCCGCGAAAAATGTTTTGCCAACGTATTTTATAGCTTTGTACAAATTACCACAGTCGTTCTTATTGCCATCATTTTGCAATTGAAAGTATTATAAACGTGTCTTGTACTACTCTATCAATCCTAGTAGCTTGTATCAGCAATTCTATATAATGTGAAGCGAATTCGTTTGGTTACAGTTAATGTGGTTTTATATGCAAGACATCAATACAACCATTCAGTGAGAATGGGACATGATTCTTTCCTTCGAGTCATCGTATATTATACACTAAATGTATGCTCCCGAGGGAAATGGTGAGTTTTGTTTTCCCAAGTGTCTGCATGTTGAGGCTCGAGGGAAAACAAAACTCACTATTTCCCGAGGTAGTGTACATTAAGTGTTTTGTTATATAGGAACGAAAACATACATGTTACCCTACACAACAATTTCATTACAAAAAACACTTTGTTATGACAATATGCGGGCAACAATTTCTCACTTGTTTCCCTGGCGGGAAACATTGCATTTATTTAAAGTCATGTGACTACGATTGAACCAATCACATTTAAAATACACAGCACCTATATAACAACAGCCTTTATCCTCTCGTTCAATCCTACCAGCCTTAAGACATTTTTCCTCGTTTACATATCTCATTTATAGCACTCGTATCATTTCTTGACTCAACCCGGATAATATTCTGGCATAAACTCTTCAGCGTTGCAAGCACTGGACAAGTTAATGTTACTTTATATTAATGTCGAAAATATGAAATATTTCAGAGTATTCTGGATGCAAACCCACAGTGTCACAAACTGCTTATAATGGATGCAAGACCAAGAATCAACGCGGTAGCTAATCAGGTTTGTACCGTTTGTTCTTCCGCTGTTAGAATTAGTTTTCTAAGTCGTTTTCTGTGTTCTGCAGTAATTAAATGTCGGGTTTGTCGTTTTTCTATTTTAGGCGAAGGGCGGTGGTTATGAAAGTGACGAATTTTATCAAAATATAGAATTGTTCTTTTTAGATATTGCAAATATTCACGTTATGAGAGAAAGGTACAGAATTACTGACCCTCCCCTGTACTGTACTGCACCGTACTGTACTGTAGTGTACTGTACTTTACTATTCTGTACTGTACTGTACTGTACTGTAACACTAGATTATTTTTGCAATGCCCTATGGCCACTCATAACGTCAATTTGTTTTTCAAAACAATCTCCAACTGTGTTTTAGTACTGAGTTCTGACAAATATCCATCCCGTAATTTTTTTATGGTCCATATTGTAAAACTCTTTCTTTTTTTCCTTTCAGTTTACGCAAGCTTAAAGATATTTGTTTTCCATCAATTGATGATGTTCACTGGCTTGCTAACCTCGAAGCTACACACTATCTGGAACATATTAAGGTACCTGGGAACCATTTTCTCGTTTACGACATTCATCGTATGTAAATTTATCCTGCAGTTCATTGCGTGTAGGTGATTTTACCTTGCTGTGCCCGAACGGTATTTGCATACTTGTATAAAAATGTTAGCAATTTTCGGCGATAGATTGGAACCTACAGTATAAAACATGAGTGCAACTTGCAATACATCAACGGATTAATCTATTGCGCAATAAACCACAAATCATTCGTATTTTACTTCATTTTGATAAATATTATAAAAAATGCCATTTCTCTGAAGATGAATGCACATGCAAATTTGAAGCAACTGATAATACAATTAATCAGTTGATCGTTAGAGATCACAATTAATCAGTTGATCGTTAGAGATCGCGACTTCATACGACAAAGTCATAGTAATATTATAAATGCCTGTTGTCTTTCAGCTGATTTTAGCTGGTGCCGTGCGAATTGCTGATTCGGTTGATAGATGTCGAACCTCGGTACTTGTACACTGCAGTGACGGGTGGGACAGAACAGCACAGGTATTTCCTAAACAGTGTTTGCCAGTGGTGGCGGAAACAGAGGGGGCGGAAATCGCTTAACGTCTTTTCAATTAAATTTTCGAATCCTTTGGGTATAAGAGATTGAAACACTGAGATTCGTTGTAAGTTACATCACATACATACAGTCAAAATAATCGATTGTATGTCCATGACGTAGAAGTTTAAAATGTGGCAAAAAGCTAGTCAAACCCTTCTTATACTCGATAAGTCACTTGTTTATAACGTTTTTAAATCATTCCAAATCTATATCGTTTAGTTAACTGCGCTTTCAATGTTATTGTTGGATCCATATTACCGAACGATTGTTGGGTTCGAGGTAAATATTGTGGTAGTGATGAATATCGTTGTACTGGATAATATTGAAGTGTTAGGAATTAGGAGGGCAGTGATGAATATCGAGGTAGTGGGAAATATTGGGATCGTGATGAATACTGAGTTTGTGGAAAGTACATATTAGGGCAGTGACGGTGTAAATAGTGACAAATATTGGTGGAGTGATGAGTATTTTGGGTTATGATAAAAATGTCAAATATTTTTTGTATTGGTTTCACATCTGACAGGTTTTAATTGAAAAAGAATGGCTGAGTTTTGGACATAAATTTGCCCAGGTACTGTGCCTCATGCATGTGTTTTGCCAATCCATTAGGAATGCTTGCATTTTGCCAACCATTAGGAATGCATGCATTTTGCCAACCATTAGGAATGCATGCATTTTGCCAACCATTAGGAATGCATGCATTTTGCCAACCATTAAGAATGCATGCACGCATGTTTACGTTGGAGAATTTGAGCAAGTTCGAACTTTGCACAACTCTCACTCGATTGAGAAAGTTATATTGTTTCTCTTAGCGCATCGGTCATGGAGACAAGAATTATTCAGATGATCAAAGGTCTCCTGTATTCGTTCAATTTATCGATTGCGTTTGGCAAATAACAAGACAGGTACTTGCCATAAAAAGCTAGTCACTAGTATTTCTGCACTTCCTTGCGAAATAACTGGGTGATGATCTAGAAAATGTATAAGTATAAGAAAATCTTTCATCTTATTTTTTGTTTTTTCGTTCAGTTTCCCTGTGCGTTTGAATTCAACGAACAATTCCTCATTACAATTCTTGATCATTTGTATAGGTAAATTATATCCTAGTTTTTTAAAACAATCTTTTTAAAGTACATGTACAACAAGAATTCGTTTGATTTCTTAGGTTTAATTATTTGAAACCAGGTTTTTGCAGAGAAAAAAAAATTAAGAAAGATGTTGTTTCATCTGTTAAAATATTTTCCTTCTTTTAGCTGTTTGTTCGGAACGTTCTTATGTAATACGGATTCTCAGAGAGAAAAAGAGGTAAAAATTGCAGTGATATAAAAGACCCTTAAGATGATTGCCGGAGGCGCATGAAATAAGTCAGTCAACACCCAGTCTCAGACTATACAGTTCAGTGTCCTCCGGGCACCACTGAGATTATCATTTTGGGCAAGATTCAAACCTTTTGAGATAGATGTGTTTATGTGTTCCCAGTTTAGACATGAAAACTTTCAATGATAATGGAACACCTTCATCGATCATGATCGCAACTCATTCAACATTATTATTTATTGAAAATGAGTCAAGAGTTTTGATTGGCCAGCAGCTGTTGGCGAAATCGTCATATCCGCTCGGCAGCTGCCCAAATTTGGACAGTGACGTCACTTCGTCGGATATGAAAAAAATTATTGCACGTTTGACGTCACTTCGTCAGATATGAAAAAAATTATTGCACGGTATAACGTCACGCTAATTTATGCGGCTTGTGCCAAAACCTAAAAGCGGGAAAATACGAATGGCTTCATCAAAGGAAAGGTTCGCTGACCTTGGGGAAGATGAAATTAAAAAATTGCTGGAAGAAAAATAATAAAACAATTATTGAATTCGGTTCTCGCAGGATATGAGGAATTATCAAGGCCTCGGTTTGTGTTATCCGCCTCAGCCTTCGGCTTCGGCAGATAACACAAACCTCGGCCTTAATAATTCCTCATATCCTGCTCAACCTCATTCAATAATTGTTTATTATCTCCCACATGACCACACCTCCATTCTTCCAGCCTCTTCCACTACGTCACTTTAAGCTTCATTATCATCTAATTATCTGTTGTTTAAGTTGCATTTGACGTGACCAAAATGCGACGTATATAAAATATAGGCCTAAACTGTTGTTATTTTTGTTTGTAGGAAGTAAGAACTAAAACAACTTCCCTATGGTCGCACATTAATAGTGATGTAAGTAATATTACTACGATATAGTAAATATCCCTTTGCGCCGTTTTCGGCATTCCTACAGAATTTTTATATTCACTTACCTCTGAAAACTGCCTATCAAGCTGGTCTTCTTGGTTGAACACCAAAAATCGAGGCAAATGACAGATCAATTTGGACCAATGACTATGCTCCAAACTAGCATGCACGTGCTACAATTATACATTATTGTTTAAATGATTTTTCTGTTGTAGTTGGAAAGTTATATGAATCCATTGTTTGCGACATATCTGCACAACCATGTAAGTAATTCAAATATACATTAGTGCATTAATTTTACCTTCCACCATTTACGAATGTTCGACGCATATATGCTAGCTAAAGTTCTCTATCAATGCATGCTCCTGTGGGTTAGAAGTCAATCTGAAGGAAACAAATGTTAATGCGGATGATGGATAGAATATGGCTTGTACGTGGTTGATTTGAGTCAAGTTCAGTCAACCTCCCCGGATACTTGCTTATTCATTTGCGCTAAGCATATGATTATATTGACTTGGCAACCCTGTTTCCCAAATAGGTTCTATTTCCTGTCGCAAGTCTTCGAAGATTGGAGCTTTGGACGTCATATTATATCAGATGGAATCCAAGAATGCAGCCACAAGTAAGCTTAGCTACATTGAAAGCCGTAATCTTAGAGTGTTGCCACAATATGATATTTTGTCGTTACACATTTTTTTCTTATTCTTCAGGAATCAGAAGAACAAAGAAACAGAGAACTGTTTCAACTTACTCAACAGGTACAGTTACATAACGCATTTACAGATTGGAAATTTGTACCCTGGGTCCTTGGTCTAAGATGTAAATGGTGTTGTTTTGTCGTACTTTTAGCTACGACAAAAATGTGATGAACTTCAGCGTGAAATCGAGAGTCGTATGATGGAAGCACAATCCACCCAGGCACCGTCTGATTCCATCCCAAGTGATCACTCCCCAACCCAATGGCCGTCTTCGTCAGCTGTGTAAACATTGTAGATGCACAACTTTATACAGGGGGATATATGTAGCTATCTAAAATGTGTATACAGATCATTCGAAAAAGGTTGTTATGAAAAATTCATAAGTTCAAACTCAATTCGAAGTCTGCAAACATCATGCAGGGTTACGTGTATGGGATATACAGGTTAATTTGTGCCGTAGAGTGTTGTTTCAACTTGTTCAAACAGACTCAACTGTTGGTGTTATCACATCGTCTAACAGTTTTCGAATAAGTATATATGATGTTTGTATGTGCGAGTTGAAGATGATGGGTATTTAATACTAATAGCGATTAATTTTAGAATGAATAAAGTTTGTAAATAATGATGATATTATAGTCTTGATGTTATAAGGACGTTTTATTGGACTTTTTTACATTGCTAGGAAGGAATAATACATTCAAAATCTACTCGATTAGCTTTAAAATTGGCTATCCAAAGAACACGTTGTTGACAATTGCCTATCCAAAGAACACACAAGAAAGAGTTTAGCTCATTAATGAGGTTATTCAATAACCAAAGTTAATAGCGAGGAAACCACGCGTGATCCGGAAGTTAGGTGTTCCTGTCGAGGTGCGCTGCGTCAGCCCACGTGTTATATTGCGTGCTCGCTCGCGTTGCGGTCATTAGTTGCTCGGCACGCAAAGTGTAACAAGCTTAACAAAAAGTTTAAAAAGTTATATCGCAAGTCTCGAAACTTCGTCTTAATGGATTCACACACGGCTGATGCGTCTTTGGGAGAGTCTTCTACCCCAGCTGCCACTGGGACCAACATCAACTGGAGCGCTGCTTTTCAGTCGCCCGAGTTTCTCTCAGGGCTTCAGAACGCCATGGCTAACCTTGCGTCCACGTCGTCCCAGCACTCTACGACGCATTTGGAACAGTTGGGGGATGCGCTCCCGTCCACTTCCATTGCTACATCACACCAAGATAACTCGTCTCAGCAAGGTACGTTATACGCTCCTTCGTTTGTTACGGCTTTAAGCGGTAGTACTATCCCCGAGCCAAGTTTTCCTTGCCCACAACCCGGCCAGCAGTGAGCGCATGTATCTCCGGCAACGAACCCCCTATTCTCTCTTCTCTCCATGCCACTAACATGTCGATGACTCCCCACCTCGGTCCTGAGAAAGCGTTTAGCTTGGGCCCCGGCCGTGCGCCAATTCCACCGAAGCTGGTCACGAAAATTCTCCAGAACAAATTCGTCGAAATGGGCGATCTTCTCCCGGAGAACCTCGACGAACCTGTTTCAGACACGACCAGCTTCACCATCGAGGGCTCGTCGATCGTGCCATTGTCGAAGTCGGCCCGTGAAAAGAAACCACCATTAGACATTCTTTCGTGGGTCGAGTGCTTCAATAGCTATACATCGGTGATGGCTACATTTCACCCCCATCGGGCACGCGATTTGCTGGCTTACATGGCTCTGATTATTCGGACGGCCAAGCGTTTCGACGGTCGGGCCTGGTTCCATTACGATCGCGCCTTTCGCCGCGAAGCTGAAGTGAACGACCTTCGGGACTGGAGTACCATGCGCACCGATCTCTACAACTTTCACACGTCAGCGATGAATGCGCGTTTTTCCAGTAGTCGCCGCTCGAACGTCGAGTCTACGCCGTTGGGGCCCCGAAGCGAAGCGAGTGGGAATCCTAGTAGCCCACAATTCTGCCTCTCGTGGAATCAAGGGGCGTGCATTTCTCCGCGGTCACGCTGTAGATTTCGCCACGTTTGCAACGTCCCAGATTGCGGCCAGTTCCATCGCCGCATCGACCACGACCCACCCGCACCTCGCGATAGACGCCGACCCTCCCCCGACCACGCTCGCAATCGCTCCAGATCTAGACGTTGACACTGGTCACTATAGCACCTTGCATCGTACGTTATTTTTTAATATAAACCCAGTTAAACTGTTTACTAACCCCCGGGACTCGCTGGCTAACTCCCCAATCAATGTGGGCAACTTCGAGATGCAATTGCTTGGTCACGCAGATAGAGTTAAGGTTAACTATGTCATTTCTGGTCTGCGCGAGGGGTTTCGCGTAGGTTTTCATTCTAATTTAGTAAAACTTAAATCTGCTACTAGCAACTGTCCGTCTGCACTTGAACACGGCGAAGTAATTGATCAATACTTAACTACCGAAATCCAGGCGGGTCGAGTTCTTGGCCCGCTGGAAAACCCACCATTTGCGAATTTCCAAATAAGCCGTTTTGGCGTTATCCCAAAGAAAAACAGAGAAAATTCGTGGCGCCTTATTCTAGATTTATCCCACCCTCTTGGGCACAGTGTCAACGACGGCATTGATAAGAACGAGTTCCCTGTTTGTTATAGCAAGGTTGACGATGCAATACGTTTAATCGTCAAAGCCGGAAAAGGCGCGTTGATGGCAAAAGTTGACATTCAAAGCGCATACCGCATTGTTCCGATCCACCCTGACGACTATTACCTTTGCGGAATGAAATGGCGCGACCATTACTTTATTGATCTCGCGTTGCCGTTCGGGCTTCGCTCTGCCCCTTACATTTTTAACAGTTTGGCGGACTTGTTTGAGTGGATTCTTATTACTAATTACCTAGTTCGGGATCTCTTGCACTACCTGGACGATTATTTTACGTTAGGCCCCTCGGCGTCACCCATCTGTGCTAACTCGTTACAAGCTATTCAACGGGCAGCGAATGCCACGGGCATCCCCCTGGCCCCGGACAAGATCGAGGGTCCTACGACGTGTTTGGTCTTCCTAGGAATCGAACTCGATTCCCTGCAAATGACAGCGCGCTTGCCTCCGGACAAGCTGTCTGATCTGCTCACGCTTATTCGGCGGTGGGCAGGAAAAACGTATTGCAAGCGCAAAGAGCTAGAATCTCTGATCGGCAAACTCAATCATGCCTGCTACGTTGTCCCGGCGGGCCGAACATTTTTGCGCCGCCTCATCAACCTACTTCGAGACTCCAAACGTTATTGGAAGTCTATTCGCATACCCCGAGATTGCCAACTAGACCTACAATGGTGGTCGGAATTTCTACCATCCTGGAATGGCCTTTACTTTTTTGACCTCCCTGATTGGGCTCCCCTGCCCGATTTTGAACTGTCCAGCGACGCGTCGGGAAAACAGGGTTTTGGGGTATTCAATAATGGCGCGTGGTTTTGCCAACATTGGCTACCCGCTCAACAACCGTTGGGCATGGCGTACAAAGAGCTCTACCCCATTGTAGTTGCGTGTCACTTATGGGGGCCAGCATGGGCCAATAAGCGCATAAAATTCTGGTGTGATAACCAGAGCGTGGTGCACATACTACAGTCAGGCACGTCTAAAGATAACAACATCATGCACTTGGTTCGTGCCCTTTTTCTGGTCTCCGCGAAATTTAACTTTCGAGTTTGTGCAGCGCATGTCCCGGGCAAGACCAATGCGATTGCTGATTCTCTCTCCCGTTTTAACTTGCAGGAGTTCTTTCGCCTCGCGCCCGGCTCATCCCACCCCAGTGGAGGTACCAGCGAGTTTGCGAGCACAGCTGACCTGCTATCTTTAACGGATTACACCAACTCCTTGCTATTTCACGGCCTCGCCAAATCTACTCGACGGACATATTCAGCTTCGCAACGCAGATTTTTGGAGTTTTGCTATTGGTCGCCTTATTCACGACAGCGGTTCACCTCTCCCAGCCAGTGAGCACACGCTTATGTTGTTCGCCGCGCACTTATCTCGTTCTTAAAGCCAGTTCAATTAAAGTATATCTCTCTGGAGTTCGGTCTTTGCACATTGAACACGGTTTCAAAAACCCCTAGAACGAACTGCTTTCGTCTGGAAGAGTGCTGCGGGGCATAAAGAGATTACAAGGGACTGGGACTCAAAAACGTTTACCTATTACGATTTCGGTTTTACGAAAACTTCACCAGCTAATCGACCAGACAAAGTATATGGACGCGTTATTTTGGGCCGCTTGTTTGACAGGCTTTTTTGGCTTTCTGCGGTGCGGCGAATTCACAACACGCTCATCGCGCTTTGATCCTAATCTCAATTTGTCCTTGAACGACATCCAAGTTGATAAGCGCATTAACCCTACAGTGGTATTAATCAATATTAAAGTGTCCAAAACGGATCAGTTTCGTAAGGGTCACGCTGTGCGTATTGGTGCGTCCCGAGCAAAAATCTGCGCCGTGCAAGCCCTGATGAGTTATCTTCATCTTCGGGGCAATAGTCCAGGACCTTTATTCGCCCTTCCAAACGGACAACCTTTATCGCGTGACAAGTTTTGTACTTGGCTCAAAGATGCGATGTTACGTATCGGCGAAACCGGACATTATTCCGGACATAGTTTTCGAATTGGCGCCGCAACCACAGCCGCCGCAGTTGGCATTCCCGACCATTTGATCAAAACACTTGGCCGCTGGATTAGTGACGCGTATCAATTGTATATAAGAACACCTGCGGCAACCCTAGAGGGCGTAGCTTCCCGTTTGGCAGTTTAACACGCACCTTGTCAACACCTTTTGACATAAACACGGAGTTTTATATATGCACTGCACTAGTTGTTGTTCATGTATTCTTTGGGTTATAAATAGTAATAATTTGGTATTAATAATGAAAAAAAAAAAAAAAAAAATCAAAACACAAAACACACGAAATCCTGTCTAATCGATCGTCTTTTCCGTTAGTATGCGTCGGTAGTTGTCGTGCCCGACGTTGTCTTTGGCCGCCAGCGCCTCACACCATATAAATTCGGCTAGTATATTTTCTCGGTCGTATCGCCAGCCAACACCATCATTTTGAGCCTATATCGAGTGCGTCTGCGTTTGTCGTTCCTGCGGTGAGTCGTTTCCAACGATAGCGCATTATGTTAGCAAATCTATCTTGCGTTTCCGCAGATAGCACAGTTTGTCGTTTGTATCTCACGACAGCGCATTATTTGAGCAAACCTATCTTGCGTTTCCGCAGATAGCACAGTTTGTCGTTTGTATCCAACGACAGCGCATTATTTTAGCAAACCTATCTTGCGTTTCCGCCGATAGCACAGTTTGTCGTTTGTATCCAACGACAGCGCATCATTTTCGCAAACCTATCTTGCGTTTCCGCAGATAGCACAGTTTGTCGTTTGTATCCAACGACAGCGCATTATTTTAGCAAACCTATCTTGCGTTTTCGCAGATAGTACGTGTGTCGTTTGTACCCAACGACAGCGCATCATTTCGCAAACCTATCTTGCGTTTCCGCAGATAGCACAGTGTCGTTTGTATCCAACGACAGCGCATTATTTTCGCAAACCTATCTTGCGTTTCCGCAGATAGCACAGTTTGTCGTTTGTATCCAACGACAGCGCATCATTTTCGCAAATCTATCTTGCGTTTCCGCAGCTCGTACGGTTTGTCGTTTGTATCCAACAACAGCGCGTTATCTTGGTCAATCTATTTGGGCCATCCTCTGGCCGGCGCCCATAGCTCGCGCTTCGCTTGCGAGGTACTTGGATGGGTGATGCTTGCAGCATCTCTTGGTTGGCAGTTCAAGATACCATTGGCATGGATCTTTCCCTAATCCAAGTACCAGTGCTAGTTCCCAGGCCACCTGCGACCTTGCTTCGTTCCGGGCCACCTCGGACTACAGCTTGCACCTAACCTTCCAAATTGGTAAGTAAGCAGTGGGGACTAGGGTTAACCTAGATATTAAATGAGGTTATTCAATAACCAAAGTTAATAGCGAGGAAACCACGCGTGATCCGGAAGTTAGGTGTTCCTGTCGAGGTGCGCTGCGTCAGCCCACGTGTTATATTGCGTGCTCGCTCGCGTTGCGGTCATTAGTTGCTCGGCACGCAAAGTGTAACAAGCTTAACAAAAAGTTTAAAAACCCGCCGTCCCACCCTGTTCAAGAAAGGTAAGCAGCATTAGTTACCACCAATTACATTGGTGTGATGGGTGCAAGCTATCCGAGTGTGGTTGGCAGTTCAAGATACCATTGGCATGGATCTTTCCCTAATCCAAGTACCAGTGCTAGTTCCCAGGCCACCTGCGACCTTGCTTCGTTCCCGGGCCACCTCGGACTACAGCTTGCACCTAACCTTCCAAATTGGTAAGTAAGCAGTGGGGACTAGGGTTAACCTAGATATTAACATTAGGAACATGAAATTTTCGATGGCTGGAACACGGCCCTAACTATAGAACACCCCGCCAGCAAAGCAATACAGAATACTCCACGCGCAACTAACTTCATCAGCTGTAACTTTGCCCTGGGACAACCTGGGGATTCTTTCAGATACAACAGTCAAAACGTTCCAGAGCAGCCGCTCATGTTGAGACGCAACCTCGTACCCAGGGTCTTTACTCCCCACCACGAGTAAAGACCCTGGGTACGAGGTTGGTTGAGACGCTCTCCTGCGCAATTTTCCACAGCAACGAGGAGTAGAAGATCCACTGTTCTCAGTGCTCTGCAAACAAAAGTTTAAATGGCAATAAATGATATTTTCAACTAGTTGAAGGCTTGGAGCACAGCTGCTCTGACCCCGTTGACCGGTGATTGAATATTAAAGCGGATTTAGCGGAATCAGCGAATAATGAGTACCGCGTTGTGGAAGCAACTCCTGTAAATTCTTCTTGTGCAGATGTGCGCATGCACGATGTATGCATGTATGCACGATTGCACGTATTTATAAACAACGAGTAGTTACATGTCTGGATTGTTTTATTTTCACTTTTGGGCTGTTGCCAGAAACGACAAGTTTCATTCAATCCCGTTCCTTCAGGGAAATGGATAAAGATTCTACATCTTTGTGTGAAATAACTAGTTATTTCGACTTTTGGAGAGAGGCAAAAGAGGAATGTATAACTGAGAATGAATTGCTAAAAGTATTTGCTACGCTTGCAGCAAGGTAAATTTTTACCTAATAAATCAACGAGCAGTACAAACGTAATAACGATCCTAAGCCTATTGAATTTTCAATACTGCACGCATTGAGGTCGTAGAAACTGAGGCCACAACTACGTAAACTGTCTCTTCAATATTCAATTTCTTTAGCCAGTCGAAGATATTTCAATACCCCTTTATTAAACCAAGCTGTTGCTAATGCTACATGTCATCTTTTATATACGCCCTATATAATGATTATAAATATTCTTGTTGTGTTTTAAAGACAATATATTTTTTAATTTCAATGCTGCACGCTTTCCCTGCAACACTGCACACAGCTAGTCTGCAATAGTGCATGTTAAAAACTTGAAATAGGTGCAACCATAATTTTGTGCAACCGCAATTCTGTGCAACCATAATTTTTGATGGCTTTCAACCAATGATATTATATATGAAGATACAGCAGATAGAGTGAGATTTGAAAAGAATACATTTTCAATTAGTGGATGGAAAACATATCAATTTCACACTACACAAATTGTTTGAATCCATATTTATCTATCATGCCTTTATCATGCCTTTATTTCTAGAATATGTTTCAAACTATAAATATTTTTTGAGAATAACATTATCTACATTTGGTTTGTGTTATCTCATAGGTTAACATAGGGTACTATAGTATATCAGGCTTGTGAATGCAAGTCTCTGGCCACCGCACTATGAAACACATACTTTGGACAAGGTTGCTTCTGGACTACCTAGGATGTATTAAACTGAGTTTGTTGACAACAGTAGATTTTTAACAATAAATAATGTTAGTCACAGTATTCTGATTGAGATTGTCCGAGTATATAAACAAAGTATATATATAATGCACAATTATTCTACTATTTTTCTGTTATCTGTAGCTATGAAGAGTACCCAAAGATCCCTGAGGAATTATTTTCCCAATTACTCAAGACTGCATTTACTAATGAAGGTGTGAAATATCAGTTGACCATAGAGCAAGAGAGAGTTGTTCTGAATCAACTTGCCAGATCTGCGGTATGGTGATGATAAACTGTATATATATCTAGTTTTACAGTTTTTTACTTGTAAAATATTTTTAATTGTCTATTTAAACTTAGTTAGGTGAGCTATTTAAGAGCCATGTACTGTACATGTTTGGAACTTAGTTTAATTTTGGGAATCAATTCACATAGTTTTCAATCTGTGTACACAAGGTTAATTTGTCTTGCAAGTGCCCCACAATGTATTGCATTAAATATTATATATTTTGTGTGTTAATCACCTCTGTGGTCTAATGGATATTGTTTCTTTAGGTCTTCAATAAGTTAAATGAAAAAAATTTTGTTGCTCTCTTCCAATATTGGACAAGAAAGGTATCTTGCATTTCATTTTACACTATACAGATCATGTACAAACCATTTTAGTACTTGTACATTGCACTGTACATTACGATTGTTGTGGGTATAATTGTAAGATCATAATAACAGTACTTGTGTGCCTGATAATGGTAATACAATGCAGTCAAAGTGGTTGTTGCAGTGGTACAGAAAACACTTGCAGACTGTCACCATGGTTTATCTGTCAATTAATGAATGTCATCAGGATCAACACAGCTCCTAACTTATCAGTGTTCTGTTGACAAATGCTATTTTTTTCTGCTTGTCCATCGGATAAAATGTATAGCTTGTTTTTTTTGCCCCCAAAACCTAAAATCATTGGGAATTTTTTTTCCGAATGAATACAGCCGGATACATTCTTTATTTGGTAAATGTGCTCTGTTTTTGTTTCCTGTCCTGTCAAACAAGGTAAAGAAATAGCTGACGAAAGATTTGTCAGAGAAACTAAAAAATATGAGTGAAAATGATAGGCAGCCCGGTCAATACAGTTACGTCATACTATCTTATACAAAAGATAGCATGACAAATCCGCAGTGACCGGGCTGCCTATGATGAAACTTGCGAGACATCGGTAATTGTCTTTGAGTATGTGTGGATATACTCCGTTATTTTTTTAGCTCTCGCTCCTGGAGTTCTTAGCATTTTTCATATTCTGTAGTGTGTCTCGCCACTGAAGGCACTGATCATTGTAGACGTACAAAACGACTTTATCAGTGGTTCACTAAGACTGGACTGTTGTCCTGCTAAAGAGAATGCAGAAGAAGTTGTCCCCGCCATTAATAAATTAATTCAAGATGGATCATTCGATGTTCTAGCGTACACATACGACTGGCATCCTGCAGATCACTGCTCGTACCTCTCAAACATAAAAAATCATTCAGAATCGGTGCATCCATCGGAAAAAATCGAAGAGCTAAAATTGTTTGATGTCGTGTCCTTAATCAGACCTGTTGAATTAAAACAAGTCATGTGGCCAGATCATTGTGTGCAAAATAGCTGGGGTGCTGAATTGCATAAAGATCTGAGAGTAAGTTTGAGACATTATTGTTGCACTTCTCACCGCCCTCCCTATATATGCACTCCTAGCCACCTAAACCATGCCCTCTTGATCACCACTCCATGCCCTATAGAAATCATGGATAACATGCACTAAAAGGGTACATTGAGGGTATTTTTTGAGCAAGTATGTTAGTATGATAAAAGCAACGCCTTGCTTCGTTTGTTGTAACAATCTTTCGTGAGGCCCCAGAAGCATGGGTAACGCAAGTGACTGTACATTAGAGTCTGATCACAATAATCGTTGTATAGAAACCAGATGTTGACAAGGACATCGTGGTGTATAAAGGGCAGCATTCACATGTCGATAGTTATTCAGCCTTCTTTGATAATGGTAAATGCCATCAAACCGACTTATTTCTCAAGTTGTTGAAACGAGGCGTTACAGATGTGTACATGGTCGGTTTGGCCTTTGATGTCTGTGTTGCGTATTCTGCAATCGACGCAGCTCATCTGGGTTTTAACACCATCGTTGTTGACGATGCTTGTAGAGGAGTTGATTTGAAATCCAAGGAAGAGATGAAAAGAAAATTTGCTGACAGCGGCATTGAAATATTGCTGTGTTCAAATATCCATGATTAACAATTCAAGAACGATTTAAGATGACTTTACGCCTGGTTCACACAGACCTGTGCCACGAACCAGTAGCTTTAGTGCTAGGTTGCTTTAGTGCTAGGTTGCTTTAGTGCTAGGTTGCTTTAGTGCTAGGTTGCTTTAGTGTTAGCTTTAGGTACAGTGTGACTTATTCAAACAAGAATACACTAAAAGGGACTATAACTACATGTAATAGTAATAATGCACATTAATTGATGGATCTATAAACGCAGAAACTATTCATATAAATGAAGTAACTATATAAGGACTTGTATGTTTTTGAAACTAGGTAGAATACGCGAAGAAAAACTGTCAGTATTGATCCACCCTATCCCCTGTATTCAAAAAGCTCACTCAAATTCACACTCTCTGAGCCTGACATAGAATTACTGATCAGAGAGAAAGTTTTTTCTTAATCAGTGAGAAGATTTAAGATAAAACATTAAAAAACAAGCTGTTGTTTGACTGAAAATACCGCTATGGAAAAGATATGAGAAGATTGAGATCTCCTACTTAATGAGTTTGAGTATGAGTGAGCTTTTGAAATACAGGCCTATCTACACCCTGTCAGCCGAAGTTTATACTTCGGCAACATGCGTGCTTGTACGTGAAGAATAATGCTCTAGCATAGTTGCCAGAAAAAACTATGGTGAAATAAACTTAGTTTAAAAAATATGCCTGTGTTTAAATATTTCCTATTTAAAAATATGTAGATTACAAGTAGTCAATTACAAATTGTTAACAAAGAACACGGGAATTAAAAGACTGTTCTGCAAAATATATCACATAGATGGGATGTTCTCCGCTATATTGACGGGATATTCTCCGATATCTATAAAAATTATAAAACCTAAAAATATATTATATAATATTAGGTTAATATTAACTGGTCTGCTTAGCGCCTTGAACGGCGTGAACGGCTGCGTTGGTTGCCTCGGCCGTGTCGGTTTGATGACGATCCCGATCTAGGAACTTCTATTGTCGCTGCTTGAAACTGTGTTGAAACGAATAATCGGTTGTCGATGACTTTGTTGTGAAAGAACTATTCGTTATCATTGATGATGTTGCTGACAGGTTTTCTGTCAGTGTTGTGAGAAGATTCTCTGTTGTTGTCCGTGGTGTTGATGGATTTTCTGTTGTTGAAGGTGCATGGGGACTGATTTTCAGTCGTTGTTGGTGTTGTGGACGGATTTTCTGTTCTTGAAGGTGTTGTTGACGGATTTTCTGTTGTTGTCGGTGGTGTTAAAGGACCCACAGTTGTTGTCGGTGTTGTTGACTGACCCATGGTATTCGACTTTATCAAGAAACCTCGTGGAACTAAATGGATGATTGCCTGATCACATGATACAAATCCAGTTTTCTAATAATTTGCTGGAATGCGACTTGCAACTTTTAAATATTATGAAAACATTTGATACCCCATCCTGAAACCAAATAGCAAACAATATTGGATGTTTAGACTATATTTCGTCACATGAAACAGCATTTTACTAAACCTGTGATGATATACTTTAAATTTGAAAAGTAGCAATAGTTTAGATGATGATAAGTAGTAATAATTCTATTCTATGAGTTACCATTTCATTACCTGGCTGTATTTGTTATTAAATTGGTTCAGTTAAATTGGTTCTGCAATCAGTGGAATGAGAATTTTCTGTTTTTCTATAATCATTTCTTTATAGACAGCCGAATAGGTTCATACATGATACACCATCCTAATATCCTTCATGCACACACGGGCAGTACGTACTTTATGACCACTCCCTTAGTTTGTATTTTATATAATTACTTCAGAAATATTCCATCTATTAGAATATTTCTCTCTATATCGTATGTCCCTATTTATATGATTTTAACTGTACCGCCACTCATTGTAAGGCGTAGGCCGCGAATGACTCCGATGATCTACAAATCGCTGCGAGTCGTGTGTTTTCACCATCTCACGCGTGTTTCGTGGTCTAGAATGTCCAGTTTCCATAACCTCTCAGACGAGAGTCCAGATTTCAATTTGAGGTGTTTCATAGCAAATTCAATTGGACGGCTTAGGTAAAGAGTGAGACCGGAAGACAAAGTGGACATGCCATATACTGTGGCCACAAGTGCGTATATACGCATAATTGCTTGAAGCAGCACCACTGACAGAGCTGAATATCTTAGATACTATTCTGTATGACACCATGTCGGTCGTAATTCAGAATCCAGACGTTGGTAAAGATCGAGACGCAGTCGATGTTGAAGCCAATTTCGAAGCACCACAAATCACTAGGCGAGTCTCAAAAATACGCCAAGCGTTGGTGGGAAACGCGCAGTTAATTGCGATTGTCGTGTCAGTTTTTCTTGGTTTCCTGATCGGAATCCTAATACACGATGCTGTTCAAGAATCAACAGAGACTGAAAAAGTCGTTATGTACATCAAGTTTCCCGGTGAACTGTTCATCCGTATGTTGCGAATGATAATAATACCCCTCACTGTCTCTAGTATTGTCGTGGCCTTGGCAGAAATTGACACTGCTTCGGCGGGAAAGCTGGGCAGGAGAACATTTCTGTATTATCTTACGACAACCGTAGTTGCAACAGTTCTCGGTCTTGTTCTGGTGAAGGCTATAAAACCTGGCGAAGATAGTAACTCTGAAACTAACGAAGACAGCGAGCCAAGCCAAATCACTGCCCTGGATTCTTTTCTCGACCTTTTAAGGTATATATACATATAAGTAATATAACAATCTTAAGTTTGTACCATATACGTTTGGTTTAGGCGTAAAGGAAACGGGTTGGCATGATATAGTTCGTATACATGCATGGTTCATGGATTTTGGACCATATAACGCAGAGAATATAGAACCGTCAAACGTTGCTAAAATAATTTAAAAATAAATTTATGTTAAATGCATTATTTAATGTCACCGATATATAAATTATGGCAATATTTTGACACAGATAGTTTTTTTTCGGATTGCTGCTCAAAAATCCAAAGACACGTCATAGACGTAATTATGTATGTATATATTTTGTATTTTTGATAGACTATACTGCATGTAAACATCATGCAATATTTCTCATTCCACCGATAGGGCTTTTGTTAATCAATAAGGAAGGATTGACCTAAAATTACAAAACAATTTTAGTTCGGGCCTGATTTTTCATCTACAACAAGCTATGCCGAGTTATACAATAGTGCCGGCTGAGCCTGAAAGCTGAAATGTTTTGCTTGAATGTAATGTTCAGGAAACAGTCGTTTTTCAATAAATAAACCATGCTCGGTAGCCGTTAGACCCTAAAGCCCCGTTTACACTATACTTAACTTATTGGCACGGCTAAAATGGGTACCCGTGCCCATTTTATCTATTAGCCTTTTTTAATGGTAGCCTGAACACTAATACTAGTAATAGGCATGGTACCGTGCCGAGCCAATAAATTGACTGTAGTGTAAACGGGGCTAAAAGCGTTCCCACGGCCCTAGCTGAGGTCAGTTTTCTGGCGGTACTAGTGTTTAGTTTCGATACTAATCTACATATAAATGAGGCGTAGGTTTTGCATAACAATATGCTGTTTTTGAAGCATATACTTAATCCTGGCGACAATTGTTATTAGGTCATTTGGATGCAATACAAAACAATATACATTATCCTCTTATTCTGATGAAACGTAGGTATAAAAAAACACAAGCTTTTTTAATTTCTTATCATCTTATGTACGTCATAGAAAATAACGAAGTTGACTTCTAAGCGTAATCGAATTGGTTAAGAGGTTATAAGAAATAAAACCAGATTTAATTGCACTGACTTAATTTGCACTGTATGCAACTCTATGCCGTGTAGTCGTATCACTATATATCATTACCATATCTGTTATACAAGACATGACAGACTTCTGATAGAAAAAATTATAAGTTAAGCGCATATTTCCTGTATATAGAGTTAATCCCTTTGTGAGCATACAGGAAAAAACCTGGATCAGTACAATTGTTTTGATAATACCAACTGCAAACTTATAAAGCTGATTATATATCTTTTGATCAGTCAGTCTCGTTTAAACACCATGCAGTGTTATTTTTCCTTCTGCAGTCGTTTTGCTATATCATCACGACAGTGGCGTAACCAGCCTGACGATTTAAGGCTAGTTTCCACTCAGGAAAATTCTCCTTTGGATTGGACAGGACAGGAAAGTTTCCTGTGTATAAACGCCGCCTGAGAACTCACCGACAAAGGAAATTTTCCTGTCCGTTCCGATCCAAAGGAGATTTTTCCTGAGTGGAAACTAGCCTTTAGTCATGCTATGCAAATTTTATGTTATTAGATCATTATTCATTTCTTTAGAAATTCATTGTTTTCACAGTCAATGATCACCAAAATATTAGCATAGCATGACTAAATTGTCGGGCTGGCTACGCCAAGCACTGCATCACGTGTGATTCAGCAGCTATCATATATTTTTATAAACATAACAGAAGTATGATATAGCTATAAGCTATGATATATATGAAGCGATTTCAGTTTTGGTTTCAGATTTTTAACACAAGCATATCTTCACTGCCCATATCGCGCAGTTTATCTGTCAGGAACGCGAAGTAACATACCAATAATTGACTAGTGAAATACCTGTAGCAAGTCTGTGAAAAGCAGCAAAATTCTGCCTTTCAAAATATAATTACTAGTGATATTGGCACTTTATTGTAATGTTCAGTTTAAGAGAAAAGTCGACAAATGTTGGATATAATGTGTAGGGTACGCGGATATTTTGCTCGTTTTTTATTTATGAATCCGCGACTTCGCATGGAGCGTTGATTGGGTGTTTTTTTCTACATTCCATCTCAGTGTGGCTTTTCTGTTGGCATTTCAGGCTGAACTGCCTGAACACAGTTGACCTTGGATTACTTTATTTCTAAAAATTCAAGTTTTAGTCTTAGATCTCGTGATTAAGTATTTATTACGTTGTCGGGTCGCACAAATAACTAATGCTATTCCTTTGTGACTCTTGTGGCTTTGCCTAGAAACGTTTCATATTTTTAAACTCTGCAAGATTATGAACAACTTGACATGTACGACACGATAAGTTAGGAAATCTAATGATCTATAGATTAGGCGTGTACATGCAGGTACCGCGACATAGCTACGTTCGATCCGAAATTAATATTAGCGAATTGAAGCACAATAAATTCCTCAAAATTTGCAGTATAAAGTGTAAACGATAGGTGTATATGAACATTTACATATATTACAAATGCTGCCAATCAGAATTCAACTTTATACGTTAGAAATTTACATAACTGAATTCAGGGGCGGATCGAGCATATTCTCTGACCGGTGCATCGTCCTGAGTCTCGCATAAATAGGGGGGTCCGGCATTCTCCCCCGGGAAATTTTGAAATCTAGGACCCCGCAAATGCGATTTCCTGCGTTTTGAGCGAATAGTTTGCAAAAAATACAAGAATAAAATGAAGAAAAAAACCACTGTTATTTCGCACAAACAGTCAACCACACACGGACAAACAGCATGCTCTTATCTGGATTTCATCACCACCGATCTCAGCGACAACCACGAATCACGAGTTCACCTCACACAATCTCCACTCATTACCACGAGTTATGCTTGGAGCCTGATGAGACATAACTACAGTTTTGAACGAAAAACAAACGAAAGGGACTTGACCGGAATGGCAATAACGGGCATTCATTCTGGCCATAGCATTCCACACATATCCACATTGCACCAAGGTTTTGCAAAATAAACAAACAAACAGATTCATACCATATTAAAATTATAATTTTCAAACCATAACAATTTACATTCCACAATTCCTATTACAGAATCACTTCAACTGTTATAAATAATAAATCTTCAACCTTGCAACATTGCCAATCATCTCACTTTCAAAAAGCACCCAACAACATTTGGAATAACAATTTTTTTACTAAAACAATGCATAAAACTCCTGTTTATTAAAGAGCTCAATGCTAGTAAGGTCTCTCCAATGCTGGTGAGGTCTCTCCATAAATAACAAAGATCCTCTTTGCCACAAAGTAACTTGGAACAAGCCCTATATAGACAAGTTCCATTGCCTTTGGTCCTAAATGCATAAAAATGCATTATATATTATACGCCATCATAAAATTCTAAGGATTAAGATCATTTAAGGAACATGCACAATTTAAATTAGCAATATTTTTTAATTATTAACAAGATCAAAAACACATATAATAGTTTGAACATAAACCTTCTACAGTAATTATGATATTGTTTTAAAAAGGCATAAGTTTAATAATATTACTTAAAGGACATAAGTTGTTCTAATGTTCATTTATATACTGTATGGTCCTTGACAATAAATTTATAATCACCGTGTACTAAGGACAAGTCAATTATTGTCAAATGTCAATATTGCTACAACCTTCTGGGTTCTTACCATGATATAATTCTATTGCAAAATATTAATATGAATTTAATATTGATATTATGCAAATGAGAATGACAATTTATAACTTTGCCATTCTAAGCATAATAAATAGAGTGTTAGTTGTTATAATTAACAGCAATATATATTTAATTATAGTATATATTTTTGTTTATTTAATGCTTTTGAGTAATATCTAATGTAACTAGATTTGAGCAGCTGCGAGCCTGTGGCTGTGCCTAGAACTAAAAATATGCCACACTGTTGACTGCCCTCTACATATATCAGAATATGAATCATATCATATATACAACAATATAATATATATACAACTACATACAGCTTAATAGTTAATAGACAATATTTAATACTATATAATATAAAGCTATTGTTGGGCCAATGTTGGCAAAATTAGAATATTATTCTTTATTTATTATCATTACTGCAATAAATAGTCAATAATACTAGGATACCAAAATAACCAAACTACCCAAGTACTGACAGTAATGTAAACAAATACTCACTTTAGAGCTCGGTGTTCCCCACGCTGTCACGTTTCGGTGATATGCTTCGGAATATAATTCACTGGCAATATCTCTTTCAACTTTGCCAATTTTAAAGGGATTCGAAACCTTCGATTTCGACAGGAGAGTGGAAACTTTCATTTCAGCACCACGCCGTACTGCCTCAATATCGGACAGCTTATTGTGTTCAAGCAAAGAGCAAAGATCGCACTTAATTTGCAATTTTGCATCGACATTTGCATCGATATTTGCATATCTTCACCACTGAGCTATATAATAATTCCTGGAGGACCGGCTCGTCATTTTTCGGTAACTTCGCCGCCATCTTTTTGTCCGCAAAAACATGGCGGACTTCGCCCTTCTGCGCAACCGCAGAAGCTCTGCTGACGCCACATGGTTCCTTTTGGCCATGGTATTTACCACTGACCGGGCTCAATTATGAGTCCGCTACAAGGGTGTTCTCCCCCCTGGATTATCTAAACAACAGGTTCTCCCCCCTGGCCTTTATAAAAAAAATTTCCCGTGAGAACTTGTTTTGTTTTTTTGAAATATAAAGTCATGAAAACATCATTAATTGCATTTTTTTGAAATATAAAGCGTTTTTTTAAGATGAATACAAGTCGTAGACGCTGTTATTGCCAACGCAAGAACAAATATATCTTAAAACGTCAAAAATTGTGGACAAAATTGAAGATTTTCGTACAGGCGTTTTTGTTCGTGACAGGTGTTTTTCATTATATTTTCATTATTTCTACATTCCTATAACAAATACTTGAACTTTTTGGCACTATTGTCGGACATTTTGGGGACAATTGGATATTTATGGACATCAATTAGACTTTTTTGAACCCTGCAGCTGACTAAGTGCAAGAAATAGTTTCAACCATGAGTCATATTTGCATAATATACTTTTCAGTAAGGTCATCAGCTTAATTGTACCTCAATGGGCTATAAAAGTTTTCAATATTATCTAATTGCACCCCTGGACCCCTGGTCTTATTAATGAATAATACTCATCCTCCATAGACTCAATTACTCCTGATTAGCCCATTGAATTTAGCCCTCTTGAAGTTTGACACCATAAACAGAAAATTATAAAAGTGGCTGCAGATTGAAGATACACTGCTCACACAATGCATGTTTATATTTATTTCTTTTATAAATATAACAATGGTTATAAAAATACCAGCCAAAAACAAAATCAGATAACATGGTAATTAAGGATAACAATGCAGATTCATAAGAATGTGTATAATATGCTAAATACATCTCAGTTCAATGTTCCAACAAATTGCATGACAATTAATTAATAAGCCATCTCTAGCTTGCTTTATTTCATTAATTAATAAGCCACCTCTAGCTTGCTTTATTTCATAGCATCTTCATCCTGAAAAATATAAATGGAGATCTGATCAAGATTTATTCACAAGTTGCAAGAAGTTAAAAAATCAATTAATATAAGCCATGATAATTGATTTGAATTTGACAAGGCAAACAAGATAATATATTAACTAGGTTTTAACAGTCACCATCATCAAAGGTTGAAATTTACACTGTTTGCAGCAAAAATCTTATTACTTTGTATCAGCACCCACTCAGCACTTTTGTCAATTAGATCATGTTAGTTAATGCTTAAATCTAATAGACTCACTGGGGGGAAGGTTAAAGGTTTACCTATTTACATTATTGTTTGCTATCATGCAGTGGCGTCGCCAGGTCGCTCAGACTGGGGGGGACGAGGCACCAAAGCGCAAGACCTCTAGGAGGGTTCGGGGGCATTCACCCCCGAGAAAATTTTTATTTCTAGGGTCTCTAAAACGCTATTTCCCGCATTTTCAGCAAAGTTTTATGACAATCCGAAAGCCACAGATCGGAGATTTTTGTTATAAACAAACAGTTTTTACAAGGGGAACTTTTTGTTGTTAGCTAATCAGCCTAATCTAAATGTATCAACAAGAGCATCCAACTCAATTTTATCTGCAATGTCTCTTTCTATATGCTGACTATGTTATTCTAATGATATTCTTTACATGATCAAAAGTAATGTTAATTCGAAAATTTCTTTATTTACTCTGCTGTTGGAGATTAGAATCATTGTACCCCCCCCCTTTTTCTCTTCAGATTTAGAAAAATTCCAAAAGTGGTCTTTAGAATAAGTGGGGGGGACGGGTCCCCCCCAGTTCCCCCCCTAGCGACGCCACTGCTATCATGAAAACAAAATAGACCAAACTTAAAGATTGACATTGCCAGGAATTTAATTCCTTCTCCACACTAGTCAAGAAAAATGATAAAGTTTGACTGTTTGAGTATATAACATTGCACATGTACCAAAGGTCTAAAATAGTATATTTGCTGTTTGTACCATAAGTTTTGATGGATTTATATGGCTCAGAACCTTTAGTAATCAGTTTATATTCGAGTCCAAAGGCAAAAAACTGAAATTGTTATAAAAACCGGCTTACCTGGATGCCATAAAATAACAGCCGAATGAGAAAAATCATTCCCCCGATAAGTGAATTAAGCCATTCACAACGTCAGACGCAGAGCACGAAGCTACGTGTTTTTTCCATTTGTTGAACAGGGAAAAAGAGAAACCTTTATCCATTTTATATGAGAAACAAAAAATATATACGGAAAGCTGAAAATATTTTCATAAAAACCAGGAGCACAGATTACCTATATACAGATATGAAACTGAAGCCAAATCGAGTCACACGGTTTTTTGCCCGATGTGCGCATGCGTAACTTGCTTGGCAAGTGTCATGTTGAAATTTAATGAGTAAATCGATAGAAAAATCGAATTTTTGACAAACAAATGCTGATTTAAACAAAACCTTTAGGGCGATGTCCCATTTGACTTAAAATTTTTGAAAAGATGGATAAAGTGGGTCTTCTGAGCTAAGAACTGTTTTCTGAATCTATTTGATTTTGGCGAAAACAGGAGAAAAACACAGCGGAGGAGCAGAACTGTACAAGGCATGCTTAATTGAAGATAATAATTTACACTAGGATATCATATTACAATGATATCATAAATTTGCAGTCGTTTCAATCTTTCTTCAATTATAGCGAGGGCGATAGAAGCGTTTCTTTTTGGGTAACTTATCATAAATGTACACTACCTTTTTGTCGAGCGATTCCCATGAGGTATGTTCGAGAATATGTCGATCCATTCAACCAAACTTTAAAATGCACTTTTTTAACAAGGAATATTTCCAATTATACTCCTTTGGTTTATAAAATATGTAGTTACCGATACTCTTTAAGAATTTATTCCAGAAATAGCCATAGGTAGCGAGAATTTTTTAAAAAAGCAATTTTTCGTCTTAAAAACGGCGTTTTACTCATTAAATTTGCTCATGACACTTGCCAAGCTCGCCGCCGGAAGTCATCAAGCACTGGCTGCGCGTGGGACACAAAACAATCAGCAAAAACACAGAAGTTTCATATCTGTATATAGCTAATCTGTGCCAGGAGGGAGATGGACACAGTTTTTCACCTTGTATCGCGGTATGTCAGTGGTAACCACCATGAGCAAAAGGAACCATGTGGCGTCAGCAAAGCTCAAAATCCGCCATGTTTTTGGCGACACGATTTGGCAGGGAGCCGGTCCTCCAGGAATTATATATAGCTCAGTGCGGCGGCAGCTATACTGCCCAAAGAGTAGGCGTTGTTAAAAAGCAGGCTATTCGCCGATTTTTTCTCGGAAAAAGATTTAAATATTATTTAAAACTATTTAGGCGCACCTATCATTTAGTTTCGCTATAGTTTGAAAGTTTTATATTTTCAGAAGGTTTGAGAAATCTGACCGATGCATTCGCATCGGATGCACCGGTCTAGATCCGCCCCTGACTGAATTTACGTTCGTTTAACGCCTTCGGTGAATGTTAACTAATTTGTCATAATTCGTCGTAATTTGTTGTAATACGGTTTTACATGTCAGATTTCGCAAAACAACGAATTGTATACAATTTGAATCAAGCTTAACTACCACCATGTGACTTACCACTACTGCTTTATTAAACACTGCTCTCAGCCTACACTATGCCATTGCAGCAACGTCGTACCCAGGGTCTTCAATGCAGCTGTGTTTCAGTAGGAAACCGCAAGTTATTAAAGATCATATAGCTATAAGCCATATAGAACCACCGTCTTATACAATTTTTTTTTTAGAAATTTGATTCCACAAAATTTGGTTGAAGCAGCATTGAAATCTGTAAGTGAAGAAACACCTTCTATATATTGTTACTCCATCAATAAATCAAATTGCAATTAACATTATTTGCATTGCATGGTCCCTTTTATAGACGCAGACAGATTACGCTAGTAAATCTATCAACTTTCTTCGAAAAAACACAAGCAGCCCTTCTTCGGCAAAAGATGTGGCCAATCTCCTTAATGACAACACGGTTGTTCCATGGGGTTCCAACAATGGCAAGAATGTGACGATCATCACCAATGACAAAGAATACACATTCTCTGGCACCATCGAGAAGGATGGTACAAATTTTCTAGGCCTGATAGTTTTCTCCATTCTGCTTGGTATGATTCTCAGAAAACTCGGTGAAGATGGTCGTGCATTATTGGAATTCGTCAAGTCCTGGCTACATGTTGTAATGATGCTCGTATCTTGGATTATGTGGTATGTTAATGTTCCAATGTTCCCGGATCAGCTTTTTTCAGTAGTAGATTTAAAAAGATAGTGTTTATACAGAATAAAATCATGCAGTGATATATAAAAGTCGCTCAATTTAGTAATGGCTTCTACATGGTAACTATAGATTTCCAGATAAATAATACTTGATATAATTCTTAATATATAGGGTGTCTCCTCTTGGTATTTTATCTCTAATTGCTGGCAGTTTAGCTGAGGTCGAAGACATCTTAAAGACATTCAGAGATGTAGGCTTGTTCGTCGCTGTAAATTTTGTTGGTTGTTTTATCCAAGCCTTTATCGTTTATCCATCGTTGTATTTTTTCATTGTGAGAAGGAATCCTTTTGCCTATTTGTCTGGTATAGTTCCTGCTATGATCACTGCATTTGGAACATCGTCAAGGTATATCACGTATAATTAAAGGTCATTTCGCCAATGAAGTCTATAACTAGATATAATATTATTTTTGCATCTCATTAATTTCATGTAGTTCAGCTACCCTACCAGTCACTATCCGTTGTGTCACTGAGAACAACAAGGTCGATCGAAGGGTGGCGCAGTTTTGTTTACCAATTGGTGCAACCTGCAATATGGATGGGAGTGCCTTGTACTTCGCTGTTGTCGTTATATTTTTGGCAAACCTCGAGAATATGTCCCTTACATTTGGGGAGATCATTTTGACAGCGTAAGATTATATGGATTTAAAACCTTGTTTACACCGCACTCTGGATTCCGTATATATACCAATTTCATCTGTGCTCGGCCTTTGTTTTGGTAGCCTGAACACAAATAAAATTGGGTACGGGTACCAATTTTAGCCGTGCCGTGCCAATGAATTGAGTCCCATGTAAACGGGGCTTGTGTTTTACATACGCCACGGCTTTCCATACGGCTCTGACTAATTTGTTTACCAAAAGCAGTCTATAATTTTTAAGTTCTGTTGTGAGACTGTCTGTGGAAATGAAGACAGTATTACCTCACGACCGCTTCGTAGATATGATGCATCTTATGGTCCCTAATGCCTTAATACACGTCTACACGCGGCAACCTTTTAAACTCCGTCCACGGTTTTTTTATACGATTGGCATGTGCGATGATAGGGTTTTGCAATGTGTGCAATGCATGTTCACTCTATTGGATGACGTATATAGCAATATTATATATACTAATGTTTTGTACACATTCTTAAATATGAAAATGCTCGTCATATTTCTTTATCTTTATATTTTAAATTATAGTTTACAGCCAAAAGTAAATTAAACATTTAAACCTTTATACTTAACAATTAGTCGCCGAAGGCGAGGTGATTACAAGCCTATATTCACTGAGCCGAAGGCGAAGTGAATATAGGCTTGTAATCACCGAGCCTGAGGCGACTAATTGTTTTAGTATAATTTCAGTATTGAAAAAGTTTTATTTATAAATACAACTGATACACGTGTTTATTTTATGAATATAATTTTGATTTTGAGTATTTTCAGCCATGTTTTTTTGGGGAAAAGCAATAGTTACTGCTCAGACTGCTCTGAGCAGTAACTATTGCCTCAGAGTTACTGCTGAGGGAGCCAATCAGAATGCTCAAAGGCCATTTTTCAATACTGAAATTATACTAATATTATATATTCAGCATGCAATTCACATTGTCAAACTCAGCTTTTTATTGTGGAATTGCATGTTGATGGAATAAAGATTAAGGTTTTACATTGTTAAGAATAGACTAGTGCATCGTATTGACAACGTCTCATATTTTATCTGTATCATAGATTGGTCGCAATATTTGTATCAGCTGGTGCTTCAGGAATTCCAAGTGCGGGATTATCCTACACCATTTTGTGCCTTGAAGCTGTTGGGGTTCCTACGAGATTCATTGGCCTCATCTTTGCTATTGATTGGATTGTGTGAGTTAATGTTTACTTTACTCTTCTTATTACTCTTCTTTTTTATTACTCTTCGCCCCGCTGGTCGAGGTCTTGAGAAGAATGAATGCATAAATTTGGCGAAAATCTTGCTAATTCTTAATCTCTTAAACCTCTTTAACATCATTAGGCTTGTTTCGACATGCACATATAATATATAATAAAATGTTCGTTAACCTTTTTAAAATACCAATTTTTTTATTCCGGTTCACTCCAAAGCTCGACAAAACTATAAGAATATTACTGATATGGTATTATACCATATCAGTAATATTCTAGCTTATAGTTCTGTCGAGCTTTGGAGTGAACCGGAATAAAAAAGAATTAGTATTTTTTACCTTCAGTGAAGCTGCATGAGTATTCATGTGATGACACAGATTTCAGTCGAGGTTCATTTTAAATTGAAATGAGTCGCTCAATGCATGTAATAAATTTGTTCTCCCGTATCAAAATATGCCATTTCGTATGATTTTCTCTCCCATGTCCAAATGTTGAAACGAACGTTTGGTCCACACCATGTATAGATCTATAGCAAAAAGCTTTTAATCTTTATGCACCTATTAAAATCACTGATTAAAATTTATCAGGCAGAACATCGAAAATTACGGTTATGGAAGGTTTTAGTATATTTTCTTCAATTAAGCTCTACTAATTGATTCAGCAGACATATAACCCCTCTGAGGAGAAGGGGTTATGGCATCTTACTGGTTGATCTAACTGAAATTATTACACCTGATGAAATAGACCTTTTTCATAATGATGTCAAAAGTCTGATGTTACACGAAGTTTGATTGGCTCGATAGTTGTGGAGCCAATCAAATTTCGTGTAACATCAAACTTTCCGAGTTTGACATCATTATAAGAAACTCTGAAGGGGTTATGGCATGTCAGAGGATGGATGCATGTCAAGGCGCGTGCATGCTTATAATTAGCTAGCTATTATATTTGTATTGTTTGTAAGCGTTGTATTATTTCTCTCCACCACACAGCGATCGAATACAAACCGTGAATAATGTGATGGGGGACGCCTACGGGGCAGGGATGATCAACCACGTATCCACTGATCTGCATCAACTTCTGGACGATCATGAAACTGAGAGAGATAAAAATGGAACTGCAAACGGAAATCATTTCCTAGCCGGAGAGAACAGTATGACATGCAGTTCCACACGGTTTTAAGACTATTTTTACGTCTTTTTCTATACCAAGCCTTCATCATCGTTTGCTATTTATGCATACACCACCAATGCTTATTCTAGGTTGTGTGCACTTGTGTCACAGAATACCTAACAGAAGTAGAACTCTATACTATTTTTTTCGTAAGTGTGATTCGTCATGATTCGTCACTTAGCAAGTGCATTTTTTTGAGGCTGTCACCCCTCTGCCAATGTCTAAAATCAAGCCATTTTTAGTATTGACAGGGGGGTGACTGCCTCAAAAAAATGCACTTGCTAAGTGACGAATCATGACGAATAACACTTACGAAAAAAGTACAGGAGTTCTACTTCTGTTAGGTATTCTGTGCTTGTGTGCCGTTTTGTGTTTCCGCATACGCTTGGTGCGTCCTCCAGAATGAAATTGCACTCAACGCACACATAAGAACGCTACTTTTAAGAAATCCACTTCAAACCGCTCCGTAAACACGTTAGCAATTCTCGTTTTTTTTAAACGCACATTGCTAATGAGAATTCAAAGTAGCTTATACTCGATAAGTTAAAGGTCTCTTTTTTGTAGCGGTATTGGGTTAAAAAAAGGCAAGGCTTCAAAACCCTTTTTAAAGAATTTGATGAAATGCACTTTTTATAAACGCAACAGCTTAGAAACCACCTTGTTTCCAAGGCGAACGCAAGCACAAAATATTTTTGTTCCTTAGAAACTTCTAAATGTAGCCTCAAACTGTATTCCAGGAGCATAATGTCCCCCCTATAAAAAAACCCTTCAAAAATGAACACGTTGTTCTTAAGTGCAAGATTTATTCTTCTTAGGAGTTCTGAAATGATTTGTAATCGTATCTAGGAGCATGATTGCAATTTTCATAATATGTTAAAGTGATATTATCCATTTATAATAAGTTTTTGCAAATTTAACTTAAATTCCGACTGGAAGCATATCTGCGGTACGAAATATTTTTTTAAAGTATTGGTCAGTGGTAATTATCATGAGCATTTGGGACCTGCCGATCGAAGGACCTGTTGTCATCTTCAGTGTGTCACAGGACAAATAAATTACTCTTTGGGTAGACAATCCATATTTGGAGAGTCGACTGAAGAGAAAATTATGATTGCTGTTCTAGAGAAATAATTAAAATTGCATCTGTCAGTATAATTTAATCGGCGGGCATCACATAAACTACATGGTTTAATTGTCATGGTAATGTGTATGTATCAAATTTTGTATCAATTTTTCAATTCATGATGCCGCAACTTTTGTAAAAAGACACCCCATGGCAATGTTGTATATTAAAATTTAATCAAGGAAATCGCGAGTGTGAGGGAACAAGAAAATACGAAACTTAGCTTAAACGTGCAAACCCAAATACTCCGTTGCGAGCCTGCAGTGTGGTATTCGACTTTATCAAGAAACCTCGTGGAACTAAATAGACGATCGCCTGATCACATGATACAAATCCAGTTTTCTATTAATTTAAAGTTGCTGGAATGCGACTTGCAACTTTTAAATATTATGAAGACATTTGATACCCCATCCTGAAACCAAATAGCAAACAATATTGGATGTTTAGACTATATTTCATCACTGAAACAGCATTTTACTAAACCTGTGATGATATATTTTTAGGAATTCTATTCTATGAGTTACCATTTCATTACCTGGCTGTATTTGTTATTAAATTGGTTCAGTTAAATTGGTGCAATCTGCAATCAGTGCATGGAATGAGAATTTTTTGTTTTTCTATAATCATTTCTTTATATAGACAGCCGAATAGTTCCATACACCATCCTAATATCTTTCACACCCGGGCAGTACGTACTTTATGACCACTCCCTTAGTTTGTATTTTATATAAATACTTCAGAAATATTATATCTATTAGAATATTTCTCTCTATCGTATATGTCTCTATTTATATGATTTTAACTGTAACGCCACTCATTATTGTAAGGCGTATAGCAAGAGAATGACTCCGATGACCTACAAATCGCTGCGAGTCGTGTGTTTTCACCATCTCACGCGTGTTTTGTCGTCTAGAATTTAATGTCCAGTCTCCATATCCTCTCAGACGAGAGTCCAGATTTCAAATTGAGGTGTTTTATAGAAAGTTCAACTGGACGGCTTATAGGTAAAGAGAGACTGGAAGACAAAGTGGACATGCCATATACTGTGGCTAAGTGCGTATATACCCATAATTGGTTGAAGCAGCACCACTGACAGAGCTGAATATCTTAGATACCATTCTCGGTGTGACACCATGTCGGTCGTTATTCAGTTTTCAGACGTTGGTAAAAGTCGAGACGCAGTCGATCATTGAAGCCAATTTCGAAGCACCACAAATCACTGGGCGAGTCTCAAAAATACGCCAAGCGTTGGTGGGAAACGCGCAGTTAATTGCGATTGTCGTGTCAGTTTTTCTTGGTTTCCTGATCGGAATCCTAATACACGATGCAGTTCAAGAATCAACACAGACTGAAAAAGTCGTTATGTACATCAAGTTTCCTGGTGAACTGTTCATCCGTATGTTGCGAATGATAATAATACCCCTCTCCGTCTCTAGTATTGTCGTGGCCTTGGCAGAAATTGATACTGGTTCGGCGGGCAAGCTGAGCAGGAGAACATTTCTTTATTATCTTACGACAACCGTGTTTGCGACAGTTCTCGGACTTGTTCTGGTGAAAGTCATAAAACCTGGCGAAGATAGTAACTCTGAACCTAACGAAGAAAGCGAACCAAGCCAAATCACTACCCTGGATTCTTTTCTCGACCTTTTAAGGTATATATATAAGTAATGTAACCATTTTGTACCACATACGTTTCGTTTAGGCGTAAAGGAAATTAACGGGTTTGCAAGATATAGTTCGTATACCATGCATGGTTTATAGATCAAAGACCATATAACGTAGAGAGTATAGAACCGTCAAACTTTGCTAAATTTAATGTCACCGATGTATAAATTATGGCAATATTTTAACGCAGATAGTTTTTTTTCGGATTACTGCTCAGAAATCCCGAGACACGTCGTAGACGTGATGTATATATAGACTATATATGCATAGTGCATTTACACATGCAATATTTCTCATTTTACCGACCGGGCTTTTGTTGGTCAATAAGCAAGAATTGCACGACATAAAATTACAAAACAAATTTATTTCGGGCCTGATTTTCCATCTTCAGCAAGCCATGCCGAGTTATACAATAGTGCTGAGCCCGAAAGCTGAAATGTTTTGCCTGAAGTAGCTGCACGAAACAGTCGTTTTTAAAAAAAAATAAACCATGCTCGGTAGCCGTTAGACCTTAAAGCCTCGTTATATAACACTCTACTCGTATTTATTGCCACGACACGGCTGAAATGATACCCGTGCCCATTTTATCCATTCGGCTCAGCCTTATTCATTGGTAGCCTGAACACCAATAGGGATGGTACCGTGCCGTGCCAATAAATTGACTGTGGTGTAAACATATACTTAATCCTGGCGGCAATTGTTATTAGGTCACTTGGATGCAATACAAAACAATATACATTATCCTCTTATTCTGATGAAACGTAGGTGTAAAAAAACACAAACTTTTTTAATTTCTTATCATCTTATGTCCGTCATAGAAAATAACAAAGTTGAGTTCTAAGTGTAATCGTTATAAGAAATAAAACCAGATTTAATTGTACTGACTTAATTTGCACTGTGCAACTCTATGCCGTGTAGTCGTATCACTAGTCATTACCATATCTGTAACAAGATTTCGTTGACATATAGAGACATGACAGACTTATCATTTGTCTGTGGATGACGATTGAAAAAAAGCTGATAGAAAAGATTATAAGTTAAGCGCATATTTCCTGTATATAGAGTTAATCCCTTTGTGCGCATACACGAAAAAAAACTGGATCAGTAGGCCTTTTTTCAACGGTTTTTTTCCTTCTGCAGTCGTCAGCCATTATATATTTTTATAAACATAACAGAAGTATGATATAGTTATAAGCTATGATATATATGAAGCGATTTCAGTTTTGGTTTCAGATTTTTAACACAAGCATATCTTCATTGCCCATATCGCGCAGTTTATCTGTGATGAACGCGAAGTAACAAACCAATAATTGACTAGTGAAATACCTGTAGCAAGAATCTGTAAAAAGCAGCAAAATTCTGCCTTCCAAAATATAATTACTAGTGACATTGGCACTTTAATGTAATATTCAGTTTAAGAGAAACGTCGACAAATATTTGAACTGCATGGTTGTGGTGACAGATATTTTGACCGCTTGGCCATTTATCAATCCGCGACTTCGCGGAATAGACATTTTCAGTTTAGGAATTTTTATTGAGTGTTTTTTTATTCCATCACAATGTGGCGCTTCTGTCGACATTTTTAGTATAACACAGTTGACCTTGGATATAATGTGTAGGGTACGCGAATATTTTCCCATTTTTTATTCAATAATCCGTGACTTCGCATGGAGCGTTGATTGGGTTTTTTTTCTACATTCCATCTCAGTGTGGCTTTTCTGTTGGCATTTTAGGCTGAACACAGTTGACCTTGGATTACTTTATTTCTAAAAGCTCGTGATTAGGCCGTTACATGCATGAACGTTACTATTTCTCACTGTCATTAATTTAGCCTGCATGGTTTTCACTGAGTCAAGGACGTCTGGAATTATTAATTACACTAGATATTTACTAAACAATTTTCGGTCCATTACTGTGCTGGTGCTACTCTGTCTCTCTGAGTTACCCGGCAAAATCCGCATCTCATAATTTGTTGTATTTCGCACATATGAAAATATGGGTTGATTTCAATTCCATTGGGGCTTTTCAATGTTGAGGTTGTTAAACCATATGTCACATAGCTTTTTGCGCTCATGTAATGAGAACTGCATTAGTTTTCATGACTTTACAAGATAATATCGTAGAATTGCAAGGCCACAGGCATATGATTTCATTAACCTCCTATTTCGGTAAGAATTTTTACAAAATTTTACATCATAAATGTTTTCGTATATTTCTATATTGTTTTTTGAAAGTTGGTTCTGTGACAAGAATACATTTGTACATGCACGGTTTGCATATATAACACATAATTCGTAATTTGTTGTAATTCGGTTTTACAGATTTGTCAGGTTTGTCCAGGTTTTTACAGGTTTGTCAGATTTCGCAAAACAACGAACTGTATGCAATTTGAATTAAGCCCAGCTACCACAATGTTACTTACCACTACTGCTTTAATAAATACTGCTCTCAGCCTATACTATATATGTCATTGCAGCAACGTCATACCCAGGGTCTTCAATGCAGCGAGTTATTAAAGATCATATAGCTATAAGCCATATGGAACCACCGTCTTATACAATTTTTTTTTAGAAATTTGATTCCACCAAATTTGGTAGAAGCAGCATTGAAATCTGTAAGTGTAGAAACACCTTTAAGAGTTTCTATATATATTGTTATTCCATCAATAAATCCAATTGCAATTAACATTATTTGCATTGCATGGTCCCTTTTAGACGCAGACAGATTACGCTAGTAAATCTATCAACTTTCTTCGAAAAAACACAAGCAGCCCTTCTTCGGCAAAAGATGTGGCCAATCTCCTTAATGACAACACGGTTGTTCCATGGGGTTCCAACAATGGCAAGAATGTGACGATCATCACCAATGACAAAGAATACACATTCTCTGGCACTGTCGAGAAGGATGGTACAAATTTTCTAGGCCTGATAGTTTTCTCCATTCTGCTTGGTATAATTCTAAGAAGACTGGGTGAAGATGGTCGTGCATTATTGGAATTTGTCAAGTCCTGGCTACATGTTGTAATGATGCTCGTATCTTGGATTATGTGGTATGTTAATGTTCCAATGTTACCGGATCAGCTTTTCTCAGTGTTTGGTAGAAAAAGTCCCTAAATGTAGTTAAAAATGAATTAAAATAGCTTCTATAAAAGTTTCTTAAATTCGTGTTGGAATCACACGCAACTCCAATTCAAGATTCTTTTAGAAATTATCCCACATCGAATGCCACAAAGTGGTAATTATGGAATGGCTTCTCTATGTTAACTAGATTTCCAGATGAATAATACTTGATATAATTCTTAATATATAGGGTGTCTCCTCTTGGTATTTTATCTCTAATTGCTGGAAGTTTAGCTGAGGTCGAAGATATCTTAAAAACATTCAGAGATGTAGGCTTGTTCGTCGCGGTAAATTTTATTGGTTGTTTTATCCAAGCCTTTATCGTTTATCCATCGTTGTATTTTTTCATTGTGAGAAGGAATCCTTTTGCCTATTTGTCTGGTATAGTTCCTGCTATGATCACTGCATTTGGAACATCGTCAAGGTATATCACTAGATATAATATTATTACTGCATCTCATTAATTTCATGCAGCTCAGCTACCTTACCAGTCACTATCCGTTGTGTCACTGAGAACAACAAGGTCGATCGAAGGGTGGCGCAGTTTTGTTTACCAATTGGTGCAACCTGCAATATGGATGGGAGTGCCTTGTACATCGGCGTTGTCGTTATATTTTTGGCAAACCTCGAGAATATGTCCCTTACATTTGGGGAGATCATTTTGACAGCGTAAGATTATATTGATTAAAACCTAGCTTGTTTACACCTTACTTGGGGTACGGTATATACCAATTTCATCTGTATTCGGCCTTTGTTTTGGCGCTAATGAAATTGGGTACGGGTACCAATTTTAGCCGTGCCGTGCCAATAAATTGAGTCTTATGTATAAGGGGCTTTTGTTTTACATACGCCACGGCTTTCCATTTGGCTCTAACTTTGTTTACCAATTAAAAGGAGTCTATAATTTTTTAGTTCAGGCAGTATTACTTCATGACTGCGTCGTAGATTTGATGCATCTTAAGGTCCCTAATGCCTTATTTAATAAACGGCAACCTTTTAATCTTGTCGATTGGCATGTGCGATGATAGGGTTTTTAAAAATTGCGTGCTTTGCATGGTCACTCTATTAGATGCATGACTGATATAGCAATATTATATATATATACATATATATATATTATATATATATATATATATTATAATATATATATATATATATATATATATATATATATATATATATACTGTTTCGTGCACATTCTTAAATATGAAAATGCTCGCCATCTTTATCTTTTTAAATTATAGTTTACAGCCAAAAGTAATGCATGCAATTCACATTGTTAAACTGTTTTCATCTTGCAATTCACATTGTTAAACTGTTTATTGTGGAATAACTGGAATTGCATGTTGATGGAATGAAAAGGTTTTACATCGTTAATATAGTAGACTAGTGCATCGTATTGACAACATCTCATATCATATCTGTATCGTAGCTTGGTCGCAATATTTGTATCAGCTGGTTCTTCAGGAATTCCAAGTGCGGGATTATCCTACACCATTTTGTGCCTTGAAGCTGTTGGGGTTCCTACGAGATTCATTGGCCTCATCTTTGCTATTGATTGGATTGTGTGAGTTTATGTTTACTTTATTCTCTTTTTACTCTTCATTTTACTCTTCTTTTTTATTACTCTTCTCCCCGTTGGTCGAGGTCTTGAGAAGAATGAATGCATAAATTTGGTAAAAAATAAAAATCTTGCTAATTCTTAATATTCTAAACCTCACTTATTATCATTAGGCTTGTTTCGACATGCACATAATATAAACAAGACGCCTGCTCAAGGCGTTCGCTCCGCCTGCATGCCAACTGATGTTCATAATTCATCCGTGGACCGTGTAACCCAGGGCTTCTCGGTCAGAAATGAAGTTGTTTTGGGTTACCTGTAGAAATGCCAACTTCTGTTGCCCAAAACTACTACGACGACTACTAAAAGGAAAAAAGACCATGGCATTTTAAGACTCCGCTGTGCATACGCAGGCGGAGTAAAAATGTTCGTTAACCTTTTTAAAATACCATATCAACAATATTCTTATAGTTTTGTCGAGCTTTGGAGTGGACCGCCGGAATAAAAAAGAATTGGTCCCCACGATGTATAGATCTATAATAAATTGGCATAAAAAGATTTTAATATTTATGGGGCTATGGCATGTCAGAGGATGGATGCATGTCAAGGCGCGTGCATGCAGTTATAATTAGCTAGCTATTATATTTGTATTGTTTGTAAGCGTTGTATATTATTTCTCTCCACCACACAGCGATCGAATACAAACCGTGAATAATGTGATGGGGGACGCCTACGGGGCAGGGATGATCAACCACGTATCCACTGATCTGAATCAACTTCTGGACGATCATGAAACTGAGAGAGATAAAAATGGAACTGCGAAAGGAAATCATTTCCGAGCCGGAGAGAACAGTACAACATGCAGTACCACACGGTTTTAAGACTATTTTTACATCTTTTTCTATACCAAGCCTTCGTCATCGTTTGTTATTTATGCATGCACCACTAATCCTTATTCCAGGCTGTGTGCACTCGTGTGCCGTTTAGGGTTTCCACTACGCTTGGTGCGTCCTCCAGAATGATATAGCACTCAGAGTGATATTGCACACATAAGAACGCTACTTAAACACGTTAGCCGAGAACCGCTCCGTAAACACGTTAGCAATTCTCGTTTTGTTAAACGCACATTGCTAATGAGAATTCAAAGTAGCCTACTCGATAAGTTAAAAATCTCTCTTTTGTAGCAATATTGGGTTAAAAAAAGGCAAGGCTTCAAACCACCTTTAAAGAATTCGATGAAATGCACTTTTTATAAACGCAACAGCTTAGAAACTACCCGGCTTGTTTTCAAGCGAAGGCAAGCACAAAATATTTTAGTTCCTTAGAAACTTTTCAATTTTCATAATATGTTATTAATGTTAATAATTATAAGTATTATCAATTAATCAAAAAGTTTCTGCAGATTCAACTGGAAGCATATTTGCGGTACGGAATATTTTTAATGTATTAGCCCGCGAGTTTATAGCCGTGAGGAAATATGCTTGCTCAGTGGTAATTATCTCATGAGCATTTGGGACCTGCCGATCGAAGGACCTGTTGTCATCTTCAGTGTGTCCATGTTCTAGAGAAAATAATTAAAATTGCATCTGTCAGTATAATTTAATCTGCGCGCGTCACATACACTACATGGTTCATTTGTTATGGTAATGTGCAATCTCGAAACCAGAGCCCGCGATCCCCCGACTCCTTCCCCCGATGGATCGCGGGCTCTGGTTTCGAGATTGGGTAATGTGATGCGAACTTACCAGTGTTTATTACTTTCACTCTGGTTTTTCTAAGAAGTGTCTCGTTGATTCAAAATAATAAGAAATGAATGTCCCAAATAAAGAGCTATATTCACTGGAGATTTCGCCACGGAAAGCGGACAACGATGCCTTGGACTGAAGCTCAAAAATGCAGACTTGTAACGGAGAAAAGCATGCTGGAGTATTACTTTCCTGGGGCTGTGAAGTGGATTGATCCAGCTGAATATACGAAAGTAGAAGTGACACTGCACACCAACAATGACAACAAATACACACTGAGAGTTTACATTGAAAATTTTCCTAACGCACTTCCAGATATGGTTGTCGTTTCTTCGCCTGCTCCTATGCCAGACTGGGGAAGTAGTGCTGTTACTCATACTTTTGATAAACGCGACGGCTGCCTGAAAATTTGCCATTGCCACAGGGGCAATTGGACAGATCGGTTGTCGTTGTATGAAGTATTCATGAAAGGAAGAATTTGGCTTGAAGCTTATGAAGGTCATTTGAGAACTGGAGAGTCCATGAATTACTTTCTCAAGCAAATGAAATAAGAACGGAATTTCAGTTGACGTTGATGTTTTTTAAGTGTTCATGCAGACAAAATCCCATATTTCGTTTTAAATTTTGCTAGCTGCTATGATATATGTTGACAATACTGATAATATTATACTCATAGATAATAATTTATTTTACCTCTTGTGAACGGTCTGAGCTTGTTTCACTTGGTAATAAATACTTTATCTATGACGGTGCTATATATGACTGCTATTGACGTGAAATCGTATCGTATCGTGTATGCAAATTAATATAATCAGATGTCACATAATCACCTTGAGTTAAAGACCTCACGAAGTGGCTGTTATCTCAGCAAGTTACTCTCGTCAGTCTCGTGTGCGGACGATTTTCTGCTTGAGCTAACTGCCTCGCGAGGTCGTTAGCTCAGCTGATAGCTCTCGTGTGCGGCGGGTTAGTGGTTACTGGCTCAGGAAATGTAGGAAATGTTCAGTTTATCATTCAATTTTTACCGCAAAAGGCAAATTTTTCATTTCGTCCTGTACGAAAACGTTTCGTGTCATAACAAATGAGCTTACCAAACCACTTAGCAGTCTGAACTTGTTTCAGTTTTGAGTAAAATAAGTGAATAATAAAATGTCAGCCATGCAATATTAAATCGTTGTCGCAGAATTCACTGGCTTCGCGTTTAGCACTGAAATTGAGTTAATTGACCTGCACACGCTGGTTTTACTTCCTACTTTAAACAATGATATCTGATTTTACTGCTCGTTCACACTCGACTTATACACACAATATATGTATTTATTTTTTTTCTTGCGGTCCGAATTCATATTTTAGCGTTGGCTCTGTGCTTTTAAATCACGCGTGGTCCGTACGGCCTCATACGGACAGCTCGCGTAGCCATGCAATCAGATTGCAGGAAACGCTAAAATATGAATTCGGACCGCAAAAAACAAATAAGTATATGTAGTCCCGTGAACTCACGGAGTAAATTTCTATTCTGCTTCTATCAAGAGGAAGATTTTCCTGAGTGTAAACTAAGTGTATATACATGTATATTGTGTGGAGATTGTATGATGTCGTTTTATTTTGTTTGAAAGGGCTGGTGTAATTGGCGTGAACTGCATGTAGCAATACTCTGCCTCGATTATCAGTTTGTGAATATTCATGTTTTGTATTAATTTTGTGCTCTTCGTGTTTGTATTACTGTATCTTGTATTCAAGTGGCAAAGCAAAATAAATAAAAAAATAAATATAACTCAATCCAACGATCTATAATACAGTTTTACCGTTAACTCTGACGCATTTTCATAACATTTACCTCAAAACTACTATTTGGCACAACCAAAATACTTTGGCGAACATACCCGTAAAAAATCGTCATTTTTATATAACAACGATATTAATGAAATATTTCTGACTGTTAGAATATTGGTCCAGTATATGTAGGGGCATTTTAAAATTTCAAAATTTAAGTCAAATTTTCCATCTGACTTTCAAAATTGTAGGTAGTACAGCGTGTTGGCAGGTAGTACAGCGGTTGGTAGGTAGTAAAGCGTATAGAAGCGTGAAATTCGAGTTTGAATTGAGTGGATGAAATGAACCTGCACTAGCAGTGTTTTACCAACAAAAATAGCTATAAACTTGCCAACAAAATTAGTCACGCATAACTGGATCATGCATGTAAATACCTTGAGGCCTGGGTTATACGTCGCATTTTGGTCGCATCGAATGCAATTCAAACAATAGATAATGATATGGGTCTATGAGCTCATTATCTATTGTTTGAATTGCATTCGGCGCGACGAAAATGCGACGTATAAACTAGGTCTGGGGTATCTTATTGGTACGGCAAACAGTCCCTCGTAAGTTAAACTTGAAAGGTCCGTGTAGTCTTACGTAGAGATATAAAGTGTTTGCGTGTATGTCTGTTGCAATTGGCTGAATACGTATACGTGTTTCCACTCGCATAAATACCATGAATATTTAACAAAGCCTTGTTGTTAACTTGTTAGCGCAGACAATTGTTCAGGTGTGCAGCAGGTTCTGAACTAAATACTTCTCGTTATATAAAGATGCAGTTTCTAGCTAATAATCGAGGTGAAAATCTAAATTTCGAGGATGTTGAAGCAAACTTGGAAGTATCGGAGATTAGAACCAGTCGAATTTCAAAAATACGCCAAGCGTTGGTGGGAAACGCACAGTTAGTTGCGATTGTCGTGTCAGTTTTACTTGGTTTCCTGATTGGAATCCTAATACACGACGCAGTTCAAGAATCAACAGAGACTGAAAAAGTCGTTATGTACATCAAGTTCCCCGGTGAACTGTTCATCCGTATGTTGCGAATGATAATAATACCCCTCACTGTCTCTAGTATTGTCGTGGCCTTGGCAGAAATTGACACTAGTTCGGCAGGAAAGCTGGGCAGGAGAACATTTCTGTATTATCTTACGACAACCGTTTCGGCAATAATTATTGGACTTGTACTTATGAATATTTTACGACCTGGAGAAGACAGTACCAGTCGCGCTGAAAATGAAGAAAACAAACGGAATCAAGTTACTGCACTGGATTCATTTCTCGACCTTTTAAGGCAAGCATTTTAGTTGTGTCAAGTGATATATACATGCAGGGTGTCCCAAAAAAACCAAAGCTATTTAATTCATCTATTGTTAAAATTTGAATGACTTGTTCGCGAATTTTTGCTCGTGGGGATTAACTTATAAAATGCTAAATAGGATCACAAAGGTTTAAAATTTGCTTGAGGAGAAGGGCTGAAGGACATGGTGCTTGAGTGGTAAATTTAAATATTGTTGTCCATATTTGTAGTGTCATATATAAATGTAAATATTGTTGTACTAAAAATCATTTGTGGATACAAGCAAATTTCACTGTCTTGCATCATGCATAAAATGCTTATGTCAAACATTTATTTATACATTTTTGGGTCCCAACAGAGTGCTTAGGCATTCAAACTCCAGCTACTACATTGTTATGGCTGATTTCAATGGTTTTGGGTTTTTTGGGGACAACCTGTATAATATATTAGATTATTTGGAATGTGCCAAACTCTATGATTTACATCAGTTCGATATTGCAGATAACATTTTATTGCCTGTGGCCATGTTTTTTTCTGATGCTTGAAATGTCACTAAAGTCTAAAGGCCCACGCGATTTGGCAACGCGGCGCGAATTTTCAAAATTTTTAATTTTCCAAAAGCAAATGACCTATCAAATACCTTTTCCAAAAGCAAACAAACTATCATAATATTCTTGCAGATTACGGTAATGCATCGTCTATATATTGGCGTCTATATATTCCAAAATTTGCTTCCATGCAGGGTTTAATTTATATGCTTTCAAAAACTTAAATTTCGCTTCGCGTTGAAGGGAATTCGCTACGGTTGAATTTTCACAATTCACAAACTGAATTTCGCTCGAATTCCGCCGAATGGAAAACCGCCTTTTCAGGCCCACACAAACTGGATGCGATTCGCTAACGCGACGCGAATTTTCCATTTTCAGAAGCAAACAATCTCAATTCTGAAAGAAAATTTTGAGCCGATATGGGTACCACACTAGTCAAAATGTATTATCATTCAGTAATTACCAAGAATATCGGAGCATTGTCAAAGTTCAGTAGCAGCTTTTGAAAACTGAAAAATTCGTAAAAATCGCGTCGCGTTGGCAGATAGCGTCCGGTGTTTGTCAGCCTTAAAGGCCCACACACAGACAGGACGCGAATGGCATGGTAGAAAACACGGTAACGGATAGCCGGATAACCAGATAACTGGATAGCCGGATAACCGGTACTCTAGTAACTGATCATTGATAAATATCAATGTTCGATATCGAAATAAAGATTATGGACAACATTTCTAGTCTGAACGGTAAATTAGCTTGACGTCCTTAAGTCCGGCTTACGCTTCGCGTCCGGTCTGTGTTGACCTTAAGGCCTATGGGTTATACGTCGCATTTTTGTCGCGTCGAATTCATTCAAACAATAGATGAGATGATAAGCCTGTAAAATGCGACGTTCAACCTTAGTCTGAGATTAAAAGGAGACCCTTTTCGGCTATGGAATTCACCTGGGTGCGGTTGTTATACAGTGTGTATCAAAAAAGCGAAACCTTAATAATTCCTAGGGCTCACGATCTTTTGTGAATGAATACAAGCGAACATAATGAATATTAAGTGTGGTTGTAGTTTTTTTATACACCCTGTATATGTAGAATTTGAATGGCCTATCATCTACAGGGTGCATAAAAAACGCAACCATGCACTTAAATACTCATAATATTCGATCTTTTGTGATCGAATAGACACAATTTATGAATATTTAGTGTTGCGTTTTTTTATAACCCTGTATAAGATCTCTTAAAGAGTGAACGCTTGAAATCACTTAGAAGTTGGAACTTGGAAGTTTTAAGGCGGTCCATCACTACTGTATAGCTACAGAATCCTTCACATAAAGTATGGGTTTTGGCTTGCCCCAAGGGTCACAAAAACGTTTATTAAGGCGGGTTTTCATAATGACATTATTCATAATTCTTCCTCGTAACTCACATGACATAATCGTTGTAATTCGTTGCCTGCGAAATCCGAAATCAGAAAACCGAATTGCAACAAATTAAAAGGCTTTAAACTGGTGTTTATGTTGCGTGTAAATCCTATTCATCCGTGCAAAAAGTTTACTCAAGTATTTTCTTGTAGAAATTTAATTCCTAAAAATTTGGTGGAGGCAACTTTAAAATCTGTAAGTAAAGTTATGTGTGGTTTATGTAACGTTTGTGTGAATATTATTCGCCTTGGTCGCTTCAGTCTATTGTTGAAGACAAGTATATTAATGAATATTTAGTGTTACGTTTTTCTTGCGTTGTTTAAAGCCCCGTTTAAGCCCCGCGTTTACACTACACACGATTTATCGGCACTGCACAGTCCGTGCCCATTTCATCCGTGCTCGGCCTTTGTGTTGGTAGCCTGAGCACTAATAAAATTGGGTACGGGGACCAATTTAAGCGTGCTGTGCCAACAGACTGCATAGTGTAAACGGGGCCTAAAATTACGCCTGGTTTCCATAGACGCCTACGTCGGCGAAGTAATATTGTCGGTGATTATTAATGAGTGAAATCTTTTGTCTTTCTGAAAATGTTCTTCTTGGATAATTACAGACAATGAGTCGGCGACAGGTCGGCGTCATATGGAAACAAGGCTTAAAGCCTAAAGTTTCGTTTACACGGTACCCGGACTCGCTTGTCAAGAGATCTTCGTTTGCCGTTATAGAGAAACGATTAGTAGCAAATGCTATGGATTTCGTAGTTTTGGTATATTTATCATCAAATATCTTTACTGCATTTTAATACGTACAAAATTTGCCCTATTCCCATAACCGAATCATCATCTTTATACAAGACAGATCATTTTTATAAGCATTATGGAAAATGTAAATTAGCGCCTCGATAATTAGATAGGTGTGATTGATGAGTATTCGTTATCTATTTCACTATGATCGTCCCTCACCAAATCGGTCATTGCAATTCAATTCGAAATTTAACTGGACAAATATTTTTAGACCCAGACAAACTACGCTGGTACTTTGAACAAGTTTGTTCTAAAAAACAAAACAATTCCCTCGTCGGCTAAAGCTGTTGCCATTCTCCTGCAAGACAATACAGTTATTCCTTGGAGTGCTATAAATGGAAAGAACGTGACAATCATCACCAGCAATGTGGATTACAAATTTTCTGGCACAGTTGACAAGAATGGTGCCAATATCATTGGTCTAATCGTGTTCTCGATTCTTCTTGGTGTGATTCTGAGAAAGTTGGGTAAAGATGGTCGCGCATTGATGGAATTCATCAGGTCCTGGTTGAACGTTGTAATGATGCTTGTATCGGGGATTATGTGGTACGTTTTATATGTGCGGAGTGCCTTCTGTTTTGTACGATCTAACGTCGATGTTTGTTTCTACTTATGCTTTAGGGTTTCTCCTATTGGTATTTTATCTTTAATTGCGGGAAGCTTAGCTGATGTTGACGACGTCGCAAGAGCATTCAAAGATGTTGGTTTGTTCCTTGCAATCAACTTTATCGGTTGTTTTATCCAAGCCTTGTTCGTCTATCCATTATTGTATTTTTTCATTGTGAGAAAGAATCCATTTACTTATTTGTCTGGTATAGTTTCCGCTTTGATCACTGCGCTTGGAACATCATCAAGGTACATGCCATAGTGTTTAGTACGAAACCAAATATTTACTCTACGAACTCAAATGACCAACGTAATGAACATCAATTAATTAATTAAACAATTTGTGCTGTTCCTCCCCCTGGATATAGTCAATTTAATATATTTTTGCAATTGTACGTTGGCAAGGTATTTGAAGCAATTTTTTTAATAATCGTCTTGTGTTTTGCTCTGGATGTAACTGTTAACACTTTTTATATAGTTCAGCTACCCTACCAGTCACTATCCGTTGTGTCACTGAGAACAACAAGGTCGATCACAGAGTGGCGCGGTTTTGTTTACCAATTGGTGCAACCTGCAATATGGATGGGAGTGCCTTGTACTTCGCAGTCGTTGTTTTGTTCATGGCGAATCTCAATAAAATGTCCCTAAACTTTGGGGAGATCATTTTGACAGCGTAAGAACTTTTTTTCTCTTCAATTTTTTATTGGTTTGCATCGCGTAATATAATTTCCTTGCTTGTTGTAACTTGCCTACCCGGTGTGACCATAGAAAACTAGGGACCAGTGATTTGTGATTCCCCGGAGAGAAGGGAAGAAGCTGCCGGAATCAGACAAGCCTGTGGATTAATATGGCGAGAATGGGCGTGGGCCCCTACGGAAGCTAGTGATACGATAAAGGGATTGGGACCAGTGGAACCTTTACAGAGAAAAGAGGCTAGAATTTGAGAGAACGAGTAACAATAGAGTGCAATTGATGTGTGAGAATTGAGAAGCTGAAAACAGTAAATCTACTAATAATATGGCAAGAATGAGTGAGGAGCCACAGGGAACATTTCACCTTTCCATCTTCAGCCTAATTTACACTGTAATTGTCCTGGAATTAATATTATTTAACAATAATATTAATAAAAAGAACAATTTTCCTACATGCACATACAAATATATATTTTCGTTCCATTTTGTAGCTTGGTTGCAATATTTGTTTCAGCTGGTTCATCAGGGATTCCAGCTGCAGGATTATCCTACACTGTTTTGTGTCTTGAAGCTGTCGGAATCCCAACTAGATTTGTTGGTCTTATCTTTACCATCGATTGGATTATGTGAGTATGGTTGTAAACCTTTAGGAAGATAGCTTTAGATATAACTTTTACTCGAACTAGAAGATTCTCTTCTTTAAAAGCTAAACGGGGGTGTATACCGCTCATTTCGACAGCTGGTTAGCAATCCTAGGTAAATGCAAATAAGCAGATCGAAATTATTCCTGGTTAAATAGAAGTGTTATTTCAAAAATTTTGAACAGACAGTAGCAGCGGCCAGACCTGTTTCGGAGAACACCGCAGAAATGGGTTTTTATGAAGTTCTAACTTTAAAAAGTTCAATTCTTCTGCTGAATACGCTTTCGGGGATCACCAAGTTTGAAGTGTTACAAAATTTTTGCGGTGTCTTCAGGAGGAACATGCCATGCCAGAAAATGTGTACTAGTAAACATTGTACTATAGTTACTGTTATATATGTTTCAATTAGTCTAATTCGTAGTTGGTGATTAATGGATGATCATCAAATACTTTTTCCCCCAGTGATCGTCTTTGCACTGTGATGAACGTGATGGGAGACGCGTATGGTGCAGGAGTGATAAACCACCTCTCCACTGATCTGCATGTCGGGTACATGGATGACGAACAAGAAGCTGAAAACAACATAATCCTAGGTGACACAACAAGCTTCTAGGTGACACAACAAGCTTCTAAACTCTAAACCAGTTTAATTACTTATTAACACTTTTTTGGGCTATTACATACATTTTGGTACCGTAGGGTTCTTTACGTTTAATTTTGTGAATCATTCTCAGTTTCCTGGCTATAGATACCGTTCCATCATTGGGATTTATTCACGCGATTTGCTAATGAGGTAATTCTTTTAAAGTAATAACGTTCATATCAATTATTTGACTCGGCACATCAAAAGTTCGACGTCTGAGACTATACACGGTAACGTTTTCGAGCGTTTTCATTTTCGTTTTCCCGCCAAAACGGTTTCAAACATCGTCAATTTACAATAGAAGTTGAAGCTAATCTAACATATTGAGCATATTTTCCGGCCCTTCGTGTGGACAACGCGTCAAAGCAAAAATATAGATAAAAACGATTTTGAAAAGGCTCGAAAACAACGCTCGTGTGTCTGAGGGGCTGTTTACATGACCCCGAACCAAGATTTAAGGAAACGTAATAAATTACTTTAAGGTATTGCAATAAGTAAATAACCTGATTCTGATAGTCGTGTAGTCACCCTAACAATACCGAGCATGTGCTTGTTTCAAAAAGACTAATTTTAATACCTCATCCCACGTTTCGTTAAATTTTGGGTAACCGGGCTCGTGTGAACAGGTTCCGTTTTTTCATGTGAGAAACCGAATTAATGAACTCTGTATATACGAGCTAGGTCTATAGCTATGATATATAGTCAAGTGAGGACGAGATAGACGCATGATTTAAAGCCTGTCTCACAAGGAGTGTACCCAAAATTTCCATCGCAATCTTAGGATGATTCTTCTTGCAACAAAGATCTATAACTCTCTCCCATTTTTCAGGATTCATCTCATCCGAGTATCTCTCGTTATATATAAGATCACTCATAGAATGCTTAAGCCCCTTTGCGTGGTAAACGCCAGTGGAATAGACGTGTTCGAGAAATGAAATAAGAATGCTTGTATTGTTTTGGAGTAAGATTTGAACGATGCAACAAAAAGATATTCCGCTTTCAATCTTTTTCGCGTTCAGGTTTGCTTCAAGCAACATTATTGCATAGAAAACTGTGGGGTTTGATTCAAGGATTGCTTTGTAGTCAGAGAAACTGAAACCTCCGTTGGATCGTCCATATTCAATAACTGCATGGTGTTTTCCTTGCTTTGCTAAGGTGTTGGCAACCTCACGATGAGCTGCAAACTTTCGATAAATTCCCTCAGCAATTGCTTGGCATTTGCAAGAACAATCACCACTGCAATGACACCAATTTACTAGCAGGTCAGCTAAAGGTATTGATGTTTCTATACAAGGATGATTGAGCCAATGAATAGCTAGGTTTAACCCACTCTCTCGCAAAGCACAATCAATACATTCTAATGACATAACAGGTGACAATTTAATTGTTTCAGATTCAACAACACTCGTAGTCATTAGCGCTTCACAATAAAGGAATAATGGTGACTTTGCTCCATCGAAAATTTCTACCTCTTTGAATTTCTGCATTGCTTGCGGTGTACGTAATATTGCCATAGGCGAGGTTGCTGCATGAATGGCTGCTGTTTCATACTGTGCAAAATCAAAGAGATTGTTGAAATGTTCAATGTAAGAAACAAGTCTCTCAGATTCCTTTTTCTTCAATGGATCATCATCATCTGCAGAAATAAGTTGTTGTAATGGGTCGTACTTCCGGGATGAATCCATTTTTTCATAATCATTTACTGCTTTTAATATAACATCAGCCAGCTCCTTTTTTAGAACTTTGTTTGATCGTTGCATGGTGGATTTTGCAGTCTATAAAAGCATCATCCAAATTTAAATAATTTATATGGAAACAAAGCTAATATATATGCCATCCAAAAATTATGCATGAAAATTGGGGGGGGGAGGACTAAATATTCATATATTCTGTTCTGCTCTGTTCATTTCATTTCTACTTTTCACAGTCATATATAATTAAATGAAGAAGTGAAGAAAACAATTAATGTTATACAATTAACATGAAATGCACCATAGGCAACAGGCCATACCTCAACAGCAACAGTTAACTTTCCAAGGTTTTCCCTCAATGCTTTATTATACCGGCTAACATGATTATGCGACTTCTCTCTTTCCTGGAGGTCTTTCTCCAACAACACTTTTCGCCCCTTAGGGGAAAAATTTGTCGTCATATTTTGCTGCATGGATTTAACATTGGCCTGAAGTTTTTCCAGTGCAGATTTTAGGACATCAACGTCAAATTGCTCCTCCATTTTTAAACCCGGTAATACAAGTCGGGATTGTTTCAACGAGTCAGCATTCATAGCAGAACATGCTTCTAAACATGCTTCCACCTTTTCTGCCTCTGAACGGTTTTGTTTTGTCCTCAGTTGCTCATTGTTAGCCTTAATAACTTTTGCTTTGTATTCCAGGTCTTGAATTCTCTTCTCATAGTTTTCCATTGTGATTTTTTCTCCAACGACGCATTTCAAATCCCTCGAAATATAAGCCCTCTGTTGTTCTCCTTTCTCAACTGCCTTTATGACCCCAACGTACTCTGCATTGATGTTTGCCAGAAGAGGCTTGAAACTTACGCATTCCTCTATCAAAATATCAAATGCTTTCCTATATACGCCAAACCTTTCCTTTCGGGATTCAGGGTCTTGTAATGATTTTGTTTCTTCATGGATGAATTTCTCGATATCTTGTACATGTCGGTCAACAAAACGTCCGTCGTGAACATCACAACTGCACAAACGAGGAGAAATTGGCGGCAGAGACTCTCGAGACTTCTCGCTGTATTTGCTTCTTCTAGAAGCTGCAGACATAATGTTCTAGTTTATCTTCGATTACAGAATAAAAATTAGAACAACATTATATATCACTATGAGTTCTAATTTTACAATCTTCGTATTTGGGTAAATTTGCTACAAGGAGGGAAATATAGTGTTACCATGGTGATCAAACACATCAATGAGCCGGCGACTATATTAGTGAGCTATATTGAAATTCCTGGAGGACTTGCCCGCCTCAAATGCTAATACACCAAATTGAAAGGAGGTTTTAAGGAGCTAGTAACACATTCATCACTACGCATCACTAAAATAAGGCAGTTTTGGTGAAGGGTACATAGATGCAAGCAACATAATTGGAAGAGGTGCACACAAGGAAATTTCTTAGTCTCACAGTGGAGTATTAAACTGGAGTTGCTGTATAGTGTATACCAACATAGTGGTTTGATCGAGGAAGACCAATCAACAGAACCAAATTATGGCAGACATGGAGAGTCTAATGAACCAACTACATGCTACATGGACAAGGTAGCAGCATCTGCTGTTATCAACTGCAGTGATGGCAAGGTAAATAATCACAAAACTGAGGGGGAATGGGGGAAATGTGACATCCCCAATAATTCATCTTAAAAAGTTTGTTATTGGTAAAAAAAATACAGCATCAAGTTCAAGTAAATTCCTCGAATATGGAACACATGCTGGATTATTTCTGAATATTTATAGTTATACATCCTCAAAATATGGCTCTAGAATATGTATGAATGTAGAAGCTTGGAATTTGAAACATTGTTTTTGCCCTGTACCAGCCATGGTATAGATACATTCCCTTCTCTATTGTAGTATTTAATATACAGCTTCTACAATGTGTAATGTTTTGTGTAATGACTTTAAGAGATACATTCCCTTCTCAAAGGATCTATATTAGCATAAATATTTATGTTATAAATTAAAGTGTATTTAGTCCAAAATCTGGCAGAAATCTACCATGTGTAACGCCCACTTTACTGATACATTTGTATCAGTCTGGATACACCCCTTAAAAATCAACATGCCATTGTTGATGAGTATGTTGCGGTAGTGGTTGCCATTGTTGCAGTAGTGGTTGTGTTGTATTTCCCAAACTCTCTAAACTCTCTAAACTTTCTACTATTCCTTTTCGAGAATGTAGCATGGGTCTCTCCAAATCTCTTACCAACTTTTATTCAGATGTTTTTATTAATTAATTGTTAAATGAGTATATTATTGATTGCAAATACAATTAAAATTTAACCATATTAATTAAGTAAAACCGTAAAATATGAAAACTATATTGTTATATATCTCAAGCGTTACTATATTACTCACAGGTAAGATATATAAAGATTGGAAAAGAACTAAACATTCGTCAAGAAAAGTGACGTGCTTAAATATTTTTACTATCATTGCATATTTTTACCTTGTAGTCAGAAATTTTTTAGTGCTGCATCTAATTGCATCTAAAATTAAGAAAATCATACTTATCAAAACATTGAATTGCATCTTCAACAACATAAATGCGTTTGAAAAACTATTGTGCGAAATGGTCGCGAAATCGAGCATTTTCGCGAAAAAATACTATTAAAGCGAATTTCATATAAACCCTTCGCACATGACGTCACAGAGGAAAAATGAATGTTACATATAAACTTTGCAAATAACGTATTCTTGGTCAAATACAGAAGAAAATTGCTTCGTTATGGGTTTAAGAACATTTGCCGTTCGCATAACAACTGATTCATTTTAGTAAGGCATGGACGCATCCGAAGAATGACTTAGAAGGATTATGACGTCAGTGCAATGGGCAATTTATCCTTTAGGTTTCTCTAATAGAGTACGATTTGTGCGTAGATACATTATATTATACTGCGTTTCCTAATTCAATACCGATGACCGGGCTACTATTTTTGCATTTTTATATCCGTGGAAAAAAGTTCAATTGATTGGTTTTAATTCAGTTATGGTTGGTAGGCATTTTGCCCCGAATTGATGCCATTTTCCTGAGGAAAAGTGATCTGTTTTCGAAGAATCTCCCTAGAAGTAGAAAGTGAAGGGAAAAAATGATAAGGACTCTAACAACGCTTTCAAGAATTTCAAGATTTTCGTCTATTTAATTGTTGGAACTGATCAGCAAACCAGTTCGATACACCGTAGTACAGAACGTCTATAACACTACGTAGTATTTTCAACAACGCAAGTCATTCCAAAAATTCAGGGGGGGGGGCGTTTATTATACCTATTATAATGATTACATCGTTTGACTTTGGAGTCTTTGGTGCATGTTCACGATCGTCGCTTATAACTTTTTATGGAACTAAATCTTGATTCAGGTAATATGGAATGGAACTAGATTAATTATGTTTGGTGTGAACAAGCGGTAAAGGGAACCCCCATTATGAGAGGCCAACGACAGAACAATTGCAATCACAATTCAAACAGCATTTTGCGGTCCATATTCTTATAAATTATAAGTTCCCAGAATGAGATCAATATCTTTCTCAAATATCGAATTCCAATAAATGTTATTCTTCCCGAGCGAGATTAATACGCATATTGTACCTGACAGTTTGAGACCACAAAGCGTTCAACTGTTCTGCTTCTTTTTCATCGGAATAGAAAGCAACATATGAGGTCAACAAATCATCCATTTCGTAATCCTGAAATATAACATTTTACTAGGTTCAGCAGTGTAACAATTTAATCAAAGATACGACACTTTCTCAGCTATGGAACCGAGCATCTGGTATGAAATATAAGAATTCGAACAATTTCCCAGGCAGGTTTCATGTAATGGCATGGCGAGTCAGTTTAAACAATAAGAATAGAATAGATTAACCTATTTTGTTGCCAAGCAGTATCCTTACCAAATGTGTCCTAAAAACAATTCTTTTTCCGTCGCCAGTGCCGCCAATTATCACTTCAAAAGTCTCATCTCCGCTACGCCAGTGCGATATCAGACTATACGGATAATTCTTCAAGACATCCTTCACAAATAAGATTTGTATTTAATATGGAGACCTTAAGATGACGTCCACGATCCAAATGACTGTGCTTTGTGACTATGTGCTGACTTACTTTTGTGTCTTGGTTAATCACATTAATTCCCTGTTTGTTGATCGCAACATAGACTACTGCTGGGAATTCCTGGCTTATCTCTTGCTAAACATAGAAAGACACAAAACACAATACAATGACAACTTATCTCAGTGACTACACATTATGTTATAACAAGAGATGTAAGATTAGTAAGATATCTCTGCGTGGGGATTGCATGCCTTCAGAAAGATTTGCACTCAAACTGGTTTCCTTGAGTACATTAAAATATATATATTTGTCATTAAATATAATAACTGCTTATAAAACTGCTTGTCTTCAATATAATAACTGCTTATAAAAACAGTCTAACAACAGTTTATATATACCCGTGCTTCAAAGAACACAGAACCAAAAGTTGGCCACGATTGCATCTTCTTCAAAAAGGCAACTTTTGCTTCATCTTTGGTCATGCCTGGGCTCTTTCGATGTTCAGCCATGATGCTCTTTAATAAAAAATATATGATCAAGGATTTTGTTACCCGTGCATGCTTGATTGCATATGAATATGTCGTTACCCGATTAAGAGCTGGATTTAATTTAGTGGTTAAACATGCCAAGATGCTTGATGTATTGGAATATTGCTTCGTGTGTGTATAGTCGAAAAAAACAAATACAGAAGTTTAGGCCACAAATTTCCATCCGAACTATTTGATATCGGTGTGACAGACTGCATGCTTCTCGACAATTACGACTGAATGAAACCAGGTCTGAATTGCATGATATTGTTTACCTGCACCCACTGACTTTCGTTCATACTGTTTCTAAATGTCCTGGGAACAATATCATCCAGAAGATCTCTGCAGGCGAAATTAGGCGTAAAAACTTATTCCTCAAGAAATAATGTTAGAAATACGTCAGACGTTGAATGTACGTCCGTATACGGTGTACAGAAATAGATCACGACAGTATATAGTACTAGAACTTTTATTATCTAACTATCGTTTTAAGACCATGCATAATGCAAGAACTTACGGAAAATCGTCTGATGGGCGGGCGCCTTCTCCATGATAAACCCGGTATGCAAGTCCAGAAACTTCAACTGCTTCGTTTAAAGAGCACTTATGATAACCAAGAATATACCGCGGCAACTCCTAATAGAAAAGAATTAAAGAGCATGTCTAATGGGTTGAATATAGTGAAACATGCATATTTTTTAGCAGACACATATATAGTACCTGGTGGTAGTGAAAAATGCGATCGGCAATGACGTCCTCTCCGCCAACTGTTTTGGTCCACACTTTCTTTGTGACGTACAGTTCATAGTCTATTCCATTGGGTGAATCCGGTGTCCCTAATTTTGATAGACATAGGTAGTATATTTTCATATAACTGTAACTTGATAGATATATATTTGTTGAAATTAATGTGACTATAAAAACAAAAGTGGGGGGTCTCTGAAAGAAAAGAGAAAATTAAAGCACGTTCATTCATCCAAAATACTGAGTACTGATACATGCTCAATCTACAATAAAATACTAGATATCTGCAGAAAACCGTGGTATATTTTACGCCCAAACGTGCAGTCATGCAGATACCTCGCAAACCATGACTATATGAGGATTAGCGACATTTCAATTATCTGGCGTTATCCCGCGTTACAGTTACTAAATTATAAAGAAACTATTGTGTGAAGTTTTTCAAAAGTCACAATACGGCTTTCAAAAACCGAGTCCAAACAAGACTTTGGAATTGAGACAGTGGAAACTCTTCATACCGCATGAAGAAACAACGACGCGACCACACACACGTTAAATTAAACAGGCGGGAAAATTCATTAGGATATTATTAAAAAGCGTTATATATAATAATGAAACAGTTATGATTAATATGAGCATTCAACATTTATAGTACGCACGTGTATATATTTACATATTTCGAAGCATATAATTATGTCGATTTAGGATGTCAAGATCGTCTTTTGCAATAAAGTGTGCAGAATGTTTTTCGATAGTTCGGCAAACGAATGATATAGATTAAGGGATTAACGGCAAAGTTGATATAAAAGAAAAGCGTAACTATTGCAAAGAATATCTCAAATGGCAGAGAAACTCTCGCCAAATGTAAAGAGTCATGAAGCTGAAAGATTATCATGGAAGGCACGGTGCAAACGAATGCAATACATGCAATTACGATAATTGTATTCAAAAATTGTCTTTCCTTAAGGGCTCTTATTTCTTGTGCGCGACACTTTATTGAACTTAATTGCAGAGGCATATTCTTGGAGTGTTTCCTCAACTTTGTATATGTACTGGCATACATAACTGCAGAAAACACGATTGCAAGCACTCCGAAGCAGTAGACTGCAAGTAGGTCATTCCTTTTGCGATCACTCAAGAGTCGTGCTATTATAGGAATCACCGAGCATCCCAGCCAAATACCGAGAATCCATACGCCCATAATCTTGCCCTTGAACAAATAGCGATGTTTCACAGGATAAGCAACCAGTACAAAGCGATCGATGGAAATTGACGCTATTGAGGCATGTGAAGCATTTCCACAAATAAAAAGAAAACATTCAATAAAAGAATCCCAACCAGTGGTAACGACGATTTTGAAAAAAAACAAGGCAAATATACACGCTAGTAAATCTGACATTGAAAGATTCATGACAAGATATATCCCAGAGTTCTTGAAGCACTTCAGAGGATCCGTAATCAAAGACACGAGGAGTAATATATTCAACGTTGCTCCCAGAAGAGAGCTTGTAAAAACAGCATAAACAGTAATGCTTTCAATGACGTTCTTCTCTATATTTTGAGGGCGTTAAACTTTCATGAATTTAACTTGCATTGTCGCAAGAACCCGCTTCTTCTTTTTTGGGATATATAATCATATATTAGAGGTTGTACTAATTGAGACGGTCGGCGTTTTTAGTAGCGGCTTGTCTCATTTTTTTGAAGTGCAAATGCGATAAATATTTCTTCCTGCATGCATTCATATTTAATAACGGGGGAGTTATTTCACTCATTAAGATGTCATTAAATTTGATGACAAATTTGTGTAAACGTTTTTTTAAAGTTTCTTATTCATATATTTTTTTGACAAATAACACAGTCATTATTAAATTACAGACGAGCCATGCATGCATGCATTCGGCATGCACTTGGGCTGGGTTTGTTTGTTGCTAGTTTGATTAAAAAAATGATATGTCTTTTCGGCTTGTATATATTTTAGAAATTGGCAGTAATGTATATACTATTTCCCATCTTACTTAAGGTGGACGTGCCACGCAATTTAATCACCATTTTCACGTCGCCTTTAGACGTTTCCGTCGCCATAGACTTAGTCCGTCTAATTATTTAGCGCCGTTGCCGTATAGCATGTACGGTTGAATGGACGTGGGAAAGTTGTCTAAATTATTCCGGTCTTTCCGTGAAATTACATTGTAGAAAAAAAGGTCCAATAAGTCATCTGTTAACCGTTAATTTATATATAGCACTGTTTAATAAAGGGAAGCGTTCTTCGACAAATTTATTGACAAATAAATTTTGGGCATGAGGCCGCGGAGAATCTGAGAAATTTGTTACCACAATACACTCATTACTCACCTAATGAGGCCAGCAACCAAAGGAAGTCAAACAAGTATTCTGTGTCAGCCATTCCCAAAACTAACGAATATATGTAAGCGTTTATTAAAAAAAAATATAAGTCCTAAATTAAACGATAATATCATGGTGCATGTCTGTTATTATGGTTCGACATTTTTACCTTGTTGATTAACGCGAACGAAAATCCCAAACCCTTCCGACGTTTTTAAATTCAACTTTTGTGCGATATTTCGGAGAATGCTAGGAGGCTTTGAAAGAGATTCCACTTCAACAGTCTAAAATATTATCATAATAGATCCAAATTAAACAGACCCACCTTCTTCAAAATCGGTGGATTTAGGTATATATATGCAAGCATGGTTGTCTAATAACATATGGTGAGGTTCTAGTTCCTCGACAGGTTAAACAGGTATAAAGATGGTTGAGATGACTATCGTAAGTCGTTTATTATAATAACATGCATTTTGATATCATGCATGGTCACCCCGAAGTGTTTTTCAACTCATTCGTCATGTGTTATGTCATAATTCTAACTTGCATGGGCCATATTTTTTCATTGATTTATGGTGTGTCAACCATGCACGGGGCACCCCACCCGAGGTAATTCTTGTTGGCAAGCTAAGGTCCTGCAAATAACTCACCACTTCATTTTCATCGGGCAGAAGGAATTTGTGGAACAAAGTACTGTTTTCACGCTGCAAAGTGAAGAAAATCAACTATCCGTTAACTTGCAAAAATTGCCTACATTTATTCGTTTTACCATTGCAATTAGGTTGGTCTTTATAGATATAAAACAAAAATTGGAAGGGAAAAATAGAGAAACTCCTTTGCCAGTCAGACTACGTTTTCTATTCATCTTTTTTCCTTTCTTAAGGATTCGGATCTTTGAGTGGAAAGTTTTACATAGTTTCTTAACACGAATATTTTAGAAGCCATGCAAGTTATACATATATAAATACTTAATTAAGTGGTTTACTTTCTTTTGCTCGCTTAAACTGATGAATCCCTCACCTCCATACTTATTATATAGATAAACGTGCATTGAAATAGAATTTATAGGCATCATATATAACAACATCTTATTAAGTACATACAACAACTGCTTCAGTTTCCATGTAATGTGGAGGAGCTCGTCTTGCTCCCAACCTGTTTACTCTTTCCAATCGTGACAAACATTCGTTACCGCGTGGTTTTCCGCTCGATTTCAAGAACAGTTCCACATATCTTGTGAGGGCCAAACTATAAGTAAAACTTGTTACTTGATGTTCAAGAAGAATAGAATGACAGGCGACATACAGTAGTGCTGTCTCTGAGCGAAATTTTTAATTCTTATATATAGTCTCGTTTTATTATCGAAGTCCATGACGCGAAAGAAAAATAACTGCCCCTTTATATATACCCATTATTATTTTCTACTTTGGCCTCATAATTCAATGTCGCTTCAATTTGTGCTGAATAAAACAATGGTATATAAAGCAACTCAGCTGAAATATGAGCCTTAGCATCAACGTAACCGAAATGGTTGATAAAGAAGCGGAAAGAATAAAACTAAATCTAAAACTTATATATATATGGCGGTATTTGGTTAAAAATCATACCTTGGTGGTCCAAACAAGCCAGTGCATAACCACAGTAACTCCCAGCATTTCTTCTCACTTGTCCTATTGGAGGGCGAAGAATAAGAACGGCATAAAAAATTACGAAAATTTTTCAACAAGAATGTATTTTCAATTAATACTTTTTTTGGTAATGATAGAGAATGATTTCCATAAACTTTAACGTTGTTTTTTTCAGACTTAAACTTTCTTCGCCAAATAGGAATTTTTTAGGCTATTCAAGACTCTTTTTCACGCGTTTAACTCATGCACTTAGATCGCATTCTTTATTTTATATAAATATTTCTCTCTCCGGTTTTTTAAGTATAGTACATAATGCTAAATACACAAAGCACGCATGCGCCCTAAATTACGAAGTATACGTAGACGGCTGCACGGCCTGTCACAAAATTCACGTACCAATTAGAATTAAATGTTAACTGCTTTATTAACTGACAGTATATTTCATCTCGAATCAGTTCCTGTATAACGAGAAAATAGTTTAAATTTCAATTTGATTGTCTACCAAAATATTAATAAAATGATATAATTTTTTTTTAAGATACTAAATAATTCGTTTCCACTCACATCGTCTAAAGCAGGCCCAAATATTTCGTCTGTCAGTTCGATTTTGGACAACGTTCTTTTTCCTGGTATCTCTTCCATATACATCAATATTACTGGCATATAATTAAGAAGAATCATCAACTGTCTCGTATTTGCAAATAATTTACTGTTCCCGTCACGGAAAAGCCGCCGTATCGCATACAGTTAGATAAAAATTATAGGCAAAACAGTGGGAAAAAAGGATACATTTAAAGGTTTCGGTTGCTCTTTCCTTTTTCGCCTGATTTCGGAGTAAGATCTTGTGAAGAGGCTGGGAAATTGGTTCCTAAAAGGCAAATGAAACGAACATTTTGAAGTTAGTTGATATATTGATAATGACTTGTTCGTCTATGATTCCATGCAAAAATATTCTTACTTTTTGATGCACCCAAGTCATGTTGTCGGTGAAATTGTCTCTTGCGTATGTTTCCAGGGTGTAAATTCTGCTTTTTGGAGGATGAACAACGGTCGGAGTCGTAACACGGACCTAAGACAACATTGAATAAGGTACATCTAGTATCTGATTTGCATAATATACGGCATCAGTTGTTTTACAAAGAGTTAAAAGTGCAAAGAGTTTACAAAAAGCTGAAAGTAGTTTGTATCCTTACAACTGCGTGAATATCTAGAATATCTACCAACCTCTTCCCTAAACACGGGCTTGGATATCTCCACAACTTTTCGTGTGCTAATTTCAGTTAGTCGTCTTTCCAGGTCACGAATCTCCTCACGATGTTTTTCAATATTTTTATCTCGTTCCTCCATAAGATATGAAATCTTGATATTCTTCTCCTCAACCGAGCGCTCCAGTTCTTGAATTTGCGCTGTGGTTACGCTATTCTGCTCAGTGCGTTGCAATCTCATCATGTGCAATTCTTCTTCCTGATCGCGTGTCTTCTCTTTCAATTCTCGGATTGTGATAATTGCATCATTGTTTTCCTCTTTCAGTCGCATCAATTCACTACGTGTGTTGGATAAGAGCATCTCTTTGTTTTGAAGCTCGCTAAAGTGGGCATCTCTTTCACTTCTTAAGGTGGTAATGGAGCCTTCTTGAGTGTCGATTGTTTTTCGCATATCTTTAATGGTCATAGCTGCTTCAGACTGTTGCCTTTCAAAGGTTTCCAATTCTCTACGAGTGCCATTCAAGGATCCTTCCATTTCAGTGATTAAGAGAATATTTTGGTGTTGCTCTTGTCTCACTTTCAACAGCTCTTCTTCTTTTTCTTGCACACGAGATCGAAGATCTTCAACCTCGGTATTCGCTGTGTTGAACTGACGTTCCAGTTCCACAAGCCGGGCTCTATTTGTGAAAAGAGCACTTTCTTTATCTTTGATCTCAGACAACTGCGTGTACCGTTGGTTTCGTAACGTTTCCAATTCGACTTCTTGGTCTCGAAGATTCTTTTGCATGTCGGACAGTTTCGCAGATGCTTGATTATTGTATTGCCTAAGATCTTCCAGTTCATTCCGGGTATTAACAAGAATCGTTTCTTTCCTTTCTAAAGTTGATTGAAAAGTTTGTTTTTCGGATTTCAATGTCATCTCAGTTTGCTGCTTCTCTCTACCGAGCTGATTCAGTTCACTTTCTAATTGTACTACCTGCAAGACAGAAAATATATTTTTCTTCAGAATATTTACAACGTTAACTATATAAAAATTAGTTATTGGGTTTTCTCTCAAAATAGACGGTTCTGTAGTCCCTACGAGATTTATACGCGGAATATAACTCAGCTTCAACTCAGAGAAAAGCCATAACTCAAAAAGTAAATTTTAGGGAAGGCGTTAATAAGATTTATTAAAAGATGGCTTTATGCATGCAGAAAGAACCCCTCTCTTCCCCTTGAAAATGTGGATATTTCACGAATAGTATTCTAGAGCTAGTGGTTACTTAGTGGAAACGGCTAGACTAATCTTTTCTTCTGACGAAACAAGTACTTCCATTATATGGGTCATAACTAATAATAATATATTATATACTTCCTTTCCCTTCAACTGAACTTAGAGTATCATCTTTTGACTTTGTTTAACATCATATTATAATGGCTCATGCATGGTTCATATTATAAAGAATATATAGGTATAAGTATACACACTTTTCCTTCGACTGAACGCAGTTTAACATCTTTGTTTTCCAAAGCACTCATAAGATCATCAATTTCTGCTTTATTGCTTGTTGTCTTTAAAGAAAAAGAATATTAAATTATAAACATTCAGCTTAGGTGCGTGTGCCTGTGTTTACTTCAGGAATAAATAACAATTTGTAATTATTATAATTTTAAAACAAATACACGCGGATCTATATAAGATTAAAATGAGACCCGATTTTCGAATTGTATGTCGTGACAAGAGATGAACATAGAAATGCTTACAGGTTCTTCAGTAGTTTGTGGTATGAATAGTCGTTGAGTAGGTTTGTTTGCAGCAGGCTTAGAAAGACTTTGGACGTACACAACAGGAACTACGTAAACACTTTTAGCAGTAAAGTTTCCCCATTTTTTGGTCCGGTCGTTTGTTCCTGATGCCCATCCAGTATTATTCAATGTTTCACCATTGTAGTTTTCATCCATCACAATTATATCACCTCGACGGAATGACAACTGTGAGACTTGGGCTTAAAATGAAAAAAATGATTTGAACGTTCCACCACCGCCAGATAGAGTTGCCTGCGATTTTAAACTGCTCTCAGAAATTTAGCAAATTATAGTATAACATGAAACTATACCTGGAGGGTAATCGTACAATGCAACACAATATCGGGAACGTCTCTTCAATCCATCCCATATGTACATAAGGATATCTCGTACAGCCGAAGCATGCTCTGAGAAAAAGCCAAAGTTCCCCTTCTTGGAGGTGTACAACACAAACACATCCTTCCTCCTGCTGATAGAAAAAACGCCAGCCATTGTATTACTATTCTACAACTATTGGTAATAAATAGTATGATAATCCTGCTTTCAAACCATTGGCGGCGCATAATAGTGGAAAAAAACGTTTGTGTGTTCCAAGCATAAAAGCTATTCTATTATTCTTTTAAAATTTTCTCTCTATAAAACACTCCTGGAAAAAAATCCATCACTCAAATATCCTTTCGTGCTGAAAAAATCTTGAATCATGCTTTTATCCACATACTCTGGAAGCACGACAAACTTATATATCTTCAAAAGTTTAATATGGCATAGCAATAAGAATTCTGCAGTCTTCGACGGGTTTACAGCAATATCCGCCTATTTTTACCTTCCAGAACTCTCGATTTTCACGATATCTCGATAGCGCAAGTACATTAAGATGTTCTCGTAGTTGTCGAAAATGTGGACGCCCTTCCAAGTTATTGTGAGGACAACTGAGCGAGATGGCAGCGCTGGACCAGACACCTGACGAACATCAAATGATCTTGAAAAAACGAATGGCCATTTTATTCGAGCAGAGCTGACAATGTTCTGCTTTATTTTGATGTCACTTTCGTTATCATAGTATTCCTTCAAAAGAGAAAATAAACGATTACTCAAATTATCTCATCTCCCAGAATTTTTGCAGCTGTTGAATTGTATTGATTTAATTCATTGGGCCAATGTGTTTCCATTTTATACTAACTTTGACTTGGTTAAACGCGTCTTGCACAAGGTCAGCCCATTTATCCAAAGTGCCTTCGCCTTCTAGAGCTTTATCTGGCAGGTAAGAGGGCAAGAGGCTCATCAAGAGTCCTCGATCAAGATGGCTTCCATGTGTAATGAAATATTCATTCGCAGCTATTTCAGCTAATTCTTGTTTCTGCATAAACATATTAAAAATATAACAGTTAATTATACTTATGCATGGTTTCAAGTAAAAAGTGAACAACAATATTCTCATAGCAGTTTTTTCTGGGCTAACTCAAAATGGACGAGTTCCACAAAATGATTCATGCAATATCTCTGAGCCTTAATTGCATACACACACACACACTCACACATTACAAATCCACAACTCAAGCAAACAAATTCATTTGATACTGAGCCATCTCGCTGAGAATTGCTAAAACTCAGGTCTAGCAGTTATAATCATGCAAAGGAGTATTAATACGGTTATCAATTCTTTAACAATTCATGTCCTCTTACCGTCTCACATTTATATTCTCCATGCTTAATTCCTCTGATTACTTGATAGTAAATCAGGTCTGTGCTGACCTTGTCTTCGGCTGGATCGTGCCATGGTGCAAACAACTCTTTAGCAAAGTAGATTTTCCAATCAGGCGATCTCTCGCTGTGGCCAGATTCTTTTCGGAATTGTTCACATTGGGAGACATAATCCATCACGTGTTCGCCACCCGCACCAATGCTGCTGACCTGTGTAAATGGGATATAAGGAAAGTGATGTTGTGGTACTTGGTTGCGGTGCAGCTTTAAAAGCTAGGAAAGAGGCAAAAACTTTTTCACCGCCATTCTTTCCATTGGCTTTGTTAACGTTGCATGTAGTATTGTAACTTCATCCACCTTCAACATTTTTCTTAAGGAACCTTCTGCCAGGGGAAAATTGCTTTTTTCGTTCCCCCTCTGCATGAGAGGCACTGTGTACTCACGTTGTTTTCAACGGCACAAAATATGGAGAAACCAAATTGATCAGCCAAGCCAATTTTCTTTGCGATTATTGCACGCATCTCTTTACCAGTTACTTGTGCATCAACTTCGATGTCTTTTACTGAACCATCCATGAATGCCACTGGCAATGGAATCATGTGTAATGTGTTTGCAGCCTGTAAGAGAACAAATTTTTAATTGCTTTTCTTTATGCAGCTGAAGATCGAGTACCGTGAATACAGAAATTCTTATAATATCGTGAAATTTGAAAATGAAAATCAAGTAAATCGATAGTATTTCCTACTTTTAACTCCATGTATGATGGCGGTTGCTTTCTTGGTCCATTCCTGAGGGTTCTTGTCAAAAGTTGCTCACAAAACTTGCTGTGGTCTGTGTTTTCTTCTCGGAAAAATGATACAAGACATCTCACCAACTGAAAGTTTTAAATATCATATAATTGAAAGTAAACAGCCAAAAAGTGATTCAATCATGGAGGACACTGTCGACACAAGCATGGACAACTTTTTCAATTTTGGATCTGCAGTCTGTTTAATGGAATTTTGTATGCGGAATTCATAAAATTTACATGTTTGTCTAGAATGAATAACTTGAAATGGAAAAGCCAACATAGTCTATAACATAATCTGAATAAAACAGGACTGAACAATGTTGTGTTGCACCAGACGAACATAGTTTTTATCAAGTTGTAGCAATTTTTCGAAGCGAAACAATTGCTGCAACTTGATAACTGCATTGTTCAGTCCAGTTTACATCAACTGGGAACCACTTTAGCGTTTTTTTTTGCCGCGTATGCATCTAGCCTTTTCTCTGCTCGCAACAATCTAAAAATAAGAAGGTAAATAAAAGTATACCTTTTCTGACGGTGCAAAACATCCCAGAGTCAACGCTAGAAGAATCCATCCTCTTGACACACTCACTTCAGAGGGATTACCAATGCATTGCTTCACAATTTGACAAATAATTTCATTTCTGTCAAGTTAGCAGAGAGTAGCCAAAATGAATATGTTGCAGTCAAATTTAGTATATTGAGTAAGTAAATGTCGTATTTACATGCAGACTATATAGTGGCAAAGTAAAACACAGCCTTTTTACAGTTCATATAAATTACTATAGGGAGGGAAATGCGACTGCATTTAATATGCACTGAATATAGGTTTCATCTCTTGAAGATTCGCAGGAAGGCGCCTATTATAAAACAGGTATTACTACAAGAAAGCTTCTATTATATAAAACAAGTATTGCTACAAAAAAAGTTGGAGAAGATCCGTTCTGTCTCCATGTTTGTCAGTATACCTCAACGATTCTCTAATGATTCCAAGCCCAACAATGAAATGAACCTTTTCCAAATTGCTGCTGTCCGGCCCAGGTCCAGATGATAGCAAACGTGACTGTACAAATGATGCCCTTTCGAAACGGTAAATATCTTGAATTTCTTTTATGGCGTCTTTAAACACAAGCTAAAAATAAAAAAAATGATCTACAATAAAGGTTATGTATAACGAAGAGGCTCAAACCACTTGATTTTAGCAAAATGTGGGGTAGTTTAACACATAATCTCGGCTATTTACGTGCAGCTTTGTTTGCCAAGAAAAAAAATTTGGCAAAAAAGTTTTACTATGCGGAAATCACCTGAGTTTAATTTTTTAAGTGGTGGTTATAACGTGCATGTAAGCGCTATAACGCAAGTGTACTTGCCCTTGATTGTCCTTGGTAACGAAAACGAGGTGGTGCTTGTACGTTCTGCATGAAAGAAAACACAGTTTTCCAAATCCCCAAAGCAGCCTAGAAGAAAGTGATAAGTTTTTAAATGTGACGATTACTGATTATCTTGCGAAGAAGATTTACTGAACCTCAAACGCAATTATAACACTTGAAATGCATCCAAGCTTATCGGTAGTCTATATACGCGTATATTTTTTGGCCTATAGCAGCATACATGCATATTATAGCTATGTACCGCATCATGAGTGGTATCTTTCTCAGCGTAATAACGATTCGGCTCAACACTATATAGAATTTAGAACACACATATTTTCTGCATGGATGCATAATGCCTATATATGCCGAGGTTGCAGACGCATTTAAAAAGTGTACGAGGAATGAGGAACTAGAGAATAAGAGCAATATATACTAGTAAATTTTATTATTCTATTTGATTGTCGCAAGTTTCGAGGCAGGATATATAAGCAACTGAGAGCCGCTGGCCGTGCATTTATTCCGTGAAATTGAAAAGGCAAATAATTATACTCAGCTGAATATCATTCTAAAAGAGCCATTTTACATCCATGAAAAGACACATTTTCCTTGAAGGGGGAATCTACCGTAATACTCCCAGTTCTCTCGATTGTCACTTGTTTGCATGCATACTATTATACATATTATTGCATTTACAAGAAACGTTCGGATTCCGAAACACCACAATGTATATTTTATTAAATAATTATACCAAGATATTGTACATCAGCAAACACTTTCGCTAAATGAAGTGGACAAGAACACTCGCGTATGAATTGTTATACATACCATTTGATCAATTGAGTTATCCATGTAGAGCAGTGGTCGATGTAGAGATGGAGTTTGTTCATAGTACGGAGGTATGCCACTTTGAAAAAACTGCGCCGCATAGTTGGAAAACGCTGCTCCCTAAAAACGAATTTTAGAGTATAGTAACTTTAAGAGGGCCTAACCGGAAAGTATAGTAACTCTAAGACGTGCATGTGTGGCTTTGGGTAGTGTAAGAGGCTTCTGCAAGAGGATCCTCCCAGTCTGCGTTGTGGGGACACGTATAGGTGATATATATTATATCCTATCGCAACGGAACGAGGTTTGTTCTAAGGATCTTATCACTTCTGAGCAGGGTTTCTCTTTTGCTAATATTTCCATTCGAAGAGGATCTCAACTGTGCGTGCAAATAAATTCTTTTGATACGAAAGTTTATGTATAGTGTTGTTTTATATATTATTGCGCATTAGAGAACGTCGAAATTAACATCTTCATTGAATATTAAACACTGCATGCATCATACATTATTCAATGTTTTTGACATTGTTTGAATAATCAAATTCTACGGCTCAGTCAAATTAGGAATACTATTATTATTGGTCCTTCTCCTCACGGTTGCTGTCTTGCAGAAAAAATTCCATCCAATTGGAAGGACTGGTGGTTATAGTTTAAAATTCTCATAAATAATACAGTCCATGCACACCGTAGGTTGAACCGCTGCTGTTCGAGGAATGTCATCAAACTAAGCTGTAAAACAGGTTAGTCACTTTCTCACAATATGCAAATATGCTAGTATTTTGGGGAATGTGAACGTATAACCTAGTAACAGCGACTTTTTTAATTTTTAATTTTAGGCTAAATTTATTCTTTAACTGGTATGTTAAAAATTGGTTTTTATATTGTTTTAATTGTTTATACCCTTTTAAAGTACGTACCCCCAAATGGCGGATATATTCGTAATTAATGCCTTGAAAAAATGTGTGTGGCACGAAGTTGCTTATTAGTTGACGCTTAAACGTCGCAATTCGGATGGCTCGTATAGTAAACCTATTTTTAGCTACCCTAGAGTATATATACACTCCCATCTGAGTAACTCGATGCACTCCCTGCAGCCATGATATGAAAAAACCATGGTAACTTATGGGATAACTCGGAGTACTAGTTCATCTCTATTTTAGACCAGAACAATCCTTCGTATATCATGCATAACCGACAAAAATAAAATTCCAACAAAATTACCAAACTAAAAAAAATCTACAACTGTACTTGAAGTACAACTGAACCAGTTTCTTTTTCTTTTCGAACTCTATAAGTTTTAACTTTCATATACTCGAGCTACATAATATTACTGTATCAAGTCGAGATTTATGCGGCTAAGTCTAAGCTCTCACGCAAGACTGAATATCGCACAAACATCCCAGTCGAAAGAACGAACAAACGAACGTACAGTACAGCAAGTTTGTGCTTAAAAAGGGTTCGAGTATATCCCCACGGAATTATACATATAGTTCTACTTAACAAACCGAAATAATCATGATCTAGCCCGAGTTAGCGTGACTCTAACTGCATGCCTCTAACAAAAGTTGAAGAGGCTTAAGTTAAGCCCCAAATCAAGAGAAACTTAATTAACTCTATACAAGCTAGAGTAGTCACTGTCATAAGTTAAAACTTAATTCGAATGACACTAGAATCTTAGATTATAGTGTAAACTTACAGCGTTCATAACGGTTTGGTGCATGACAACAACTGGCTATATGTTGTTCTTATTTACTGATGAGGTATTCATGTAACTGTAAGCTGTATCGCGTTCCGAAAATACAGATCAGTTGGAAATTGTTTCACTCTGGACCATAGAAATCTAGTATTGTTACAAAGTGATTTGAAACTTACACTGGCAGATCGTCTGTAATACAAAGCCATATTAGCGTGTCTTTATCCTTCAATTCTGAGACGTATAATTTCTCCAAAGAAATTATAGGTAACGATTTAGACAGTCTTCCCTTTTCTAATCGATGCACGCCCCCCAAATATTCCCGTTAGAAGCCTTCCAAGACCAAATGTATCAAACTTCAGCCCTTAATTACCAACAAGGGAACGGCCAGAGACAAGCAACACATAGCTCTGGTTGTGTTGGTATTTAGAGCATTAATTTCTCTTCAAGCTCCCTGCTGTTAGATGAGTTAATAAACTGCCAGTTTAAAATACAATTTGTTCACTCAGGCAATCAACGACATTTATACCAATCTCGTTGGTTCTGGTAGAGGGATATGATGTTCATTGACAGCCTCTTTTCGAAGTTTATCTCTTTTGCTAGAGTTAAAACTAACTTGGATTTAAATTTAATAGTATAACTCAACCGAATTCATGCAAAGTGAAAGTATGCATACATTCGCAGCGGGGCGGTATTGATTCCCACTGTGTTCACAACTAAAACATTTTATTCCAGAATAAAATGAATATAAATTGTCGTTGATTGCCTCACGAAATCAAACCATCAATTCGGTTTCGTGCTATATATTTTTACTTCATGACTTAAAGAGCGATACAATTCTTATACAAAAACGATACAATTTATCAGCATTTAGAGTATAGCATCTTATCATTAACGAAGAGCAAAATCCGACCTCTTCATAATTTATGGAAATGACGTTCCCATAGCCTTCCCACACATATTATGATAGAATATGTGAAGTGAGTTGGAACGTTGACACAACCCCCGCGTGACCAGCTAGTTCGAATGTAGTAGCAATCACTGCAATCAGTGTCTATTTATTGGCAATGAGCTGTTGCTAAAGCATGTTTACCTATGGCTATGTATAGTTATTGCATTAATTCATAACTTTTGTGAAATCAGGAGGAGCTAAGGCGAGGCAATGAATTTACAAAATCTGACGGCACAAATCCCAGGCTCCTAGCTCCGGTGTCTGTTGCTCGGTATTTGTTGAGGCTTTTTGTGGCAATGCCAAGGTCAAAGGGATGCTATGTTTCTGTGACAAACATGCTTGCTTTTTCCGACTGATAATTCGAATTGTCATCATTTGAACTGAAAGGGCAAAAAAGGTGCTCGTCGGTATGATTCAAATAATAGTTGTTTGATGCACCTGCAACGATTTGCCTGAGAATATCATACGACCATGGGCAACAAAAACTGCGTATCTTGGACCACAGAAATATTGAATGGATTTTCATTTTCTCCCGCAGGTTGTGGCAACGACAAGAAAAACCTCATGTGTGGTAAAACTGAGATCAGCTGTCTCGCGTGAGCATCATGCAGTGCTATTTTACGAACTGACTTGCATTATAGTGTTTTTACAAGCAAGGGAAATTATTTAGTTTAAAAAATGCTGCCGTAGCCCTTTTAAAGTATTGCTGCCGCAACCCTTTTCATGCATTTTTGGATAATTATCGAGGAAAATTCAGAACTGATCGATACATTTTGAATGCCTGGTGTCCATAGGCATAGATTCCAAATTTTGCTTTCAGAATTTAATTTATATTCCTTTGAAACGTCGCGTTGCCGCATGTATTGTAACCTTTCAGTAATGGCAACCAAAGACAGCGCAAAATAACTCTGACATTCAATAACTCTGTGCTGGTAGTGATAATAGAGCCGAAGTATGATGTTTGTAGGGGAAAATGCGGGGAAATTTGGTTTTGTGATGGTAGGGAAAAGGAGGGGATTTTAGAGAGGTAAAATTGTGTCATTGCACAGTTGCACTTTTTCTTGGCAAAATGGGAAATATTTCGCCTGTTTCTTTTTTGTGACTACTTGAATAAATAAACTCTTCCTGATTGCTCACAATTCAAAAGAAGCAGATGAATTGATGAAATGGTATTTTGAAACGTTCTTGAAAGTTCTCGACTAACCCTTACACTTTCATTTATTTTAATTTTGTCCGGTTTGGCTAGTTTGGCTCCCAGTGGACCTTTCCCCTTTTAGCTTTCTAGCGCGCAATGCGTGACGGTAGTTGATTATCAGGAGCGATTTAGTCAGTTAACAAAGAAGCAAAAAGAATCGGGAAGGTTTTCTTACAAACAAAATCGCTCCTAAGCAGAGCGATATCGCAACTCGAAGTTTCTTGATAATCAACTAGTTGCGCTTTTGAAAGCTAAAAGGGGAAAGGTCTATTGTAAAGGAATCAATGAGCTCAGTGGTTGACATACGTTTCGCAATACGTTTCGCCCGCCTTAAAATTTGCAGGGTGACGCAAAGGCGTAATGTGTTCAGGCTAAAAGCGTGCCAGTGGAACAGTGCTTCCACATCTATGGAAATTTCCATATCTTATGGAAATTTTAACATGAAATGGAATTTTTTATGGAAATGAAGTAAATGTAGAAATTCTGTGGAAATTAGAGTTTTTTGAGAAAATCGTCATAAATCTGCTTTAAATTTCAAGTTTTTGATTCAACGTAAAATGTAATAAATTCCATCACAAAAAGAAGTAACTGTAGAACACTTATGAATATTAAGTTAATTTTATGGATAACTCCGGGAACATGGGGAACATTGACAATTTGGCGCGAAACATAATAGTGCGGCAATTTGGCACCAAAAGCGAAAATAAAAATGATAAAATTACAAATATAATGCAATGGAGCGTGAAAGTGACACAAGCGATGAAAGCATTTATAACACCGATAATGAGCAAACAGATGCCCGGAATAAACCAAAGGAAAAGAAAAAGCCTACATACAAACAGAAATTTTGTAATGCTTGGCTTTCCGATGCAAATTTCAAGGAATGGATACAAGAGAAACTGGAAACTAATGAGCATAGCGTACCTTACTGCAAGGTTTGTAAAGTGCAGTTGTCTTGTAGGCCGTATTCTCTGGCACGAAAAGTCGCTTAGAAAACGATTTTCGTTGCCTCCCTTCGGGCACTACTTGAAAACACGATAGAAAATTAGGATAAATTATAGAAAGTCTAAATTCACTTGTTTTCACCTGCACAAACCTGCAGTTTTCGAGCATTTCATCTTCGAAAAATCAGTGAATTTGCATGTTTTGCAATACAGCGACGCCATTTTGATTCAGGAAATGTCTAGGATACTTGGTGTAATTTACGACATATATAGCAGATTCAGCAGTTTTATACCGGTATTTACATGAAGCTCCGGCATTTTTGCTGTGCAAGCAGGTTTCAACAAGGAAGCTTTCAGTGGAGTTTTACGAGGTTTTTCGCAAATTTTCATAGTTTTTCAAAACTAAATTAGTCAGAGAAGAGTTAGACAACAATTAATCGGAAAAAATCCGCAAATTTGCGATTTTTTTAAAGCATTCTGCTCTTGATATTTACAAATAAATAAGAACAACTTTATTTACACGCATTAAATCATCCACGAGCGTTTTGTTTCTAGCCAATTTATATAAAATAATTACTATACAATTACTTTTATAATACACACGTTTTCTCAACAAAACTATTTACAACATCTCAGTTTTTTGACAAAGTTAATTACCAACGCCAACATCTATTTAAACGTGATTTGCAACGTACAACTACTGTACATGTTAAAATATTGAACACGCATACCAAGGTTTGATATCAGCCAATACGTTTTAATACCATTGTGGGAGAATTACGAGCGCCTTATAATTTTAAAACACAAATAAAATGTTGAACTCAACTCTTTTAATCGGACAGCTAATACCACAACTCATGATCGACGTCATCTCCGAAATCCAGATTAGATCCTGATCCTTCAAGTTCATCATCGTCATCAGATTGAGCCAGGCCATAACTGCTATCATCGTCGTTACCATCTTCAACTACTGCATTCTGGCAATCACCACACGAACATAGGTCGGTGCACTTTAAGTCAGCCTTTTTGCAGAAGCAACGCATGGTCGAGCATCTAGAATCTTGCACTTGCACTCAACACACTCAATTAAAGATCGCGGAGCGGGTGGGCGTGTCATCCAAGTTATCTCCAGCTCTTTATCGTCAAGCGTCCAGCCATTGCCAACCAGTGATGGAAGATCGACTTCTGCACTTAAACACTGATACCATGATGCTGCTTGATTGCTAATGCCATTACCAGTAAAAGCATGAAAGCCTGGTAAACAAAGAGCAACATCCACGCCCAAGAATTTCGAGATAATTGCTACAAATACGCAACGATGTCTATCTCCCGTGCCAGTCAGAAAGAAAATCTCTTTCTGCATCTGTTGTTGCATGCCAATCGCAGGTATAAGAACATCTGTATCAGGGCTTTTGATAATAACTTTATCGTACGTTGCTGCTGCGTGGTTGGCATGTAGAATTAAACGAGTGTCTGCTTCTTCGTGGTGCTATGAAGCGAAGACACCTCATTACTTGTAACAATATCGTTCGGGAATCACCGGGATATAAAACATAGCATATTTCTTTAGCAGTTACGTACATAGTTGAAATGGAAAACCACCGGGAGGAGTTACATGACCTCCAGTGTTCACATAAGAAAGATATGAAAGATTCCTTGTTTCCACCGGATCTTATACACTTTTTCCACTGTTTTGGAACACTCTGATCTTTTCCGAAGATTTGACCTTTCTGGACTCCATTTTCACTTTTCAGCTCTTCGTTGTCTCTCTGCATTCTTTATGCTCAACTAAGGATACCTGTCTGCAACAATCTAATCGTTTGGAATTATACTTTCGTGCTAGCGTGTTGAGGTTTTTAAAAGAGCATCATCGCCAAATGTTTTCCGTTTTTCTTTCATCAACTGAATAACTGCCATAGCATCTACAATCAGTGCATTGTTGTTAAATGCACAATCATTGACTTCTGGATTTCCAGATTCATTTTCCAATACTTCTCAGCAAGTTTAGACTTGGGCCAACTTGGCAGGTGTCACAAGTCCTCACACGTTTTCATAAGCAAAAGTTTGAAATTTGTTCTGTTTCAACTTCGTTAAGATGTCTGGGTCTTCGCTCAACAAATTCGTTTTTAGTGGATTGATTATAATAAGATAAAGGCGTTGGTAATTAACTTTGTCAAAAAACTGAGATGTTGTAAATTTATAGTTTTCTTGAGAAAGCGTGTGTATTATAAAAGTAGTTAATATAAAACAAAGGTTATGCTGGAAAGGAATTGTGTAGTAATTGTTTTATATAACTTGACTAGAAACAAAACGCTCGTGGATGATTTTGATGCGTGTAAGCAAAATTGGCGGTTGTTTTTCAGATTAATTGTTGTCTAAGTCTTCTTTGACTAACTTAGTTTTGAAAAACTATGAAAATTTGCGAAAAACCTCGTAAAACTCCATTCAAAGCTTCTTTGTTGAAACCTGCTTGCACTAGTGATGGGCGATACTTCGATACCAAGTATCGATACTCACCGATATTTATGATTTGCACTAAATATCGATACTTGACCAAGTGGTCGCAAAATTTCGATACTGAGCCTACAGTATTTTAGGTCAGCGTTTTCTACCAAAAAGTATAAAAATTTTCATTTATTTTTCTTTTGTTCGTCACTTTTTTGTTCTTTAGTTCTTTAATTATATGCTACCAATCAAAATAATTTCTGCCCATTTTTCATTTGCGAAAAACAAAGGGAAAAACCAAAAATGTGAGTGAATAAATACACATTATGGTATGGTATATGAAATTACAAACGGTAAAAAACGGCTCAAATTTCTGGTATCGGTATCGAAATTTGGTATCGATACCACTACAAATTGTCTGGTATCGAAGCGGTATCGTATCGATTTGAAAAAGCTGGTATCGCCCATCACTAGCTTGCACAGCAAAAATGCTGGAAACTAGGTATAAAACTAGTATACTGGTATAAAACTGCTGAATCTGCTATATATGTCCTATATTACACCAAGTATCTTAGACATTTCCTGAATCAAAATGGCGTCGCTGTATTGCAAAACATGCAAATTCACTGATTTTTCGAAGATGAAATGCTCGAAAACTGCAGGTTTGTGCAGGTGAAAACAAGTGAATTTAGACTTTCTATAATTTATCCTAATTTTCTATCGTGTTTTCAAGTAGTGCCCGAAGGGGGGCAACGAAACTGAACGATAATCGGCCACAGAATACGGCCTATTGTTCGAAAACTGCCCTTAGTAGACACATGCAGGCGAAAGGACATAAGGAGGCCGTTAAAATGATTGCAGAACTGAGTAAATCTAATTCAAATATAAGAACAATGTTTGGTGCCTCGGCAGCCTCGCAGAGTTCTGTTGCTAAAATGGAAATAAAACTCTGTAGTTTTATCGTTGAGCACAACCTACCCATCCATATAAGCGATGATTTGCTGGCTCTGCTATCCAGCTTATTTCCTACGAATAAAACAGTCCAGAAAGCAACATTAGGAAAGCAGAAAGCAACCAATGTTATTCGTCAGGTTCTGGGATTTCATACTCTTAAAGAATCCATTGCTGATTTGAAGTCTAGAAAGTTTTCATTGATCATTGATGAAACGACCGATTGCTCTCGCAAGAATCAACTGGCTATATTGGTGATCTTTTTCAATCCATGCACATTTAAGATGGATTGTAACCTGATTGACATCATTCAATTGGATGATGGAAAAGCTGAGACAATTTATAGTGCTATAGTGGAATGCTTTGAACAGAAAGACATTCCAATGGAAAACATTGTCGGATTTTGCGCAGATACCTGCAATGTAATGTTTGGATCACGTCATTCTGTTGCTCAAATGCTGGTTGCCAATTATCCATGGATAATACCTGTCAAATGTGCTTGCCATATGATCCACCTTTGTGCATCTCATGCGTCAGTGCAGCTGCCTAAGTCTATAGAAGATTTATGTCGAAACATATCTTCATATTTCCACTTATCCCCTCTACGAACCAAGAACTTTCAAGAATTCCAAGAGTTTTTTGACCTTGAGAAACATCAGCTGCTAAAACCTGGACAAACCAGATGGTTATCAATGAAGATGTGTGTAGATAGAATCATTGAACAATATGATGCTTTGAAGCTCTATTTCACAGGTGCAGCAGTTGAGGATCCAACACATACCAATGACAGCATTCTGAAAAGTCTAAACAACAAGTTCACTCTAGCATACCTTGAGTTCATGGCTTTCAACCTTGGTAGATTTACTTCTTTCAACACTTTATTCCAAAGTGGAATCCCTGTGCTGTATCTGCTGAAAAGTGAACTCAAAACCCTGCTAACATCAATACTCTCAGATTTCATGGAGGTAAGTAAAGTAGAAATAACTTAGATCTAAGTGGCCCTGTTACCGAATGAAGATATGGTAGACATACAAAACAAGTGAATAATTACTTTTATTCTCATACTTCTAAATTCTGATTACAGGTATCATATGTGCGAAAAAATGATCCATGGCATATTGATGTTAATGACCAGAAGCATTACGTCTCACTCAACAAAGTCTATGTTGGACCTTGTGCAATTGATACTATCCGAACCATAGAGGATGGTATTGGCAAGGACCATCCTGATGTGCAGCTATTTTTCACTCATTGTAGAAATTTTCAAATAGAATCTGTAAAGCAAATTTTGCTACGATTTGATGATTGTAGCAAGTTTGATTTCTTATCATTTCTCACACCTGTTTCTGCTTACTCCCTGTCTCCACCATCTTTATCGCAAGTCTACAGTCAATTTCCAAATCTAAAGGATGTTGCAGACTTGAGGGAAACTGATCGAGAATGGCGGCAACATGCACTTAGCCCCAATTTGAATGGTGAGAAGAGTTTTGAGGAATATTGGAAAGTGGTGTTCAGTGAGAAAAACCAAGGTGGAGAGAAAGTTTATCCCAATTTAACCAACGTGGTAGCTACAGCCTTATCTTTGCCATTTTCCAATGCTGCTGTTGAGCGTGTTTTTAGCCAACTAAGGCTTATCAAGAATGATCATCGGGCAACACTCAAGCAAGAAAGTTTGTTGGCTTTGCTTTCAACGAAGTATTCCTTCCTAAAGAAAGGAAAACGTCAGGCTGTTTTGATGGATCCTTCAAATGAAATGCTTAACCTGCACAAACGAATGAAATCCAATGCTGATGACGAAGATGCGGGAAAACTAAGAGCTGAATTTTTGAAAGAACTTAAAAACGCTTGAAACTTACAAAACCAAGATTAAGATATTTAGATAAGACAGAAAACAAAAACAGTTATCATTTACATTTACATCCTTTTGTTATTTATTGAAAATGAAAATGTTTAGATGCTAAACTAGGGCAAGAATTTTATTAAACACACTTGTCTTATTACCTCGTTTAGCACCAATGAGTTAACTTGTATTACGCTTTTACTTAATGGAAAATCTATAGAAATTTTGGGAGTGAATCTATGGAAATTCCACTCAAAATATGGAAATTTTTATTATGATATATGGATAAGCAGAATCTCAGAGTGGAAGCACTGCAGTGGAAGCGTGTTGAAAGAAAATGGCTGGTGCAGGAGCAGAGTATTTGGCTTCAATTTTTGGTACAGAAAAAGACAAGTATGTGGAAAATATACCTATTTTTAATAATCTTAAATCTGATTTGTTGGGTCTCCTGAACAAATGACTAGACGTAGCTGTGATTCTAATGGTATATTTTTATAAAACATCAGCAAGTTAAAATATGAAATGTTCAATCCAATACTACCTGCTACCATAAACAATAATATGGTACAGTGTATGCCATGAGTGTGTGTTATCGGCTTAATTTACTATTTATACGTAGACCTTTCGTGTTGCAGTGCCAATACATCTCATCCACTTGTTATTTGTTGATTTTAGCTTGTTACTTGTTAGTCTTTTGATAACATTTGATACCATGCATTGGTCTCTGAACAGAAAGTGTACTAAAGTACATATGAATCAAAATGTCAATAAGATAATACTAAATAAATAGAATGTATGGTAATGCCTAACTTCTGAAGTAGTCATGGACCACATATTTTAATGATCTATGCCCGATGCACCTAAACTTATATGCACTCATATCTTAGTCCAGGAGTGGAAAGTTTGTTCTGTTTTAACGGAATTTAAGAAAGTGATGTAATTATAGTCTCAGTGAATAATAATGATTATCAAAGTCTTTATAAAAACTTAACTGGGTACAATTGTTTGTGCGCAATCTTCAACTATAGCTCCTAACTTTGCAAAATGTACATTTTCAGCGGCACAAATATAGAATACCTCACAAGGTTAACTTTAATTAAAGTAACTAATTCATACCCAGCAATAATGATTTATTTGTGGGTCAGCTTTTTGGTTTATTTATTGAAATGTGTCTTTTTTATGGAGAGATATTCTATAGTTATTCAATTGCATTGGTTTATTTAGGAAAAAAAGATCGGGTGTATTATAGTAAAAAATGTATATTGTCTACTATACACATGTTTTATATGGGTTTCTTCTTCACTGAAAATTGCAAACATTTTGTTGTAACTTTTGGCTGTTATTTGGTTTGGTTTCAGGGTAAATTGCTCATTCTACTTCAAGATTGGAGCATGTCGTCATGGTGATAGATGTTCCCGAATACATAACAAACCAACATTTAGTCAGGTATTGTTATTGCAATGATAATAAATTATATAAGCTGCACTGGTGAAATTTGACAATGCAAAAAAGTAAAATTCCTGGTTTCAATTCATAAACAGACTGTTTAATATTACTAATAAGTTATTTTGGCCTCACTTTCTACAAATATTTTTTAGACAGTACTTCTACAGAACTTATATCAGAGCCCTCAAAGTGCAGCCCAAGTAACAGATGGCTCAGGTATATATTGTTATGCTTTAAAGTATTTTGTTTTTGACAGAACAAACCAATGAAGAATGTAAGGGTGGCATTTTGCTTATAATGTATGCTGTTATTGATATACTTGGTACATGAAAATGGATCCAAAAAATGATGTGCCAATTGAAAACATTCTTTTAAAATTATTCCTGTTCCTATAATAAGGGACAAAGTCAATTTATAGTTTTGTGTGCAGTCACCTTGTCTTTTTCTTTTGTACTAAAATAAATATTGCTGTGGATAATGAACATACAAATACAGTACACACCAATCACAATTTTTTTTAGGAAGTGCAATCTCTGATGTGGAAGCCCAGGAACACTATGACAGGTTTTTTGAGGTTTGTATTATACAGTACAGTATCATGTAAAAAGGAATGATATCCCCTCTTGGTTGCTTATTGAAAAAACAAATCCAATACTTAATTAACAAGGAGCTTTCCTTTATTTATAGGATGTTTTTCTTGAGCTGGAAAAGGTACTGTTAAATGCAAATATTATGTAACTCTTGAACTCCGAAGTGCTTAGTTTTGAAACATTTCGTAGTACTTTAAACCAAATTTTAAAATTCTCTGAAGTGTGATTTTATTAGTTCATAATGACATAATCATTATTCAAGATATATTTTTTGTTTTCTTCAATTAAAAGTATGGTGAAATTGAAGAAATGAATGTGTGTGACAACCTTGGTGACCATCTTGTTGGCAATGTTTATATTAAGTATCGACGTGAAGAAGATGCTGAGAAAGCCTGTAAGGTGTTGAACACCAGGTGGTATGATGGTATGTATTATAAGTAACTGTCCCTCTTCAGGTTATGTTGTAATATATACTTAATATGAAATCAACGAATCTAAAGGCTGTTTTCCACTATCGCATTTTTTGTACATACTCACATGATACTTATGAAATCAAGGATTGAATAGATGCATAAGCTTGGATTCTGTTGACCATGCAATTTGTGCATTGTTCAAAACAGAGTTATTCGTTTGATTGGATCTTTTCATATTTTATGTGCTTTTAAATTTAGGCCAGGCAATATATGCCGAACTCTCGCCTGTTACTGACTTCAGGGAGGCATGTTGCAGACAATATGAAATGGGGTGAGGTTTTTAAGCTATAAAACTGATGTAATTTACGTATATATAGTCTCTCTTTTATGAAAACTACAAATTTCATTTATTGTGATTTTATTTTAAATCCCAGAGAGTGTACGCGTGGTGGATTTTGTAATTTTATGCACATGAGACCAATATCGCGCGAATTAAGGTATACCGTAATAGCAAGAATTGTCTTTTACAAATCGATTCTATAATTGCACCTCAAATACAAATTGGTCTTTTTGTTTTTTATTGTAGACGTGAGCTTTATGGTCGTGTTCGAAGAAACAAAAGGTAAGGTACTCCAAAGGTATAATTTCATTAACATTGGTATAAAAAAATTCCACCACTAGGAATCCAGGTGATGAATTCTGTTTAATTTATTTCATTTTAGCTGAACACGTAGCTGTATCTAAAACGGGAATCATGCATATATGAAAATAGATAAAAGATACATCTTCTTGACATTGTCATACATCTACGATCCCCGTTATTGATCCTGTATTTATTCATGATTTATATATTTCAGACCTGCCTATCGTTCCCCATCTCCTCCATACAAGCGTCGTTCCAACTCTCGATCACCCAGACGGCGATCCAGATCTCGCTCCCCGCGTCGCTAAAAAGCATTGAATTCAAGCTGTATCCTGTGTGATTATGCTGGAATCCTGAACAAACCACAACTGTAGATTCGCAGCTGCATGTAAAGACTGTCGAATAATGTCGTAGTTCTTGCATCATGAGAATTTCCTTTTTACTTGCTGTATCTTATAAGCTTATTTCTGTGGTTCAAGAGTTTGTCGCAGTGTAATCTTACAATAATGTTTTATCACGTTTTGTTTATTTTGAAAAGTTTTATAAAAGTTACCCATAGTTAGCACAGAGCCCTGGGTTAATCCTACAGTGTACATGGACAAGTTGTTTAAAAGACGGTTAACTTCACCCAGGGTTAACGCAAATCCTTACCTCATTTTTTTCAAACTACAGCGGTTTTCAGTGGGTTTACAGCCCCAGTCTCATACCCAGGATTATTACCTTTCCTTACCATTTCCGGTACGAGGATAAGCATAAGCATTATTAGGAGGATCATCTCGACCCCGGCTTGGTTTACTTTTTTTTATCGAAAATAGCCGCACGACCAAACTGGGCCAAACCACAGTCATTAACTGTGGCCAAACTAATAATGAGACTAAGCTGTCCAGCTGAGCCAAATTACGCATGCGTAATTTGGTAATTTCCCATGCGATCGTCGACCATAGAATGTCGTCGACCCACAATACCCTTCGACATTGAAGATTCGAGTGAATCGAGTTTTTCGACTTTGAGCAGGCGATTAAAATTTCGAGTGAGAGTAAACATTCGGAATTTTCGTTAAAAATGAGTTCATCGAAGCCAAGGAACAGATCACGGTCTCCAATAAGAAAATCTAATGAACGTCCACATCATTCGGGTTCCTCAGATAAAAAAGAGCGGCGAAATAGCAAGGACCAAGGCAATAAGACACTCGATGAAAAGACACCTAATGCAGAAACTAAATCAAAGGTTCAGGCGAAGTCCGACAAGAAGGACAGCCTGATTGAAACCAATAACAATTCTGCATCGAAAATGAACCACAATTCAGTTCAAAAAAACTCTTTCGTTTATAATACTAGTAGCAGGACGTATGTGAATCCTGTGACGGGAAAAACGGAGCGAAAATTTTCAAACAGATGTCGTTTGTTTGTGGGAAATATCATGGATATGAGTGAAGAAGAATTCACAAAGATGTTCGAGAAATATGGAGAATACTCAGAAGCGTATGTGAACAAAGATAAGGCTTTTGGTTTTATCAAAATGGTACGTTTTTGTCGTAAAATAAAAAAAAAGTTTATAAGAAATATGATTCAAAGTGTTATCTGCCAAGCAGTTGGGCGACTTGGGTCACCGTGACCACGTGGGCATCACTTACTAGTGACCACTGCTAATCATTAGCTACCATTGAGTCCTAACTGGGTTAAGACGAGGTTGCTTTAGGGTTAGTATTGAGAGTAATGTTAGTTTGTTTTCAGCAGGGTTTAATTAGAATGACAAATTCCAAGTTTTAAGGTTTATTTTAAGAGTTTTTGAGGTTTATAATTCAACTAATATTCTTGTATGCTTTTTTTATTGTATTAGCCTAAGAAGAAACTATAAGTTCTATTATTATTCATTAAATAGTGTAATTGTCTGCTATTGGCTGAAAATGTACTGATAATTTCAGATATCTGTCAGTATCCATGCTATTTTTCAGCAGATATAGTGTTATCTGTCGGTGCCTGCGGTATTTTTCAGCGATTAGGTTATTATCTGTAGAGGTTACAACTGATAATTGCGATTTATAAGTTTTACTGTAAATGCATCTAGCAACTTTCCTGGCCATCTTTGATAGAGAGAAGTGGGGGAAGAGGGATGGGTGGAGGATAGAACAGGGAAGTGAGGGAAGAAAAGAGTTGTGTGAAATTTCAGTTTTGTATAAACAACAAAGATGATCAATATATTTATATGTCTGATTTATCTCAGTGATGAAAATTAACTAAGGATCAACCATCTGACTCATGATGATCCAAAGATAGATTCTGAGAGATAAATATAGCTACATACTATATCAGTTTAATTAGAATGACAAATTCCAAGTTTTAAGGTTTATTTTAAGGGTTTTTGAGGTTTATAATTCAACTAATATTCTTGTATGCCTTTTTTGTTGCATTTGCCTAAGAATAAACTATAAGTTCTATTATTATTCAATAAATAGTGTAATTGTCTGCTGATTGGCTGAAAATGTACTGATAATTTCAGATATCTGTCTGTACCTGTGCTATTTTTCAGCAGATATAGTGTTATCTGTCGGTGCCTGCGGTATTTTTCAGCGATTAGGTTATTATCTGTACATAGAGGTTATTGGTCTGCGCCTGCCGTTTTGCAGCGGTATCATGCACAAGCATGGGAAATTTGCGAGCTTGTCTTCCAATGAATAATAAAACAATTATTGAATTTGGCTTTCACAGGCTATCCAGAATAATTCAGGCCTCATTTTATGCATTTGCAAAAAAATTATCTCCTATTACCATTTGCAATTCTGTTCTGTATTCTCTTGATGTCGCTACCTCTTGGGAACAATTTATGGTTTATGGAAACTAAGAAAACTTTTTCCTAAGAAAATCACGACAATCGCACATTTTTCTTTATTAGGACACAAGAATGGCAGCAGAAGCTGCTAAAAATGCTTTAGATGGCTCTGTGCGTAAAGGACGAAATCTAACTGTGCGATTTGCTACCTTATCTACTGCTATTCATGTTTCTAACCTTGGCCCTCTGGTCTCCAATGAGATGTTGCAAAAGGCGTTTTCTGCCTTTGGTGATGTGGAAAGAGCTGTTGTTGTTGTTGATGATCGAGGAAGAAGCAAAGGGTATGGGAGAGTGGAATTTGCTCGTAAAGGAAATGCTGTGAATGCATTACAAAAAACAAATGAAGGGTTTTTTATGATTGGAAGGTATGTAGCCACAAACTGCTATAAGAAATAAAATCCCTATGCAATTCCAGCCTGTTTTAAGACAAGATATAATGCATCAAATTTATATTATTGGGATTTTGCAAAAAATATTAAAATCACAGAACAACAGGTCAACAATTTCCTCCTAGATCAATTTACATTTATAAATATTCAGAATACATATGTTTCTTATAAATAGTGATGCTAATCTGTATAATTTAGTACTCTTACAATATTTAAAAAGAAAATTTCCCCCGTCACCTGCTAATGATGAATACAGTGTTTGAACATATCTGACATTTTCAATTTGACTTTGTTTTGACTTCTACTATATGACATGATTTATTAAATTGAATTAATATTATTTTTCGTAAATCTCCTGAAAAGAGACAAACAATTCTGGTGATTTGGTAGGGGATGGAAATGATAAACCTTTATTTATATTCCATGACTGTTATAAACTGTAATGAAATTTAATCCCTGTGATGATGAGTTATTTTACATCTGGAATTACCGGCTGAATGTGAGTGATGACTATCGAATCTGAGGGATACCATTTTTATGCTAAACATCTAAGTTTTACCTAATAAATCCCAGTACTAACTAAATATTTTTTGTCATTTCCTATTGCTGTTTTTTTCTGTCAATTGATTTTTGACTTTTTCTAATTTGTTTTCCATTATCTTCTAACCATAAAAAAATCTGCATCTTCTAGATCACCAAGACCAGTGTTTACTAAACAACAAGAGCAAACAGATGAAGAGGAAGGCCTTCTTGAAAAATCAATTGAACGCCAACCAATGTATTACAGGTAAGTTTAAGTACAAAATGTTTGGTCTTCCAAATGTTATATAGCTTGAAATTTTGTAGGTTTACATATATGTTTCAAAATTACCAGGGAGCAGCATATGGGAGCAACTTGCAGTAACTTCTAGTTAAATATACTTAAAATAGCTCCTATAACATAATAACATACAAAAAACTTATAGAGAGTGTATAGGCCTTACTTAAAAGTTTCCATAAAAGTGGTTGTAAACCTGGAGTGTGATTTATGTAGTGAGCGTGATGCAGGGGCTCGGTTTGCACCATCCGGTACTTTTGAACATGAATGGTGTCAGAAGTGGAAACAACTAGAAGAGATGAAGAGAACTCAGTTAGAATCATTGGAGAAACAGTTTAAAGAAGCTGAAGATAAACTAGAAAATGATATGGTTCAGGCTGTTTCTGATTATGAAGCAGAAATTAACCGTAGAGGTACATATTGTTTTTTAATTGCCAGCAGAGAATTTTCATGATGAATAGTTTAATAGTGAATAATTTGTGTATTTAACATTGGTGTTCAACACATGAGCCTTTTAATACTGAAACATTCCAACATTTGTTTTGCATTTCCTCTGGCTAAACTGTAGAAATGTTGGCAAAACAAGCTGAAATACAACGACAAGAAGAAATGATGCGACAAGAAATGATGAGACAACAGGCAATGGAGCTCAGGTGCGTACAATTTGTGAAATACACTGTAGTACACAAGGTATTAGTTAAGAATCCTTCAGTATAGACTATTTTAATAATTTTGTTTGCTTATTAGTTCACTACTCTGTGTCATTTTTAACTGTCACCTTCTGGATAAAAATACATGTATATACATTGCGACTGCCTCTGTGATGATTGTTATTATAACTGGAATTACCGGCTGAGTTTAAGTGATGCCTAAATTTAACTGAGAGGCAAGAATCCAAAACATTACCTCTTTAACCTTGATAATGTCATGACTCTACAAATCTTTACGTTTATAGTTTACAATAGTTTACTTTTTTGTTAAAGACGGCACGAAGAAGCAAGAATACAGGAAGAGTTGCAAAGACAAGTGGAAATTCGTATGCAGGAAGATTTATTGCGTCGTCAACACGAGGAACTTCTAAGAAGAAGACATCATGAGGTAAACACTATTGTCACACGTTAAAATGCGCTAGCACAATTTACTGATTGTGTTGATGAGTATGAAGGCTGCAGTTTTGCTATATCAGAGGGTAGCAAGCATATGAATTTGGGCTATAAAGTCATTAGTTGCCCTAGCCAGATTTCCAGAAAATTAGGGCTACTGAGAAAAGAAGTTTGCTGATATTACTAAAACTTTGAATATTTACGACTGATAATTGCAATTTATAAGTATTTATGTAAATGCATCTAGCAACTTTCCTGGCTATCTTTGACAGAGAGAAATGGGGGAAGAGGGGTGGGGGGGGATAGAACAGGGAAATGAGGGAAGAAGAGAGTTGTGTGAAATTTCAGTTTTGTGTAAACAACAAAGATGATCAATATATTTATTATTTATAGCTACGTCTGCTTTATCTCAGTGACGAAAATTAACTAAGGATCAACCATCTGACTCATGATGATCCAAAGATAGATTCTGAGAGATAAATATAGCTACATGCTATATCGGTGTCTTTATTACATATAATTTAAAAGAACTTCGAATATTTACGACTGATAATTGCGATTTATTTTAAGGAAGCTGCATTAATTCATGGCGCTCGAATGCCCCCAGTTGGGGCGTTTGGTCTCGGACCACCGGGCCATCCACCTGGTTTTATGCCCCCTGGCATGAATCCTGTTCACAACCCAAGAATGCCCTTGCCTCCAATGGGAAGAGGAATGCCCTCGCCTGGTGACGCGGTAAGTTTGTAACACTGTCGTGAGGTAAATACAATGTATACTGGAGAACAATTTGTTTTTAAAAACAAAAGCTGTTCTTACCTGGAATGTGAATTACCTGATCGTCTTTCGGCCCTGGAGGCGACATAATGCCATACATTCATCACTTCATCCGGCGATTTAGACTTAGACTGACAAAGCTGCATCGTCCTCTGTTTTATGTAAGATATAGTAGCTAAGTAAGATAGCTTGCGCATTTAAAATCGTTCCTGATGTGTCGTATGGTAGTACGGTGTAATTGCACGTGAAAGCGATTTAATATGCATGAAATGTTGGCGATGCTTTAAGTTTAACAATTTCCACAGGTTTTTAAGATAGTATTTGATAACCTTTGGTGTCTTTGATAGCGAAAAGACTTTGGAAACGTTTGTGTCACATATAGTTTTTAAATGTTCGACTTTACAAATTTCTCGAAGTAACTCGTACTGCACCCATGCATCCATCCAACCATACAAAGTTCACCTAATCTTCCTTAGTTTTATGTATTAGCTATAAACCGTAAAGTATTATTGTCAAAGATGTGTGAAATCATATGTGAACGATAGATACAACTCCTGTGATATTTTGACCTTTAGGCAATTGGGACTATAAATCTATAATCTAAGTAATTCTGTTCTACAATCCCGATTCCAAAACTTCTGAAGAGGAAGGAAAGTTCTGATCCAGGCCGGTCGTACTTAAGCTACAGATACTTTAAGATTAACGTCCACGGCAAACCGCTTACAGATTTTCGACATCTTAGTGATTATTTCATGCCTTCTGGATAAAATGTCCCAACTGCAACCACGTAACATTTCACTAAAGCACACGATTTCAGTTTGCTGCTTTTATTGGGCGGAACGTCAATCTTAAAGTGTCTAATGATTAGATGGGAGCGCTCCTAGGGGGAGGGGTGGATATTTTGACTATATTATAGAAATCGCTGTTTTGTGACCATCGAAAAATATGCCTAAAGGGAAAGGTATTAGCGATTGATGGTAGAAAGTTATCTGTATGTTATAGATAACTGGATTAGTGGCAATCAGTTGAAATTAAAATTGATTTAAAGTTAAAACAATTATAACATTGGGATTATATCATGGATTATGATTATGCTGCATCAACAATTATCCTGTTATTATCTACTCTCTTAGTTAGATTAATTGAATTTTATTAGCTGCAACACATAAATCACGCAGCATTACCGCATGACAATTTTATCGTTCGACCGGTCTGGCTAGGGCTTATATGACAATGGGATTGCATGTTCCGTACTAATATAAAATAATATCGATAGAATTTCACTGGGGCACAGGCTAGCGATAGGTGTGCTGACACGGTACTGAAAAGTTGATATCACACAGTTTACACAGTTTTTGGTCATACTTTTTAACACAAATATATAAGTTCAATATTCTTAGTTTAGATATCACAATTCTTGATAAGCATAAAGCATACATTTCTATAATTAAACTACGCCATATGAAGGATTGGAATGGAAATCGTGAGGATATGCAAAAAAGAATGTTTTCTTCATTTGGTAAATGCTGTTCAACGGCTGTATACATTTATTTAAAATTTTGATAACCAGTGAAGCATTGGGCATAACAATAATGTTGTTGCAGTATATATAGAAAAAGCTCGTAAATTTGTAAATTTAATACGATTGCAAAGAATATCGTTCTATGCCCGTTATATCTGTGTAGTTAATCCAATTTTCTATTAATCCATTTCTATTTGTTGGCGGATTTTTATATGTAGAGACACCATGGAATGATGGGATATGATTTAGATGGTGATCGTGGACGTGAACGTAGGCCAATGGATCGCGGCGATCGTTCACGTGCCGGCCCGCGGTATAATGATCATAAGTCACGTGATCGCTACTGAGACTGGGAGAACGCATTGAGAACGCGTTAAGTCCGCTGAACAATATATGCTTTGCTTTTAAAAACAATAGATCTGTCAAATCCGCGCCAATAATTCTCGCGATAAAGCTAGTATATGAATGATGCGATTCTCAAAAGCAAACATTTTAGCGAACGACATGAGGTAAATTTGTAAATAGCTTGGTGAGCGAACACTACAGAACTTCCTATATGAACGAATAGAAGACGAGTTTCAAATTTCTAGCTGACCGAACATAATGTAGGGAATAATTTGATGCAGTTTAAATAGTTCTAGTTAAAACGTATTGAGAGTAGTATATTTTACGATTAGTGCGAGACACTGCTGTTTGTGTAATCAAGTTTTACTTGTAACTTACTTTCTTAACTTTATCGATTTTGTCAACCTATTTGCCTTTTCATAGAATTCTATAAATACATGACATATAGCAAAGAAGTTGGGCTATTCATATATATATATATATGGGATTTTGCTGTAGTTTGCTTTTAGTCTTTATAGCACTTTGCTTTTGTAAGAAAGCATTATCTAAAAGTTGTCTGTGGTATAAATTGCATTCCGTCCAATTCCAGGCGTTAGCTATTAGAAAAGCAGAAAATGTTTTGCGAAACGCTGTCACGGTCGCTTCCTGAGCATGAAAATGTCGTTTTCTACAATAAATACTGAAGTGCGCATAAGTCAACGATTCTCAAGAACGATTATGCGTATCTATTGGTGAAAAGCGTGCCTGAAGAAAACATTCGCAACAATGATATCAATATGACGTATTCAATGTAATATGACGTATTCACTGGTGACAACGGCGTGTGAATAGAGTATATCTGTCTAAAAAACTGTCTACATCTGCACCGTCTCTCTCATGGCTAGTGTTGGGTGCGTTGTTTGACTTGTTTCCAAAAGTCCCGGATCTAAGTTGCGCGACCCTTATTTGACGGGATAGGAATATTGCAATATAGCTATTACGGGGTAATTACCTCGGAGCTTGGGCGCAAACGGAGCACTAAGGAAAGAGCACTGAATTATAAGAGCAAAATCAAGAACACTCTCGTTCATATTTGCATTGTGTGTAACCATATTTAATGTGTTGTAATGCACCTTTAATTTACTGTCGATTTTTATCGGCCGGTTGTTTATTTAATGGTGTTAAAACGAAAAACAGTCAGTGGAATGAATATATAGGCTTTTTATATCATTGTTTTTCTAAACGTGTTTTGTCAAATGTCGTGCAATGCGGACGCAGTAATTGGGTACGGACGCTTATATTTTGGTATTCAGCGTTGTCATTTAGGTTCTGAGAAAACATATTACTGCAACCTTGAATATATATATTCCGAACTCTGTCTATTTGCAAATTTGGGGTTCGTCTGTGTTTAATATCTACGTTTGGGCCTAACCACAGTTAACAGAGGTATGAGCTTGTATTTGGTGACCTGGAGAGAAAGTATTACTGGCATACGTTTGGGAACATGTTGTGGTCCGTTCGGCTAATAGGGTTATTAGCTTTCTAGAATATGATTATAGTTTTATAATCCAAGAAATCAGTTTTCTGTTTCTAAAGCAATAGAAATGGTGAAATGCATAACACAACATCGGATGCTTACACCACCGTGTTCAATAAACTTGAATAAGTACAAAAAAGATGTGAAGGAAAGCTAGAGAAACTTCTCTTTTAAACACCGCTGTATATTAGGTTCGAGTCCATACTGTTTCTGGTGTTTGTCATAAGGTTTACAAGCTGAATGGAAAACAAGATAACTTGCTGAATTTAAGAATATATAGGTTGGCAACTAACCATTACAAATAAGATAACTATTGCAGATGAAGTTTTTATGCGAAAGAATGCATTCAAGAATATTAATAGAGCTTAATTGTGGAATTGATGTTCGTCTCTGGGAGGTATGTAGCAACTTTTAAGATAAAGGCTGTAAAGAATCGTGAATTGCCACATATCATATATGTTGAAGTAGCGAGACTACCTTAAATCCTCTATTATGCGCTAGTTATGGGCAAACGCAGCATTTTTGTTGTTAGCTTATGACTCATCGTAAAAAGGAAACCCTATGCTAAAATAGAACTCTGTCATATATAGGGAACCGATTACATGGACCAGCAGGTTTTACTGGGCTGGTCCGTCTTGATAAAGCAACTCTATATTATTCTCTTTTTATAATAACATGGTAGTTTGCTTTGGCGAGATCTCGCTTGCCTCAGAGAGCTAGTTCTCTTACCCGGAATGGAATTCTCTATATAATTATTTTTATTTCAACAAAGTGAGCTAAAAGCTAAAGATCAAGGAGCTAAATTGCCTAAAATATAGCACATTTCCTTAGGTTTTTATAGAAAAATGTAAACAAAAAACTTTAACCTAAACCAAAACCACAAATACAACATTGTGTGTCAAATAAGCGCTTTCGATGGTGAAGCGGCTGCAATTCGTACTTGAAAGTGAAGAAAGTATATTTGTGACAATATTGAATGGCATTATAGCGACAAACAAGGATCTATATATACTTGATCACTGATCAACTTTCTAAAATTTTCATTGTTTATAAGGTTGTTTTGTTCCATCCAGGTCCATATTCCCCTATCCGCGGAGATGTAGGAGAGGACTGGTGCATGATATATTAGTTGACAGTCAAAGCAGTCCTCTGTCGTTTTAGCAAAAGGCTTGCTCAGTAATACTGGTTACCCTCGGTCCATGTAGTTGGTCTTGTTGGTACTAGGGCAGGGAAATGCATATATGGTTGGGGGTAATGTGGGGGGCGGGATCAATTTGCTTGGTTTATTGCTTGGAAATTATGAACCACGCCAATATGTCTGCACTATTTGTTTGGGGGGAGGAAGAGGGGGGTTCGGGGATGGATGGGGATGCTTATGCATTGCGTCTAAACCAGGCTAAAATTGTAAGGTTTAATAGAGGATTTATGGTATATCAAAAAATATATCAATACTAAATTCGCATGCTTTGGACAACCTACACGAATCTCTCTTAATTGAATTATTTTATCTAAGAAAATGGGCGATGGAATGTGTAGTAGAATTACAGAACTGAACTGTGTAGTGTATACTTGTGCACCTTTGCTTTTTCAAACAGTGTCTGTGATGTATAGGGTTAGTTCATGGTGGGGGAGTGATATTTACTATAAACATAGAGCATGTGTAAGCTAGCTCTTGGCAGACCCTCGTTTAATTTGGGGTCTGATTTGAAAAGACTTTGAGGGTAACGAGGGCCTGCCACGCAGGCAGTTTTCTAACTATGCCGCAGGTATGTGACTGTATAGCATATGTTATAGCTTTGCTCTTTCCTGTTCTAACTTGTAATGGATAATAGCTGGATTGAGGTCTATTTATTATGAAAACGTAGAAGTAACTGCACATAGATCATAATTTTAGGCAAGAAACCAATTAAAATCTATATTATGTCATAATCTTTAGCTCTTGGTTGATTCTACAAAGTTTGAGTTGCTTGCCTGTTAAAACAGCAATGATGATAGGAATTTTTTGTAAACATGTTTTAAAAAACAATCAACCAAGTTGGCAGCAAGACTGTCTGCATAAGAACCGGCTTCGTGCTATTTTCTAAATTTTGTTCAACGCGAGAACATTTTCGATATTACAAAACTGGACATTACAAAAGTCGTCAAAGTGTATTCGTTATATGACTTATTCAATAGCTAGTACAAAGCTTATATAAGATATTTCAGCAAATCGTCTTAATTCATTTGAATTTTTTTCTTTCCTTAGACGAAGACAAAAGCTATATGTGCACGCTAAAAAAGATGGTTATAGAATCGGCATGCTGCAGTTAAAGGGAGGAATTACAGACGAATAATTATCTGGTACTTATACTGTTCCTGTCTTTTATATTACGGAAACCACTATGCGGTAACCAATGCAACCTAGATTGTAGAACTAATGGATTGAATAGAGATTGTGCGTATGCGCAAATTTCCCGCGGCTAAGGACAAAAACCTTAACATATATTAACAGTGAATAACTAATTTCACTGTAACTCTCTTCCATTTCTAACACTCAGCAATTTTTCTCTGTTGAATTTAGGTTTGCAAATGGATAAAGATTATTGAAATATAAGTGATAAGGTGCTTAAACTGGTGTGGCGAAATCGATGAGTAAAACGTCTGAAAAAACCATTCAACATCAGATGCAAGGTTAGTTCAAAAATTATTAATACATAAATCAATACTGAGATTATGACATGATTTCGTCAACCGGCATGTATAACTATATGTCATATTCGTTCATTTGTATTGTTAATCTATTTTGTCCAAAAATAGCAATGCACTGGCTACAGTTTTGCGATGATGAAATGATTTCTCTTACTGTGTAATCGTTGCAGCGCCAGAAATGGCTGAACCCACTGTTGACGATTTTACGGACATGAGGAGAAATACCAGTTTGTCTGGTGTCTGAGCATAACTATGTAGAACATATTTAATACCGAAAATATTTAATAAAAATATTCGCTCGAACTTTCTTGAAACAAAAAGGAACATCGCTCCATCAATGATTCGATCGTTTTTTCACGACTTGTACTAGTATCTAAAATTGTATCTTTTGCTTTCCTGCAGAAACCAGAATTGCGCAATGTTCGATCCATGATCATATTTTGAAATTGTTTTCGTTCACGTGGTAAGTGATCGCGTAACTTAAAGTAAAGTTCTGGGGTCTTGAAATATAGGTTAAAGTGGAAGTGAATCCGTATGTAAACAAACGAGTTATTTGCACTTTGGACTTCTATACTTTTTTTTTAAATGGCTATGATGTTTTTCTGAATATCTAACACCATTTAGGTTCACTACGCTTCCAAACGAATATGAATTAGAGTTTATGTTCGAAACATGCGAAACATGGGTATTCATTTACATCATAGGGCCCTTACATTTTCATGAGCATGACCGATGTGAGATCGGATATGACTTCCACTTTAATCTAGAGACAGCAATGTTTATACGAATTTGATATCTTTGTGCCTTTCAAATTCAAACACGTATACCATCTACAGTTTGCGATGATGAAGTGATTTCTCTTACTGTGTAATCATTGCAGCGCCAGAAATGGCTGAACCCACTGTTAATGATTTTACGGACGTGAAGAGAAATGCCAGCTGGTCTGGTGTCTGAGCATAACTGCATGCATAGAAAAATCACCAAGGTATTTGAAAATAATGTTTTAAAAAGAATATAAATTGTTTAATCGTTCAAATCGTTCATGCTACCTAAAAATAAAATGCTACCTAATTTCATTTAGTTGGGATGACGCTTACGTTCTGGCGAAGTGTGCAGGTCACATACCACAGCAATAAAATAGGCTCGATATTGTTCGAGGTATACAATTCAGTCCAACAAGAGCTTTTGTTTAGAAACGCCGGTGAAGAAAAGAAGAACTTTATACTTCATAACAAAATAATGTTGTAGCCTCAGGAACCAGGCCGCAATCCAGGAGGATCTTCATCGAATACATACTTACGATAAACCTGTAATCCTTCAAAAACAGTAAACATTTTGAGATTGTTTAATTTACTTTTAATCCGACTGTGCCAATACATCGTTCAGGCCAAAACCAACTTCTAATAATTATACGTAAGATTGAAGATGAGGCACAGTCCGTTCTGCGCATCGGTTCTGCTCATAAGGATAGGACGGGGCAATTGATTAAGTTCCCCACATTTTTTAGAAAGTAACTCGATTTCATATACATTTTCGATGTATACCGGACCAGAAATCGTGTTAGACATTCTGACGGTCATCATATTTTAAAAATATTCAAAAGAATTTGTACATTACGGACTTCAATAAATATGATGCAACCTTTAGTGTCATAACGTCGTAAGCTTTTTTTATTTATTCTTTCGTGGAAACAATATATTTTTATTTCAACAGCTAAAATGACATAATCAAAAAATTCAGCAGAATGTGTAACGGGACTCAAAGGAAAAAACGCAATCTTTCGAAATTTTTAGTTCCCTCCCCGAGAATGCCCGGAAATAGCTGAAAAATATAGAAAACCGTTCTTTCGTGCAAACAATACATTTCTGTAAAATCGGTAACAATAAAATCATACTTTGACGATTTTCAAAATTTCAGGAAAATCGGCAACGGGGGACCTAAGAAATCATGATTTTCGTCAAAGTTTTGAACTTTCGAAATTCTGTTCCAAATACCTCGAAATAGTTCAAAACTAAGTACAATTACATTCTTTGATGTAACGAATACATTTGAACACATAAAATCATACTTTGTCATATTTTGATAAATTTCAGAAAAATCGGTAACGGGGGACCAAAGAAAAATTGTGATTTTAGTCAATTTTTGAAATTTCAAAATTCGGTTCCAAATACCTCGAAATGGATCATAACTAAGTACAATTACATTCTTTGATGTAACGAATACATTTGAACACATAAAATCATACTTTGATAAATTTCAGAAAAATCGGTAACGGGGGACCAAAGGAAAAATTGTGATTTTAGTCAATTTTTTTGAATTTTAAAATTTGGTTCCAAATACCTCGAAATGGATCAAAACTAAGTACAATTACATTCTTTGGTGTCACGAATATATTTGAACAGATAAAATCATACTTTGGGAATTTCAAAAAAATCAAAGGAGGGGGTATCAAAGGAAAAATTGTGATTTTAGTCAATTTTTTGAAATTTTAAAATTCGGTTCCAAATACCTCGAAATGCTTCAAAACTGAGTAAAATTACATTCCTTCATGAAAACAATCCATTTAACACATAAAATAATACTTTCACAAATTTCAGAAAAGTCGGCAACGGGGGACCAAAGGAAAAATCGTAATTTTCGTCAGTTTTTCGAAATTTAAAAATTCGGTTCGAAATGATTCAAAGCTGAGTAGAATTACATGCCTTCATGAAAACAATCCATTTGAACACATAAAATAATACTTTCACAAAATTCATTGCAAATCGGTAACGGGGGACCAAAGGAAAAATCGTAATTTTCGTCAGTTTTTCGAAATTTCAAAATTCGGTTAAAAATACCTCGAAATGCTTCAAAACTGAGTAGAATTACATTCCTTCATAAAAACAATCCATTTGAACACATAAAATCATACTTTCACAAATTTAAAAATTTCAGAAAAGTCGGCAACGGGGGACCAAAGGAAAAATCGTAATTTTCGTCAGTTTTTCGAAATTTCAAAATTCGGTTCCAAATACCTCGAAATGCTTTAAAACTGAGTAGAATTACATTCCTTAATGAAATCAATCCATTTGAACACATAAAATCATACTTTCACAAATTTCAGAAAAGTCGGCAACGGGGGACCAAAGGAAAAATCGTAATTTTCGTCAGTCTTTCAAAATTTCAAAATTAGGTTCAAAATACCTCCAAATGCTTCAAAACCGAGTAGAATTGCATTCCTTCATAAAAACAATGAAGAGCAGGGACCTTGCAGGTAGGCAGAAAGGTTACTCCAGTTCAATGACTTCCGAATGGCAAATATTTCTCAAGGTTTCTCGAAAAGTTAATTCAATGAAATTATTGGGCTGGTTAGTATACATCAAATATACTTCCTGCAGTCGAATGGACTAATAATAGTATCGACGGCCGATAAATGAAATAAACTTGCAGGGTATTTATTATCTGCTAGTGGGGCTGGGTGGTAAATCACACTAACAAAGATGCAGAATATTTCGCGTAGTATAATCGGTACTGTTGTATTGTTTTTCGTTTTCCTGAAAGAATGTACGTACACTTAGTTTCAAACCATTTCGATGTAGTTTAAACTGTATTTCGATATTTTGAAAAATTGCAATTTTTCTTAAGGTTGCCTTAAACCTTATCATTTTGTTCGTAATTGAGGAATTTTTTAATGTCCTCAAAATAGCTTTAAATATTGATTAGGACTCATCTCTTTGGTTTTTAGCATGTATTGTATTTGGTTTTGGCGAAATGTTATGAGGTAGCCTTTTGGCCGAATTTGACGATTTTCGAAAATTTTCTAAAAATGTGACAACATGCTGAGAATGGCTTCAAATGTTTCCTAAGACTAAACTCTTTGGTTTTTGAGCATATTTGGTTCGTTTTTCGTTTTTGATAAAGTCGTCCCACAATCACCTCATTGAGCGATGTCATAGTATACTAACTACAAAGCCTTTAAAAGCTTTAAAACAGTTATACAGAATAATACATATAATAAAATAATAATAAAAGGTTGATATCAACGTACGATCCGGTGGTCGAGTGGTTAAGGTTGCGATCTGCCAGTTTGTTAGCGTAGGTTCGAATCCTGCATGGGAAAAGTTCGATTTTTCCACCCGAAATTACTATTTAATTTAAAATTCGTCGAAAAGGATTTAGTCCAATAAAGAACAATAGCCTTCGACATATGATGCGGTGGTCTTGTGGTTAAGACGTTCGTCTCTCAATCCGAGAACAGACGTTTCAACTCCTGGCAACGCAAGAAAATTAGCCAGAAAAATTTCGGTGTGATTTGGAATGTTTAAATTAGTTAAAAGACTTCTCGGCCTTTCTCCTGTAAATTAAAAAAATTTGAAAAAAATTTCTCGCGTTCAAAGTACTTGAAAATTGAAAAAAAGCACGAGCAAAAAAATTTTAAAAACATGTGTCTTCTAAAAAGACTGAAAATTAAAAGTCGGAAAAAAAATTAAAAAAATTTCCCGCTTTTAAAAACTCATGTTTACTTACCTTAATTTTTTTTCACGAAAATTTGACAGGGTGATTTTCTCGAGACAGAAAAAATTTACTTTTTTTCACTTTTTTGAAATTCTCTTCGATTTTTTTTGACGCGGAAGTATTTTGTCTTGGGCTACCTGTGTTTGTCTTGGGCAACCTGTGTCTGGCTTGACACAGGTAGCCCAAAACAAAATACTTCCGCGTCAAAAAAAAATCTAAGAGAATTTCAAAAAAGTGAAAAAAATTAAATTTTTCACTCTCGAGAAAATCACCCTGTCAAATTTTCGTGAAAAAAAATTAAGGTAAGTAAACATGAGTTTTTTAAAAGCGGGAAATTATTTGATTTTTTCCGTCTGACTTTCTTCATCTTCAGGCTTTTTAGGACACGTGTTTTTAAAACTTTTTTTACTTGTGCTTTTCTTTTAATTTTCAGGCACTTTTGAACGCGATAATTTTTTTTTTATTTCAAATTTTTTTTCAATTTACAGTCTTTCACAAAGTCCGAGAAGTCTTTTCACTGTTTACACATTCCAAATCACACCGAGATTTTCCAGGCTAATTTTGTTGCATGCCAGGAGTTGAAACGTTTGTCCTCGGATTGAGAGACGAACGTCTTAACCACTAGGCCACCGCGTCATTTGTCGAAAGCTATTGTTCTCTATTTGACCTAATCCTTTTCGATGAATTTTAAATTAAATAGTAATCTCGGTGGGAAAAATCGAACCTTTCCCATGCAGGATTCGAACCTACCTTTAAAACCTGGTAGGCCGAAGCCTTAACCACTGGGCCGTAGGATTGGTTGTTGATAGCAGCCTTATTATTTATGTTATTGAGGTAGCCCAGTAGTTAAGGCTTCGGCCTATCAGGTTGTAAGGGTAGGTTCGAATCCTGCATGGGAAAGGTTCGATTTTTCCCACCGAAAATTACTATTTAATTTAAAATTCATCGAAAAGGATTAGGTCAAATAGAGAACAATAGCTTTCGACAAATGACGCGGTGGTCTAGTGGTTAGACGTTCGTCTCTCAATCCGAGAACAAACGTTTCAACTCCTGGCAATGCAACAAAATTTGCCTGAAAAATCTCGGTGTGATTTGCAATGTGTAAAGCAGTGAAAAGACTTCTCGGACTTTGTGAAAGACTGTAAATTGAAAAAAAATTTGAAATAAAAAAAATAAATTATCGCGTTCAAAAGTACCTGAAAATTAAAAGAAAAGCACAAGTAAAAAAGTTTTAAAAACACGTGTCTTCTAACAAAGCCTGAAAATGAAGAAAATCAGACGGAAAAAATCAAACAATTTCCCGCTTTTAAAAAACTCATGTTTACTTACCTTAATTTTTTTTCACGAAAATTTGACAGGGTGATTTTCTCGAGAGTGAAAAAATTTAATTTTTTTCACTTTTTTGAAATTCTCTTAGATTTTTTTTTGACGCGGAAGTATTTTGTCTTGGGCTACCTGTGTCTGTCTTGGGCTACTGTGTCTGGCTTGACACAGGTAGCCCAAGACAAAATACTTTCGCGTCAAAAAAAATCTAAGAGAATTTCAAAAAAGGGAAAAAATTAAATTTTTTCACTCTCGAGAAAATCACCCTGTCAAATTTTCATGAAAAAAAATTAAGGTAAGTAAACATGAGTTTTTTAAAAGCGGGAAATTTTTTAATTTTTTTCCGACTTTTAATTTTCAGTCTTTTTAGAAGACACATGTTTTTAAAATTTTTTTGGTTGTTCTTTTTTTTCAATTTTTCCAAGTACTTTTGAACGCGAGAAAGTTTTTTCAAATTTTTTTAATTTACAGGAGAAAGGCCTTTTAACTTTAAGAAGTCTTTTAACTAATTCAAACATTGCAAATCACACCAAATTTTTCTGGCTAATTTTTTGCATTGCGAGGAGTTGAAACGTCTGTCCTCGGATAGATAGATGAACGCCTTAACCACTAGACCACCACATCATTTGTCGAAAGCTATTGTTCTTTATTTGACTAAATACTTTTCGACGAATTTTAGATTAAACAGTAATTTCGGTGGGAAAAATCGAACCTTTCCCATGCTGGATTTGAACCTACGCTTTCAACCTGGGAGGCCGTAGCCTTAACCACTGGGCCACGGGAAATGTAAGTAGGTTGGTATTAACACCGGATACACCTACCAGGT